AGATTCGCCTTAGCCTCTGCATGTTTAGCTGCCCCCCCTTTTGGCAGGCCCCCGTGTGGGGTCCCTGCTTGGTGGGGGCACAACCGCTGCAACAGGCAGGCGGCAGCTGCGGCAGCAGCAGCAGCAGGCAGACTAGAAGTGGCAATGGCGGTGGCAGCAGGGTAAGGGCGCCTACCCGCTGCCTCCCTAGCGGGCGCCTAGTCCGGTCGTGTGAGGGGGGCGCCGCAACCAAGCGGCCGCTCTCCCCTCACACGACCTTCCCCCCAGGCGCCCCGGCTGCAGCAGCACTGCCACCCCACCCCCTCCTGCCGCACGCTTGCAGCACTGCCGCCTACTGCTGCTGCTGCCGGCGAGCCGCGCACCTGACCCCAACTGCAGCGGTGCTCTCGTCTCGGCTTACTAAATCATGTCATCATAGGGCAGCGCCGGTTGATTGAAACAAACATGCTCTCGCACATGTATGCAGACGTGGATGCGTGGATGCCCGTCTCCTCCGATGTCACATGCAGCTAGCACATGCTTCCCGGCCCCTCCCGTTGAGGTTTTCTATAGTTTGGTCCATCTCTAACCCCCTCTCCCCTCTCCCCCTCTCCCCCCTCCCCCACCTTGAGCACCGCCACCAGCGCCGCCACCCGCGAGGTCCCCGGCAGCGGCTCCACCCCCCTGTCCGCCAGCACCGCGTGGATCAACTCCAGCGCGGCAGCGGGCTCCAGCCCCAGCACCACAGGCAGCGCATGCACCGACACGTACGACCGCAGCTTCTCATTGCCGCTGTACAGCGCACCCAGCAGCGCACCGCGCCACAGGGACACCCAGGGGGAGGAGGAGGGGAGGCAGGAGGCGGAGCCGCCGCCACCGCCGCAGGCGGCGGCAGCTGCCGCTGCCGCGGCCTGCTCCGCCAGCTCCGGATTGGCGCTGGCCTCCGTCCTTGCGGCCGCCAGCAGTGTCTTGAGGCACGCTGACGCGGCGCTGGCGGTGGTGTCGCTCTGCATGGCCTGCAGCGCCTCCCCCACCAGGGTGGGGTGCCGCAGCAGCAGCTGCAGCGCGCAGCCGCGCTGGGCCAGGCAGGCTAGGGGCGCGTAGCGGCCCTTGCGGTTGTACGGCACCGCCAGCAGCTGGGCGGAGACCTTTGGAGGGAGGTGGGGGTAAGGTGGAGTGGAGTGGAGAGGAATGGAGGGAAACGGGAATGAGGAGAGGGAAGGGGAGAAAGAGGAGGGGTTGCCGCCAGCAGCAGCAGGATGACAGCAATCGCTATATCCTAAAAGCTCCTCCGCCCCCCAGCGAGCTAACCCCAGCTCTCCCGCACTCTCCGGGCCCCCCTCCAGCCTCCCTCCCCCTCTCCACTCCCCCCACCTGGCTCTTGAACTCCCCCAGCGGCGGCAGCACCCCGGGCGCGAACCGCTCCTGGCAGTCCAGCACCTCCAGCAGCAGCTGGAAGGCGTCCTGCAGCTGTGGGCGGGGAGGGGAGGAGGGGAGGGAAGGACACCATATGTTGAATGTGAGGGATGTCGGTGGGACGTAGAAGAGGTCGTACAGCTCCAGGGATACGGTGCTGTAGCGGCCTCGGACTACACATGCGGGTTGTGTGTATGTGTGTGGAGAGTACCGGTAGTAAGGGAGGTGTCCTGCCGTCTGCCGTACATTCCCCCTCCCTCCCTCCCGCCCTCCCACCCGCCCCACCTGCCGTGCCGTCTGCGCCAGCGGCTCGTCCAGGTTGGCCCACACCAGCTCCAGCAGCACTGCCAGGCTGGCGGGCCGGAGCAGCGCGGGCTGCAGGGGGGCAGCAGCAGGCGGGGGCTGCAGCTGCCCTTCGGCCGCCGCCGGCGTCGCTGGCTGCTCCTGCTGCTGTCCTCCTTGCGTGCCCTCACCCTGCTGCCCCCCCTGAAGCTCCCCCTGTTGCGCCCCCTGCTGCTGCCACGTCTCCAGCACCTTGGACACGCAGAAGCTGAGCACGCAGGCCGCATGGAACTTGAAGTGCGCGTCGGGGGCGTCGCGGATGCAGCGGCAGCCGTACGACAGCGCGCCGTCGACCAGGAAGTGCCAGGAGCTGCTGGAGCTGCTGGGGGGGCTGACGAGGGGGAGGTGGGGAGTGGCTGGGGAGGAGGTGGCGGGCGGCAGGGAGGAGCGGGGCAGCGACCAGAGGGTCGCACAGGAGGCCTCCCGCGGCATGGCCGTCACCAGGCCCTTCAGCGAGCAGATGCGACCAATGGGCGAGAAGCGCCGGATCTCCGCAACCAGGCTGCTGCTCCCTGAGGGCTGCTGCTGGTTCCGGAGCCACGAGTCCAGCCAGCCGCCCAAGGGCGCCTCAGCGGTGCTTGTTGCCGTACCCTCGCCGCCGCCGTACACCAGCACACGCGCCTCGTCACCCTCGCTGCCGCATGGAGCGCCGCCGTCAGCAGCCGGCTGCGAGGAGGGAGGCGGCGGGAAGAACAGTCCCTGTCCGAACACCGCCGCTGCCGCACCCGGCGGCACGCGCGGCAGCAGCGCCGCCGCCCACAGCACCACAGCGGCGGAGGCGAGGGCCTCGCGGACCAGCGCCCGGCCCTGGCGGGGGTTGGTGTGGCGGGAGGGGTTGGGCGGGGGTTGAAGGGACGGAGGAGACGAGTGTTGGGCGCGGAAAGCGCACGCTGCGATGCCGGCCTGACCCAAGAGGCGGAGGGTCATGTGAGTACGTCCCCCACCGCTGGCCTCTACACCGGAACCGGCCCCGCCCGCCCGCGGGCTCATGGGGCTACCGCGCCTCCAGCACAGGGAGGTCCTGAGAAGCCGCAGTGGCTCAACCCTGCCATACACACACGCCCATCTCCCAGCCCTCCTGCCCCCCCCCGGATCCCTTCCCTCTCCTCTCCTCCCTGGCCCCCACCTCCCTACCTGCAACGCCCGCAGCATCGCACTCCCCGCCAGCACCACCGCATACCGCCCTCCGCACCTCCCCTCCCTCCCCTCCTCCTCCTCCTCCTCCTCCTCCTGCTCCGCCAGGTGCCCCCCGTGGTGCTGCAGCAGGTAGTACAGCGCCCCCACGCCGTCCTGCACCTCCTCCATCAGCCCCGGAGCGATGTGCAGCGCGCCGCAGTCCGCCGCCGCCAGCACGCCCGCCACCCCGCCCGCCAGCCGCCCCACCAGCCCCGCCACCAGCGGCCGCAGCCAGGTGTGTGCGGCGGGCAGCCACAGCAGCGAACTGAGGGGGGCGGCCAGCGGCACCCCGGTGGGCAGCGGGGGGGGAGGTGGGGGCTGCTGGGTTGGCTGCGTGGGCGCGGTGGGTGATGATGAGGATGATGATGATGAGGTCCCCAGTTCTGGCAGGGGAGAGGAGGCGTCCAGTGCGGCCAGCGCGGCCCGCAGCCGCTCCGTGACGGCAGCTCCGAAGACGGCTGGGCAGGAGCGGAGGGGGGCGGGGACGGGCCGAGGGTGCGGATGTGAGTGGGCGCAGCAGTGCGTAATGGGTGTGATGGCAGAGGAGGGCTTCAAGGACCTGCGGTGGGGCGGGAGACTGCAGCTCGTCCGCGACCTATGCCCCGGGGCCCGTTTCCCTTCCTCGTAGCGCTGTGTGCCGTTGACGCCTCTCTTGCAACCCAACCGCTGCCCAGCCCTCCTCCCCTTCCCTTCCCTTCGTCCCTACCATATGCGTTGTTTTTCGCTCACTGTATGAGCCGGGCCATGGGACCGGGATTCCAGTGTTCGCCTCTACTTTCCCCCCTCCCCGCCCCCCTGCTCACCCAGCTGCTCCGGCTGCAGGCGCTGCACCGCCCCCAGCAGCGCCCGGTGCAGCGGCCGGCTGCCCTCCTGCAGCAGCAGACCGGCCAGCAGCCAGCTGCCAGTGTACAGCGGGTCAGGAAGGCTACCGCTGCTGCCGCTGCTGCCCTCGGTGCCACTACCGCTGCTGCCATTACTATCAGCGGGGGCATCCAGGACATCAGCTGCTGGGGCTGCTGGGGCTGCTTCCGCGGGTGCTGTGGCAGCAGCAGCCGTTGCGGTTGCTGGAGCTGCTGGAGCTGCTGATGTCAGCTTCTGGAAGGCGGCTAGCACGCGGCGCAGGTCCTCTACCTCGCCAAAGGTGCGCTGCAGGCGGGAGAGCGCGAGCAGCTCCGAAGCCAGCAGGCGCAGAGGGGGCGGAGAGTCGGGGGAGAGCTCCACGGCAGAGACCTGGTGGCGGGGAGGTGGATGAGGGATGCTTGGGTGTTTGGGGCGGCGGTTGCGGCTTGGCGGATGGATGGAGGGGTCTGATGACGTGTTTGTTACGAGGGGCGAGACGTAAGGGGGGTAAGGAGGGGGAGGCGGCGGCCGGTGGGCTGCAATGTGCTGCAGCCGCCGGCAGCGGGTTGCAAGGGCAACCCGACGTGCATCAAGGGCAGGCTAATAAGAAAGATGTTTATATGTGGTCCTGGGCGCAAATGGTCAAGGCTTGTCGGACGTATTCTTTCCAGTCGCCATCGTCGGGTAGGACAGCCCAAACGCTGACCCCGCAGTACAGCGCAGCTAGGGTAACAGGTATTAAAGCTATATAGTTCATAGCAATAACTCACTTCCGCCAAGTATTTGTCGCTCCAGCAAGTGCCTGCCTCATTCCATCGCTGATGCCTCTGCGAACGCTTAAATTTCCCGGACATTTTCACTTTCTATCTTCACACATAAAACCGTTTTTGTTTGAAACAGTTAGCAGACGTGCTTGCTGAGGGCTGCATGCAGTTGTCTGTCCAATCCTGCAAGCGCCAACAAGTAAAGGCCGAGCACGTCGGCAAACAGTATATAACCGAGGAGTGCAATTATCACCTGTTTCCTGCTGAGCTGCCGCTATGGGTCTCGGAGCACAATCATGGATCCAATCATGGCGGTTGATGGCTCCTTCAAGCAGTTTAATTGCTTTGTTACCTCAAAGAGCTAGGTACGTAAAAATCATATACTTGTTGCATGTTGCATATAGAAAGAATAGTGCACATTTTAAAGTGGCGGGTGACGAGTTGCCATGACAACTATGTTCTACATGCGGGGAACCCACACCACCTCCCAAACAGCTGGCTGCCAAAACACAGACATGAGGCAGAGGCAACAACATGTGCCGGTAAGCAACATAGGGATAACCAAACAGCAGGTTGCCCAAGATAAAGAACGTACCTCGCGCAGTATCCAATTTGACAAGACCAACGCCCAGATGGTAGTTAAGACTGAAGCTAAGACAATCACCACCAGGCAGTCACGGGTCGACCGCTATAGAACGCTAAACGATTCAGTAACATCCTGCCAAACCGTGGAGAGGCTTCATCCGATGTTGCCTCGTCAACCCCACACTCTAATGCCTTCGCTATGTACACCGTCCTCGCATGACAACACATCCTGTCGCGACCATGCGAAACTAGAGGACAAACCCTACAAGGCGAGGACCGAAACATCATCCCTTTAACGAAACGTATGACACCCGCCTTTCCCCACAACGACTAGAAAAGGCTAGAGGCATTTGGTACTTGAAGACAACAAGACGTCTTGAGCGCCTCCATCCCATTCAATGCTTCCGCGGCCGGTAAATTAGTGAATAATTGGATCACGTATGTATGTCCCAGAACAGGGTGTCCTCACAAGCGCCCCCCTGGAATGCCAAACCAACATCTCTCGTGCCCTTTCTGTACTAGTCGCGTTCTATCCGCAGAATAACTATACATGCCTTTATAGCCTCTATCTCACAAACGTATCCGCAGCCCACTTCCTGTTGGCAGCCAGCCAGGAGCAGCCAGGTTACTCAGCCACCACGCACACGCTTCCAGTGTGTGGCTTCCAGATTTCCTTAGCACAACCTTCTTAGCATTACTAAACATGTTTACCAGCCTCAACACACTCCCTGGCCCAAGCTCCCTTGTGCAGCTATTACGCCTCCTCTCAGCGGATCCTTTCGCATACAACTGTCAACGACCTCGACCATAACTGCAACCGCTCACGCGGCGAGGAACTAACAAGCCGCTATGGCGGCGCGAGGTGCAACCACAGCCACTTCGAAACCCTCGGTGGCCGTCAGCTCAACCATCACGTCACGGCTCTCATGCATGATTCCGGATGCATTGGAAGTAAACTGGGCCGTACAAATGGCCCAGTACGAATGTCGCACGCCAGCTGTCCGTACATACATACGGAAGCGATGAATGTGGCGAAGAGAAATAAATAGTCACACAGTCGCCTTAACTCGTTGCAAGGTTTCAGGAAAGCCCAATCACACTCCCAAACCCGCACCTCGAGGCAAGCATCTTGTTGCTAAGAAAGCCAATGCCTCTTGCGTCGTCGCGTTCTTCTGCTGGATCTCTTGCTGGACCTCTGTACATCAGAAGCAGAGGAAGCTGCTCTACATTATTTACAGCCCACCACGTCCCTCAGCCTACAACGCATTGCCTCCGTTAACCTCCATGTCCACAACCCCGCTACTGCGCCTGGCGCCGCTGGCGGTATCGTGCCCCTCCACAACCCGGCCGCCAGCCCTCCTCCGCGCTACAGCTTGTGGGTCAGCGCAGGGACTGCGGCCCCAAACATGGTGACGGTGGTGGAGGAGGAGGAGGAGGCGGAGCAGGCGCCACCACGGTCGCTTGAAGCGCTGCTGCAACCCCCAGCAGCTACCGGCATCTGAAACGGGGTCCTGAAGGCCGTAGGCATGGGTGACGCCGGCAGGGGTGCGGGGGCGGGTGTGGGGGCGGGACCGGAAGGGCTGTTGCCGCCTCCTGGCGCCGCCAACCGGGTGGCAGCGGGCAGCTGGGTCCAGGAGGGAGGCGGTCGGAGGGAGGAGGGAGGCAGCAGCGCGGCGGAGGGGCTACGTAGCAGCCCAGCTGCGGCCGCTGCAGCTGCGAGTGTGTGGGAGGCCCATGGCTCAGCGGGAGCTACGCTGCCGCAGAAGTCGCCAAAGGCTGCAACAGGGGCACCGGTGGAGGCGGAGCGCGTGACGGCGGCCGCATCCGGGATGCCCCGCACCAGCTCTTGCGCCCCGGGCGCGCAGGGCGCCTGTGCCGCGGCCGCTGCCGCAGCGCTCTGGGGCTGCTGCTGCGGCGGCCAGGAAGCCAGACGTTGCGGCGGGGCGGCTGCTGCTGCTGCACCACCTGACTGCGCTGCAGCAGGTTGCAAGTGGGCGGCACCGCAGCCCGCAGGCTGCGTCACCATCACCCGCTCACCCATGCACCGGCCGAAAGGCCCTCCAACGGCAGGAGCACGTGGGCAGAGGCGGTGGGAGTCATTCTTGGTGGCGCCTGCTGCCTCCGCGGTTGCTGCCTCCGCTGCTGCTGTTGCGGGCGCCAGGTCGACTACCAGCACCGTGATATCGTCCTTGCTGTTGCGGTCGCGGCTGAAGCGCGCGATGGCGGAGGAGGCCAGCCGGACGGCGGCGGCGCGGGGCAGGCCGCGCTGGGCTGCGCGCGCCAGCACGCGTGTGGCGACGTCAGCGACCTCCTGGTTGGAGAGGACGTTGAAGACGCCGTCGGTGGCGAGGATGAGGAGCTGGTCGTCAGGGGAGCGCTGGGTGGTGGTGATCTGGGGGGAGCCGGTCAAGGCGGGCGGTGCGCGGTGAGGGCAGGGTGAAGACATGTGTGGTGTGCGTGTGGGAAGCGCTGTGTGTGGTTAGGATGCTGCAGCTTGAAAGGGGCCCAGACAGCCGCGATTGCTCGACAGGCCAGCAGACAGTGTTGCCGGTGTTGCTAGGTGGTGGAGGTATTGCGCGGGTCGATTGCCGGCAGGGACGCAGAGCGTCTGGGGACGTATGCGCTGTGTGGGGGTTTTATGTGTTGTGTGGGGGGAGGTCGGTGCGTCACCGCTAGGGGTGTGCCCGCCCCACTTTCAGCGCACCCACGCAGGCACCCACTCACTCACCTCGGGTTGAGATGTCAAGCCAAACTGCTGGAGGTCTAGGTCCCCAAAGCCCCGAGTGGTAGCCAGCACGCCCATGAGCCGCTCGCCCTCGTTCCACAAAATCTGACCGCCAGCCCGCAGGATGCGAGCCTGCGAGGTCAGCATGAAAAGTAGCAATCGGTTGTTATCAAGACACATTAGCGCTGATAACATTTGACAACCCACTGGATGTTTAAGACAAACAGTAGCGATGGCCACTAGCATTCGCGTCGCACCCACCCGCTCGTCTGATCTCGCAGGGCGGTGATCCTCTGTCAAGGAAATTACTTGGCATCCGCGACACAAGAGCGCCCGGGAGTCTCCTGCGAGTGGAGTCCCAGCCAACAGGCGGGATAGGTTGACGTTGAGAGGTTCCTAAGTGTAGAAGCTAAGGGTTTATGTTATAGATCATAAATAGCAGCAGGTTCAGCAGCGTTCCCATGGCTATGTTCGACAGGTGAAGGTGGACCCGACGGTTGGTCCACGAGAAAAAAATGCCATTATGAAAAGTCGAAGAGCATTCGTTTAGGTTCATCTGACTCACCGCAATTAGCAACAGTTATTTCCGTTGAGCTCAGCAGCGCGACCGTGGCGGTCGACCCCGCGCCCGGGCAGTTCGCCACAGTGTCCGCCAACGCTGAATCTGCCGCTTGGAACGCCACCTCCAGAGAAGCAGCAAGTTTTAATGGATCTTGACAGCAGGCCGCCACGTAGTGTGGAAAAAAGCCGGCGAGGAAGTGGCTAACCTCCGAGCCATTATGCCCATCGTAGACACCACAAAAAAGAGCTCTGTCTAAGGTACTTAACTGAAGAGGGCAAACACAGAATGCATCCTCGTTCGGCCTTGTAGGGTGCGGCATTACATACGCGCCCACATACGGCTCCTCCATGGCAAGTAATCCATGTCCAAGGTGAGACTTTTCCTGCTGACCCATCATCACAGTGGGGAAAGCGCTTGAAGTGTACCCAACCGCTCGTACGTAAGGGTGCTTGCGGCGGCTTTACTATACAAAACCTAAGACCTTTAAACAATTTTCATAAGTTGTGTCTGTTTGGACAAAAGGGAGGGCGAATAGAGCCACAAGGCAGCAAAATGCTGAGTGTACGAGCACGTCATCATTACAAATACTCCTGGCTAGGACTGTTTTCGCGGCCCCTTGGTGCCCGTACTCGGTGATAGGGCTCCAGAACTTCGGCGTATTTTCCTTCTGACTCTCGCAATAATCTCCAGGAGCATGTACGGGGATCGAACGGTTAGGGCATGCTTAGCGTCCAGGCATCCTTCTTGTTATACTATTTCGGCATTTAGTGTAAACAACCCCTTGCCTCTGTCTACCAGTAAAATTCGTGCTTCTGATAACTAATCTCTTACGTTCATCTGGATTCCCCTGGAACTTGACCTTAAGGCCGATGCGCTTCAAGAAGCGAATAGACAGCTGTTGAGCTACTGCACTTTTGGCAAAAGGCTGCAGATCCAGTGCACAGTATTCTTAAATACAATGCCTACAAGCAGAGCAGCACATACCTCCTCAGTTGGAAAGCCTTATCACCCCGGTGGTCATCGCAGTCTTCGGTTGAATGTTCTATGCAGTTTCTATACGAACTCGCAGTTAATAAAAAAAGCCTTTGAACGTGCCAAACAGGTGACTGGACTTAGCAACACCTTAAGACGTGTTACGCAAGGGACTTTCCTTCTGATACGGCTTGCCACGGCAATGCAGAGCAAGCTTTCTGCCGCTGCGTACCTCAACGCATTTGACTGGATAATACGGCTTCCAAGCGCTGCCCAAGATGAGAGGAGCAGTGCCAACAAGGCTATCAATAAGCTCAGCCGCAGCTTGCAGAGCATGGAAGACCTCAAGGTGCATTTTTGCATTCTGCATGCCCCCTCAGAGCTGCACCAATTGCACCCAGGTGTGAGCCCCGCGTGCGCCCGCAGTTCTCCCGTACACATGTCGGCGGCAGCTTTGGAAGGGGTACAAATGTATCCAACAAGTTTGATGTCGGTAAGCCCGTGCACGCACGCGCACGCTTTGGTGCGCTGCGATTGTGCTCCTTCTTTCCCAGCGTAGCGAAGATTACCGCGCCTGACTTGCAATCCAAATCAACGGCAATGAGTCGGCGGCGCCGGGGCTTGCATCCGAAACCGGATCCATTGGGTTGTGGACGGGCTTGGGATGCAATTAGGATTGACACATATGCGTCCCTGCTGTTGCAGATCTGCTGGTTTTCGTCCGGGAGTTCAATGGCAGACGCCTGAGCTACCCGGAGGACTGGCAGGATACCCGGCTGCAAGAGGAGATGCGGCGGCAGGTAAGCTGCTGGTGACCAGGGGCAAGCAAGCAACCACCCTGTGCCCCGTGCCTAGGTGTGCCCCTACCTGGTTTAACAGAGTACAGCACACGACCCAACCCCGGCATGGGTCCATGGCATAGGGCCCATGACGCAGTGCCCGGTTGCAGCGTCCACCCACACCACCCTGAGACGCCCCAGTCAACCAACGGTCCCTGCGTCCCCCCTGCGCCACCTGCGCACCCACCTGCATCGCATACACATCTCCCATGACACGACAGCTGCGGTCAGTGTTGCCCGTACGCGGCTGTCCAGACAATTTGTCGCGTGACGCTGCAGGCGGTGCAGCACCTTACCCTCTGCCAGCCTTCCTGGAGGGCCGCTGACGTGCAGGCCAGCGTGGACAACCCGCACTACCGCCGGGTGCTGCAGGTGGGGGCGGGCTGCGGGGCAGGCGGTGGGAGGGGGTAGGGGAAAAGAGGCGAGGCACTGTAGAGGAGGGTAGGGAATCGGTGGACCACAGCTGACCACACACCCGGGTTTTATATGAGGACGGCCTGAGCAAAGGCGAGGTGTTAGGGAGCGGGAGGCGGGCAGAGTACGGAAAGGCTGCGAGTGATGCGGCGCTGGGTTGGGGTCGCCGCGGGCATACCGCCAGTTGCGCCCCGCGCCCCAGCAGCCCACCATCCGGCTCCTCTTGGCTCTGCAGGCAGGCAGGCAAACAGGCGGACACTGCGGCACACGCACGGCTCATTCGTTGCTATTGTGCATGCGGCTTCACGTATGTGCTGCGGCACCCGCCAGACCCCGCACTGCTGGTCATGCCTCCTTGCCACATCCCCCGATAACACGTGTTTCCTTGCCGCGCCTGCTGCGTTTGAATGCATGCCAGCTGGAGGTGAAGGGCATTGAGGTGGACCTGCTGATGCTGCCAGACCTGGTCACCGGTAAGGCGGATCGCTGTCCTGGTATGCATGCAGTCGTCAGGTGCACTGCAACGCGGGTTACATGCTGCCGTACATGCCCCTACGGCAGGTCGGAATGAGGATTCGATCAAGAAACAGTATGAAGCGCTGATGCCCCCCGTTTTCCAGCAGGTAGGGATCATGGGAAAGCGCGCGGTATATTGTGTTGCTGCTTGGTTTACGAGATGCGCGTCCTTACAGAAGGGACAATCTGCCACACGCCCAGTTCCCGTGTGTGTAAACTGCATGTGTGTTTTCCCGCTCCTGCCTGGCACATACAGCTGAAGTCACAGCCTGAAGCCGTGCGGTTTGACATCGTTCGCGAGCGGGCGGCGTCCGAAGCCATGACCAAGTTCATCAATACTGACACGGATGAGGTCAAGGGAGTCGTGCGCCTGGTGAAGGTAGGGCCCATGCGAGGACGTCCCTCCCGGATATTCAATTGGCCCCCGGTACGTCGCTGGGCATGTAATACCCGCCGGCCGTACTGCGGCTCTGAGACCCGCGGCTCGGGTTTGGATGCTTTGTTTCGTGCACCTGGTGGGCCGTGTAACCAGGTGCGGTTGATTGGCGTGACGACCCGGGTGACGACTGTTTACCCATTTCGCATGCTGCTGGCCCCAGGCCTGGTACAAGCTGGGGCTGGCGGGGCAGTTTGGCGTGCGCAGCATCGTGTTGGAGGTGCTGGTGCTGGCGGCCCTGCAGGGGCTGCACGAGCAGCTGCACAGCCGCCCGTGAGTCCTTGGGGGATGCCAGCAAAGAGCAAACGCACGGTGCTGTTGTGCGTCCGCGATGTACGCCAAACGCCATGTACTGGGCGTAACAACGCCGTGCTTCATTGCGCCTGATCAACCGCTTGCCCATGTCTTATCGCATGTCTCGCTGCCTATTCAGGATCCGTTCCACGAGTGCAACGCTTGCCTCTATCTCTCCTCGTCTATCTCTCGACGCATGCATGCAGGCCGCTCGACAAGCTGCAGCTGTTCATGGCGACGCTGCGGCTGCTGGTCGGGCTGGGCGCGGGTGCTGACTCGAAGCCTGTGCTGGTGGACGCTGGCGAGTGGGGCTACCGGCCCGAGCTGGGCAGGCGCTGCGAGCACATCTGGGGGCCCCACCCGGTGCGTGTCATCAACCCCATCGACCCCACCAGCAACCTGGCAAGGGTGAGCGGCTGCTGCGCCGGCAAGTGTGTTCGTGTTTGTGTCTGCCGCGTGCAGGTTTGAGCTTTCCACTAGCGACCCTCCACGTTCCTCCTGTGTGTCTGACTGCCTAGCTGAAATCAGAAGACAGGTTATGTCGGTGGTATCATGGTCACTCTTACATGTCGTTGCCACTGCCGAAGCGCGCTGCTGGTTCTACCGTGCTTCCTCGTGCCGTACTCTTCCTTTCCTGCCTCTCCCACCTGCAGCCCCACTATGCGCTCGAGACCACGCCGACCGAGACGCCGACTATGCCGATGTACCGAGATGCCGACTATGCTGGCCTTGCGAGGGAGGCACGCAGGGTGTTGGAGGTCATGCAGGACGGCACGTTCGGGCAGCTGCTTGAGGAGTCCACGCTGGGTCGAGCTGTGACGCAGCTATGCCCTTGGCTGTCCTGCTGAGGCGCATAGGGGCTGCTGGATCTTGAGCACAGAGAGGTGCCTTTAGTCAAGTATCCACTGCAGAACTTCATTCATTCATGCCATTCATCTACGGGACTATCGATGTCTATTTGCTCGGGTTAGGACTTAACCGGCTCGTGGGTACGCTGCCCGGTGGGTGCGGGCGTGCTTGAACCCGGGCTAGTATGCATGCCGGTACATGGTCAAAATGCACGGCGGCCTGCACAGGGAGTGCTGCGTGTGTTGAGCTGGAGGCACATGGAAAGGGCTTCGGAGGCTACTGCAGCTGCCCCTTCAAGCACATGTGGGTTGGCTCTTAGCTAGGCGTGGCGAGCTGCACAGCCCCGCAAGATGCGTGCCGGGTGCATGTGGACCGTCCGTGGTGTTCAGCGGTGCATAGCGGCCTTTCCTCTCCTAGCGAGCAATGCATGCGTGCGTGCATGGCATGAAGTGGAAGCCATGCTGGTTGCTAGGGGTTGTCCGGTTACAATATCAAACCAACTGGGCCACGATGGCATCCGGACCGCTGATCCTGGGCCTTGCATGAAGTGCAATTACTAGTTAGCACGTCCAGGGGCCCAGGCACACCAACTCTGCAGCCAAATGCCGGGGAAACCAGCAGCTGTGTTTGTCAGGCTACCATGCTGCGGCAATGAAGCCACCGGACGCAGCCCACACCGTTGCCTCGGTTGCTTCAAAGCCGTCAGCAGGCATGGACCACTCAACTACAGGTACGTCTCAAAGGACGTACGCAGCAACAGCAACATGAAGCAACAGCGTGGATGTCTTGGGTGCAGCTGTCTGACGGTTGTCATGCAGCAGTCCTACCTTACAAATGAGCTGTTATGAACAGCTCAAAAACAGGGATGGGCTGTCGTAAACAACCGAATGCACCTCGCTCTTCCATGCAAGACCTTCATTATCCAACCACCATCATACCGCCCCATGGGTCATCGGGACACTGTACAAGCCGTTACTACGTACAAGCCTTTAGCCAACGGGTCTCGGGTAGTGCAATACTTGTCAACGCGACAGTGCAGCATTTCTCAGAACTTATTAGCACCACCAACTGCCAATCGCAATCGGAAAACTCAACGCCAACCACAACTTACGGTACTATCGCATCTCTTACATGCCATATACCTTGGCAAACCACGCTTCCCATGCCGTACCGTTACTTACGGCACCAGCCCAGTACACGAGTTCCAACTTGCGCCTACACGGCCCTCAACGGCCTCAGAGCCTTCTTGAGCCGGTCCGGCTTGCGCTTGGAGTGCGTCTGGCCGCTCCCCTCCGTCGCGGCTCCCGCAGCGGTGCCTCCCGCTACTGGCCCGCCGCTTGGCGCTGTGCCAACAACAGCTGGCTTCGCCTTCGCCGGCCGGCCGCGCTTGCGCTTCACCGGCGGCGACTGGACGTCTCCCTCCTCCGCTGCCCCAGCTCCCTCGCCTGCATCTGCCACCGCAGCCGCCTCCTCTTCGTCCCTGCCGTCCCCCGTGTCCCCACCAGACGAGCGGGCCGCCTCCGCTGCAGCTGGCTTCACCTTCGCCGGCCGGCCGCGCTTGCGTTTGGGCTGCGGCGACAGGGCATCAGCAGCCGCTGAGTCCGCCCTCCCCTCAGCCGCTGCAGCCTCCATGCCGCTCTCGTCGTCTACCGGAGCCCGGCTAGACGGTCCGGCTTCCTTCCCCGCAGCTGGCTTCGCCTTCGGCGGCCGGCCACGCCTCCGCTTGGGCTGCGGTGACAGCATGTCACCCGCTCCACCTGCCGCATCGCCATCCTCCACCACCGCTGCGGCCGCCTCGACACCGGTTGCTTCCGCAGCGCCATCCTCGCCTGCCGACGCGGCAGCCCCGCGTGAGGGGCCCGCCTCCTCGCCAGCACTCTGCCGGACCTTGGGCAGCCGACCCCGCCTGCGCTTCCCTGGTGTCGGCGCGGCGCCTCCCTCGTCCTCGACTTCTCCGGCAGCAGCGTCCGCCATGGCACTGCGAGATGGCCGCCCCGCACCCTCGCCGCTGGCCCGCTTCGCCTTGGGCGGCCGGCCGCGCTTGCGCGTGGGTGGCGACAGGGGGGCCCCAGCGGCTGCGTCCTCGGGCCCCTCTTCGTCAGCTGCCGCCTCAGCTTCGCCTTCAGCTTCCGACTGCTGCGGAGCCTCGCCAGACGGCCCTGCCTCCCGTCCCACAGCTGGCTTGGCCTTCGGTGGCCGGCCGCGTTTCCGCTTGGGCGGCGACAGGGGGTCCGCAGCTGCTGAGCCAGCCTCCGCCCCCGCCGCCGCCGCAGCAGCAGCAGGGGCCTCGCCCTCAGCTGCCGCTGCCTCCACTGCCTTCCGCGCTACAGCCCGCTTTGCCTTCGGCGGCCGACCGGGCTTCCGCCTTGGCGACGCCAGAGCTGTTGCAGCGGTCTCTGTAGCCGCGTCCTCAGCCCCCTCATCGTCTTTCGCCGTCTTCCCCGGCGTCCGTCTTGACGGCCCGGCCGCCTCTGCTGAACTTGGCTTCACCTTTGGCGGCCGGCCTGGCTTACGCTTGGCGGGTGGCTCCTCCTGCTCGTCCACCGCTTGCTGCGGCCCCTCGCTCGCGGAGGAACTCGCGCTTAGCTCTGGCCCGCCTACGGAGCCTGGCTTTGCCTTCGGGGGCCGACCACGTCCGCGCTTCACGACTGCAGGCTGGTCGGCCCCATCCGCAGCCGCTGCGGCGCCCACACCCTTAGCTGCCCCAGCGCCGGTCACCGGGGCCTTACCAGACAGCCCTGCAGCCCGCTTTGCCTTTGGAGGACGGCCCGGTCTGCGCTTTGGGGCGGGTGACTGCGCCGCTGCTGCAGCTGCTGCTGCGGGTTGCTCCCCTTCCTCGTTCGCCTCCGCCGGAGCCTCGTCAGACTGCCCTGCCCCTGCCGCAGCAGCCGGCTTGGCCTTGGGCGGTCGGCCGCGTTTCCTCTTGGGCGGCGACAGGGGTGCCGCAGCCTCCTCAGCCGCTGCTGCTGCCCCTTCCGCAGCTGCATCCGTGTCCGCATCCCCACCAGAAGGATCCGAATCCCCGTCTGCAGCTGGCTTGGCCTTGGGAGGCCGGCCTCGACGACGCTTCGGCGGCGATATCATGTCACCAGCTGCGGTTGCTTCAGGGTTCGCCTCCTCCCCGCCTGCCGCCGCTGCTCCTTCCCCAGCTGCATCAACACCCGCAGCCGGCTTCGCCTTAGGCGGCCGACCACGCTTGCGTTTGGAGGGCGAAAGCATGTCGCCCGCCGACAAGCCAGTGTTTGCCTCGGCTGCATCCGCGATGTCCTCGTGCTCGACTGCCTCCCCGGGCCCCTCCTCCGCACCTGCTGCTGCCGCCCCCTTCTTGCCAGCTTCACCTTCCCCCGGAGCCTCCTTGGCAGATGGACCTGCGTCCCCTCCTGCCGCTGGCTTCACCTTGGGCGGCCGACCGCGCTTACGCTTCGGTGGCGACAGGGGGTCCCCAGCGGCTGCCTCAGCATGTGTGCCTGCTGCGGCAGCGCCGTCCTCCTCTGCGTCCTCCGCCGCAGCTGCCTCGGCAACCTCCGGGGCCTTGCTAGACGGCCCCGCCTCCCTTCCCGCAGCCGGCTTGGCCTTTGGTGGCCGGCCGCGTTTCCGCTTGGGCGGCGACAGGGGCTCCGCAGCTGCAGGATCGACCCGGGCTGCAGCAGCGGCATTCCCCGCCGGCTCCCACTTCACTTTAGGCGGCCGACCAGGTTTGCGCTTTGCTGGCGACTGGAGGCCGCCATTGCCGGCCGCCGCCGCAACTCCGTCTGCATCCTCCTCCTCCGCAACAGCAGCAGCAGCGGCGGCCCCTTCCCCTGTTGCCGCTGCACCCACCTGGTCCCTGCCAGCTGCCTCGCCACCAGCCGCTTGGGCCGACTTTGGCGGCCGGCCCCTCCTCCGCTTAGCCGGTGCTGCTGCCTCACCCTCAGCTGCGCCCGCCCCAGCCGCCTGCTCGCCCTCCTTTGCATCGCCGGAGGGCCTCGGTCCAGCAGCAGCGGCCCCTGCCCCTGCTGCCTCCTCAGCGGCTGCTGCTCCCCCCTGAAGCTGCTGCTCAACTGCCACCTGGTCAGGTGGGGAGCCAGCGGAGCTAGAGCTTGCTCCCATGCCTGTAAAGGTGGTGGGGCCACCGGAGGAGCGACCGTGGGTTTGCAACGCTTTAAGACAGTAGTCTTTGGAGTGCATGTGGATGCAGTCGAGTCCCTAGCAAGTGTTACTCGAGGGGCGGAGTCCGGATGTGGGCATGTGGTAGAAGCCTTAGTGCTGGGAGGCAGCCAATGTCTACCAATGGCAGGGAGTTGAAAGGAAGAGGGGCTCCTCTGACAGGCTTATCGCTGCTGCGGGCAAGTGGTGTTTGCACACACCAGTGCATGGGGCTGTATCTGTAAGCATATCTGTGCGTTTGGCTTCGTGTGGCATACAACCAAGGCTATGGCGCCATCACAGTTGCTACGGTTCTGCACGAATTTAACCAGGCGCCAACACTAAACGTAATCTAACGGGCGCAAAAGGTCCTGCCAAACGCGCTGGGGGGCAGCTCCACAAATGCGACCTCTCACCGCCGTGAACCCCACCTGCGCCTGCGCTATCAGCGGCTGCCTGGCCGGTTGGCGGCTGCTCCGCCTCGATTCCCTCGGGCATGCCCAGTTCTACTGGAGGGTGGCAACAGGCAGGAAACTGGGCGTTAGACGACACACAAGACGGACAGACAGAGAGGAGGGCACTTCCTTCCTGCCCTACATTTATTCTATCGGACGTGACACAGAAAAAGGCCTTGCATGTTTTCGTCGTTGAGGGTTCGCTCTTGGCCCATGCACTGCAGAAACTGCTGTGTATGGGCTGGGGCATCAGGGGAGAGGACCCGGCTGGGGCATCAGGGGAGAGGAACTCAGCCACTTGCCGAGTACCATGCCCGTTCGCATGTTTATTCCTTGCGTTTCCCGGCATAGCAAGTTCGAAAGACCGCCACGCACTGGGCATTAGCCAAGCACATAATAAGCGCTTAAATCACTTTAGGTTTGCTCTTAGGAGAAAAAATACAGGAACAGCTCTTATCATCACTGGCAATATTTTTTCTGGGTTCTGGGCCACATTTAAGGCCCAGGCGCACCTGCTACGTTGGCCGAGGGCCCAGCAGGATGCAATGTTCCGGCTTCCGGGGCCGCGACAAAATCAAGAGCCGCCTAGGGAATCAAACCTGTGCATGAGATATAGACGTCATTTATAGGCAGAAGTATCCTAATATAAATACCGCCGTCTACCGCTGTCTGCGACTTGGGTTAGGTGACGCCAGGCGAAGGTTCCGCCTCATAAAACACCATACCTTCGTGAAAATGCCGACAAAGGCAGATCCTATTTGCTTCTGCTGAACCGGTCCTGTTTGTCTCAACTCAGTAGGCAATTCTGACGTTCTGGTGGCGTTGACCGAGTTGCACTGGACAAGATTAAGGTTGACGCCTTCCAAATTACAACAAAAATGCTGAAAATGCCAGAGCTATTCTTGGAGTCAAGCCCACAATTTTGGAGAGCAACCAGCCATGGCATGTGCGGCTCATCCCTATGGACCACCGTACGGAAATCAAGTGTCCATGGTCCTTGCATCGGCTGACACACTCCTTTTTTCCAAGCAACCCAGCACTTGAGCCTTACTGAAAGCTTTTGACGGATTTGGGTATTGTATAACGCTATACAGAATTGTGTCGGTATTTCATCTAGCAGCGTGCGTGCCAAGAGCAGGGCAAGACCCGGGCCAATTTCAGGGCGCTTCGCAGCGGCCCTCGTCACACATGCCACAATTTTTGCACGTTAAGTGCTGAAAGTGCTGTCGTGGTTGCTGGTTGGACTGCTGTCAGGGTGGGGAGCCCCAGGTATTTACTCTCTTGGCCTAGTCAGGCCTAATCCGCAACGCCTGGCGTGGAATGCGATGTGTATATTTTGGAAAGCGCGATTGCTGAAAAATATACCGCTCCGCCGAAGGCGACCCGCCAAACCTAGGCAGGGAATATGGGTTGGCATTCGTTGCAGAGACGTGCATACGGTGTGCTCTGCTCCACTACTTTTTACAAAACACAATCCTCGGCTTCTGGAATAAGGTCGATGTGATTTTACCCGTTTTCCTCAATTCACGGTGGGGGTAAATCCTTTCAAAGGAAGCGGCTGCCATGTCATGTCATGGCCAATTAGCTCTGGACTGCATACTGGGATGAGCCGGGGGTTTCGTTTTTACTTGTAACTCACGAATGCAAATACTTAGAAAAGTTTACAGCCCCCTCTACACGGAAAGCACGTCTGGGCGTTGGTGGACTCCCAAACCGCTGCCCAACACGCTCCATTCACAGTCGAAGTGCTGAACATACATTCCTCCGCGCAGCGACGATACCAACAATAGCGCGTTTTATACAAGGCACTAAACAACAGCTTAAGAGGTGCGAGAGGCGATTGCACAGCATCCGCTCGTATGCCGCTGTTCATCGTACACACACATTCCAAACTGCCATCTTACTCAGTGAATAGTAAGCCCTTTTTTGTCTTCGAACCATTGAAGTTCTACCACGTTATTTCCTATAGCAACTTAACAGCGGGGCAGCTGTCGGTGACTCTTCCTGCATGTTATGTCCGTTGGTCAACAACTCGGCTGTCCATAGACTTTGTCTGCATCGTGCGCACTGCATAGTTGTCCTTCGTAAGGTTAAATTGAAATGGGGAATAGCTGGTTATTTGAAGCGTTAGGTAAACGGTGACCCAAGGCCAAGCGACCGAATCGTGCTCTGTACTGGCCACTATTTACTTTCTTGGTGAGTAAGCCACTGTACTGAAATCCGGAGCTTTTGGAGTATGCCTCCATATAAGCCGTCGCGACTGCTCGGAACCTGACAGAGTTTCTTCGACCACAGCGAGTAAAGTTTGTGTAGTACCTAACCTGGACAACACCTGGAAGCAGTACACCACCAGCGGGCAGCGACGACTGGTTTTGTGTCGTGCAAATGTTCTTGGAACCAACCCAATCGACGAGGCACTTTTGCCATCCCACCCCCGCGCACTCGTAGGCCATGTTCTCCCCGCCTATCAGCGCTCTGCCACCAGGCGTTCCGCCGCTGCCCAGTTCAAGAGGCAGCTCGCTGACTCCTCTGGATGGCTTGCGACCATTCCCGGTCCCAGATGGCCCCTTCAACGCAAGCGGCATGATGCCGCCTCCCAGCAACAGAGGAGTGCGTGCAGCCTCGGCCAACACGCGACCCTCGCCCCTGGCAGCGTCAGGCCGGGGTGCCGCCGCTGCGATGTCACCGCTGCAGGCCAACAACGTAAGAGCCACAGCTGCAGCGGTAGCTAGCGTTGGGCGCCGCGGGTTACCGGGTTTCAACTTGGGGGCGAAGGAACGACGTCAGCCACATGAGGGGTTCCGGCCGTCGTGTGGCGTTTGGACTAATATTGCGAGGAGAACCGAACAAGTGGCGTAGCATATCGTCCGTGGTGGATGTCTTGGCGTCAGGAGGGGTCGCTTTCAACTGCAGTTCCCTGGCCTTGTCTGCGCCTGCTGCCTGCTTCCCCATCCTGCCCATGCCCCACCCCTACTCCCCCTGCCCCCCTCCAGCTCTCCGAGGCGGACAACATCAAGGTGGCGGTGCGCGTGCGGCCGCTGTTCCCTCATGAGACGGAGCGCGGCGGCACCTCCGTGGTGCAGGTCAGCAGCAACACCACCATCAAGGTAGGCAGCAGCAGCGTCGGCAGTAGTGGGGAGGCGGCAGCAGTGGCAGGGGGGGGGGGGTTAGGAGAAGGAGCTGAGGGGAGGTTGGCGGCTGGGGGCCGGGGTGGGGGACAGGAGGACTGCGTGCATGCGGCCCGTGGGGGATGTAGGTGGCGGGGCAGGAGGGGCCCGCCTTGGGCTTGGAGGGGGAGCGGAGATGAGAGGGGTGGGGGCCGGCAGTGAGCTCGCCGCACATGTACAGCTACATGGGACCTTGCCGATGTCACCTCCAGACCTCCTCCATGCCGCCCGACTCCTCTCTTGCTCCGCGCATGGGTCCTCAGGAGCCCAACCCCTCCTTACCCCTCTCCCACCCCAACCCTCCCTTGCCCACCCCTCCTCCTCCCCCCACCCGCCCCAGGTGGTTGTTCCCGGCCCGGCCGGCACCTCCATGCAGCGCGACTTCGCCTTCCACGCCTGCCTGGGTCCCGAGGTGGGGCAGGCGGACGTGCTGCACCTGTGCGGGGTGCCGCAGCTGCTGGACGCGGCGCTGGCGGGGTACAACGTCACCATCGTGGCGTACGGACAAACAGGTGGGAAGGGGAGGACAGGGGGGGATGAGGGGTGGGCTGCCTCCGGGTATGGGCAGCGGCTGCTGACATGCTGGCGGGGTTGCCGTACGGTGCATGGTAGGGTGAGGTGGGGAGGGTTGCGGTGCGGTGCGATGGGGTGGGGTACCCCACTGCCCAGCTCCACTGCTTCCTGGTCCGCCTCCCTGTCTCGCCGCCGCCCTCCCCCCCCCACCCCCCCACTCGCTCCCTCCCTGCCAGGCTCCGGCAAGACGTACACCATGTCGGGTCGCGAGGAGGTGATCAGCTCCGACGGCTACAGCGGCGGCGACACGCAGCACGACGGCATCATGACGCGCGCGCTGCAGCACCTCTTCGCCGCCATGCAGGCGCGCAAGGGGGACACCAAGTACGGCGTGGCGGCATCTTACCTGGAGATCTACAATGAGGGCATATACGACCTGCTCAACTTGAAGGTAGAGGGGGCGGGGGCGGACATGAGAGTGGGGGAGGACATGCGACGTGAGGGTGGCGGTGTCAGGGTGCTGCCAGAGAGGGGATGGCGAAGGTGGGCGGCACCTTGACCCCGCCACCCTCACGTCCCAAGGCCCCCCCCCCCCCCCAACCTTGTGTTGATGCACGTATCTATAATTTTCCCCAGCCATATCCCTCCCACCTTTGCCATCCCCTCTCTGGCCCTAGCTGCGGCCTTCATGCGCTCCCACACGACTCTGACACGCCCCGCCACACACACGCCTTTCACAGTACGTTCCGCCTCGCGGCCAGTTATTGTAACACACGCCTTTGCCCCTCCCTTCTGCCCCCCTCCCCCGCCACCCCAGGCTAAGAACCTGCCTGTCAAGTGGGACGCCGCACTGGGCTTCTACGTGCCGGGGCTCAAGCAGGTGCCCTGCACCAAGATCGACACCATGATGGATGTGAGTGCCTGCGGGGGGGGGTCAAAGACCATACCAAACCATAGGAAATCACAGGTTAGGGCAAAGCAGTGGGGGTAGCAGGCGGCAGGGTGCCACAAGGCAAAGGTGTTGGTTAGTATTCCCTACCGATACCGAGTAGGGGGGGGGCGGGGGACGGCGGGAGGGGGGAGGGGGGAGGTAGCTACTCCATTTGGGCCGTATCAGGCTGGGCTGTAAGTCCCTGCCAGTCGTGTAGCGTGCTAGTGGGGCGGGGGTAATAAATATAATGAGACACTGATGATGCAACTGACGAGTGGGGCGGGGGGGGGGCGCCGCAGCACAGCGTTGTAGACGGGGGGCCGTCCTCGGGGCCCTCTCGCGCGGGATGGATGAAAGATGAAGCGATGATCAACCTCTGCTGCCCCTTATCCGATACGGCACCCCCAAAAACATGTGATTGTGAGTAACCCGACCCGGCAGCTGGCCAGTTAGCATACACTAGTACGCACAATACGGCTGTGGACCTGAGGTGACTCCTTCCCGTTTCCCCTCTTAATCCCCTCCCTCCCCCCTCCTCCCTCCCCCCCTGCGCAGGTTATCCGCACCGGCATGCAGCACCGCCACGTGGGCAGCCACGAGCTCAACATCGAGTCCAGCCGCTCGCACGCCATCATGACACTCACCCTGCACGCCACGCCCGCCGACCCGGCAGCCGCGGACTACGGAGCCCCGCGCATGGGCAAGATCTCGTTCGTGGACCTGGCGGGCAGCGAGCGGCTCAAGGTAGGGGGGGCGGGTGGGGAGGCGGGCGGGCGGGAGCTGGAGCAGGAGGAGGAGAACCGGGGAGGGGGGCGGGGGACTGCACCGTACATCACTCTCATCGCCTCATGTGCATCCCAGACGATTGCAACTCTTAACCTCCTTGCCCCAGCCCTAGATTCCCCCTAGCTCCCTGTCCCCCCGGCTCTCCCCCGGCTCCCCCGCCCGCTTCCCCGCCCCCCTCCGCATTATTTGCTATCCCAACTATCCCGCGTAATGCGGATTCTGTTTCCAAATTACCCCCCCCCCCCGCGCGCATGCGCTCACTGCATGTGTCGGGATATGGATTGGGACCCCAGTTGCTGCACTTTTCATTTTTTCCCGCCTCTCCCCCCCCCCAGGACACCAAGTCCGAGGGCGCCATGCTTAAGGAGACAACCAACATCAACAAGAGCCTCTTCGTGCTGGGCAAGGTCATCTCGGCGCTGGCGGAGCGGGACAGCGCGGGAACCAGCGCGCACATACCCTACAGGTGAGCTAGGGGGTGAGGGCGGGCGGGCAGCGGGTAAGGTTGATCGGGCTGGCTCGCCAAGTCGCCATGAAACCCACTTGCAGCGAGTCGCACTCCGGACCCTCCTTACCGCTATCCCCTCCCTCCCGTCCGGCCCCCGCTCACAGGGACTCCAAGTTGACCAAGCTGCTGATGGACTGTCTGGGCGGCAACGCGCTGGCGCTCATGATCGCCTGCTGCAGCCCCGCGTCAACAGCGGTGGAGGAGACGCTGTCCACGCTGTCGTACGCCACGCGAGCAAAAAACATACAGAACCGACCCACGGTTCAGTACGACCCCAGGGTGAGTGCGTCCCCTCTGTTCCTGTGTGGTTGTGTGTTAAGGAAACTGGCCGCGAGTCGGAACGTACTGTGATTGTGTGTGTATGTGTGTGGGATGGGGGTTTCGGCATGTAGCTCTTGCGGGGGCCTGCAGATGGTGCGATCCTGCTCTACCCTCCCGCCTGCCACCTCCCCCTCCTCCCTCCCAAACAGGAGGCCCAGATCGCCAACCTGCGTCGCGAGATCGAGTTGCTGCGCCAGGAGAACACCTACCTGCGCGAGCAGGTGCGGCTGGGCGGCACGGCGGGAGCGGCCAGCGCCAGCGGCTTCCTCTCCGATTGCGTCTCCACGCCGCTGCTGCATGGGGCCCGACCCGCATGGCCGCCGCTGGTCCCCTCACAGCCGCCGCCGCAGCAGCAGCTTCAGCCGGGAGGCGGCACCTGGGACGGCAGCCTGGCCCCCGGCGGGCTGAACAGCACGCTGGGGGGCAGCAGCACCGCCAGCAGCAGCAGCCATCAGCAGCAGCACCCCCACGCGCCCTGGCCCTCCCTCATGAACCCGCCAGACAGCGCAACGGGGAGCAGCAGGGACAGCGGCAGGGAGGCAGGAGGCGCTGCCGCTGCAGCGGTGGCAGCAGCAGCGCCCCTCCCCCCGCGGCTGATGTCCTCCGGGCGCATGGTGACGTCCGCCTCACCCGAGGGGTATCACTCCAGGGGGGGCACGGCCAGCGGGGGGACGCACCTGGAGCCGCTGCGCATGTCGGGAGGGGAGGCGGCGGCAGCTGGGGTGAATGGAGCAGGCGGTGGTGGTGGCGGCGGGATGACGTCTCGGCGGTTGAGCCTTGCGGGGCCGCCGGACGATGACTTGATGCGGAGGCTGATGGAGACGCAGGTGGGGGCACGGAGTGGGGGAGGTGGGGGAGGTGGGGTGAGATGGGAGCTGAGGCAGGGGTTGGAGGGGCTATCTGTGCGGCGGAGCACTTCGGGGAGGATGTTGAGCACAGAGGCAGAGGCTGGAAGCTGTGGCGAGAAGCTTTGCCTGCTCGGGTGTGAAGACGAGTGTCTTGATGCGTGCTGGGACGCACCGTCTGCCTCCTTGAATGGTGCACCCGCCGACCCCTCGATCCCAACCCCTTGTTAAGCCAGCAGCTCACATTTTCCCAGCCTTTCTCCTCCTGCTCTTCCCTCCTCTCGCCTCCTCCTCCTCCCGCCCCCCACCCCCAGGCGCTGCTGTCTCGCTTCAGTGAGGAGAACGGGCGGCTGGCCAAGGAAAACGACCGGCTGCGGGCGGGCCGGCAGCTGCTGTCTCAGGAGCATGGGGAGGTGAGAGGAGGGAGGGTGTCGGGGGTGAGGTGCGGTGTAGGGCGGCAGCACTGGCGCCCGCAACCCTCCGCCAACACGCGCACCTCACCTGCTGGACGTACGACAGAGCAACACACAGAGCAGCCGCCCCCTGACGCAGCGGCATTCTCCACCGCCGCATGCATCCATGCCGCACGTGTCGCATGCTGGCGGTTACTGCCTCTCCTTTGACTCCCTCCTCACCACGTTCCCCTTCTTCTTCCCATCTCCCCCCTCCCCCCCTCCCCCGCCCCTCAGGTGCTGGACGAGATCGAGCTGCTGCGCTCCAAGCTGGTGGCGCTGGAGAGCGCGGTGCTGTCGGGCGCGCAGACGCCCAACGCGGCCAAGGCGGCGCTGCTGTCCGCAGTGGCGGGGGGGCTCTCCCGCAGCGATAGCCCCGTGTGTAGCGGCAGCAGCAGCCCCATGCAGCCAGCGGCGGCGCAACAGCAGCAGCAGGTGCAGCAGATGGGAGGAGGAGGAGGAGGAGCAGCGGGGGTCGTGGGGAGTAGCGGGTTGGGCGGGAGCAGCGGGGCTGGAGGTACGGGGCTGGGGTTGGGGCTAGGCAGCAGTGCCAGTCCGCTGCGTGGGCGGCCGGACTCCATGAACAGTCAGGGGCACGGCGCTTCGTCTTCACCCTCGTCTTCCATGTCGCTAGGCGGGCCAGGTGGGCAAACACAGGTGCTTGCGGGTCAGCAACAGCAGCTGCAGCAGCACCCGCAGCAGCACCCGCAGCAGCAGCCGCAGCACCAACAAGGGCCCAACAAGCAGCAGTACTATCAGCAGCAGCACGCGCAACAGCACGACCAGCCCTCTTCTCGAAGCGCAGCGGATGCCTACCTGCCGCCGCCCGGGTCCGCCTCCCAGCAACGACAAGAGCAGCAACAGCAGCACTGCCCACCCCAGCAACAACAGCACCACCAGCAGCCGCAACCCCCTCCACAGCAGCAGCAGCCTCAATCGTCCCATGGTTCCAACCACCACCCGCCCACATCCACATCCACATCCACCACACCACCGCATCCCCACCCACACCCGCACCAGCCCGCGCAGCCCCACCCCCAGCAACAATACCCCGCCCCGGCCAATGTCATGTCCGTCGGCACAGCGCCGGGCAACTCCGGTGCCATGCGGTCTCGTACGAAGTACGGCAGCAGCGGCAGCGGGTCGGGCGGCGGCGGCCCTGGCGGCGGCGGTCGCGGTGATGACTCGATCATAGTTGCGGACCGCTCCAAGCTCGCGTTGCTGCTGGGGGATGGGCCGGTCGAGCCGGCGGTGCCGGTACGGCCGCTGCCCATCAAGCCGCCCGAGCCCAGCTACGCTAACCCAGCAAAGGTGAGGAGGAGGTGGAGGAGCAGGAGGGGGGCTGCAAGCCTGCATGGGTGCGGGTGGTGGTGAGGGGGGTTGAGGGTGTGGCATGCGGGGTTGCGTGTGGCGCTCTGCGGGTTGGTTGGGTGGTGGGATGGTAGAAACGGAGCCGCGAGGAGTGCTAGTAGTGGTGGGTTGCTGGAGAGGTGCGGGGAGGGCAGCCGAGGGGCTTCCAGGTGCGCATTCTAGTGAGCCAGGTAGGCCGGGTGGGCGCAGTGAGGGGCGTGCGATGTGCGTTGGCGACATGGAGCCCCTGCCCATGCATGGCTCCTTGGCTTGCTTCTGACACTCCTCTCCCTTCCCGCCCCAACCCTCCGCTCCCGCCCCACCCCGCTCTCGCACCTCCCCCAGGCCCACCACGCCCAGCACATCCAGAAGCAGCTGCAGCGGAGCACCTCCAACCCCACCTCGCCCACCGGCGCCATCCCGGGGCCCGGCGGCGGCGTGTCCTAGCGGCTGCACCCGCTGGCCTGCGGGGGTGTGGTGCGTGTACCGGTGCTCGTGCGTTGTGTGCAGCGACGCCTTGCTTGGAAGAGTGCAGGGCGCGTGCGATATGCATGGGGGTTTACAGGTATTAGGAGAATTTTGTCACGACATGCGTGAAGGCGCAAGTTAAGCGGTGTGGCAGGAAGCTGGGAAGGCGGTACCTAGTAGGCCCAGTTTCTTGGCGGAGAGCCCCTGCTGAGCTAGTAACGCAATTTTCTGCATATGAATACTTTACGTGTCCGCACTCCAGGGAGGGTTGCTGCTGCCGCTGCTTAGCAACCAAGTGTGGCGTGGGCGGGAGGGGGGAGCCAGAGCGTGCACGGAGGACGGGGCTTATAACATGGTAGGGTTTACATTCTACCGTAGTAAGTTGGAAAGCTGCCATGCAGGGGCAGTAGGAGGCGGGCTTGGGAGTTTGGAGGAGGTAATGGCCACGTCGTGATGCAGCCAGGTAATCAGGACGGTCGCGCTGCTAACGCCGGTGGGGTAATCCTCGGCGCTGCTATGGATTGGCGTGTATTGGTATTGAGACGGTTGGGAGAAGTGTGTACTTCCGTTGCACTGCGGTGCATCAAGCGTTTGGCAGGTCATCATACTCCGCCATGACTTACTTCTGGGTACTACGGTACTAGGTATCCTTGGGACTGCTTTTACTGGCTTGAAAGCAGGCAAACAAAGCTATCCACGCCGTGATCAAAAGGTATAATTATGGTCAATTTATGCCGTTTAGTTGGCTACCGTTTGTAATTTTTGTGTTGCACAAGTTCCAGCTGAGTTACCGGTATTCCCTAGCTAGCATCGACGACTCGCCATGTTTCAACAGCTCCTGCGGCCGACGCAGCAGTGTTTGGGAGGACGGCGGGCGGCACAACTAGCAGAGGTAGCCATTTGGGTCGGTTGTAAGGATAGCCTGGATATACACCAATGGCCGGTCGGCTTCATTTGCTGTAGGTGTCTCCAGCCGCAGGGCAAATCCGAAGAATTCATACAAATCCAAACCAGTCTCGATCATTCACGGCATTTTATGGGATCCAACGGGTGAATCGGCTCGTGGCGTGGAGCGCACCGAAGGACCCATCCGGCCCAACTCGCACACCCGTCGAAGTACCCGCGGGAACTAAAGAACAGGGGAACAACCAGCTGCTGTTTTCCCTTGGAATTGGGGCCCTCTGGATTGGACTATTGGGTAAGGCTTGGAGAGTAACGATGGCGTGAAGACCATGTGCACGCTTTGTGGCTATCTGACCGCTATCTCCCTTCTCATATTTCTTTTCCTACACTCCCTCATACACTCCCTCCAACCCGTTACTCTCCGCATTGTCTTTTGGACCACGGCGATTCAGCCTACGTCTTCCTGCTAGCTCCCAACCAGACACCCTATCGCGACCAAATCTTCCTAGAACGGATCATCGGGGTGGGCGAGAAGGATGGGTTCGTGGTCAACCCCGTGTTCGTGTCGCTCTTCAACATCATGGGCATCTACCCCGCCATCTACGCCTGCCTGCTGGTGCCGGGCGGCCGCAGCGGGAACAAGGTGGGTGCGGGGACCCCGGGAGTTGTGCGAGAGTGGTGGTGGTTGCCTGCTCGCTCCTTCCCTTCTCTCCCCCCCTCGTCACGACGCACGAGGCCATAACCCTAGCCGCCCGAGTCACATGCCCGTGCTTTTCCCACAACCACCTTCCCGCGTCCCGCCCCTTCCCGCGTCACGCCTGCAGGTCCCCGCTTGGCCCTTCATCCTCCTCTCCTTCGGCTTCGGCGCCTTCGCCCTGCTGCCGTACATGGCCCTCTGGCGGCCGTACGAGCGGCCCGAGGCGGACAACCCGCTGCCGCCGCCTGCCTCGGAGCTGCAGGGCTGGCGGCGGCTGTTCATGAAGGGCGCGGAGACGCCGGTGATGCCAGCCATGCTGCTGGCTGGGGCGGGCGCCTACCTACTGCAGGTGGCTGGCTGGTTAAGGGGCGGGTTGGTGGCTGTGGTGGCTGTGGTGGCAGGAGGAGGGTTGCTGTTGGCGGCAGTGTGCGGTTGCCCGTAGCTGCATAGATGCGCGGTTGCCATCAACACTTGCACGGGGTCACGGGAAAGCCTAGTACTCGCTACCTACTTCCTTCTCCTCTTCCGCACCCTCGCCACCACCTTCCTTCGCCGCCTCCTTCCCATTCTCCGTCCTCCAACCTCGCCTCTACCTCGCCCCCCCCCCCGCTCCGCAGTCAGTGTCTCATCATATATATTTTTTACCCCCGCTCCGCTCCCCTCCACCCCCGCTCCCCGCAGGCCGCCAGTGCGGGTGGGGCGGTGTGGCTGGACTACCTGAAGCTCTTCGACGAGAGCCGCCTGGTGCACGTGACCACCCTGGACTTCGGCGCCCTCACCGCTCTGGCGCCCTTTTGGATGGAGCTGGATGCGGCGGGAAGGAAGTGGGAGCGCAGGTGAGGGGAGGGAAACAAAATAAGGAAACTGACGAACTGTATGACGAGGCTTCACCATGGGAGGGGGGGGAGAGAGGGCGGTTGCAGGTTGGCGGTTATGCAGATATGCACGGGAGCTACCGTAGCATGATGAGAACTGCCGTACCGGGTTAGGCTGTTGTAATCCCGCCCATGCCGCTGCCCCTGCCCCTGCCCCTCCGCTTACCCTCCCCTCCAGGAGCCAGCTGTTGCCGCTGTTGTCGCTGCTGCCGGTGCTGGGGCCCTGTGTCTATCTGCTGTTGAGACCCAAGACGCAGCAACCGCAGGAGTAAACGTGGAGGCGAGCTGGCAGGCCGCAGCGCGGCATGCGTGTGCCGTGTTTGACTCTTTGAAATCTTTGTTAGTAAAGACCTGAAGAGAAAAGAAGTGATGCTCACGTGATGCGAGAAGTTACGGTCAGTCGCATCATCGCATACCGCATATCGCATGGGCTGGCGACGACGGCGGATTGAGCGACACTTCCCGCAGTGTGCTTCCAGGGCAACAGGGGGCAAACACTGCAATCTGAACCTCAAATAGTCTTCTTACAAAGGACAGCAGCCCAGTAGGAGATGTGTCGCATGCCGTCAACTGTCGCCCTTCACAGGCCGCCCCATACAATTTGGCATGAAGCCCTACCCGCATACCGGTCCCCTCGTAATCTCCAGCAACAGCGCACACGTGAATCTCCCCTTCGGATTGAAGCCAGACGGGGGGACCCCGCCTCCCTCCTCCTTCGCCGACCTAGCCCCGAGGCACACGTGCCGACACGAACACGGCACGTCAACGCAACATGCAACACGCATTCCTTGGGCACTAGGGCCTTCTGCTAAGCACTCCTTGCGCCGTGCCGAGCCCCCAGCCCCCGGCAGCAGCGCCAGCATCCAGGTTTGCGTTATCCACCCGCCAAGCAGATGTCCGACATGCAAGCAAACCTCCACACCATCTAGGGAGGTGGTGATCATTACTACCTGCTTGCATGGGCGACTTGTGTGCTGCTGCTGCTGCTACGCACTACCCAGGTGCATGCTGGCATGCGCACCCCAAGTTCACAGGTTCCCAGACAGCCCCACTTCACGGAAGGAGAGCCGCCAGCAAAACCACACCAACTCGACCATCAGCAATTCGTGTTCTAACCCCCGCCGCACTTCCTCGTCCAGCAGTATGCTAATAACATCATGTCCAGCGCTCGTAGCGGTCCCACCACTACTCAAGCAGCCCTCCCTTCCTGCCTTCCATCCCCCTTCTACAACCCCCTCCCTGCACCTCCATCCTCCAGTGCTCCCCTCCGCCCCTTCCTAACCCCTCCTCCTCCTTAACCTATTTCCCGTCCGCGCCCTTGCCGTCCTTCGCCGCCTCTACCTCCTTCCCATCCTTCCCCGCCTCCTTGCCATCCTTGTCCTTCTTCGCCGCCTTGTCCTTCTCCTCCGCCTTCTTGGCCGCCTCCCGCTCCGTCCACAGCCGCCCCTCCTTGTTGTCGATCAGCTTGTGCAGCGCCAGGATGGAGCGCACCAGCGAGGCCAGGTAGATGACGTGCATCATGTCATTGGACTTGACTGCGGGGGGGGAGGGGGAGAGAGGGTGGGGATGAGGGAGGAGGGAGGGCAATGTGTACAGGATTACTCGGAACGGGAAGGATTGAGGGACAGGGTAGTTGGAGTTCCGGGCCATTGCCCCTGGCGTGCTCCTGCCTTCCCCAAGACCTCACTTGCGGTTCCCGCTGTAACGGATTGGGTTGGATTCCCTAAGACCCGGAAGCCCTCAGCCACCAGCCCACCCCCCACCTGCCAGCGACTTGGACAGCGACTCCACGTTCATGTTGGGCAGCAGGTTAAAGATCTCCTGCGGGGGGGAGGGGGTAAGGAGAAAACAACTAACTGACCGGGGGTGGGGGTGGTGGGTTTGAAGTGTCGGCGTGCGGTGTGGTGTGCCGTGCGGTGGAGTGTGTGCGGCAGCGAGCGCGGGCCCCTCTCCCTCCCCCCTGCAGCCCCCCTCGCTCCAACTACCCCGCCCCACCTGCGCTCACTGCATGAGTCGGTATTGGGTAATGGGACCCCGTTGCTTCGCTTTCCAACTATCTCTCCCCCCCCCGCCCACCCCACCTGCACGTAGTTGATGATATCGTGGTTGACGGGCAGTCGCCCCGACAGCACCAGGCCCAGGTACTCGGAGATCTCAGCCAGCCGGGACTGCAAGCGGGAGGGGGAGGGGAGGGGAGGGGGCGGTAGTGGTGAGGATGCGGGTGGGCAGGTGGGTGGGCCATGAACGCATGGTGGTGGATTGGTGGTGGGGTGAGCGCCGCCGCGGTGACATCGTGGAACCAACTAGCCGGCGGCGTGAAGGGAGCCGTCGCAGGTGATAACTGCATGCATGCATGCATGACAGCTCGCTCACCTCAGTTTCCTTATTCTTACCCCCTGCCCTCCCGGCCCCGCCCCACCCCCACCTGCAGTCCTTTGAGCGCCATGAGCTTGGAGGCCACATCGCCCGCCAGCGAGGACAGCGTGGCGTCCTTCACGTCGCGCAGCAGGTGCTCCACACCTGGGGGCGGGTCAAAGAAATACCAGACCACATGCGGTCACACATGAGGGCAAAAAACAATACGGGGAGGACGGGGATGGACGGGGGGGTCAGGGAGAAGGACAGCGCCGCAGGGGCCCGTCGGCTGCTTGCTCGATGCGAAGGGCGTGACGCCCTTCCGGCGGCTCCCAAGCGCCCCGGTGTGTGCTTCGCACGTGACAACCGCACAGTCCACTCGGACTCGCGACCAGTTTCGCTAGCACACACAACACACATGGCGCGCTCTGCTGCTTACCGATCTCCTCCGCCTCCGTCTGCCCCACCTCCGTGGGCAGGCTGTTGAACACCTGCGCGGGGCGTGCGGCAGTGGAGCAGTGGGTCAGAAGGACGGCTGGGAGTTAAGGCGGGCGGCACTGCTGGCAGCGCAGCGGGGCGGAGGTACCTGGCAGAAGGCATGCGTGCGAAGGCAGTGTCTGCTGCCCCAAAATATGAGGAGTTGACAAGGCATCAGCCCCTCTCCACGCTCTCCCGCAAGCAAGCAGGCAGGCAGACGTACATGCTTCCTGTGCAACCTCCTTCGCACGTATCGCACCGCACACCCCACGTCACGGCCCACACAACTGCGGACCCACGGGGCGGGCTCGGGATCAACTGCCGCCGCTGCGCCCTCACCACCCTGCAGCCCGGGGTAGGGCTCCGCCCCCCAACCGCCCGCAACTCAGCCGTCCATACCCGTCAGCGGCCACCACCCGTACCCAACCCCAGGACCAGGACCGCTAGAGGTCAACTCCCAAGGTATCCCACAACACGCCACTCAAGCGCCTCCCAGCCCCCACCAGGACCGCACCTCCCGTCGGCTCCTCCCACCTCCCCCTCGGAGCGCCCCCTTATCCCCACCAACCCCCTCACCCTCGCCCCCACCCCCACCTTCTTGGCCTTCTCGGTGCCGTCGGTGCGCACCTCGTCCACCGAGTAGTAGGCGGTGAAGGGCAGCCCCACCTCCTTGGGCTGGGGGGCGGAGGGGGGGCGGCAGGGAAGGGGAGGGCGGGCAGAGGCGGGGAGTCCGGTGGTGGTGGTGCAGGGCAACAAGAAAGGCTCGGCCGTGCACCGCAACGCCGCCCCTTCATTACCCCTCATCACTCCGCCCATACCAGTATCAAGCCCCTCCCTCAAGCCTATATAATGGGTGGCAGTGCGATAGCTGTTGGACGTGTCCTTCTTTGTGGCACAGCCCCTAAGCCCATGGCAGTGGAGTGAGAGCCCTCACCTGGACCTCGCAAATCACCAACACCGGGTGGTCGCAGAACTGGCGTATGAGCTCGTTAATGTCAAGGTCCGCCTCACGCAGCTTTGGCCCGGTGCTGTACCAACCCACGATTTTCTCCCGGGCTGCGGCAACATGCGGGGTTTGTCAGCGCGAGGACATAACGATCACATACTCTGCCCAGGTGTGCAGCGCGGTAAACTCACCGTTGACTTTCTTGAACATTTTGTACATCTGCTCTAGGTAGGAGTGGTCTAGGAACCAAATGGTGGGGTCATGCTCATCCTCCTCGAAAGGCAGCGCAAAGCTGTTTGTAACATCTACTGTGCCCTTGTAGAGCTCTCCAAGCAACACACCGACGACGCGCTTCTTTGTGTCCTTCGCCACCCGGTTGTAATGATCCACGACGGATAGCAACACTAGCGGGTGCAGCACAACCTTTTCTGGCCCTGCCGGCATGTTGGCCACCCACTCGTTTGAAATCTAGTAAGGTGTAGCCGGTTTGAGGGCCCAAAGTATAACGGTTATATTGAATGTGGTGCAGATCTGGCAAGGCGCCTTTAAAAAAGCTTAATTCACTACTGATTCGTAAAGAAATTGTTACAGGACCAGTAATGAGTTTTAGTATTACGCCTCTTGATCACAGGAAAAGAGTATGGTTTCGCGTAATACCTCCACTGGCATCGGGCAACTGGGCACAATGCAGTCATGCACCGCCTTCCAGTTCCACTCCACCATATGTCATTGCCAATGAGATGCTTATAATCAATGCTGCAAGGGAATGCCGGAAGGGAAAACAGATCAATGAGGGACTGCTCCCATGGGTCAGTCTAAGCAGGCATGTCCCAACACATACTACAGCATTCCCCTGCCTTACCCGTAAAGCAACAACAACACCTTCGTAATGCGCTAGTTGATGCCCGCGGCTGTTGAGAAACCCTGTCAGAGGACACTGGGCAGGAATGGATGGCAGTCTAAGGGCGGGGTCGTAAGGGTAAGCACAATACCTACAATACGGATTTTCCCGTCATCGTCTCCGCAACGCATGCGCCTACGAGGCCTAAGAAAGGCTGGGCGCTGCGCGACTTGAACGGAGGCTCTAAGGCTTACCACTTACCGGACGCCGCTTAAGGCCTCTCGTAAAGGCCAAAGGCACAGGTACGCACAGGCCGAATCCGATCATGGAGCAAATGGCACAGACTGCACAATCGGTATCTTCCTTGAAGCCTTGCAGGGCAAGGGCATGTGTCCGTAAGGTGCGTACTCCTTGTTCTGGCTGGCCCTAGCGTACGGACAAAAGCATTGGACCCGAATACATATCAAAGGTATCCCTATCTATACAAAGTTACACGTGTCTTCTGCCAACGCCCTTGGCCACGCTTATGGGTTGGTTGGAGTTGCCTTCAGTTGCTGCCAGTTGCAGGGTTTCGGACATATGATAGGGGTTCGTGCCAATAAAGACGCAGACGCATCTGGCCGGTGCAGTATCCACTTCCTACTAAGTAAGAAGCGTGTAGGTGAAAAGTTAATGGGGAAGTGTCGGAAGTCTGGATTTCCGACTGCAGCAACGGAGCCGGACATTATGGCCGGTTGTGGTTGACTGAGCCAGAAGCCACAAACGCGACCAGACCGGTTCTAGGACGTCTGCCTAACGTTGCAAGCTAATTTTAAGCTCGCAGTAGCTCTTGGTAGCATTGGCTGTTAGTGGTATGCCGTACACGGCTTTCCAAAACGCTTCCCCTCCTCTTGTGTTATTCTATAGTATGAGAGACTGCTTAGCTATCTTTGCCACTATGGGTACCTAGTTTCGCGTTACGCAGGCGACGCCTCTTGACCATCGACTAAGTCCTTATGTTTATTATCCAGACATACAACCAAAGGATGTATACTACTTACTCTTAACATTTTAGGCCCCATGCCAAGGGCCTCGGTGCCCACGAATGGGCGCCCAGGCGTCAGCTATACTATCATCTAGACCTACGTGACGCCTTCTCTAGCTAGATAGCAGCAAAGTAATGGAGCGGCAAAGCAGCATTGGCAGTCAAGGGAGTGGCAAGTCCAGCGCCACGAAGTAGGCCGCCTGCACCGGAAGTTTGCGGAGGAGGGACTAGATTCTTACCACCCGCCGTTTGCATAACCAGGATTGTTCGGGACGCTCAGAAGCATGGAGACTCTGTGGAGAGTCAAAATGTGAACAATGGGTTCACTACGGCACTCTTCGGGGTAAGGGCCTTAAAATTGGACACCCAATGGGTAGCGGACTCAAGTTCGTAGGCGCCCGGGAGCTATAGCTAACCCTTTGTAAATCCTAAGACGGCTGTCAAGAAGGCCAGGGGATCTGTGCTGAAAACCCTCGGCGTGACATGCCATTCCCCGCGCTATGCTCAGGTGCTGTTCACCCTCGCAAAGGAGAAATACAGCGACAGTTGGAAAGTCGCGGTGCTGACTGTCGTGGTGGACTTCTTCCTGATCCTTGCCATCATGCTCAACCTTGAATACCCATGGGCGGTAAACCCGCACAATCCGTAAGTCTCCCCTCCTCCCTTATCCGTCTCTTCAGCGTTGACTAAGCCCGGACAAAATGCCCTGCAGACTCTTCCGCTTCTTCTACATGCTGGAAATCCACAAACCCCTGTCAGCAGCGGGATACAAGTTCTACATGATTGTGTTTTACCTGCTGTCAGGCATGCTTTTCCTCTCCGTTGCCATCTGCGTCTGGGTCGCATGGTGCTTCAAGAACGACTCCTTTCCTTTCCTCTGGCCAATTAAGTTCGTTCGCGTCGTAGTCAGCCTGTTCTTCGGGATGCTCTACATCGCAGCACTTAACATCTTCCTGGTCATTATCGAGTGCGCCCCCTCACACGGGGTCTGGGTGCAGCACATATGGCACGTCGGTAAGCGGTGTTGGGGTCAGATCTTGTCCAAACGGTACCGTTACGACCAGGCGCGTCTCACGTCCGTCACTCTAGCCTGTATTCCCTCGTTACTTCAGCCTCTCAACCTGCTTGTTTCCACTCCGCCCCCCCCGTACCCGTGTGTCCCGTACCCACCCGCCTCCGCCCACAGAATGCCTTGCCATGCCCCACATGGTTCACGTGGTAGTCTCCTTCCTCAGTTCCATCACCTTTGCGGTAGCGGCGCTGCTGCTGGTAAGCTCTTGCGGGAGGACGAGCTGGCGGGCGGGACGCACGCACTTGGGTTGTGGCGTGTGGGTGGGCAGCAAGCCGGCGCAGTGGGCATGGGACCAGGGCCCGGCCTTCGGCCAGGTTTAAGGGGCCGGTGCTATCAGCCGGCTGGCTCTGCAGAGACTGGGCCTAGGGTGCAGTAGATAGAGGGCGGACGGGATGGCAAGCCTGGCGACCATCACCCCGCGCTTGCTTGGCGATGGGGCTGGTGCACGCTCAGCGCTGCAGGCTGGCGCCTCACACCGGGCTGTGCAACTAGGATTGGGCGCCGGGGGTGGGGCCCCGGTTGCATGCAATGCCAGGACTGTCGGGAGTATCCTGGGCGGTTGCGCGCACGGGGTAGTACGCGTTAGTGGTAGGACGACCGAGCGACTGCCTGTGAAAGGTGCAGCAGAAGCAGCTGAAAGCGGGATGAGCTGGCTTCAGGGGAAGCCATGTCGCGTCCTACGTGAGCGTATCCGCCGCAGTGTGTCCGGCATGCATGTCCCTGCACACATGCACACGCGTCACCTCGTTCATCCGCGCGAGCTGGTCCCCCCGTGTGCTCCGCACCGCGCCCGCAGGTGTTGGCCGACCACGAGCTGCACCCCATGTCTCGCAGCCTGCTTGCCGCGCCGCACAGCATGGTGGAGCTGAAGGCGCAGCTGGCCAAGACGGTGATCACGGTGGTGGATATCTTGCTGTGGTCCTACCCCAAGGTGCAGGGCGTGGTGTTTGCGCTCTGCACCGTGGCTTCCTTCTACTACCACATGAAACAGGTGGGTGGTGGGAGGGTTCGGGGGGCGGGCTGGAGGGGTGGGGAAAGGGGAGAAGGTGGGATGGGGGCCATCATGGATATGAGCTGGATGTGGGTTGGGGGAGCAGAAGGAAGGTTTTCAAGTGCTGGGTGGGAGGGACTGATAGCCTTGTTTAAACAGTCACCTCCCCAGCCAGATTTGACGGAGCACCACGCCTCCCGCATTTCCTTTCTCCCCCCCTGCCCCGCCCCCCCTGACAGCTGCCGTACTACACGTACTGGATGAACAGCTTCCGGCTGTGCTTCCTTGCGGTGCATGCGTGGGTGGCGGTGCACCTGTGCGTGCTGGTGTTCGCCGTGAAAGCGCACATCGTCAAGAAGGGCGGCATGGGCTTCATCGAATGGGAGGTGGAGAACTACGAAACGGCGAAAGCCATCACGGATGTAGGTGGGGGGAGACGGGCGAGCATGCCATGCTTTGGCTTATGGGGCGCCGGCGCATATTAGGGGTTTAAAGACTGGTGTTAAGAATCTGGGGATGTTAAAAATCCACCCGTGTGCCTAGACTCGTGTATGACTTGTCCTGCTCGGGCGGCTATAACAGCTAGGGGGCCGAGGTGTGCGTCATTGCCCGATGCCTTGCGGGGGTTGCGGCTCCTGCTTGCACTGCGGCCACACGCGTGCCGCGTTTGGGCGCCCTGCGTGGCCCTAAGCTGACCCGTATATGGCCTCACGGGCCTGCCTTCCCTGCCTGTGCAGTCGATGGCTTACGGCGTTGCCATCGTGTTTTGCGGAGCGGGTCTTGCGGCGGCCGTGAGGCTGTACTACTTCTTCCGGGTGGCACTCAAGTTCCAGGTGGGTAGCGGAGCAGCACCGCATCGGGGTGCTGGTGGTAAAGATAAAGAAATTGACGAGCCAACTAACGAGCTGTATGACAAGCCTTCACCATGGGGTGCAAACTTGGTAGCCATGGGGTGCTGGGGGTGGCGGGGACGGGAGTGTAGGAACAACGGGAACAGCCGGGGCCGGTACATGGCTACACCAGGGCTGCGGCACATGCGAGCCTTAGGGGATGGGGGAGAACTAAACGGAAATGAAAAGCTGTGGCAATGGGGAGGCTAATCGCATGTGCCGCCACTCCTACGCTACTCCTATACTCCCACAACACTAGCGTCATACCTCCCCTCCCCTGTGCCCTCCCCTGCCACCGCCTGTCGATGCCCACAGCGCCTGCAGCAGCAGCCCACCCTCTACTCGAAGCGCGTGCACCGCTTCGCTGACGAGAAGGACGTGGAGATCTGCAGCCGCATCGCGCGCGTGTGGGACGAGGACGGCGTGCTGGACCAGCAGTGCCTGGACCTGGCGGAAACCATCTTGCGTGCGGGCATACAGCAGTTCCCAAAGTAAGCACGGACAAGCCGCAGTTAGTAGGACGGGGCATACAGTGGGTAACGGTGGTTGCATGGGACCATGTAAAGGGCCGGGGTGCATAGGGGCTATAGCACTGAAGGGCCGGGCGATAGGCGCCGGATGGTGACCTTGTGGGCGTGGTTTTGAAGTGGTTTTGAAGTTTGAACATCCCCTTCGCACCCTTTGTATCCGTCTACGACATCTACACCGCTGTTTGGGCATTCATCGATGAGCGCAGCACAGCGGCCATGGCTTTGCTTTACTTTTTCCTTCCTCTCCTCCCGCACCCGCCGTAGGTCGCCCTTCCTGCACATCATGTACGCCAACCTGCTCATCGAGTGCCGCCAGCAGCTGCAGGTGCGCCGGGGGCTCCCGCCTCAGCAACCGAAGCAGCCTCCCCGTCCCGCACTTGTGTTGCATGTTGCACCCCTTACCGTACTTGTACGCACGTGCTGCCGTAGCCTTTGCCTGGTTCTTAGCTTGCCGCTTCCGCGCATCGATCGTGCCTTGCCCCCTTTGCCAAGATATACCTGTGTCCCTCCCCTACCGCAGAGCGGCTGGGCGCAACTTGAGGAGGCTCGGCGCATGCCGCTGAACCTGTCGTATCGCTTCTCCATCTTCACTCGGGAGCAGGAGCACAAGCAGAAGGCGGCGGTCAGCAGCAGCGGCGAGAGCGCGGCGGACCTGGTGTCGTATGTGGAGTTCCAACGCAACTACCGGTGAGAGGGGCGATGGCAGGCGGGGTGCAGAGGCTGAAGGGACACGGTCTAAAGCTGGCACGGCTGCGCGGGGTTCGATTTGGGTTATAGGTGACGCGGACCGCTGTGGTGGTTTACGTGGATTTGCCGTACTCTCACAAGACCTTGTCCATGCCATCTTTCCCATCTCTCCCATTCCTCCCTTCTCTCGCCACCCTCGTGCTCCCCACGTACCCAGGCTGATCCAATCCTACCACAAGGCGGCGCTGGTGGCCATGCGGGAGTTCTGGCGGTTGCTGCTGAACGACGCCGTGAAGCTCAACTCGCTGACGTCGGCCTTCCGCAAGATCGAGCAGATGGAGAAGCTGGCGGACAAGACGTACAAGGTGGTGCTGGAGAGGTATCCCAAGGTACGGCACGGCGCGCTTGGGATTACGGGGTAGCGAAACCAATAACCTAAAACCACAAGTGAGGGGCGTACATGCTGACCACACCATGCGTGTACAAACGCATTCCTTGTGACCTTGTGCCTCTTGTTGACCCGCCCGACACCCCCCCCGGCCGTGCTGCTGCCGCTGCAGGCCGTCAAGCTGCTCCGCAGCTACGCCAACTTCCTGGAGACGGTCAAGAACGACCCTTGGACTGCCGCACAGTTCTACAGGTGAGGGCTCTCGGGACTCCAGCCAGCAAAACTTGAACCTCCTCCGAAGCGCTGAAGGGCTCGTTCTTGTGGCCTTGCTTGGTGCTTGGTTAATTGGAATCCCGGTCCTTTCCTACCCAAACGGCTCCATTCCGTCCCACCTGTGCCTCCCGTCCCCGACCCCGTAGTGAGGCCGAGAAGCAGGAGGAGGCGCTGGAGAATGCGGAGCACGACATGACGGGGGAGGAGGGGCTGAACATGCGCAATTCCGCAATCGTCACAATTAACGCCATGGTAGGATCGATCTGGTGTTGTAGCTATCGAGAGTGCTGGTATGCTGCTGTTGGGAAACTCTTGGCTTCCTATCTCTCCTTGGCCTGTTTTGTTTGCAACCTTTGCGTATGTGACCGTGCGCCGGCCCAGCGTCCGTGCAAAGGCTTCCGTACAATGTCGCTGCTGTATCCCAGCTGCACTGCTTGTCGGCTGCCCCCTCTTTCCGCAGGGAATCATCCAAATGGCCAACAAGCACGCAATCAAAATGTTGGGGTACGCCAAGGGCGAGCTCGAGGGCAAGAACGTGTCTTGCCTGATGCCGCAGCCCTTCTCCTCGCGCCACAACAGCTACATGCGGAACTACGTGACCACCGGTGGGTATCCGGGTTTCTTGGTTTCGCGTCAAGGCCCGCGCTTGCATGTTTCGCCCCATGTTTAGAAGACCCCATCCTGGGTGCTTACCTGCCCTACCTTGCCTCCCTGACCCGCTCCTTGCGTCGCTCTGGTGCTGCTGCATGCTGCTGCTTCATGCATGCAGGCAAGGCCAAGATCCTGGACTCGCTGCGTGAGGTGGTGGCGCTGCACCGCGACCGCTATGTCTTCCCCATCAAGATCATGGTGACCAAGACGCAGGGCACTGGCGCGGACGCGGTCTTCATGGGGCTGCTGAAGGTACGACAACAAGGGGGCTCTGCACTGCTGCGGTACCGGGTTGAGAGGATTGCGAATAGTACGGCGGATGAGTATCATAGGACGTTTTCGACGGTTGCATGTAGCCGCTTGTTACATGCGTGCGCTAGTGAAAATGACTAAAAGCCTGCAACAATTAATGACTTGTGTCATCGATTTCGTCGTATGCTTCGGCTGCCTGCATACCGTGCTTCTCCTCCTCCTCCTCGTGCGTCGTCCGTAGGAAGTGGAGTCGGACCCTCACCAAATCAAGGCATGGGTGATGACCACGGGCGTGACGCTGTGTGCTGACGCCTCCTTCACCGACTGTGCGGGCTGGGCGCCCAACGACCTCATCGGAAAGCCCTTTGTCTCGATCGCCGCGGATCCTGACTTTGTCACAACGTAAGCGGATGCTTAATGGATATCACTTTACATCTCTTTGCTGACAGCTTATGCTGGGGAGAGTGGCCGATGTGCCATGTACCTGTGCTCCGTACGCAACTACCATGCGTCCTGCTAGCTGTTAGCCCTGGGGTAGACGTTCCAGGCGTTCACACCGCTTTCAAATTGATACGTTGCGGCTACGACAGTGCACGTGGCTGGGTCACTGCCATATCTTGCCGTGCGTTATTCAACGGTGGCCCTTTGTGCCCCGCTTCGCAGGCTACTGGACCATGCGATCCACAGCACAGAGGAGGAACTGGCAGAGGGAATCAGGGTAGGCGGGTGGCTGAGTTGGGGGCTCGGAAAAGGAGACGGTGGGCGCGGTGGGATTTGTTGTGGGGTTGTGCCATGCACAAAGCGTGGAGGGCTCTGCACGCAGCGTACGGCGTTGAGCACGCCCTGTTCCTAGCTTGCTACCACCTTTCGCCGAAATCCTTAGGTTTACAACTTACCTACGCCGCACCTCACAGGCCGACGTCTTGCTGACGCACAAGTATGCGGAGGACGTGCCCGTCTCATTGAAGATCGACATGGGAGGTACGTACCGGCACCCGGCCTGGCGCTTTGCTGTCCCTGTTCTCACGAGCTCACCCCTTGTCTCCCTGGGCTCCCTTCTCGCTCCCCTGCAGGTACCGCCGACCAGCGCCTGCTAGTCCTGACCATGACCCGCCGCGGGGAGGTCGTCCCCACCATGGTGTTCGACCACCACGGCCGCGTGCTGTTCGCCAACCAGGCGCTCTGCAGCCTGCTGGGCACCAAGCCCAAAGACATGCGAGGGCGCGACATTGCCACGCTGATGCCGCAGCCCTTTGGCTTCCTGCACCACCGCTGGATCAAGGAGGCGGAGGCGTCGGTGGCCCGCGCGCCGCCCTCCAGCTGTCGGGCGGGTGCGGTGCACAGCCTGGTGTCCTCCAACGGCGTGCATGTGCCGGTGCGCCTTTCGATCACGTCGCGGGAGATTAGCGGCGCGCATGTGTAAGTCGACGGCCCGTGCGAGCGCGCCGGAGGAGGCGTGGGGTGATGGTCAGGCGGTGACTTGTGCGTAACCCACCGGTATTCCCATGCTTTGGCACCTGGTCATTCCTCCCATCATGCCTACATCACCCCTACCACCACCCACCCATGATGGCTCAATGCACCCGTCCAAACCCTCTCCCCCTATGGCTCCCTCCCTTCTCTTCCTTCCGCAGCAACATTGTTCGCGCCACCCGCATCTCCAGCGAGGAGCACCTGGACGAGCAGCGGCTCAACATCACCACCGACCAGCACGGACACATCATCAGCGTCAGCGCCGCGCACCACCATGGACCCCACGCCAGCACCAGCGGCCTGCCGCCGGCGCTGGCGGCGGCGGAGCAGGCGGCGTCGCGGCCGCAGACGTTTGGCTTTCCTGCGGAGAACCTGATGGGGCGGAAGCTGTACGAGACGGTGGACATTTTCCAGGAGTGGCATGCGCAGGGTGGGTAGAGAATCTAGAGATAGCTGGCCGCAAAGCAGTTAGGGCGTTAGAGATTGGAGAGAGTACGAGTAGGAGGAGCAGGGTGTACTCACGGGTCTGGGTGCGGTGTGAGTGGGTGTGGGTATGTGGGGCTCTGGTTGCGGACCGGAGAATTGAGGAGGTGAATCACCTCGGGCTCGAGTCCTCATGCCGGGGTCATCGTTGGCTTGTTCTGTCCCCGCAGGCCACAGCGTCATGCACGCGGTGAAGGCGCTTGCGCAGCACTCCTCCGCCCGGCCGGGGTCCGCGTGGCGTGTGGGGGTGCTGGTGCAGCACATGTCGATGGAGACGGAGCGCGTCGCCAAGGGCGAGGGGGAGCCGCAAGGTAGGCCGAAGCAGCCGTACATTGAGAAGTCGGGTAGAGAGAAATGTTTACTACCAACCTTCCGGGAAGGCATTCGCCCTTGCCTGCTCCTTTCTGCCTCCGAAACTTTGCACTCCACTCCTCTACCGAGGGCCGTTTGCAGAGGCCGTAGCCTGCCTTACCCTGGCCTCCTAAGCCTGCCCCTCAACCTGCCCCTCCTGTACATGCCTTCTGCAGCCTCGGAAGCGCCGTCTCGGGAGCCGACAGGGACGCTCTCCCTACAGGCCAGTCGGGGCCAACTGCTGAAGCGCAGCAACACGTTTGCCCGCTCCTCCATGACCAAGTGGCGTGCTGCCATCATGCAGGTCATGGGGCCCGAGGTAAGGGAGAAGGAAAGAAAGAAGGCTTTCATGCGAGCGATAGCATATGTACTGTTCTTTGGCCAAGCACGCGCCCATGTGCCTCATCCCTCCTCTTTCCTGGCATTCTCCATGGCCTCATGCACATACCACACGCATGCGACTGCGGCTCCCTCAGCAATCACCTTTGCCGCCTCTGCCTCCTCCGCCCTGCCCCACACGGCGCCCTGCAGCACACCGCGGGTGGCACGCACTACACCATCAAGCTGTGGCGGCCGGAGCTGCTGAGCGGTGTCATGGAGCTGAACGAGCGGATGAACGTGGTCAAGGCGGACACGGCAGCGGGTGAGTGCCGGTAGCTCACGCGGCGTCGCCGCTTTGGGAACCGGTAGCGGTAGCGATACCTCACCTCTGTAGTCCTTTGTCAGCCGCAGAGCCGCAGGCACCGAGCGGTTGGAACGACCACTACGGTTACCTCCCACCTGCTAGCTGGTTACAATTTTTCTTTAGTTACTGTCGGGTTTACAGACAGTACTGCCCGGTGTCCTCAGCAGCTTAAGCTACCAGTACTCAAAATGCAGCTTCATGTCAGATACCTTACGGCTCCGCTCCTGCCGCCCTCTTACCTGCCTGCACCCTTCCAGGCCTTATCTTTGGTGTGCCTGCCAACGTGATGGCTCAGCAGCACCTGTCACGCTTCCTGAAGCTGGGCGGCGCGCAGGAGGACGGCGGCGGCGGTGCTGGCGGGCCGAGGTCGCGTTCCCGCAGCGCTGACGGTGGTCAGACGGCGCTCATCAGCATGGAGTCCCTGTTGGGCAACAAGAGTGAGTGCGGTGGTCTAGGAAGGGGGCTGCTTGCGGTCTTCTTGGCATGTATGTGTGCGGAAGAGGCGTTGCGAGGTGAAAGCCCCCTTTTGGTGTTGTTGCCGCTACCTTCCATCAACCGGCTGCCTAGCTACGTTGTAGGTCTTGTAATGCTTTCAATGATTCCAACGTACATGGTTCTTACGCGTGTTGCTGGCTGCACCTCGCCGCTTGCAGACGTCAAGGGCGGCATGAAGGCCAAGAGCAACGCGCACAAGACGGGGCCACGGCGGATCTTTGAGGCTCGACATGCGGACGGCATGCCGCTCCAGATATCCTTCCAGGTGCGCTCGGCATCCATGCTGCGGCACCATGCGCCCAGCCATACATACGCACACGTTGGCACACTTGGTCGTTAGTTAGCTTATTACGTGCACGATTGCGTAATGTACCGGTACTTGCATGCCACCTTGCCTTTGACCTTGATGTGCATACACGCACCCATGGGTGCCCCCATTTTCACTGCCCCAACTTCATCCTCTCCACCCGCTTTCTTCCCGCCGCAGGTCGCCCTCAAAAACGGCACCAGCAACACCCGCCTCATGGCGGCCATCAAGCCCCTCAACATGATCAAGGGCAACGTGGCCGTGCTGTACGCCGCCTTGCGAGGAGAGGACCTGGACCACTTCACAGCTGACATGGACAACGGCACGGCCTCCTACTACCGCAGCCGCACGCTCACGCTCAGCGTCGCCAAGGAGCCGCATGCAGCCTCGGCCAAGGAGCAGCCTCCCTCCCACTCCGTGTCCGGGGTAAGCCGATTGCGCTCCCAGAACAGCGGTGTGCTGCAGCGCGGGGGCTCCTCGGTGCACCGGGCGCATACCCCGGTGGCGGGCGTGAAACTGGGCTTGGACAAGCACTCGCCCGGGCTGGATGGGTCTCCATCGGCGCTGTCAGCGGTTGCGGCGGGCACAGCTCCGGGGTTGGCGTCTGCAGGCACGCTGAATAGCGGCAATGGACGAGGTGACTCGGCGGGCCTTGCTGCCAGTGATGAGGCGGTGACGACAGGCCATGTGAAGGTGGAACTGGTGGACGGCCAGCCCGAAGACAAAGCACTGGGTAAGTCGAGGATAAGGACTGGGAAACATGGGAACTGCCAAGCACAGGCGAGGCAAGGTGAAGCTTATCTTAGCACCGCTCTGGTAGGGGCTGTGTGTCGCTCGGTGTGTACCGCCACCTTGCCGTTGGACCCCCTACCATTTCCTCCGTACTGCTAACGCCATGTGACGTCACCGCACCGTCGCACACACCCATGCACCGTGCAGACGACCAAGGCGCGGATGCATCGCTCCTCATCACAGCTGCGACAGCACCCACCACCGACCCCCTCGCCACCAACCCATCAGACAACAGTAACATGCTGGCAACGGCCCGCGACGTGGACCTGGTCATCGCACTGGCGCCGGCGCCTGAGAAACCCGAAGCAACTGCTGCAGAACCACCAGGAGCCGAGGGCGACGCCGCCACTGACGAGAAGAACGCCGGGGTGCGTGTCACAAGCCGGCAGCCCTCTCAGCGGTTGAAATCCCCGCCGCCTCCGCTGCAAAACCTGCACAACTCGAGCAGTCTGTCGGGCTCTGGCAGCGGCGCCAACCGGCCGCCCATCAGTGACGACAGCGCCATGATTCGGCCGCGCCACCATGAGGCGCTGCCCAAGGAGCGGCACCTCTCCCGGCGCTTTGTGACGCGGGAGTGGCAGGAGGTGGAGCATGTGGACCCAGATCAGGTGAGCGCCCTCAGCTGGGCTCGTGTTGACCTTCCTCTCTCCCTCTCCCTCCCCTGCTGCGGTGTCGCTTGGGAACCGTGTAATGCACGCTTGCAGCATAATACCGAAACGCCTGTGTATGCGTTCCCCGTACACATATTCACCCTGAATCTTGGTAGTCCTGCTTTGGACCCTGCATGAAGCGTACCGGCATATTCCTTCCTGCCACCGCAGGTGCCCATTCCGCATGACATTGACTACGACATCGAGCACCACGTGGGGGATGAGAAGGACATGGCGGTGTCTAGCAGCTCCTCCAGCCACGAAGATGACGATGGCCCGGAGGCAGACGCAGACAAGCACGTGGGCAAGAACACGGAGGGCGCAGCGGACAAGGTGTGGGTGGCGACGGTTGTCTCCAGCCTGGTGTTTAGGTTTGGACTTTCGTGTCAGCTGCCGCATGGGAAGACGCGAGGTGCTGCGCGTGCGAGAGGCTGCCTAGGCCTATGTGGACTTTTATATGCAGTGAAGCGCCATGCTATGCTGTGCGTAAACCCCACAGGGGTGATGTTAATATATATAGACATGGTCTGGCAGCTAGCTTGGCGTTCCCGTTGCGCCGCTGCTCTCCTTTCTTAGGCCCCCTTTGGACCTGCTTGGGCTGTAGGACCCCACGGTGTCTTTTTCTCTTGCCGCAACCCAACCCCGCGCAGATGACGCGCGAGGAGGCCTTGCAGCGCAAGCGGACTATGGCAGCGATGGAGCCGGGCGAGCGAGCGCAGTACGTGCGCGGCGTGCGACGTGTCAAGGAGTGGCTGGCATCAGGCTACTGCTTCGACCGGCGTGACGTAAGCGCAACGGGCAATCGAGGGCAAAGCAGGGTGGAATGTGTGGCGTTGAGGTCAGGAAACGAAGCGGTGACGGAGATCCTTGCAGGCCCTTTTACCTGTGGACCGTAAGCAATCGCAGTCGCTCGGTAATCTCTTCCCTTTACTCCTCGTGATGTGGGTGTTTGCCGCGCCTTTGCTGAAGCCCCCTCCCTGACTGACCCTACTTTGCATTTGTCCATGTGCAGGCGGAGCCCTTCGATCCGCCCGCCTTGCTCTCCAAGAGTCCGCCGCCGCTCAACAACGCAGAGGCATGGCACAGCGGCCGGCAACTGTCGCGAGTCATGGAGGAGGAGGGGCCGCCAGCGAAGACGCACGGTAGCTTCAAGAACCATGGTGGGAGCTTCCGTGGAGGGGCACACGGCGGGGTGCATGGGGGCGTGCACGGAGGGACGCATGGGAGCGTGCACGGAGGGACCCATGGGTCATCTGGCGGCGCCGCGCATCGGGGCGCTGAGCTTAACCCGGACGATCAGCTGATTACTCTGGACGAGCTGGCGGCGGAGGTGGAGAACCACGGCGACGACGACGAAGATGAGGGCGAGGCCGAGGAGGAGCAGCTGGAGGAGGAGAACCTGGAGAACGGCAGTGGCGGCGGCAGGGGCGACGGAGGAGATGGGGAGCACAAGGGCCACCACCATCACCACAAGGGCGATGGCCCGGATAGCAGCGGCATGAGTCGCGGACGCCGGCTGAGGCGCCTGCTGAAGATGTTATCCGGACAAAAGGTTGGTTCATGGCTAGTTCCGGAGAAAGGAACAGGGGCCACAGAGTTCTATGAAACAGTCCCTGTTACAGTCCCTGTTTACGTCCTGCGCCTTGCACGGGTTCATTGCCGGTAGTTAGAACAGCTTCCAGGGCCGTCCTCTCACCCCACTCTCGGCCGCCGCCTCTGCCATGCAGGTCAACGTCACGAGGTTGCGCGTGCAGGTGCTGGTGGTGGTCGCCGCCATCCTGCTGGTGCACACCATCTGCTTCATGACGGTCATCATCTACATCAACAAGCAGAAGCAGTTCATAACAGAGATCAGCGCAGCAGGTGGGGGCGGTAGAGGGGCAGGCAGAGGCTAGGTGGTCTGGTCCCTCGTACCTGGCAAGGCCAACGAATTCGCACCGTGATGCGACCGCACGGTTGGCAATTACCGTATCCGAGTCGCTAACGCTCTCCATCCCATCCCGCTGCAACTCCCAGGCGAGGCCATTGACCGCTCGCACTTCACCGCCATGTACTCTCGGGCCATCGAGGCTGCGACGCGCTACGCGGGGTTCACTTCGGATGACATCCCGGCGCTGGCGGATCGGCTGACCACCGACATTGACCGACTGGAGTATCTACACCAGGTGGGGGGTGTTGGGTGGGGCTGGCTTGCTGCTACCGGCACCTGCAAGGGGTGGGTGCTGCTGGGGGATCGCTGGAGGCCAATCCAGTAGTGATGTGATAGTAAGCCGGCTGCCTGCGGCTGGCCGGCTGCCCTTCACCGGTAGATGTGCTGCCGTCACCCCAATGTCCCTCTGCATGCCACTTTCTTTCTCAGCCGTATCATGCTAATGCCTCCTGCTTGCTGCTTTCCTGCTGTTCCTGGAACCCCTCCCCAGGGCCTCTACCTCGGATTCAGCGGCCTGCGGAGACCCAGCGACAAGCAACTGAGCGACTTGTGGAATCTGCAGCAGTGGTGAGAGCGGCCGCCAAGCCGGCGACGAGGCCCTGCAAGCCACCCGTGTAATAACGCACCTCTTATCCTCATCCTTTTCATGCATCCGCCCTGCCCTCGTTCCCCTTATGATGCTTTCGCGCCTGTCCGATCTCGCCCCTCGTGCTCATCCTGCTGCTCTTGCTGCTCCTCTTGTTCCACGCGCAGGAACGTGACGGAGTACAAGGATACCAAGGTGCCCTCCTACAGCCATGTCAACATGACACTGTGGAACCTTGGAAAGTGAGTAACGCACGCGGCCGCCACGGTCCGAGTCTGGTGCTGCGCCTTACAGTTGTGTGCTGCAATGTCGCTGTGCATAGGACATAGCGTTTGGTTGGGTCCTACTGCATGACGTGCCTTTATCACAACGCTCAGCCACTTTTGCAAGTAACACACATGCAGACCAGAACAGAGCCCGGTGCGTTGCTATTAAATTGCCTGCTTGATTGGTTGCTTCTAGTAGGCTAGAACACGGGCCCTATCTACCCCTTGCCTTTCGCCTTCCTTATCACAGTGACTACATATCAGCGGTGCGTGAGGTTGCCTTCTACGCGACGTCCAACAGCCTTCACATAGCCGGCGCATCTAACAGCACGTACATGTCTCCACCACCGGCTTCCTTGGCCTCGACTTCTGGTAAGCATGTAGCTTGTTTGGGTACCGGTGCGGAATGAGGGTTGAATAAGATGATTCATATGTATGGCCTCATGTCTTTCAGTTGCATTCTGCTTTGGGCGCAACACGCGTCTGTTCCATTGCGTCGTCGTGTCTGCCGTGTCGCCGTTGCTTAGCTGCAATCCTATGCAGGTTGGCCTGCGGGTGTGCATGCCCCTCACGAACCCTTCTCCCTCACTATTGCCGCAGTTGCAAGCAGCGCCAACGTCACCCTAACCAGCAACCGCTTCTGGCTGTTCATACGTGCCAATGTGGGCGAAAGCCTGTACGTTGGCTACCTCCGCGTCCTCAACACGCTGCTGCTGCTGGCCCAGGTGGGGGTGCGGCGCGTCAGCTCCCCGACTGCGCCAGCTGCCAGTGCGCTGCCGCTTGAGCACGAACCCGGGAATGTGCCTTTGGCTGCCCCCCTTGGCGTAAATCATTTCCGCACTCTGCAAGCAAGAGTATTATATACCGCTGACCCTGCCTGCTCGTGTTGCTGCCCATGGTTACCACTCTCACGATGCGCCTCCTGCGCCCTCTCCCTCTCACCTCGGCCATCCTCACCCTCGGCCGTTACCCCAGGACAACATCTCCATGCTCAAGATCATCTTGATCTCGCTGCTGCTGGCGGAGGGCTGCACGGTGTGCTTTGGCATGACCATTTACGTGTTCTACTTGCTGTGGAAGGCCTCGAGGTCGCGTGCCGCGCTCTTCACCGTCTTCCTGGTAATTCCTCAGGGTAAGACCTGTAGAGCCCGCAAGCCCTGCAGCCTCTGCAAGCACCTGCGTTGTTCCTACCAGCACCTGCGGCTTCTTACCGGCGGTGCGCCCTCTTCGCCGCACACCGCTTTGCTTGTTGACACCGCTTTTCGTGACTCTGTTTGCCGTCAAGTCGAGCCACTTATCGCGTTTCTTGACGCCTTGTGGCTCTCGCTTCTCCTAATCTTCCCCAGGCCAAGTCAAGGCGCTCGCATCCCGCCACATCAGCACCAACCAGGATGACGAGGACAGCGAGGACGACAATGCCAGTAACGCCAACGGTCCGTCAGGGAAGCAGGATGGCGGGGACGACGGCATTTCCGACGGGGCTTCCGTCGTGTCGGCGGGAGGCGGCGCCCGCAGTCGGCGCCCTTCGACCATGTACGAGAGGTCAGGCAATTCGGCCACGGCGGGTCGCAAGGGCATCACCTTTAACGAGGTAGGGACGTGGCTGCCTGGGTGCTGGGGAGGGATGGATGGTAATGGAAGGCACCAAGGGGAGGGAACCAAGGGTCCATGGAATTTGAATATTGGTCTGCATGCGTGTGCAAGGGGACGTGGGTGGCCGGGGGGTTCTGCAACCGGTGTGTTGGAAGCGGCAGGCCGGCATCCAGAGGGGAACAGGCGTTGGTTGTCGGATGGTTTGGGCTATGCGTAGACACCAGTCCGGTGGGGATACACAGTGAGGAAATACGTTTGAGCACAGTCACACGTCGGTTCTGTGGGGACTTCATCTTCCGACATCCCAGTACGTTCCTACTCGCGGCCAGTTTTCTTATCACACGTCTGTAGCGTCGGGCAAGCCGTGTGTGTTCCCATTGCCCTGACCGGCGCTGCCCTGCCTGCCCTGCCTCAGAAAACCGAGACGAAGCACGACGGCCAGACCGACACCGTGCTTGGCCGCATCAAGCACGCACTCAGCCGGGACATGGGCTCTCCCGCCCGGGATGCTTCAGCCGCCGGTGGCCCCGTGCGGCGCTTCTTCACCCGCAAGTGAGTGACCGGGGGTTGCGAACAGGGCTGCTGCGAGGCACGTGAGCGTGTGAATTCGGATTCAACTGATTGCACGGCATGCTTTGGTGCCGTATTATGTGGGCTGATTAGAAAGGCCTGCCGTCCGGCCTCGCCTGAGAGCCTTCCGGGGCGTGGATGCGCCTCATCTTTTCTCCCTCCCGCTCAGATGCCTTGGTTGACCCAGTGCTTCACACCCGCACATCCCTTTCCCCAGGCGCCTGACCCACACAATTTCCGAAATCAAGTACCTCGTGTGGCCCTTCTTCGCCTGGGGCGTGATAATCTGCATCATTTACCTGGTCTCATACCTGCAGTTTGCCAGCGTGGAGGTCTCGCTGGTCAACCTCAAGATGTTTGAACGTTCAACAGCGCAAGCCTCCCGGACCATGTTCTACGCAAACGAGCTGGCGCTGGAGTCTGACGTGGCGCTACAGGCGGCCCTGCAGCCCATCGTACGGGAGGAGGCCTCATGGCTGGATACCGTGTATAGTACGACACTGTACGGCGGCCGTACGTTGGTTGACGGCACACAGGACGGCGCGCACGACGAGAACACGGGCTCGCTGTTCGCCAAACAGGCACACGCGACATTGCTGTTTGAGTCGCGTAGCTGCATGCGGGATACGTCGTCCTCATGTGTGTCGGAAAGCGACCGATACTATGAGGTACGTGTCGCGTGTGTGGTGTTCAGACTCTGCTGTTGTGTGGTGTACGTTCGTGGTGTGGTGGTCGCAGCCTGGCCTCCACTTTCCCCACGCCCTGCTCCTCTTTCTGTTCGCATCCCTCCCCTATCGACTGTCAGCCCTCACACCCCTCTCATCTAATGTCGCCGGCCCTTCACCCCACATGCGCCCTTCATCCCGTTTCACCCAGGTGAGTCGCCACGCGATCGACCCCATGATGCGGCGGCTGATGCAGGAGGCGACGCTGCTGGGCCTGGACGACCTGGGGGACGTCAGCCCGGAGTCCACGCGGTGAGGGCGGGTTCAAGGCGGGTGGGGGGCGGGGCAGGTGTAGCAGCGGTGAAGAGGGAGGAACGTAGCTGGGGCGCACTTGCGGATGATGGCTAGGCACCCAGCATTGCCCCGTATGCCTTACCCTCCCTACCATTGCGCACCCTCCATCCTTCCTTCAAACGCTGACTCCGTTGCCGACTCCCAACCGCAACGCACCCACCCCGCAGCTGGCAGTACGTGTGGCAGATTGCCCGCGACGACCTGCACGCGGGGCTGACCGAGCTGGTGTCGACCTACCGGATGGACGCGCTGGCGTCCTTCCAGGGGCAGGGCACACTGCACATCGTCATCTTCTCGCTCAGCTGGGTCATGTGCGCCGTGTACTTGTGGCTCTTCCTGAAGCCCTACCTGCAGGTGGGAACGGGGGGCATGTGGGGGTAGCGGCAGTGGCGGTGCAGGCGGTGCATGTGCGTGAGCGTGTGTCGAGTGTGCATAAGCAGTTGAGCACGGGCTGCATGGAACACGGGGCACGTGGGCTCATCGCGGATGCAAAAGATCGGGCTGCTTGCGGCAAACCCCAAGCTCTTGAGCATCCGCATCAAGCGCTTCGGGGTTCATATCTGGGTCGCCGCATGAATCCTTACCCGCCCCCGCTTCTTCTGCCCCGTGTCCCGTGCTGCAGATATCGAGCACGGAAACCAAGCGCGTGGCTGAGCTGCTGTCTCAGCTGCCGGCCGAGCTGGATGTGGAGGGCATGGTGGAGGAGAGCTGGCTGGTGGTAGCAGACACGCAGCTCGACAGGGAAAAGGTAAGGCACACGGGAGCTGGGCTGTGCTTGGTGTGCGAAATGACAGCGGCAGCAGGGTGGGGCGGCTTGTTCGGGTCACTGTCCCGCGCGTTGATACCGGAACCCGTTTGTTGGCTTCAAGTCCAGGACACTACTTTTCCCTTGCCCCGTCAAGCGCAGTCCGACAGTCGGTTGTCCTCCTGCCACCCCCATTCTTGCAACCTCTTGTCTCTTCCATCAAAACCCCTCGACGCCTCTTTTCTCGCAGTCCAACACCATGGCTACCTTTGCCAAGTCCGCGATGTCCGTCTTCTCTGCTGTACGACTCGTCTCAAACATCGCCAGCGCCCGCCGCTCCAGCATGGGCCAAGCGCCTCAACCCGCGGGAGGTGGAGGATCCCTGACCATGGCCGGCGCCGTGGCCAGCGTGGGGGACTACAAGGACTTGCTCGGAGGCGGCGGCAAGGGCCGCGGCGGCAGCCCTCTAAGCGACACGGACAAGCAAGGTGGCGGGCTTCTACTGGAAAAGCTCAAGGCTGGAATGGCTTCGCTGGGGGCAGGCAGTGGGAATGGCAGCACGGGTATGGGTGCAGACGTGAAGGGCCTTCAGGAATTTGGGGAAGGCGAGGGTGACGGTGACGGCAGCGGCGGGGGCGCACATCAGCACTCACTGTTTGGAGGCTTGCGGGGCTCGCCTGATGTGTCGAAGCAGCGCCGGCGCGGCAGCACCAACAAGGTATCGCCGGCGGATTCCGCGGAAGCCATGCGGCCCGGAAATGCATCCCAGCCGGCGGACCGACCGGGCACGGGCGAGGCAAAGGAACGTCGGGACTCGGGCTACGGCTTGAAGAACAAGGTTGCGCCTGAGCCGGTGCGCAGCATGTCCGGTGGGTGGGTGGCGCCGGAGGGCGGCGCGCTCCCTGCTGGCTCCGAGCCTCGCGCCATGGCGCCTAGCCCAGGGCCGGGTGTGGCGGAGGCAGCGGTACCTGCTGCGGCGGGGGCTGCAGCGGGGTCGGTTGGTGCTGTTGAGAAGCGACCGGTGTCGCCGCTGCTCGATATGCCCATGTCGTTGGCCCTGCCGGCCGTTGCGGACGGTGGCGTGGAGCAGTACGTCAAGCCGCGTGGCGCTGCGCTGGACGTGTCGAACAGCAATTCTGCTCCAGCGGAGAGCGTGGAGAGTCCGTATCATTTCAATAAACCCCTATCCATGGTAAGCAGCAACACACGTTACTGGACAGAAAACGAGGTATGGCGGCCTTCGTCGGCGCGGAAGGAGCCGCCACCAGTGACCGTGACGGCGGCGGTGGCACCGGTGCCGGCGGCTCCAGAAGCAGCCGCATCGGATGCTCGCGGAAACACACCAGTTGAACCTTTTAGAGGCGGCGGCGATGACGTTGCGGCTTCCGCTACGGCCACCGCCGCCGCTACGGCAGTAGCCGAGAACACAGCGCACTACGAAGAACCGTTGCTGCTGGAAGTCGACGACGTTGTAGCGACGGCAGCGGAGGCGTCAGCGGCGGTGCCGACGCCCTTCCGTGTCTGCACCCCCAGTGGCGGACGTACGGGTATCACCCTGACCCCGCGGGCTATTGCCGCGGCGACGGGTGCGGTGTCGCCGACGGCGCTTGCGCTACCGCCGTCGCTTGTGACGGCGGGGCTGGCGCCCTCCTTCCGTTCACGGCTGGGGGTGTCGAGCAGCCGGCCGGTCTCGCCTCAAGTGGTTTCGGGGACTTTGGTTGCGGAGGCTGCCGCCTCCAGCGGGCTTGTGGTGGTGGAACGGCGGTCTGGTCTGGAGCGGAACGGCTCTGACAGTCGTCCCGGATCGCCCTCAGCGCCAGCAGCAGCAGCGGGGACAGCAATACAAGGTGTGGGAGTTCCCACCAGCCCAAGCTCGCCACCGGCTGTCGCGGCGGGTGGGGTAACCGTGGTGAGCCGGCGCGGCAGCATGGAGGCTGGTGGAAGCGGCAGCAGGCCGGCTAGCCGCATGGCGGGTCTCTCACCTGTGGCCGCAAGCATCCAACTGCCGCCTGCGCCGTCATTCAGCCGCACCGGCAGCGGGGTCGGCGTGCGTAGTCCGTTGGGTAGGGGTAGTGCGGTTCCGGCTGTGGCTAGTAGCCCTTTGGGACGGGCGGCGAGTAGGGGTACTGGCGTGGAGGCCAGGGACGGTGCGGATGGGGCTGATGGGGAGGGGAGCCTTGCGGTGCCGGTCGCGCGTGTGGGGACTGCTGGCAGCGTCAGGGCGGCCTCTCCGGGGCAGCCACCGCAGGATGCAGTGATGTAAGGCGGATGGTGGTATTGGCGTCTTGTTCGTTGTGTCAGGTGGGCTGTGTGGGTGGAGGGCGGCCAGTTTGATTAGAGGCGTGTCAAGCCAAACAATCCACACCGGAAAAAAAGTCACTCGCCTGCTCTCCCTCCGCGCGTGGTATTGTTAACAACTTTACGTTTGTGCGCGTATCCATGTTGGTGGTACTGGCTGGCAGGGCTTCGTTACTGACAAGCAATTGCTTTATGCAGCAGTACACTTTGTATTGAGGACCTTAGAAGCGGCAATACACTGTGACTTGCGTTGAGGCTTCCCTAAGACCTCGCTCGGAAGTGCCGAACCGTCAGCGTGTGTTACACGACAACCGTAGTTACGGTCACAATTGCGTCGGACCGCTAACTTGTGAAGCCCGTGCGGGCTCGAAAGAACTCCGTGCAAAAGTCGTCGCCTGGGGTGCGTGTTGGTTTTCCTTTGTGAAGCAATTGGCGCATGTGGTGGTCGTCTGCTGAATAAGCGGTGTCCTGCACCCCCGTTTGGTAATGCATTCTTCGTTTGTTGCTCTTCTTCCTGTTTGCAGCAGGAAGTCCGGGTGCTGCATCTGTGAGCTGCGTCTTGGGCGTTGTCAGCGTACGGCATGTGCGCCGTACAGCTAAAGGACAAACTGCATCCGGTTATACCTAATCTCTACCTACCTATGTGCTTGTGGGCAGACATGTATATGGCATGGCGGTTTGCACAGCCACGTGATTTGCGCCGAGTGCGCTGCTGCACATGTCATGCAGGGCCGCACTTTGGAGACGCCTTTTGTGATCTTGTTAGTACTTACTAGTTGTGTCTTATTTACTCGGAGGCGTTTCAGCGTGCGTGACTTGCGTTGGCCAGTTCTGCGGATGGCCGCTTCTGGGTGGTAGAACACGGAAGCAAGCTACCCATAAGTTGGGCGCTGGTCTTCGTGTTGTTACGATGCGTACTTGGGCATGCTTGCCCAACAGCACGCATAGTTTTTTATTTGACGACCTGGGTGGCCCCGGCACGTTTGGGGCATGTGATGTGCAAGCTGATGATCCAATCCTTCCGTGCAAATGGGGCTAAGATTTGCTTGTAAACAATGAGGAGGTGCTGATCCCATGCGTTCCCCGCATGTACACACTGCACACGGCTGTGTGTGGCTACCGGTGGTCCAACAGCACTCCTTGACCTGTGGCTGCTCTGCGGAAACGCGTACCTATACACGATGGAGAAGTTTGCACTATAGGAGTCATACGCTAGCTTACAATTGTTGGACCTTGCTTAGGTTAGTAAAATGCCCATTCGTACTACAATCGTATAGGCGAAGCGCAAGCAGCACGGCTCTTCAGAAGACTCTGTTTTGTGGTTTTGCTTTGAAAAAATGTACGCACTGGGTTTCTTGATATTTAGCAAAATGCTCAGACAGCTTCCATGTTTGCAAAATGGCACATGCTGCGCGTAGCAGCTATTCCACATGGCAAAGCTAAGCTTTCTTGCAAAGCTAAAGTTCCAATGGCCCGCGGCTCTTTCCTGGCTTGTTCTGTGTTCGCTGCTTTTGGGCATGCTGCCTGGTGCAGCCAATGGCGACACCGAAGAAAGCTATTATGATGTGGAGCTTGGGGAATGTGCATTCAAGGCGTTTGCCGGCGATTCATTCAGGTTTGCCTGCAATTCGAAAACCTTAACTTTGAGGTACTGAAGTAGTAGCTAATACGTATGACTTTTGCCCCGACCATCCTGCAACGCAGGTGTGATAGGGCAGGAATTAGGGAAGCGATAACAAGATGTGTGGTCGTCGCGGAGAACAGCCCACCTCCTGTAAGTTAGCAGGAATGTCGGTCACTTTTGTCCCAAACAGCTCAATGTCGTTCGATTTGGCATGTTCACAATGGAGTTCACCCGACTGTATTCTTGCAGGCATTGCGCATGATTGCACCGGACGTTCCCTTCGCACACATTCTGGTTGACGCGAGCCTTTCATTTACAAGTAATGCTGGTCTGCCCAACATCAGGTTAGTTTCGTTATACCCTTGTATAGCTTATATCCTTGTATAGTCCATAACACACGATAGGCGATTGGCATCCCGTGGACCTAATCCCTCCTTTCTAACCTCCCCCACTTATGCGCAGCTGGAGCTTGCCGTCAGCTCCTGAGGTGGCCGAAGCCATGACTTCCGATTTAATGGGTAACCGCATACACCACGCCTATGTGTTGCCCTCCAATGCCATAGGCGACATGACAACTGCCTTTGGTAAGTTATTACAGGTACCTGCTGCTTCCTGCACACCCTAAGTTAACCCCTTGGATAATCCATGATCCCCTTCCTGTCCGTTCCAGGCATAGCACAGGATCTGAGCGAGCTGACAGCTATAGACAACGACCTGGATTGGTTGGGCCTCCTGCCCTTGTATAGAGACGCCCTTGCGGTTTACGATGGAGCGGTTCGAGCAATACCAACCCAGGGCACTATGGCACAGCTTTACTTCAGACGGGACTTGTTGGCTGCAGAGGGCCTGCAGCCACCTAGGACCTGGGCGGAGGTTGTATCATACGCAACCAAGTTTAACGGTACGGCGTGGAGTACCGGCCCTGGAGTATTGTTCTAGTGCAGTCCAGGAAGTGAACCATAAGTCGCCTTTCTCTGTGCAGGTACGGACTTGAACGACGATGGGGTTGCGGATTACGGCATATGCATGTGGCGCGATACGTGCGGCGGGATGCCTATTCCTTTAGTCGCAATCTTGGCATCTCTGGCGCAAAGCAAGGGTCGACACTCGGGCTTGTTTTTTGAGCCGGTAAGAGCCCCTATCCGTCCTGCGGTTGAAAGCGGCAGAGCGCCATGCCTTACGGTGGCTGTAGGTGTGTGTGCTCTTGGCATCTTGGCAGTTTGTCTCTACACAGTTTTCCCACTGACCATGCAGGAAAGCATGCGCTGTGTGGTGGATACTGTGGCTTGGGACGCGACGCTGCGGCTAGCACGCACGCTGGCAAGCTTAGCAGCGCCCATTTCAGCAGAGCCGCCTTCTTACACGCGGCCTTGCTTTTCGCATCCATTGTTCAGCGAGGTAGGTTGCAAAGTGGTGACGGTCCCGACCGCATTCCGCGTGTGATCTAGGTGGCTAGCGTGGCGATAGGACCATTGGCATCCGGTCTGTGGTGTCCCCGAGAAGCATGTCTGAGCTCCCTTGAACCCTTTGCTTGACGTTGTTGCTTGCCGCTTCTCGACCGTCAAAACGCCCCGTCCTCCTAGGGACGCTGTGCAATGGCGTTAGCACTGGCGGGGCAGTTCAAATCGGACAGCTGGCCGAACAACACCGGGTCCTACGTGCGGGGACGCATAGGCACAAGCACGTTGCCCGGCTCGGAGGTTGTCCTTGACTGGCAGCAGGACACGTTGGTCCAGTGCGACCCCGACTTGTGCCCCTACGCCACGCGTGAAAGCATTTCCTGCAGCAGTAGCAGCGGCAGTGACAAGTTGCTGGCGAATTCAAGTACATCGCAGCGGCGGCGGTTGCGGGCGGGGCGTCGGGACCTGTTGCAGTCGGACCAGGCAGCCGTTGTCAACATCAGCAGTGGCAGCAGCAGCAGCCCTCCACCCGCAGCCACCGGAGCCGCAGAGGCCTTCATTTGGGTCAACCGCGCACCGTACGCCACCAGCGGCGGCCAGTCCATCTTCATCTCAAAGCTAAAGACTGTCCCCCAGCGCCTCGCCGCATACACCGTAGCTGTGCTCATGGTGCGGGATGCCGACAACTGGCCGCTGGTGGCTGGGCCTGGCACGGAGTTTGGTCCCACACGGCAGGAGCACCTGGACGCAGTCAGCAAGTGGGCGGAATACGGGTACCATCCGCAGGACCTGGCGGGTTTCCTATCTGCAGCTAGGGAGTCCCTGGCGTCAGGCAACGTGGCCATAGTAAGGTTACCCACCCGCATCTCGCTGTTTGGTGTAGAGCCCCTCGCATGCTTACGCCGGGCTGTCCTGCGTAGCATGGACGTCAGCAGCCTGGGGACTCTGTTGTTGATGCCTTTTGTGCTTGCTTGCAGGACTTGCGAGCGGCGGGCTTCTCGGTGTTTAATGACTTGTTCAACAATGCCGCAATGATGGTCGTCAACACGTCTATGCCCATAGACGACGTCATTGCCTACACAAGGCAAAAATTTGCGGAGCGGCTCAATAACAGTGCCGAAGCGGCTCTGCTCCGATCCTCATACAAAGCATCAATCAATTTTCGCACGCCCAAACCTCCACCACCCCCGTATGTGGCGCCGGCACCTGCAAGCGGGCAATCTCAACGAAATGTAGCGATACATGCTTTGGCAGCATCTCTTGCGGGAGCGACCACACTGTCTGTAGTCCTCGTTTGTGTGGTGTGGCAGCTGCGATCAACGCGGCGGCTGCGGTATCGTTTCGGCCGCATCACCGCACCGGGTGCCGGGCTGGCCACCACCATTTGTATCACGGACATTGAAGGAAGCACGAGGTAAGGTTTTGGGTTGCAAGAAGGAGGGACAAGTAAACGACGTGGAGACTGTTTGGGCGGATGGTTAAGAGAAGCAACATGCACAGCGCCGGCCATAATATGCTTATATGCTTTAGTATGTCCAGCTTACCTGGGACAGCATGCCTTGGTTATGGTTATCGACGTCCCAGCTTGCACCGTGCTGCCCGGTTGACACAAAAGCTGCAACGATCCGCTTTACCCGCAAGGGACTGGCTATGTCACAAACCAAAGCGCGGAACTGAGTGCCGAGCGCGGCAATGCTGGGTCTCTGTCCACAGGCTCTGGGAGACGCTGCCAGGGGATGTCATGTCCCAGGCAATTCAGCTCCACAACCAGTGTATCCGCCACTGCGCCACCGCGAATAATGGCTACGAATCGGCTTGGGAGGGTGACTCGGTGATTTTGGGCTTTCATTGCGCGGAAGACGCTGTGGCGTTCAGCGTCTGCGTGCAGGAGAGACTGCTTTGGCTGCCATGGCCCGAGCAGCTTCTCGAGGTAGGATGCGGCACCGCGGTCTGCATTGTGGCCTAGCATTGACTCGGGGAGCCAGATGGGGCCAAATACCTTCATAATGACCGCACGTTGGTTTAAGTTTAAGAAGCTACGCAAGAAATGCGTTGTATGCTTCCATTTTATGTGCTTGTCATAGCTGTGGCTGTCTGACCTGCTGCCACCGTCTCACCACTCCTTTCTGGCTTCATATAAACAACGACACACGCGCACCCGGGTACCCCCTACCTTCCTTGGGCGACAGGTGGACGAGTGCCGCCCCATGTGGCTCGCCAAAGCCCCCGAAGCGGCCCAGCCGCCCAGGACGGCCCCGCAAAGCGCAGTGCGGCCACCAAGCACAGCCGAGGACCGGCGGGTCAGTTGGTCCTCCACCGCCGCGACGCAGCTCGAGCCTAGACCCACGATCGGAGCGGAACACGTCCGCGCGGCCGCGAGGGCCCTGCTGCCCGGATTCGCCCGGCGGGCGCGGGCAGCGTCTGCGCTGTGGACGGGCTTGACTTCCTCCGGGGCCTTTGGCGGTAGCGCGCCGTATCCTTTACGGTTCTCGGGCACGGCTGCTGGGCCGGCTCGCACCGAGATGGGCCTTGTCACCCGGAGGTCCAGTGTGTTGGGCACGGCTGCCATGCGCTTTGCTGTGGGTGCTGACGGCGGTGATTCCGGCTTGCCGCGTCTGGTGTCAAGAGCGTACCAGCAGTTGGCTGTTGCCATCCGCCGGTGCCCCTCGCGGATCCTGACGGCTACACAGCTTGGAGCGGCGGGCGACGGCAGCCCCAGAGCTGGCGGTGGCTCTACCACTTCCGGGCTCGAGTCCCCAGCTGAAGGCTCCTGCCACGAGTCCACCTCCCCCGACTCGCCCACGGTGCACAGCCGCCCGCAAAGCCACGCCCTGAGCTTCATCGACGCCTCAAACTTTGGCGGCATCGGTGCCTCTGACCCTCGGAGCGAGCCTAGAAGGAGGCCCTCCCAGCGCTATCCGGGGCATGGTTGTGGCGCCGGTCTCACGCTTCTTGCGTCGTCCCTTTGGCGCAAGGCTAGTCCCTTGCGCCAGGGTAACTGCGACGCCGGGGAAGCTACCGGTAGCGGAGCAGCCGTAGGCCAGGAGGTGTTGTTTGCCGGGAATGCGCAATCGCCAAGGAGCACAGTGCGGGAACTATACTGCGACACCTACAGCGTCTCGGGGCCGGATGCGAAGGCTGAGGACTCGGCTGCTGAACCACAAATGGGGCCAGCCGTACCATCGAGGCGGAGCGGCGGCGGCTGTGCGGATGATGGGCTCACCGGCGCGTCTGCATCATCGGGACTGCCAGCGTCATCTGGCCGACGCGGCAGGAGCAATCCCTGTCCGAAGCAGCTGCATGATGTCCCCTCCTCGCTGGCACCTCCAGATGTGGCATCCGTGGAAGGTGCGGAGGATGAAGGGACGTCTGGTATAACTAGTGCCACAGCAGCCAGTCAGCGGCCAGGGGACACGTGCGGAAGTGCACTGCCGCGGGGGCCGACACGCGCGGCCAGGAGCTGTCCTAACCTTATCAAGGGACATCGCAACGCGGTTCTGACGAAAGCCGCGAGCGGAGCGAGATTGGTGCTTTGCGGGCTGCGCATACGTATAGGTGAGCTGCGTTTGAACCTTTGGAGTTGCGTACTAGGTCCTATCTGACCTTCCTTGCGCGCCTCATGTTGTCATGTAGCTTTTCATACACCACAACAACTGTACTTTGAGGCATAACGTTGCGTGAATCGGGTAAAGTGTGCTCGTGCCATCTGGCCGCTCCTGGCTCCCCGTTTGCAACTGGAGGCCGCCACCGTGACGTAATCCAGCGGGCGGAGCTCTCGATACAGCGAGGTAGTAGGTTATCCCTTACAGATAGGCATGTGTCCCATGCCGTGACACTACAGGCTGCCACAGCGGTGTGCACGCGGCCGTGGACGTGGTGCACAACCGCGCGTCTGCTCGCGTGACGTACACGGGAGTTCCCATGGCCAAGGCGCGAGCAGTCATCAGCGCAGCCCCTGGCGGCATGGTACTTGTGTCAGCCAGCACGCATGCACTCGTCACGAAAACGGCTGGCAGCCAAGCGACATGCGTCGTCCTGCCGAACAAGTACAGCAGGAATCTCAGTGGCGGCGCCCCAGGGATCCTCTTCTGGCATGCCGGCGTTCACCATCTTGACGAGCATCTCAGTCAGCCGCTCGAGGTCTTCAAGGTCTCCACACCGTCATTAGCGCCGCGCTGGGCTCTGCTGCAGGAGCCCGGTCCAGCCGACAAGGCTCGCACCGTGTCTCAAGGCGTTGCAGCAGCACCTGTGGGGCATGTCTTCATGTCGGCTGTCGCAGTGTCGGGCGGCGCCGCAATCGCCGCCTGGAACATCGGCCTCTGGCGGGAAAGCACCGGACTGCTGTGGCGTGAGGCCGCCAGCTTGTGCACTCTGCATGGCGGCTTCCTCGCAACCACTCGAGCCGGTGTGGGGGCGGTACCCAGCCAGCCAAATCGGACAGGCGCTTCTGGGGGCCGCAGCGTGGAGGTACTCCTGACGGCTGCGTTCCCAGCTGCCGCAGCGGCGCTGCGCTGGGCCGCCAGCCTCATTGCTCACGGCTTGCTGGCTGACTGGCCGGCGGCGCTGTTGCTGCACGAGATGGCCGAGGAGCAGCTGTGGCTGGCGCCTATGCCCAATCGCCGGGAGCCGCGGCAGCCTCCTCATGGGATGACGCATGAGAGTGGCGGTGCGGTGCTAGGGGCCCAGTCGGCAGTTGGCGTCCAACATGGGTCGGTCGGGTCGGTCCTGCCGCCGGTTGCTGGGTCGCACCAGCCCTCATTGCCGCACCTACGCGCATCGCGTACGAGCAGTGGCGGGCAGGAGGCGTCAGCAGGGGCTGCGCAGGGCTTCAATGGAGACCAGGTGACGCCAAGGCTGCGCACCCGTTTGGGCAGCTCTCCTGCCCTAACATTGCTTAACGAGGTGCGGCCGCAAGCAACGGTGCGGACAAAGCCTGGGACCGACCCAGGTGAAGAATCCACGCTATCGACCTTGACGGTTGACCCCGCCAGCGGAGCCGGCGCTGCTGTTGGTTTCCTACCCGCGCCTGAGGGTACTTGGCTGCCAGCCGACGCGCTTGCAAAAGCTAAGTCGGTGGGTCCGGAGCCAGCAGCTGAAGCCGCCCCGCTGCCAGCCGAGAAATCAGTGCCCAGCACCCGACTTCAAGTACTTCTAGCGGACTGTGCTTCGCAGGGGAGGACAGCCCCCAAACCGCCGCATTGTTCTCCGTTTGCTGTAGATTCATCGGCCGAAGCACAAAAGACTCTACAGCGCCCACCGCCGTTGGCCCAGGCGGTAAACTTGGGACGAGGCGCACGTCCCATACTGGCGAACCTCCCATTGCTGGGTAGCTCTACTGTACCGCAAATTGAGTTCCTCACGGTTAGCCACGTTTCCTCCTCGCGTGGACCGTTGTTGCCCATGCGTGTGCCAGTGCGGGACGTGGTTTGCCTGCCAGGTCACGACGCGCGCCTGCAGCAGGTGCTGTCGCTGCCGAGTGATTGCTCCACCTACGGGGCTTTCCCAACTCCGTCACAGCCCCCGGGGTTGGAGAGCGGCGGCAACGGTTACAACGAAAGCACGCAGTCTAGTATCTGGAATGGCTTTGCTAGTATAGCGGCTCCAACGCACGACTGCTTCGGTCCCGTGGTGCGCCGCCCGGGTTTGGCAGCCTCACATGGTGCGCCGGGGGTACTACCGCTGTCAGATGACACAGCCAGCGGTGGAGTGCCATGCGCCATGAGAGCGTTACAGCAGCCTGGGGGGGCGTCGGCTGGCTCGGCTCCGGGTGCAGCATCCGAGGAAGCGACCCCCTCCGCCGCGCCTAAAAGCCGCGTGCCTTTCTTGCTGGGCACCGCCGTCAGGCCCACTGCCGTTCAGGTCCCTGCAGGAGACCTGGCAGGCGGGGCGGTGCAATGTAACACGGACCAGGTGGCACGTCTGTTCGCTGCGCGGCATATCCAGGGGGGCACAGGCGACGGCGAGGGAGGCAACGACGTTGGTGACGGCCAGGAAGAAGAGGAGGCTGGGTCGCCAAGGTCCACGCTGCCCACTGCGCTTCTGGACCGGCTGATTGCGCGGGGGCTGCGCCTGCGTGCTGGGGTAGAGGGCGGCATGGCCTATGTTGAGGTGGGTTCGGTGCTATATGGTTGGGCTGTGTGGGGCTGTGGGCCCTGACCGCAACTTGGGGTGCGTGCAGGGCGCTACGCTTATAAAGAACACGCTACTGTACTGTCCCTGCCTTGGCTGCGTTTGTAGCATCAAGCGATATGGCAGTTTGCGTTGTTCCCGCATGTGCGCAGGTCAATTGCGTAAGTGGCGATGCACGCTACGGCGGCCCAGCTGCGGCGGGTGCTGTTGCCCTCGCGGAGCGTGCGCCTGTGTCCCGCGTGCTCGTTAGCCCTGCGGTCATGACCGCCGTGCGTGGAGACAGCGATGGAGGCTGCAGTGGAAGTGCGCTTGCAGACCTACACCCATCCGTCGCGGCGCGGATTAGCATTGCCGCACGGCCGTGTTAGGACTATGGGCGCGTTGAATATCGCGGCGTCGACATTGGCTGAGATTTTGTATACCTGTGATACGTTTTGTGTGCTTGCTCCCACTTGTCTGGCTTTCGAACTGTGTTGACGGTGGATTGGGCAGGTGGTCGGGTTGAGCTGGAGCGCTTGCAGTGCCTTCTTCATTGCAATATACTTGGTCCCTGTCAGCTGTGTCGGAAACATGATGAGTTGCAATGATGGACGTATTCTTTCCCAAGGGTGTACGATGGGCGGGGTACGCTGCTGCTGGCGCGCCTTGTTTCTTGGTGGAATGCCGGGCTCCTTCCACAGTTGCCTGCGGTGTCCACCCATGATAGCCTTGATGATGATAACACTTGGGTGTCCTGTACACTTTAATTACATTGCCTACATGGGTCGCACCTTGAACATCACAAACGGTTTTGTGGCATTGTTGCGCCTTAAGTACCACACTGTAATGGAGATAATGCTTTGTGTATTCTGCTGCTAGGGGCTGCAAACCTATGCGCTCCTGTTCGGTCGAAGGGACTGTGCTGTAGCAGTTAGCATCACGTGATGTGGCCTTGGCGCAAACTTGGATTGCGTATACTTGCTTGGGGTTGAAGACAACGTCTTGTTGGTTTTGTTGGACAGGGGGTCGTGGGTCGCCTGGGGTGCGTGTTGCTTTTTCCTGGTGAAGCAATTGCCGCATGTGGTTGTCTGCTGAATAAGCGGTGTCCTGCATCCTTGTTTGGTACCGTACCTGCACGTGATCATCGCATAGACGTTTGGGCTTTTGGCGCAGCCCGCGTATGAAAATTGAATACCATGGGGTAGGTTTTTGAATTCCCTATCCAATGGTGTTAAGATCAACGACAACGCGCAATGATGACGCTGGGAGTGCCTCAGAAGTGCGACATTGCTGGTGATGTTGCGGACATGAAAGACATAGATTGCTAAACATGGAAGCGCCATGTGCATCAGAGCGCCGTAGCCTGGTTTCTGTGTTCCTTCCCGGTGCATGAAGGGGAGGGGATCTCTCCTACCTCCCCTGTCACCCAGCGGCAAGCATCACCCCGAGGGGAGAGGGGACTCCCCCTCCCCCCTTTACCCCCCCCCTCCCCCTGCCTTTCTTCCCCTTTATCCCCCTGCGTGTGCATCAAGTGCAAATGTTGGTAGTTCCCCCCACCAGAGGTGCAGCAAGAAACCGCCAACTGTCTGGAGGGTGTAAGCGGGACAAATCCTACATTTACCAGTGTATGCACACTGTATCAACTGCAGTAATAGAGCAGTTTCAGAGCATTGTTCTAGGCAACCTGTGCAGCTAACGCTACGATGTTGAGCTTGAACTGTTTGTAGCTGAGCGCCTATTAAGATGCAGCTGCTCAGTCGTTATTGCACATGCACAGTTACACCAGTTACTGGGCAGTTACACCAATTACTGTCATACTGTGAGGAATTGGAACTTTTCTATGTTTGTCCATTGCATCAAAGGCGGTAATGCGGTAGGAAACAGTGCCTGAGCTGAAGTGACAGGCTAATACTCATCAGACCGTGTAGTGATGTACGATTACTGCTGTCCTAGACTGTCCTCATTGAGAATACAGTAGCTGCTCGTATAGCTGACCTTCTAATCAGTTGCAGCTGCCCCAAAGTCCTTGCACATGCGCAGTGAACATCTAACACTGCCGAAACGAGCTCAGGCAGTCACGCTACTCTGCTGTAAGACAGGCTGATCACAATCGCTATCGAAATAAGTATTTGGCACGATGGCTTGGAAACTAAATCAGAGGGCGCCGGCGTGGAACCTTGGCTGGCGTATGCAAGATGCAATGCACACGTTCAATGCTACGCCGCAAATACCACGTGAAGCGAGGGACGCGCCTGCAAACGTATAAAAGAATAAAGATCAGCGCATGACATTTTAGACCATTAAAGAAGCACATTAACACATACCTACGAAAGGTGCGACTCGCTTGCAGATTAGGACGACGCACATGCGCTTCGCGCGTCCCAGGGCGGACGCGACGCGGCAGCTAGCAAGTGGTGGTGCAGTTAGTACCATGGCCCATAGCACAGTGTTAGATGCCTCTGCTGCAACTTGCACGACAATGGATCACAGAACAGTCATGACATTGATGAATGAAGAGATTTTTCCACTGACACAAATTTGGTGACGGTCTACCAATTGCGTGTCACAAAAGAATTGTATCAGTACGGTAGAAAAGATACGCATACGCCTTCAGCAGGCTACACCTGGTATGAAGCCATGTTGCACAGCCACCATATCGGCCCAGCTGCCGTTCAAGCTGTCAAGCCCGTCGGCGAAGCGTTAAGCGGCTCCATCCTCTATCGTCGCTGCGCGTGGGCTTGCCCTATGATGCACAGAGGCCCTCAAAAGAAGGAATACAAGTGACAAGGAAATAAAGCTAACTAGCCTGTTGGATAGCCGCTGGAATGATCAGGTGTCGGGCGATCAAGCGTCGTACAACCTCATCCCACGGGCTTTGGCGCTGCCAGCGATGCAAAATCTAGTCCGTGTCTACTTCTTTCCAGGTTTGCAACATGTTGTGACCATGAAATAGGCTGGCGACGGAGGTGCGACATAGATGGCGATGTTGCTCACCTTCCCGATCACGATGTCCAGTGAAATCCACACCTTCCACGAGCAATATCTGTCTGGACATCAGCAAATCGCAATCAATGTCGCACTCGCTTTGTAAACGAACTCGCAGCACACGACAGCATGACGTGCTCAGCTTGATGTGTTGACCAGCTTAACCAGGCGGCTACACCACAACCGGCTCAAGGGCTAAGTTTTTCAGCTTCGCGCAGCTCATGTCCATCACTGCATTTTGACTGTAAGAACCCATCTATGTAAGCCCAGATCGCCAAGACTTTACATATACCGCTACGTGTTCCATGGGGTAAAATAGCATGCAGCCCGGGGTTGGGCAGCGGAGCTGACGGGGTGCTGGGGCATGTTGGAGGTGCGGGGAAGGGTCCCGAGGGGTTTCCCCAGTTTCGCGCAACCCCCTCAGCAATTATTTCATTTTGCGCGAAACTGCGCATTTTCTGAAATAATTATTTATTTTTGCGCGATGACATCGTGAAGGTACTGCATCCTTCGTTTGTTGGTCTTCTTCCTGTTTGCAGCAGGAAGTCCGGGTGCTGCATCTGTGAGCTGCGTCTTGGGCGTTGTCAGCGTACGGCATGTGCACCGAACTAACAGCATCCGGTTATAACAGTTCCTTGCCTATCTACTCGCATGTGGGCAGGCATGTATATGGCATGGCGGTTTGCACAGCCACGAGTGCGCTGCTGCGCGTGCCTTGCAGGGCGGCACCTTAGAGACGCCATTTGTGATCTTATTAGTTGTCTTATTTACTCGGAGACGTCCGGCATGCGTGACTTGCGTTGGCCAGTTCTGCGGATGGCCGCCTCTGGATGGTGGAACACGGAAGCAAGCTACCCATAAGTTGGGCGCTGGTCTTCGTGTTGTTACAGCACGCATAGATTCTTATCCGAGGACCTGGGTGGCCCCGGCACATTTGGGGCATGTGATGTGCAAGCTGGTGATCCAATCCTTCCGTGCAAATGGGGCTGAAATTTGCTTGTAAACAATGAGGAGGGGCTGATCCCATGCGTTCCCCGCGTGTACACACTGCACACGGCTTTGTGTGGATACCGGTGGTCCAACAGCAGGAGAGCCTAGTCCTTGACCTGTGGCTGCTCTGCGGAAACGCATACTAATACATGATGGAGACGTTTACACTATAGGAGTCATACGCTAGCTTAACATTGTTGAACCTTGCTTTAGGATGCGAATGTTAAAATGCCCATTCGTACTACAATTGTATAGGCGAAGCGCAAGCAGCACGGCTCTTCAGAAGACTCTGTTTTGTGGTTTTGCTTTGAAAAAATGTACGCACTGGGTTTCTTGATATTTAGCAAAATGCTCAGACAGCTTCCATGTTTGCAAAAAGGCACAGGCTGCGCGTAGCAGCTCTTTCATATGGCAAAGCTAAGCTTTCATGGCAAAGCTTAGCTTTCAATGGCCCGCGGCTTTTTACCGGCTTGTTTTGTGTTCGCTGCTTTTGGGTATACTGCCTGGTGCAGCCAACGGCGACACCGACGACAGCTACTATGATGTGGAGCTTGGGGAATGTGCATTCAAGGCGTTTGCCAGCGATTCATTCAGGTTTGCCTATAATTTGAAAACCCAGGCTTGAGGTAGTGAAGTAGTAATACGTATGACTTTTGCCCCGACCATCCCGCAACGCAGATGTGGTGGGGCCGTATTAAGGGAAACGATTACAAGATGTGTGGTCGTCGCGGAGAACAGCACACCTCCTGTAAGTTAGCAGGAATGTCGGGCTCTTTTGTCTGAAACAGGTTGATGTCATTCTCTTTGGCAATAGAGTTTACATCGACGTTATTCGTGCAGGCGTTGCGCATGATTGCACCGGACGTTCCCTTCGCACACATTTTGGTTGACGCGAGCCTTTCGTTTACAAGGAATGCTGGTCTGCCCAACATCAGGTTGGCTTTGTTATTCCTTATGTAGCTCGTAACACATTACAGGCCTTTGGCAACCCGTAGACCTAATCCCTCCTTTCCAACCTCCCCTACATATGCGCAGCTGGAGCTTGCCGTCAACTCTTGAGGTGGCCGAAGCCATGACTTCCGATTTATTGGGTAACCGTATACACCACGCCTATGTGTTGCCCTCCAATGCCATAGGCGACATGACAGCTGTCTTTGGTAAGTTATTACAGGTACCTGCTGCTTCCTGCACGCCCTAACTTAACCCCTTGGATAATCCATGATTCCTTCCTGCCCGTTCCAGGCATAGCACAGGATCTGAGCGAGCTGACAGCTATAGACAACGACCTGGATTGGTTGGGCCTCCTGCCCTTGTATAGAGACGTCCTTGCGGTTTACGATGGAGCGGTTCGAGCAATACCAACCCAGGGCACTATGGCACAGCTTTACTTCAGACGGGACTTGTTGGCTGCAGAGGGCCTGCAGCCACCTAGGACCTGGGCGGAGGTTGTATCATACGCAACCAAGTTTAACGGTACGGCGTGGAGTACCGGCCCTGGAGTATTGTTCTAGTGCAGTCCAGGAAGTGAACCATAAGTCGCCTTTCTCTGTGCAGGTACGGACTTGAACGACGATGGGGTTGCGGATTACGGCATATGCATGTGGCGCGATACGTGCGGCGGGATGCCTATTCCTTTAGTCGCAATCTTGGCATCTCTGGCGCAAAGCAAGGGTCGACACTCGGGCTTGTTTTTTGAGCCGGTAAGAGCCTATCCGTCCTGCTGTTGAAAGCGGCAGAGCGCCATGCCTTACGGTGGCTGTAGGTTTGTGTGCTGTTGGCATCTAACAGCGGAGGCATCTAACAGCGGGAGGCTTACAATGCGTGGGTCTTCACGTGCCTGGTCAGCAGTTTGCCGCATGTCTCTACACAGTTTTCCCACTGACCATGCAGGAAAGCATGCGCTGTGTGGTGGATACTGTGGCTTGGGACGCGACGCTGCGGCTAGCACGCACGCTGACAAGCTTAGCAGCGCCCATTTCAGCAGAGCCGCCTTCTTACACGCGGCCTTGCTTTTCGCATCCATTGTTCAGCGAGGTAGGTTGCAAAGTGGTGACGGTCCCGACCGCATTCCGCGTGTGAGCTAGGTGGCTAGCGTGGCCATAGAACTATTGGCATCCGGTCTGTGGTGTCCCCGAGAAGCATGTCTGAGCTCCCTTGAACCCTTTGCTTGACGTTGTTGCTTGCCGCTTCTCGACCGTCAAAACGCCCCGTCCTCCTAGGGACGCTGTGCAATGGCGTTAGCACTGGCGGGGCAGTTCAAATCGGACAGCTGGCCGAACAACACCGGGTCCTACGTGCGGGGCCGCATAGGCACAAGCACGTTGCCCGGCTCGGAGGTTGTCCTTGACTGGCAGCAGGACACGTTGGTCCAGTGCGACCCCGACGTGTGCCCCTACGCCACGCGTGAAAGCGTTTCCTGCAGCAGTAGCAGCGGCAGTGACAAGTTGCTGGCGAATTCAAGTACATCGCAGCGGCGGCGGTTGCGGGCGGGGCGTCGGGACCTGTTGCAGTCGGACCAGGCAGCCGTTGTCAACATCAGCAGTGGCAGCAGCAGCAGCCCTCCACCCGCAGTCACCGGAGCCGCAGAGGCCTTCATTTGGGTCAACCGCGCACCGTACGCCACCAGCGGCGGCCAGTCCATCTTCATCTCAAAGCTGAAGACTGTCCCCCAGCGCCTCGCCGCATACACCGTAGCTGTGCTCATGGTGCGGGATGCCGGCAACTGGCCGCTGGTGGCTGGGCCTGGCACGGAGTTTGGTCCCACACGGCAGGAGCACCTGGACGCAGTCAGCAAGTGGGCGGAATACGGGTACCATCCGCAGGACCTGGCGGGTTTCCTATCTGCAGCTAGGGAGTCCCTGGCGTCAGGCAACGTGGCCATAGTAAGGTTACCCACCCGCATCTCGCTGTTTGGCGTAGAGCCCCTCGCATGCTTACGCCGGGCTGTCCTGCGTAGCATGGACGTCAGCAGCCTGGGAACTGTGGAGAGTAGCGGCTGTGTATGTTGATGCCTTTTGTGCTTGTTTGCAGGACTTGCGAGCGGCGGGCTTCTCGGTACTTAAGGACCTGTTGAGTGATGCCGCAATGATGGTCGTCAACACGTCTATGTCCATAGACGACGTCATTGCCCTCACGAGGCAACAATTCGCCGAGCGGCTAAATAACAGTGCCGAAGCGGCTCTGCTCCGATCTTCATACAAAGCTTCAATCAATTTCCGCACGCCCAAATCTCCACCACCCCCGTATGTGGCGCCGGCACCTGCAAGCGGGCAATCTCAACGAAATGTAGCGATACATGCTTTGGCAGCATCTCTTGCGGGAGCGACCACACTGTCTGTAGTCCTCGTTTGTGTGGTGTGGCAGCTGCGATCAACGCGGCGGCTGCGGTATCGTTTCGGCCGCATCACCGCACCGGGTGCCGGGCTGGCCACCACCATTTGTATCACGGACATTGAAGGAAGCACGAGGTAAGGTTTTGGGTTGCAAGAAGGAGGGACAAGTAAACGACGTGGAGACTGTTTGGGCGGATGGTTAAGAGAAGCAACATGCACAGCGCCGGCCATAATATGCTTATATGCTTTAGTATGTCCAGCTTACCTGGGACAGCATGCCTTGGTTATGGTTATCGACGTCCCAGCTTGCACCGTGCTGCCCGGTTGACACAAAAGCTGCAACGATCCGCTTTACCCGCAAGGGACTGGCTATGTCACAAACCAAAGCGCGGAACTGAGTGCCGAGCGCGGCAATGCTGGGTCTCTGTCCACAGGCTCTGGGAGACGCTGCCAGGGGATGTCATGTCCCAGGCAATTCAGCTCCACAACCAGTGTATCCGCCACTGCGCCACCGCGAATAATGGCTACGAATCGGCTTGGGAGGGTGACTCGGTGATTTTGGGCTTTCATTGCGCGGAAGACGCTGTGGCGTTCAGCGTCTGCGTGCAGGAGAGACTGCTTTGGCTGCCATGGCCCGAGCAGCTTCTCGAGGTAGGATGCGGCACCGCGGTCTGCATTGTGGCCTAGCATTGACTCGGGGAGCCAGATGGGGCCAAATACCTTCATAATGACCGCACGTTGGTTTAAGTTTAAGAAGCTACGCAAGAAATGCGTTGTATGCTTCCATTTTATGTGCTTGTCATAGCTGTGGCCGTCTGACCTGCTGCCACCGTCTCACCACTCCTTTCTGGCTTCATATAAACAACGACACACGCGCACCCGGGTACCCCCTACCTTCCTTGGGCGACAGGTGGACGAGTGCCGCCCCATGTGGCTCGCCAAAGCCCCCGAAGCGGCCCAGCCGCCCAGGACGGCCCCGCAAAGCGCAGTGCGGCCACCAAGCACAGCCGAGGACCGGCGGGTCAGTTGGTCCTCCACCGCCGCGACGCAGCTCGAGCCTAGACCCACGATCGGAGCGGAACACGTCCGCGCGGCCGCGAGGGCCCTGCTGCCCGGATTCGCCCGGCGGGCGCGGGCAGCGTCTGCGCTGTGGACGGGCTTGACTTCCTCCGGGGCCTTTGGCGGTAGCGCGCCGTATCCTTCACGGTTCTCGGGCACGGCTGCTGGGCCGGCTCGCACCGAGATGGGCCTTGTCACCCGGAGGTCCAGTGTGTTGGGCACGGCTGCCATGCGCTTTGCTGTGGGTGCTGACGGCGGTGATTCCGGCTTGCTGCCTGCTGCCAAGCCGCGTCTGGTGTCAAGAGCGTACCAGCAGCTGGCTGTTGCCATCCGCCGACGCCCCTCGCGGATCCTGACGGCTACACAGCTTGGAGCGGCAGGCGACGGCAGCCCCAGAGCTCGCGGCGGCTCTACCACTTCCGGGCTCGAGTCCCCAGCTGAAGGCTCCTGCCACAAGTCCACCTCCCCCGACTCGCCCACGGTGCACAGCCGCCCGCAAAGCCACGCCCTGAGCTTCATCGACGCCTCAAACTTTGGCAGCATCGGTGCCTCTGACCCTCGGAGCGAGCCTAGAAGGAGGCCCTCCCAGCGCTATCCGGGGCATGGTTGTGGCGCCGGTCTCGCGCTTCTTGTGTCGTCCCTTCGGCACAAGGCTAGTTCCTTGCCCCAGGGCCAGAGCGACGCCGGGGAAACTACCGGCAGTGGAGCAGCCGTAGGCCAGGAGGTGTTGTTTGCCGGGAATGCGCGATCGCCAAGGAGCACAGTGAGGGAACTGTACTGCGACACCTGTAGCTTCTCGGGGCCGGATGCGAAGGCTGAGGACTCGGCTGCTGAACCACAAATGGGGCCAGCCGTACCATCGAGGCGGAGCGGCGGCGGCTGTGCGGATGATGGGCTCACCGGCGCGTCTGCATCATCGGGACTGCCAGCGTCATCTGGCCGACGCGGCAGGAGCAATCCCTGTCCGAAGCAGCTGCATGATGTCCCCTCCTCGCTGGCACCTCCAGATGTGGCATCCGTGGAAGGTGCGGAGGATGAAGGGACGTCTGGTATAACTAGTGCCACAGCAGCCAGTCAGCGGCCAGGGGACACGTGCGGAAGTGCACTGCCGCGGGGGCCGACACGCGCGGCCAGGAGCTGTCCTAACCTTATCAAGGGACATCGCAACGCGGTTCTGACGAAAGCCGCGAGCGGAGCGAGATTGGTGCTTTGCGGGCTGCGCATACGTATAGGTGAGCTGCGTTTGAACCTTTGGAGTTGCGTACTAGGTCCTATCTGACCTTCCTTGCGCGCCTCATGTTGTCATGTAGCTTTTCATACACCACAACAACTGTACTTTGAGGCATAACGTTGCGTGAATCGGGTAAAGTGTGCTCGTGCCATCTGGCCGCTCCTGGCTCCCCGTTTGCAACTGGAGGCCGCCACCGTGACGTAATCCAGCGGGCGGAGCTCTCGATACAGCGAGGTAGTAGGTTATCCCTTACAGATAGGCATGTGTCCCATGCCGTGACACTACAGGCTGCCACAGCGGTGTGCACGCGGCCGTGGACGTGGTGCACAACCGCGCGTCTGCTCGCGTGACGTACACGGGAGTTCCCATGGCCAAGGCGCGAGCAGTCATCAGCGCAGCCCCTGGCGGCATGGTACTTGTGTCAGCCAGCACGCATGCACTCGTCACGAAAACGGCTGGCAGCCAAGCGACATGCGTCGTCCTGCCGAACAAGTACAGCAGGAATCTCAGTGGCGGCGCCCCAGGGATCCTCTTCTGGCATGCCGGCGTTCACCATCTTGACGAGCATCTCAGTCAGCCGCTCGAGGTCTTCAAGGTCTCCACACCGTCATTAGCGCCGCGCTGGGCTCTGCTGCAGGAGCCCGGTCCAGCCGACAAGGCTCGCACCGTGTCTCAAGGCGTTGCAGCAGCACCTGTGGGGCATGTCTTCATGTCGGCTGTCGCAGTGTCGGGCGGCGCCGCAATCGCCGCCTGGAACATCGGCCTCTGGCGGGAAAGCACCGGACTGCTGTGGCGTGAGGCCGCCAGCTTGTGCACTCTGCATGGCGGCTTCCTCGCAACCACTCGAGCCGGTGTGGGGGCGGTACCCAGCCAGCCAAATCGGACAGGCGCTTCTGGGGGCCGCAGCGTGGAGGTACTCCTGACGGCTGCGTTCCCAGCTGCCGCAGCGGCGCTGCGCTGGGCCGCCAGCCTCATTGCTCACGGCTTGCTGGCTGACTGGCCGGCGGCGCTGTTGCTGCACGAGATGGCCGAGGAGCAGCTGTGGCTGGCGCCTATGCCCAATCGCCGGGAGCCGCGGCAGCCTCCTCATGGGATGACGCATGAGAGTGGCGGTGCGGTGCTAGGGGCCCAGTCGGCAGTTGGCGTCCAACATGGGTCGGTCGGGTCGGTCCTGCCGCCGGTTGCTGGGTCGCACCAGCCCTCATTGCCGCACCTACGCGCATCGCGTACGAGCAGTGGCGGGCAGGAGGCGTCAGCAGGGGCTGCGCAGGGCTTCAATGGAGACCAGGTGACGCCAAGGCTGCGCACCCGTTTGGGCAGCTCTCCTGCCCTAACATTGCTTAACGAGGTGCGGCCGCAAGCAACGCTGCGGACAAAGCCTGGGACCGACCCAGGTGAAGAATCCACGCTATCGACCTTGACGGTTGACCCCGCCAGCGGAGCCGGCGCTGCTGTTGGTTTCCTACCCGCGCCTGAGGGTACTTGGCTGCCAGCCGACGCGCTTGCAAAAGCTAAGTCGGTGGGTCCGGAGCCAGCAGCTGAAGCCGCCCCGCTGCCAGCCGAGAAATCAGTGCCCAGCACCCGACTTCAAGTACTTCTAGCGGACTGTGCTTCGCAGGGGAGGACAGCCCCCAAACCGCCGCATTGTTCTCCGTTTGCTGTAGATTCATCGGCCGAAGCACAAAAGACTCTACAGCGCCCACCGCCGTTGGCCCAGGCGGTAAACTTGGGACGAGGCGCACGTCCCATACTGGCGAACCTCCCATTGCTGGGTAGCTCTACTGTACCGCAAATTGAGTTCCTCACGGTTAGCCACGTTTCCTCCTCGCGTGGACCGTTGTTGCCCATGCGTGTGCCAGTGCGGGACGTGGTTTGCCTGCCAGGTCACGACGCGCGCCTGCAGCAGGTGCTGTCGCTGCCGAGTGATTGCTCCACCTACGGGGCTTTCCCAACTCCGTCACAGCCCCCGGGGTTGGAGAGCGGCGGCAACGGTTACAACGAAAGCACGCAGTCTAGTATCTGGAATGGCTTTGCTAGTATAGCGGCTCCAACGCACGACTGCTTCGGTCCCGTGGTGCGCCGCCCGGGTTTGGCAGCCTCACATGGCGAGCCGGGGTTACTACCGCTGTCAGATGACACAGCCAGCGGTGGAGTGCCATGCGCCATGAGAGCGTTACAGCAGCCTGGGGGGGCGTCGGCTGGCTCGGCTCCGGGTGCAGCATCCGAGGAAGCGACCCCCTCCGCCGCGCCTAAAAGCCGCGTGCCTTTCTTGCTGGGCACCGCCGTCAGGCCCACTGCCGTTCAGGTCCCTGCAGGAAACCTGGCAGGCGGGGCGGTGCAATGTAACACGGACCAGGTGGCACGTCTGTTCGCTGCGCGGCATATCCAGGGGGGCACAGGCGACGGCGAGGGAGGCAACGACGTTGGTGACGGCCAGGAAGAAAAGGAGGCTGGGTCGCCAAGGTCCACGCTGCCCACTGCGCTTCTGGACCGGCTGATTGCGCGGGGGCTGCGCCTGCGTGCTGGGGTAGAGGGCGGCATGGCCTATGTTGAGGTGGGTTCGGTGCTATATGGTTGGGCTGTGTGGGGCTGTGGGCCCTGACCGCAACTTGGGGTGCGTGCAGGGCGCTACGCTTATAAAGAACACGCTACTGTACTGTCCCTGCCTTGGCTGCGTTTGTAGCATCAAGCGATATGGCAGTTTGCGTTGTTCCCGCATGTGCGCAGGTCAATTGCGTAAGTGGCGATGCACGCTACGGCGGCCCAGCTGCGGCGGGTGCTGTTGCCCTCGCGGAGCGTGCGCCTGTGTCCCGCGTGCTCGTTAGCCCTGCGGTCATGACCGCCGTGCGTGGAGACAGCGATGGAGGCTGCAGTGGAAGTGCGCTTGCAGACCTACACCCATCCGTCGCGGCGCGGATTAGCATTGCCGCACGGCCGTGTTAGGACTATGGGCGCGTTGAATATCGCGGCGTCGACATTGGCTGAGATTTTGTATACCTGTGATACGTTTTGTGTGCTTGCTCCCACTTGTCTGGCTTTCGAACTGTGTTGACGGTGGATTGGGCAGGTGGTCGGGTTGAGCTGGAGCGCTTGCAGTGCCTTCTTCATTGCAATATACTTGGTCCCTGTCAGCTGTGTCGGAAACATGATGAGTTGCAATGATGGACGTATTCTTTCCCAAGGGTGTACGATGGGCGGGGTACGCTGCTGCTGGCGCGCCTTGTTTCTTGGTGGAATGCCGGGCTCCTTCCACAGTTGCCTGCGGTGTCCACCCATGATAGCCTTGATGATGATAACACTTGGGTGTCCTGTACACTTTAATTACATTGCCTACATGGGTCGCACCTTGAACATCACAAACGAGTTGACGTTCTGTTGTGCATTACGTACACCACTATATTTAGAGCTGATTCTTTGTGTGCCGTATTCTGTTGCTAGGGACTGCAAATCTATGCGCTCCTGTTTGGTCGAAGGGGGCTGTGCTGTAGCACTTGGCGCAAACTTGGATTGCGTATACTTGCTGGGTGAACACAACGTCCCGTTGGTTTGGTTAAACAGGAAAGCGCAACAGAAGGGACGTGTTTGCCAAATTAAGTATGTATCGGCTATAGTGTGCTAGCGACATCACGAAATCGTCCCCTTAGGATGGGCTGACATCTGTTACGTGTGTTAAGAATGTGTGTCACTGCTGTCAGAGGGATTCGGAAACACGTGTGGTATGAATTGGGTACGCATGCTGAAGCAGATGTCCCAAACCTGTGAATGCGTGCCCTCATCCAAATGATGGGGAAATGGAGCATATGAGCATTCCAACAAAACATGGTCTTGTGGGGCATGATGTCGGTTGTTATAGGTGATCCCGGTGTGCAAAGTATCGGTAGTGACAACCGGGTATGAAGTCGTTTCAATGGTGGCCGGTATGGCTTCGCTTTATCGTGACCAGCCTTCTGGATGAGGAGGGGCGTGGGAGTGTTATTGATGGCATGGGCATTTTGCGTGTGCTGCGGCTAGGTCTGCGAGGGCTGCTGCTTCCTGCGGCGAGCGCTGTTTGGCAATTGCGGCTGCTGCTTAGGGGTGTAGCAACGTGCGACATTACAGGTGCGGGCATACGGCCTGAAACGCCGGGGACTTGTGTTGCAGAGGCTCCCCTTTGGGTGAACGCAAAGACGTGGGTCACTGTTGGAGTGAATATGTGGTCATGGCTACGTTGACTTGGAGCTACGTTGAATTGGATGAGTTTAGCGGTCAGTTCGTGAGATCCTTATGCCTTGGGCTCGTAGCCATACAAGGCTGTGAACTGTCGGATTCCCACGGGGAAGTGGAGATTTGGATCACACGTTTGCCAGCTCCTGACTTGCAAAGACTCCTGACAAGACGCTGCCCAGATAGCAACAAGGCAGGCAGTAGCAAACGGTAGCGCTGTTGCTTTTTTGCAACCTCACATGGTAAGTCCGACCAGTCATGCTCGCACGCACTAGTTACAACCACCGCCGCTTTCCCGTGCCAACGTTGACTATTGATCGCCCCCTGAATTATCAACCGCGGTCTTACTTGAGGCCACGCATATGCAACACAGCAACCAGTAGCGCTCAATCGCCCAAAGCATATCCGGTGAGCCCTTCCCTTTCTTAAACCCCTCTCCCCCAAACCAACCCTCCTGTCCCCAGCACATCACCCAGTCTTCTGCTGCTTCCTCGCAAGATAGCGCTCTCTCGCCGACTGCACCGCAGTCTCGTCGTTGCGCCGCTTCCCTCCGGCAGCCGCAACCTCCGCCCCTGGCCTTTGACCCCCGTCGTCCTCCTGCCCCTTCGCCCCTTCCCCCGCCACCCCATCCGCAGCCCCTTCCCCCGCCTCCTCCTTATACTCCGGCTGCCGCGTTTGGCGGACCGCGGCCGCCGCCTCATCCGGCCCTTCCCTCTCCTGCGCCAAGCCATCCCCTTGTCGCCCGTCATGCCCCTGCGGCTGCCCTTGCTGCTCCCTGCTCTTCTTCTCCCGCAGCGCCCGCTCCGCCTCCAGCCGCAGCAGGTCGTAGCGGTCCAGCTGGGCCAACACCTTGGCGGAGGGGGCTGCGGCGGTGAGGGGGGGGGGTAAAGTAAGGGAACTGACGAGGCAACTAACGAGTTGTATGATAAGTTTTCAGCAGGGGGAGGTAAGGGGAGGGGCGTGTCCGAGGGCGGAGAGCGGACGTGTGAGGCGGAGTGTGCGAAGGCGATGAGAGGACGTGTTAGATGGAGTGTAGTGTAGGAAGGGGGACGGCGGGGAAGGGAGGAGCAAGGATCGTGTCGTCGAGGGTGTAAGGCTGCGGGGAAGGTAGGTGTGGGAGAGCAAGGAGACGGCAAGTCAGGTGCGGTCGTGAGGCCAGGGTGCGCCGGGGTGGATGAGTCACCGGAACTGAAGCAGGCGGCAGGGGTGCCATGACCTTCATCTTCAGGTTACAAGAGAGGGAGGCAACGCCGCAGCCCTAGACGTACACCGCCTACAAAGGGCTACCAGCCAGCTGCCCGCCCCTGCCCTGCCCTGCATGCAGCCCCCCTCCTGACCCACCTGCCGAGGGCGATGCTGAGCGCTCCCTTTCTGCCGTCGGTGTCCCTCCTGCTCCTCCTCTTCCTCCTTCCGCTGCTGCTCCCTCGCGCTCAGCTGACGCCGCTCTCCGCACGTCCTCACCACCTGCTGTGCCCGCCCCCGCAGCGCCCTGCTCCTGCTGTTGCTCCTGCTGCGGCTGGCTGCTGTCGCTGCTGCCGGGCTTTGCTGCGCCGAACGCCACATTCTTCGTGAGTAGGTTGGCGTAAAAGTTGCCCATATGCCCCACCTTTCGTACGTCGTTTCGCTGCTCCTCAAGCTCCCTGGTAACGCCGCGACAAGGCAGGGGCGGGCGGGAATGATGGGGTCACATGCTCACATCGAAGACGGGGTCAGGAACACCGACAGAGCCCAGTAACGCACATGCAAGGGCGGTGTACTCCGTCCGAAAAGGTGCCCTTGAAGAGGGGCCACTCCGCCTCCCTCCTCCCTCCCTCCTCCTCCCCCCAAGTCCCAGCCACCTTCACGTGCCGCCCACCAGCCCTCCCGCACCCCCTGCCCGCACCTCTGCCGCTCCGCCGCCTGCCACTTCTGGTCCTCCTCCAGCTTGCGCCGGTATGCCGACGTCACGAAACGCTCCTTGTCCTCGAACAGGTGGTCCTCCTGCTGCCGCTCGCGAACCATGCGCCGCTCGTACAACACGTCCTGTCGGGGGCAGGGGCAAGGTGCAGGAGGCAGGGTATTTCGGGTGTAGGTGGTAAGGGGCATAAGGCAGCAGGCGGAAGCATCAAGGACGCATGGGTACAGCAGGTAGTGCGCCTGTTGGGGTTGTCAGGGGCGGGTGGTGGCGAGGCAGTTGAAGGTGGTGACAGCTCCAAAGGGCAGTGGTGGCGATACGGTAGACGGGTGATGGGTGGTGGGTCGTGGCGGTGGGCTGCCCAGACCCCGACCTGACCTGTGACCTCCCAAAGCACATCATGCTACTTAGCTCGTCCTGACGCAAGGGCTCCCTCTCAAACTCCACTCTCCTCCTATGGCACTCCCCAACCTCTCTTCCTGTGTCCCTAGCCTCTGCTCCCACCTGCTCCCGCTTGCGCTGCTGCGCCTGCTCCAGCAGGGAGGCGATGTACTTGCTCTGCCGCTGCACCTTCTCCTGCTGCTTGGGCGCGGCGCGAGCCTCCGCATCGTAGGTGCCGTCGTAGTCGAACACGGAGGGGTCCTGCGCTAGCGCCTCCGCATACTGCTGCTGCACCTGGGGGATAAGGAGGAGGAGGAGAGGCGGGAGGAGGAGAGACGGTGTGGAAAGGGTTGTGAGAGGGTGTAGGCAGGTTGGGGGGTGTGGGGCGTGCAGGGACCTGGTGCTGCCTTGCGAGGTGCCGACGTAAGCCGTGTCACTGGTTCGGTGGACGGGGTTTAATGGGTTGGAGAGGAGGAGTTGCGGGGATGCTTCGAGGAGCAAATACAACTTTATAGGAGGCTGTTCCCACACTGTTGGACAAACCTTCGCCGCGGCGCGTTTCTTGTCGGCCTGTCGAGCAATTTGGCGCTCCACATCCTCCTCCTCTGAGTCGTCATCACCAAAGACGTTGGTTGGTACCGCTTTGCGCTGAGCCACGGAGCCTGCTGCTCTAGCTGCGGCACCGGGCTTTTTTGGTGCTACTTTTTGCAGTCCATACTGGACGCCTTTCTGGCCTATGATCAACCCTGGTGGTTGCTTGCTCATTTTGTTCTTATGCTGCCACGGCCTCAGTGCTTGGGTTAATGTAATAGCGGAATTAGTTACAATAAGGCTGCAAAGGTGTATGTATAAACTGAAGCATGCAAATATAGCTTGTACAGAATAGATAGGATAGATGGGTTCATGGCCCGAGCCAGCGCAATTGCAGAGGACGACTGCGCCAAGAGGATCATCATCACCATGAGTTACAAAGTACATAGCTATTTGAGGTGGAGCCGTTCCGTAGGCCAGAGAGTTTGACTTTCGGGCGCGTGGCAGCGTGGCCCACGGCTTTTGACCTTGAAGCATGAACCCGACAGTTCCTAATGTTGACATTGATAATCTTGTTTTCACTTCATGGAAAGAGGTAACTTGTGCACGGAACTGGCGTGGTTGGCTTTCAGACTCTTGCGCTCGTGTGCCAAAAGAGAACGACCTTTTTAATTGTCCGTAGGTTAAGCATAAGGCTGAGCCAAACAACTACATCGAGTTCTTCTTAATAACAGACACCGGGAACGAGGTGTTGGCCATCAGCGCAGAGGACCATGGCAACTCGCACTATGGATACCAGTCAACAGGCGCGTTCACGAAGTACGGCATGCTGAACAGTAAAAATCGTGCTGAGACGATAAGCTGGTGAGTTGTGCTGCTAACTCTTTGCCACGGATGGGCAGTTGAAGGAAAGGGTTTCTCGCCGTCTACCATTTCACCACCAAGCCTTGTTTTGGGCGGGTCCGAGGGGGGTCTGTCAAGGCATGTATACTCATGGCAGTGCTGCCCTCATAACAAGGCCGGGTATCAACCCAAAAGGGTATCAACGCAAACCTTTACAAACAACAGGGTGCCAAGAGGGCCAGAAGGGGGCCCAGAAGTCCAGGCCGCAGCACCTACGTTGGGGGGTGCTGTTTGGGCGGTGGCAACGTGGCAATTTCCCAATTGTTTGCATTGTCAAACCCTGTTGTCGGGCATTGGCTCTGCAGGCTTGAGATGGTGGTCAAGGAGTCGCAGACGAGGACGGACTGCCCGATGGGGCAGGAGGGTGCGCACGTGGGGGAGCCCACGCCAGACAACCCCCTGGGTATCTACTTCACTCAGCACAAGTAAGCCCTTGCTGTTTTCGCTCGCTGCCACCCCTCATGTGTCCTGCTCAGGCAGCCCGCCCTGGCGAGGCTCTTGTGTGGCGCACAAGAGTGCTGGCGGCGTGCGGGTACTGCTCCCGGGAGCAGTACCCCGCGTGCCCCACATGCCCCCCGCCAAAGAAACCCATGCTGCGCTACCTGTACTTCCTTGTTGAAACGCGCACGCTGTACCGCATGTCTCCATTCCATGTGTTCGGGATTGGTTCCGGTGCCGCTGCGCCGCAGGGTTGAGAAGACGGCCAACCCGGATGGCACACACACGCAGCGGTTCTTCCTGCTAGACCAGTACGGCAACTGGCACTTGGCGGTGCTGGGGGAGGAGCGCGAAACGCGCGACGGACACTACCTGTACTCGGCAGTAAGTGCGGCTGCAATCGTTGCGGGCGACAGCACGCTGCAAGCACATGGAGGCATGTCTAGGAGTCTCGCATGCGTCCGCACCCGACAACCTCATACCTCGGACTATGGCCGCCCCACCCCCTAGTAAAACAACATCCCACTGCTGCGGCTTTGTCATACCATGTTACCTCCTGCCTTCCGAATCCCCTCCTTTCTCGCACCTCTCCTCCCGCAGACCGATGAGTTCTCTGCTCGCTACCCGCTGCACTGCCACGCCCAGAAGGACGTCATCCACTGGCTCGAGCAGCGCATCACACACCACCTGCCGCACCCTACCCCACCGCACCCTACCCCACCGCATGCGACCCCGCCTCCGGCGCCTCAGCTCTCAGGGCCGCACCCGGCCGCCAGCGCGCCGCATGGCTTGGGTACAGCTGCAGCAGCAGCAGCAGCGCTCCCTGCGGGGCAAGGCCTTAGCGGCCACGGCGGTGGCGGCGCGAGTGGGCCTAGTACTGGTGCAGTTGGGAGCGGCTCATGCGCTCATGTGGACAGCAGCAGCGGCGGCAGTGGCTGGCAGCAGCAGCAGCAGGCGCTGCAAATACACGTAGGACAGCAGCAGCAGGCGCAGGAGCCGTCGGCACAGACGCAGTATTCCGCGGTGCCCCAGGGCTTTCAGCTGCAGCCGCAGGGACAGGTGCCGGGATTGGGCATGCAGACAACGACAGAAGCAGCAGCTGGTGGCGTCGGCCGCGGTGCAGGCGAGGGCGATGCAATGCCGCAGCAACCACAGCTGCAGTTTGTGAGCGACCCAGGCTTTCCGACCACGTCCGGGGAGCAGACCATGCAGACGTTCCCCATGGCTGCCTGGAGTGGGTTGCAGCAGCAGCAGCAGACGGCAGCTCTGACGCCTCCACTCGGCGGCACGCAGGCATTCAATTTGCAAGCCCAAACTGCCCCGGGCCTGTGGGGGACTTCGCAGTCGCTGACCGGACCGCCCGTTGCGCTACAGCCGCCGCAGCAAGGCAGCCAGCTGGCTGCACCGCAACAGCAGCAGTGTCCGGTTCCTAACCAGCTGGATGGATTGTATGCAGTTGGGCAGCAGCAGCAACCTCCGCCGCCGCTGCTACAGCCGTCAGACGCACCAGCTGCGGGCCAACACGTTGCTGCTGGTAGCGGGCCGGTAGGGGCGGCCCCAGACGCAATGCTGCACCAGTTCCCACAGCAACTCCCGCTTGCGCAACCGCAGCACGGGAGCTCGCAGGCTCCACCCTTCCTGCAGCCGGGTCCGTCCCCGCATTGCCAGCAGCAGCAGCAACCGGCCCAACAGCCGCATGTAAGCAGTGCCGGTTATATGAGGTTTCGGAGTTGATCCTTTGGCCTAACACCTCGCAGCTTTGCGCGAATCTTCTCGCATGGATGGTTCCGGACCGTGCTGTCCCCTTGCTGACCTCTTCCGGCTTACTAATCCCTTGAGCTGTGCCGGTTAGTTGAACACTTCCTTTTTTATCGCCCCCTTGAAATGCAGGGAATGCTGCAGAAACTGGGCGAGGGAGGAACCCCTGCAATGCAGCAAGGGCAGTTCCAACATGCGCCGTCCACCGCTGTGGCGGCCATGCAGCAGCCGCAGCAGCAGTACCAGCAGCTACCGTTTCCCATGCAGCTGCAACAGCAGCAGCAGCAGCAATTCCAGGGACAGCCACCCTTGCTGCCCCCGCTGTCGCAGTCATCGGGGCAGCTTAGCATGGCCGGGAGCATGCCTGCAGGCGCTGGTATGGGATCACACCTGGCTGTAGGCAGCAGCGGACCCGTGCAGATGCCGGGCGGTGCTGGTGCAGTGCAGCTAGCAGGCAATGCGGGCATGCAGTTACCGTCAGGTAACGGATCCATGCAGCTTCCAATGCAGTTTCAGCCCTCCGGACCTGGGGGGAGTTTCTTCCAGCCGCTAGCGCCGCAGCAGCAACACCCACAAAACCAGCTGCAGCCGCTCGCTCAGCAAATACACCTGCAGCAATACCAGCAGCAGCAACAGCAGCTACAACAGCTGTTGCAAGGGACTCTTGGCAGCTTTGGCATCAACGCAGGGCAGCTGCAGCCGCCACCTGCGCTGCAAGCCGGCCAACCGGCTCTTCCTACCCTTCAGCTCCCGAGTCCAAACTTCAGCTGCCTCCCGCCGCTTCAGGGCGCTCCAGGGGCGGGATGGCCGCCTGCCTGCGGCACCCCCGGCAGCAGCATGGGCTTGGCACCGCCACAGGCGCAGGCGCTCGACATGGGGTCCTCCATGTCGGCCCCTGCCGGAGGGCCCCCGCTGCCGCCGCTCATGCAGCAAACACAGCCCCCGACGTTCAACCACGCTGGGTCGACCCTGCCCGGCATGGGCCCTGTACCAGGGCTTGGGCCATTCGGTCAGCTGAACGGCGCCCCACCAGTTGGCTCCAGCACGGCAGCAGCCAACGGTGTGGCAGGCAGTAGCTCTGCTCTGCCACCTGCACCGCCGCTCCTCCCAGGCATGGATCTTAGCGCCGGGCTATGGACGCCTGACCCGTCGTTGTTCGGCTCTGTCTCCCTGGGGTCCATGCCGGCTGGCTTCCCACCGCAGCCGCTCCTGCCGCAGCTTCCCGCCGGGCAGCCCAGCCCGCTACCTGACCTTGCCGGCACCGGCGGGGGCGGCGGAGGGCCGGCGCCGGACGGATCCGGCGCCAGCCTAGCTGCTCTGGGCTTGGGCCCCACTTCCGCCCAGACGACCCCCGGCCTCATGATGCCCCCGGCTGTGGGTTTCACGCCTAACGGCGCTGGCGGCGGGGGACTGCCGCAGCCCTTCGCCACGCCGACGGGGGTGGCGGCGCTGCCGGCCGTGCGGACCAAGGAGGGCGGCCCGGGGGGGACGCATCCCGGAGGTCGCGGCGGCGCAGGCGGCCGGGGCTCCGGCAGCAAGCACAAGTAAGGATGGGACGGAAGCGATGCACTGTAGTGGAGTGGGGGCAATGACAGGCGCATGGTGGGAAAGGTATAAGCGTGGGCTGGCAGGAAAGAAACAAGCGTACTGCTTGTGCCTGCTGGGCTAAGAGCCACCACACCTCCATAGACCGACAGGCAGGATACACTTCAGGCCTCGACGGCCGCCTTGGTCACCCAACGCATTCTTGCGCAACCTTGATGCCCCCCATTACATGCCTGCATCTCCATGCATCCCTTCCTAACCCCTCGTCATGGCAACGGCCCTGGCAGGCTGGCGGGTGTGGCTGAGGTGGCTCACAAGCGCAAGCTGGCTCGGATAGCGGCGGCGGGCGAGGAGGCGGTTCGGGCAGCCCAGGGGGCGTACCTTGCCTCCCTGCGCCATGCAGCCTTGTCGGAGGCGGCGCAGCAGGAGTCCCTGCGCAAGGCGATCGCCAACTGGGTCCGGGGTCAGGTGGGGCCGGAGGGGGGAGAGTGCTATGCTGCGATCCTAGGACGTCGAGGCCTGGCCGGCTTGGATGGCGGCGGATGGGATGGGACACGATGGGTCGCATGTTTCTTGCTCTGCTACGGTATCACACAGGATACAGCCGGGGTCAGGTCGGTGTCGCGGTAACGGGCCTTACAAGCTACCCCAACAATGCTCCTGTCCTGAATGCCGCTGTACGTTTGGTGTGTTGCTGTGCCGCAACTCAGATCTCCGAGGACGAGATGAGCGTCAGTGGCTGGCAGGAAACCCTGGAGCAGATGCTGCGAGATGCCGACGGAAGCCAAACCGTCGCGACACGTTACCTCTCCACCGACCGTCTGCTGCAGCTAACGCGCAGCTCGGCGGGTGCGACCGCCCTCAGGGCAGCGCAGTCCGTAGCTGGGCCGCACGACAACCTGCTTCCGGGCATCTTCACTACGGTGGCAACCGCTGGAGGAGCGGGAACCGCGTCGGCAGCTGCACCAGGCGAGGCGACTGCAGCAGTGCATGCGGCTGTTGCTGCTCCGGCGGTGCTGCCGCCGCTGCCGGCGGCGGCGGTTAGCGCAGCCCCAGTTGCCGCAGCACCGGAGGCGGCTGCCGCACCGGTGGCAGAGGCGCCATCTGCCCTGCCCTTCCAGGCTGAGGCGCTTGCTGCGGTGAGCAGCCTCAAGGCTCTCCTGCTGGAGGACTTTGACGGGTCGCTCTTCGGGGGCCTCGGCAGCAGTGGCGGCAGCGGCTTGAACCCCACCGCTGACAGCGGCACTTTACCGGCAGGCGCGCTGCCGGCCGTTGCAACAGCAGCAGAAGCAACCCCGGCACAGAGCACTGGAGCGCTCGGCGCCCCCCCAGCTCACATGCAGGCGGCTCCAGGGACTGCTGCTGCTGCCGCTGCTGCGCCACAGCCGGTGCAGGCCGCGTTGGCGGTGCTGGGTGCGCATCCCAATGGTCAGCAGGAGCAGCACGCGCCGGGACAGGGGCTGCCGCCGGGACAGCCGCCACAGCAGCAGCTACAGCTCGCACCGGGCGAGGTACGGCCTGCCGAGGGCGCCCCTCCGTTGTCGTTGCAGGCACACGCCGGCGGTTCAGCAGCTGCACCCACCGGCGCGAACGCCCCCGTACCCGCCGCAGCCCCTGCTCTCGCCGCGGCTCCCGCCGCGGCAAACGTGTCTACCCTTCAGCCCGCAGCCTCAACCACGCCTGCTGCTGCTGCTGCCACAACCACCGCGGTGCCGTCCTTCCTCGCGACACCAGCACCCACCCCGTCCGTCCCCGCTTCGGCTGCCGCCACCGCCTTGCAGCTCACGCCGTCATGCGCTGTGCCGCTGCCAGCCCTACCACCACCACCGGCCCCCGCCCCCACGCAACCCCCTGGGCCGATGGGCTCCGCGGCCACCGTGGCGTGTGCGGGTACTGCCAGCAGCTGGGCGTTCAAGGACCCGCACCTGGCTCGTCACGGCGCGCGGGCGGCGCTGGAGTCGCTGCGGGAGGTGGCGGCGCTGTGCCCCCCGGTGGCCAGCATGGCTACCAGCAAGCTGGTGGACACGGTGGGTGGGGAACGGTGGTGGTGGAGGTGAATGGTGGAGGTCGTAGCAACCTGGCAGCCTTGCTAGCCATGATATGAAGGGCTCTTTATCTGCTTCTGTACTACAAGCGGAGTTTCATAACCATGGAATTCAGCGCATATTCATCCGCTCTACGCGCCCGTTTGCATCGTTATGTGATGCGTGGCGTATTTGACGTCCTCGGTTCTGTGTTACCTCGTCAACCCTCGTCGGCGAGGTTGCCTTCCCTCAGCCTACCGCTACACTGCCGCCCTGCTGCTGCCACCGCAGGTCAAGCAGTACGTATCGCACCCGCATCCGGCGGTGTCCGGCCTCGCCGCCGACATCCTCAAGCGCTGGCGCGGCACCCTGGTGCACCGCCTTCGCTCCATGGCCGACTCGCGCTGCTACCAGGACCCGGTGGCCGCGCTGGAAGCCAGGATCCAAGCCAACGAGATCACCTTCCCCAACTGGGGGGACCTGCCGGGCGTGCCACGGGGCTCCTCCGTGTCCGCACCGGAGGGCCCCGCAGCAGGAGCAGCGGCGGCGGGGGCCCCAGGGACGGCGGCAGGTGCCGCTGTCCCGGCTCTGGCGGCTCCCTCGGCACTCCTCCCGGGGCAACCCGCAGCCGTTACGCCTTCCGCTGTCCCGCAGGCCGGTGCCGCGGGTGGCTTCACGCCTGCCGGTGCCATGGTCGCGTTTGCCACGACGCCGACGCCAGCTGTTATCGCCCCTGCTCTGGCTGTTGCCCCTCTCGGACAGCTCACTCCAGATCGCCTCACACCGCTGCCCAACGGTGCGCTGGGTGTGGCGGCGCCGGCGGCGGCAACCGCTGCAACTCCCAACGCTGTTGGCACGCCGCGAGGGCTGTTTGACTCCGCCGCGGCGGGGGCGGGTGGCCAAGCATCCGTGCCCACGCCGCAGCTCTTTCGCCCCGGCAGCGCTGCGGCGTTTCAAACTGCAGCAGCAGCTGCAGCCGCGGGGGCGGGTAGTCCCACCCCCGTGCCGCAGATGATGGCGCTGACGGCCCCGTCGCCGGCTGCAGCGGCCGCAGCACCGGCAGCGCCAACGTCGCCTGCCGCTGCGCCTGCTCCCCTCAGCCCGCGAGCTGCCGCCACGCCTGCAGCGGCGGCTGGTGTTGCTGTTGCTGACCCGTTGGCCAGCCCCCGGGCCCATGCTCCGAGGGCCCCAATGTCGCCGGTCGCAATGTCGCCTCGAGCTGCGGGCCCGGCATCTCCGCTGCTGCCGCGACTGCCCTCCGTTGCTGCGCTGCCCCCATCGCTGCTGTCACCTGCTGCCACAGCGGGAGGTGCCTCCGCCCTGGTTGCAGCCGCGCACCCGCTGGCGTCGCCGCAGCTCCTCCCACGCGCCAAGGCGACCCTACCACAGCCCGTGGAGGCGGCGGCGGCGGTGGCCCTGGCTCAGGCAACGAGGCGGCTGGCGGCGACGTTGCGTCAGGGCGGCGGCGAGGCGCCCTCCGCCGCTGAGCTGATGCAGATCCAGGCCCTGGCCGCAAGTACCTCTGCCTACATTCCCCTGAAGCGCCAGAGCGCATCGCATGGGCCCTCCCATGCAGCGGGATCCACATTGGGCGCTGGCGGCGTAGCCACCGCATCGTCGTCGCTGAACGCGGCTGTGGCGGTTGCCGAGTCCGCACTCCAGCAGCGCATCTCGCAGCTGCAGCAGCATGGGCTGGGCGTCAACATGCGGCTGGGGGGACCTGTCAGCGGCGCAGTGCCGCTCTTCCTCCCGCCTGCATCCTCCTCCACCGCTGTCGCACTACCCGCGCCCATGCGGTCGGCAATCTGGCCGGCGCTGCCGAGCCCCTCGCCCAGTCCTGCCTCGCAGCCGCTGCCCATCCCGCCCTTGCAGCTGCCGCCCATGCAGTCATCCGCGGCATCACAAGCGCCGTTGCCGCCGCCAGCTGCGCAGGTAGCGGCTCCGCCGCCGCTGCCCCCGCCGCCTCCGCCGCAGGATGCGCCCCAAGCTTCATCAGCTGGGGCGGAGCCGGTGCCGTCCGGGGCCGCTGCTTCCATCTCGGCGCTGCTTCCTGACCCGGACGCCGCGCAGGCGGGGGCTCCTGCTGCCGCTCTGGAGGCCCCGGTTGCAGCCGCGCCTGCTGCTGATGCCGATATGGGCGAAGCCGCAGCTGTAGTTGGCGCCGATCTGGGAGCTGCAGCAGCCGCATCTGCAATGGAGATGGAGGCAGCCACGAACGCCGCCGAAACCACCACCACCACCGCCGCGGCAACGCAGGCCGGTGTGGCGGCGCCAGCGCTCCTTGTGTCCTCAGCCCCCGGATCCGCTGCCTCGGGCGACGAGGTTGCTGCCACGGTTAACGCGACTGGGGAGGGTTCTCCCACAGTCGCGGCCCTCGCCTCTGAGGCAGCCCCTGTGGTTGTGGAAGTCCTCGCAGAGGCGGCACAGCAGCTGGGTGCAGACGCCAGCGCAGCGGATGTGAAAGCAATAGCGGTGGCAGCGGCCGTACCTGCACCGAATACGGCAGCGATTACTGACAGTACGGCAGTCGTCCCTGCAGATCCGCCGTCAGCCGCCGCTGGTGCGCCTCATGTCCCTCCTGGCGTTCAACTGAGCCAGGTGGACGCAATGGAGGTCGACCCGCCGCAGCAGCAGCAGGTCCCGCCGGCAGCAGCTGCTGAGGGAGCCAGCAGTGGCGGGGATGGCGTTGACGCGGCTGCTGCTGCTGCTGCGGGGAATGGTCAGAGCGAGAAGGAGGAGGGGCTGGCGCCGCCGCCGTCGAGAAGTATCGGGCAGATACCTGGTATGGAGGCGTACCGGGATGCGTCGTCCACACCGGGCCCCGCTGAGGGAGGAGATGCTGATGATGTGGGTGGTTTGATAGGCGCAAGTTGATAAGCTAATGGGCTGCAAGGAAGGTATATCCGTTTGATAATGACTTTGATGCGTGTAGATATGTTGTTGTAGTTGGGTTTAGTTGGGTTGCACACTTCCTATTGAGTATGCTTAAGAGCCAGTTAGAGCTTTCCAGTCCTTATTAGCGAGTTCAGCTTGTTAGCTCGCCTCTCGAGTTTAGGTTACCTTGTGCGCTGCGGGGGCGGTTGTGACGGCACTTTAGCTATATACCCAGTACTTTCTCCTTAGCAGCTGATGCCAGCGGCAGTACTACCATGCGCCCTATTTGAATGGTGCCGCACGAGTTTGACGATGAGAGGCAGAGACGGTGATGCGAGGAGGCAAGGAGCAGGAGGCTCCTTAAAGGAACACAAGACGCCCACGTCGGGTCACGGCTAGCAGAAGCAGGGTAGACGATTAGTGAACATGCACATGTTGCCCAGGCCTCGGCTTCCAGCGACAAACCGATGGGGCGGGTCTTAAGAATGGACCGGGTTTGGCAGAGGTCGTTGATAGTGTTACAGGATGACTTTGGATAGTTTGGTTCCCGCCATTCCTAAATGGATGCCAGAAGCCTGAACAAGCTACCCACAACCCGTATAGGGCCCTCCAACTCCCATAACAGGTTTGCAATTACCGGTAACACGCGCGATGCAATTACACACCTGGCTAGCCATATACATTGGAACGGCCACTGCCACGGACATCATCATGAAGGTGGGGGCCCCACCAGAAGCCCCAACCCCGTAGTTGCACATTTCAAGAGCACCGGTACACGTCGAGTAATGAAGATATCAATGAAACGGCGAAGCAAATCCTTCCCTTGAAACTGTTGATACAGAAGTCGAAAGTAGCCATCCATCAGGGGAACGAAACTATCGAGCTATACCCAGCATCACGACCACCCCATGTCCTCCAACAGAAACAACCACCAGCGGTCAACGTCTTCTAACGGCAGCACATCTGCTGCTTGGGAGTCTTACAGAGACCTTCCCCGTGCGCGCCGCCTGTTGTCACCCAAAGAAAGCACATGCGCCTTGTACTGAAGGAAAGTGACAACAAGACGACAACACAGCTCTAGAACGTCATGTGCAGTATCTGGCCACAAAGACCTACTTCGAGCCCACCTGACCACAAAAGGTGCTGAACCGAACCGACCGCCGAATAACCCTAGGGCATCATAGAACAGTGCCATAGGGCCCCCACGCACCCAAACACTATCATCGTTGTTCGGGGCACAATCACCCTCGCCCCACCGACACATACCGTACGCGCAGGAAGCCGACACTTGCGTGCTGCTCACTAATGCTCGCCATTGCAGCTCTCAGGGCATCGCCGTACATCATCGCCGTACATTGACGTAAACTCATTCCTGAGCAAACAAACTCACAATTTCGAGCGCACGCAGTCCAAACGACACCCCGAATCGCCCACTAACCACATACACGGCTATAGGGGATGATAAGTTGACTATAAAGCAGTACAGATACAACGCACAGACTTGACACGCGGTCGCCGTGAGACCCCACCCCCTACCGGCACAATGTACAACGCCACCAAAAATTACATGGGGTTCGTGTTCTGATTGTGTTAAGAGGCCGAGAGCTTGCATGCCAGATTTACAGTACACAAACAGGAGACATGCACAGCAGTTGAGCAGTAACAAACTGGTCATCTTCAATACGCGGGAAAGTCATTACTCTCGGGCAGTCGTTTGACAGCGACTTTGCGCCCCAGCGTCTCGTCACCAACGCGCGCCTCGTCCCGGACGCACGCCTGCTGTTGCCCCTTAGAACCCAGGCGCCGCTCCAGGACCCTGAGCACATGCGGGGAGCGGTGCCGAGCAGATCCGGTGTTAGGGGCACACATGGCATCTGTACATCGACAGATGCTCTGCCAACCCTTGCATTAATCTCTAAGCAGCACCCCGCTCGGAACCCGCCTTCCAAACCCGCAACCATCGCTACCACTACTCACCAGGAAAGGCTCCGGCTGGCCCGCTGCCGCCGCCACGCCGCCGCCATTCATCGCCATGTTCATGTTCATCGCCGCAGCGGCGGCAAACGGCTGCCAAAAGCCGCCGGCCGCCGCAGCATGGTGGTGGTGCTGCTGCTGGTGCTGCGGCACATGCTCCTGAAACGGTTGCGGAGCCGCCGCCGCCGCCGCCAGTGCCTGGAGCTGCGGCGCCTCTGGGTGATGCTGTTGGTGGTGGACTTGGGGGTTCATCACTTCAAGCTGCGGGTGCGGCAGCTGCGGCGGAGGACCCGCCAGCAGCGGCGGCGCGGCCTGCTGCGCCACCGCCGCCGCGGGTCCCGCCGCCGCCACCACGACAGGTACGATACGCGGACCGCCACCGCCAGCGGCGGCGGCGGCCCCGACGGCGCCGCCTGGTGCCGCTGCCCCGCCCCGGGCAGCACCAAATGCCGCTCCCGAGCCCGTCTTGGCTGCGCTGGCCGCTCGAGATGAGGTGGCGGAGGTGCCGGCGCTGTCGGCGGCGGGTTGCGGGATGGCGGCCAGCAGCAGGGCCACGTACTGCTCGGGGGGCAGCACCCGGAGCACCCGGCACATGAGCTCCCGGTGTGCCTCGGCCTGTGCGGGGGAGGGGGAGAGGCGTGGGGAGGGGTGCTGGGGACGTCGGAGGGTCCCGTGGGAGCGCACAGCGAGTTGTGAGGAGCTTGCAGCAGCAGTCACTGACTAGCCACCACCCACGAGCAAGTACCGCAGCAAGCATTGGCAACGGCAGTACGCGAACTTGCAAACCTGTTCCACGCAAGCTGTTACATACAGACTTCCCCCTCGCGCTGAAGTATAGCTCCATGCTGTACTCCCTCCCCCACGCTCCGTCCCCCCAAAGACACAACCCCACCTGAAGGTCCCAGTCGAAGAACCGTCGGCCCAGTAACGTCGCCGCGGCCTCTGTAAGCTCCCCAACCTCCAACCGTACGGCCATTTCCAGGCAGCTGACCACCCAATCAACAACCGCCGTTGCGGCAGCGGGCGGGGCACCCGCTGCCCCGGGCTTGGGGCTGAGTTGCAAGTATTCCGCAGCCTCGTTGGCTGAGGCGCACGCGACCAGACGGGGGAGGACATGGTCCACGGCAAAGGTGGCGCAGCGGTGGATGATGTGAGGGCAGTGGTACTTGTCCGCGAGGCCGAGGAGCGCCAGGCAGCTGGAAGGGAAAAGGGGGAGGCCAAGGGTGAAGGGTGAAGAACGGAACAATGGCGGTTGGGGCAGAGGGTTGGCTTGAGGCCGACTTGAAATGGTTGAAACCAGCCATACTAGGTCGTCAACAAAACGCATATATACAGATGCGCTGCTATAATGAGATGGGAAACGCAAAGCAGCAGTGGATGGGGACAGGCGGACTTACTTGGGGGCGTCTAGGCCGTAGCCCTGCGGTCGGTCCGGGTGGTGTGAGGCCGGGTAGAGGCACGACAGCAGTAGCATCAGGTCCGCGGCGGTGTCCGTGAGGGTGATCGTGATGACGTCGGGAGGGGCCCCCGAGTAGCTTGAGCCGACATCCTGAGGGCGGCATTAACGGGCAGGCGACGTACATGTTATTAAAAGGAGCAGCTGTTGGATATAATTTAACCAGCGCTCCATTGCGCTTTCCACAACACCTGGATGCACTCTGATGGGTGTTAACGTCGGAAAATAGCACTTGGATGTGGCGGATGGGTATAACGTATTGTTGCCCGCAAGCCTGAACATACCTAGTTCTAACGCAGTTTTAAAGAACGATAATATTTCGAAAAAAGAAGTGCGCTTGTTGCTTACCAGCTCCTCACTGGCCGCAATCAAGTCATGAAACAGGCTGCTCCACATCTCCAGCACAACACGGTGAAGCCACAAAACTTGGCCGTCGCTGGTCATTACGCGCACGTCAGCCCTTGATCCAAGAGGACCATCTCGAGAGAAGAGCTCGTCGGGCCGCTTCGTGCTACGTCCTGGCTTGGGGGCCGGTGCGATGGAGGGCGACCGGACAGGCGCAGCCATTGCCATTGCAACCCAACCGGGCAATTAAATGCAAGAGAAAGAGGAGAGCGGTTTCTGGCGGCTCAACCTCGCTTAACTTCGGTTAGAGCTCTGCCTGCAGTGTCGGTTAACAAAACGGTAGGATAACGTCAAAGTTGAAACCAGTTTTGAACAACACATTATTCCCTGATGGCCCTCAGGCCAATGCTGAAAGGCTTTTTGCTTGGCCTCGCGTTTCCCGCGCTACGACAGTCCAAAGTGCTGTACTTTTTAGCGAGCAATCGCTCAGAGTTTCATTGAGACCGCCTGCTTTGGCTAGGATTTTTTTTCTGATATTGCGTTTACCTCAACACGTATTGGGCAGTTTGGGGAGTTTGGGAAATACCGCTTTTTGCTGTTAAGGTAGGTCTGGAGACTCTAGGCCGGGAGTGGAGCTTGCTGTGTATCCTTTCCTGCTGCGAAAATGTTATGCAGCTACACATATTTGGCTCGGCTTAGATGCTGGCGGCTGCGAAACACGCTTTAACACCCATAGAGAGATAGCGGGCCAGGGCCCTTCCCCACCGTCAAGCTCCTTCACCAACGGCACTTCTTCCTCACTCCACTGCTCCTCCCTTACAATGTCCTGCAGACTAGCTACCCAAGCCATACAAAACCACGCCTCAGACATCTACCCAGCTTGCAACAACACCAGTCCCAAAATCCCGCATTCTTCCCTGCGACCCCGCAAATGAAAGACGCACAACCACCACAGCAGCAGCAGCAGGACGCCGCCTCGTCATCCTGCAAAGCCGATGTACGACAGCCCATCTCACGTGACAGCTCCCTTATGCCCCGATACTTAGAGCTTATCCGTTCCGGTGCAAAAACAGTTGAAGGACGGATCCGCGCTGGCAAGTGGGCAGACGTCATTCCGGGCGACATCTTCCGGTTCTTCAGTACGGAGGATGCGGCCGCGTGCGTAACGTGCCGTGCGGCATCAGTACGGCAGTACAACAGCTTCCAGGAGATGCTCGAGCGGGAGGGTTTGCATGCTTGTTTACCGGGCGTGGCGAGTTTGGCTGAGGGGGTTGAGGTGTACCGGGGGATTCCCGGGTACAGGGAGCGAGAGGGAGTGGAGGGCGTGGTTGGAGTGGGCGTGGTGGTGCTGCAGGATAGTTAGTCGCTGAGCGGCTGAGGGCCAAGGCGACGGCTGCAGGTGTGTGCATGTAATACAGGTGTGTTTGTGTAAGTTGAAGCACTCGACATGTGATGGGCAAATCGTGATCGCCAACAAACGGACGGTATTGTACGGTGCAAGCGGCTCCTGACTCTTTTACAGGCTCACACAGCGGCCATTATGTATTTCAAGCTGCGTCTTGACTAACCCAGACTGTGTGAATTATTGTTGCAGACTGGTATAGCCACCAATCCAGTAACAGGATGTGGAAGGACCCGTGGGTCGGGGTGTGACGCCTCCTGAGGAACTCTAGTCTTGCTTGTGAGGTCTCCGGACACGTTGTGAGGGGCTGTAAGAGGCTCGGTGTTTGCAAGCACTTGTCTGCTCTCTGTGTGCGCTTTGTTTGCTCTCTTTGCTTTCACAATTGCGACATCTGTAGGGCAAGCGACCTACTGCAGGCGTGACACCTGCTGTACCGGTAACAACAGCGCCGCACGAGGGCACAACGCGCATGTCCGACATATGTGCAACCGCCACCACCATCGCACAACACACAAACCAGGTTTCATAACACACAAAGACACATCATACATCCACCCCAACATATCGTCTCATGCGCTTGGCACCTGCCCGCCACGCACGCGCACAGCCGTCGGGACGAGGGAGGTACAACACATCGGGCCCCATGCCCATGCAGCTCTAGATGCAGCAAACAATGCATCCTGTGCTGCCGACACGCAACACACAGCAACTATTGTCATGCTTACAACCTACATGTCCCTAATATCCTTCAAGTACGGTAGTACTGCCGACGCTCGCTGTCACCGCACAGCGCTCCCCCGACGTTCTACCGTTGTCCCCTCGGCCCGAAGCCCCTATATCTGAAGGCTGTGCAGCAGGGGGTGTCATCTGTGGCTCGCTTCCACCCATCACCCGCATCATCACCGTAATGGAGTCCTGGCCCCAAAACTACAACGACGGGCTACTGCTGTGTAAACGCCCTTCAACCTCCCACAGCTGCCTTCCCCGCTGTTTCACCACTTCACAAAGCTTCCCCCCCGCTTGCTCCACTCCTCCTGGCAACTCCTGGAAACACCCGACCTCTCACAATGCCATGCACCCAGCCAGCACCCTCCCCGACACATCCCCACGCGGGTACCCCCGTGTCGAACACACTGCCGACAATCACAGCATGTTCTCCTTCGCGGTCCCTTTGTGCTTCACCCACACCAGCAGCTCTCCAGTGGAGCTCCTCCTCAGGCGGTCTTACCCACGGCTCCCGGAGGCGGCTCGTGCCGTCTCACCAGCTGCTCCAGCTGCTCGATGGGAACTGCAGGGCTGCGCCCCTCCGCGGCCTCCTGGCGCGCCTCCGCCTCCACCACCCGCCATGCAGACTGGGGCTGAGCGGGCGCCGCCGCCGCCTCCGCTGGCGCCTTGTCCAATGCCACCTTAGGTCAGTTGGGGAAAGGGTAAACCACGTCTTGACATGCGGTTGGGACATGCGGTTGGGACATGCGGCACAAACCTAACAAGCGCGCGCCGCGGGTCTTCCTCACTCTTCACTCCTCAGCCCCCCAGCCCCCCACAACTGCTGCTGCTGTTCACCATGCGCGCGAACTTGTCCGCGGCGCTCTGCAGCTTTGAAGCCACTCCGCTGCGAGCCACCACCCCGCCACCCGCACTGCGCTCCGCTGAGTACGCCGCCTCAGCCTGGGGCGCAACATTGGGGCCAGCGGGTGACCCATGGGTCATCAGGTCACCAAGCCATGTGCGACTCAGCCTATGCATACAGATCCGGAGCAACCATGGACACAGTTGACCCGTTACTGGTGTGCTTGCCTCCCATGGGCAGGCAAGCACATCAGGCAGCACATAAGCTCTTCGCTAGCACCCAGCATAAGCAAGGGTACCGGTATTACGAGCGAAGACACGACACACCGTCACTGACCCATGGGTCGCCGCCTCACCTCCTGCGCCAGCCGCTGCGCCAGCTCCTCCTCACTGGGCAGCGCGTCACGTGCGTTGGGCACATCCACGGAGGCCATCACGGCGACGGGGCTCATGTGCCGCTCAGCCGCCACCGCCGCCGCATACTTACCGAAAGCACCTTGGCAGGGACGGAGGTAGGGGCGGAGGACACACAGGGTGGGTGGGTCGATCACCAACGTCTATGCGTATTCAGTACCGCTGGGATGGTGGGAGGCGAGAGGGGTCAGGCAAAGGAGGTTGATATCGGTAGCTCGTCGGCACTGATGGGTTGGTGCTTGGCGGCAGGCGGGTGGGAGCGGTCATGGTGGTGGCGGTGGTGGTGGTGGTGGTGCACTGGTGGGATGCTGGGGAGCTGTCTGGGCGCAGTTCGAGGTGCTGGAGGGAGGGGGCACGTGTGGGTCGTCTGTACGGCAGGAGAGGGCGGCCGATGCGCTGTAATCGTACGGGAGGAGTAAGAGCGATTGCGCGTGTTGCCGGCTTGCCAGCTGGCCTGCATTTCTTAGCCGGCTTGCCCGTTTAGTGACATGGCACGACTAGGACAAGAGGACGAGCGATACACCAAAGAAAGCATAGACGGATATTTTTTGCAATCTAAATCTGCATGATGCCACAAGGAGAGGAGTCACAATTATGGCAAGCAATTACACCTCAAGGGTCCACGCCTTACTTGCAATGTGGCAATGCTTCTCGCCTGCCTGTGATCACCGTCCCCCTGCGCGCACCTGCGGCTAAAGACGGCGGCGAGTTGCGCGGCGGGTCCTGGCCTCCCGTGTCCTCCTTGTAGGATACCGTGCGAACAACCGTCTGCGTAAAAGAGCGTCTGTGAACACACGAACGAACAACCAGACGCCCGATAACAGAAGCGGGACCCATGGGTCCCGGCGAGTCCTCTCGCGCCCTGTTAAGGGGCCGAACTGAACAGCTACAACCTGACGAGATCAGGCAGGCTAACCATGCATTCTTCATTGTGCAAGTACATAAGCTCAAAGCAGACTCTTAGCAGGTAACATCAAGCAGGAGAAGTAAGGGGCCTTGCCTCATGCTTCAAGGCAGCCAAAAGTTCGTCCTCGGCCGCAGCGCGGTAGCTTCTGGCCGCCCGCTCCTCCTGGCCTGCATCGCCCGACATTGTAGCAAAGGTGACCTGATCTACAAAGTGCCTAGACGTAGGAAAGCCGTTGGAAAATACGCTTTATGAGTATCAAGACGATCTAGCGGTTGATGATTACGGACTATCTAGACTAGGCGAGGGGCAACAAAAACGGCATTCAGTACTGTGCTTCCTCAGTTTCGGTTGCGGGGCTGCTCAGGCGTTTTGCGTATTTACAAAGTGAGTCAGCAGCCAATGTTTCGGGGCGGACTGGTTTCGAAAATGGCGGTTGCACCTCTGATTCTCTAAAATTACACGACTGCCAAAAAGCAAAAGTTCATATCGGTGTGGTCTCAATTAGAGGTTGCTGAAGACCTAATCCCGGCCCAATGGCACACTTGCTGTGCGTCGCCACCGCCGCCGCTTCGGAAGACAAACAGTATTCCCCCGTCGTCAATGAAATACGGTGCACACCGACCCACAAACCAAGCCAACACCAAGTCCATCAAACCAACAAGCGCAGTTTCATTTGCTCGGTCTCCTGCTGAAGCTCGTCCAGCTGCGTCAACAGCAGCTGCCGCAATGGGGTGAGCGGCCCTGAAGCGGTTACCATCTCGCTGGTGTTGGCTGCGGGGCTCCGGTTCCCTGATCTTCCATGCCAGCAAGCACACCCCGAGCCCGAAGGCGCCTGTCCTGACACACCTCCCAAGCTGCTGCCTATCAACAAACCTCCGGTCGCCGTGGCCATTGCCGTGCGAGGGCCTTCCGAAAGGCCTGTCGTTCCATGCAGCGTGCTGCCACCAGCCCGTGCAGCAGCAGCGGCACCGCCGCCTGTCCATGCAGCTTCCGGAGCCGCTGCGGCCGCGTTTCCCATGCTTGGCGCAGTCGGCACCCATGTCCCCAGAGCGCTGTAGCGGCTGGGCGCGGCGCATGGACAGCTGCAGCTGCCGCCGCCGGCTGCCACTGCTGCGACGGCATGTGGGGATGTCATGTCATGCCACGAGGACAGCGGCCCAGCGCAATAGGCAGTCCTGCATGCAGGCATTCAGGAACGAAGGGGGACATGGACAAGACATAAGATCGGCGATTAATTGCATGGCGAACCAAAGAGGAACAGGGCCTGTAGCGCTGACTAATGCAGGCACGTGTAGGATAAGTGAAACGCTGGTGCACTCGTGCCACAAATACAGCATCACAACCGACTGCAATTCTGCCCCCTATCCTCCTTAAGGGCAAATCGCCTAAAGTACGGTTTAAGGTATACGGCCTATCTTGCTTTCGATATCCATGCTACGGCTTTACAGGGCACGGTACCGGAGCTTTGATGCGGACAAAATGCGGACAAAGAAGCCTACCGCCTTTCAGCCTAAAAACCGTTCACCCTAACCTTGCATGCGCGCGCAATCGATAACACAGGCCCTAGGAGCGGGGCGGCGACAGTCGGCTTATGAGAGCCATGCGCTGCTGCAGCTTGCTTGTGCGGTCAGCCAGTCGCTGCAGCCGTGAGGACAGTTCCGCTGCTTCCGCAGCGTCAGCCGACAGGGGCTCGGCCTTGTGGCATGTGCTTCCGGCGGTGGAAGCGAACGGCGACAGGGCGCGGTCCGCACCCCGGCCTGCTCCCGTCTGGCTTGCGGCACTGGGTGCGCTAATGGCTGAGGAGCATAGACTGCTTTGCGGCGGGGGTGGCGGTGCTTGTGCATGTGGGCGCAGTTGCTCCCTCGGCGGGGTCTTCTTCTTGCCCTTTGCGGCGGTTGCCCCGTGTGCGTTAGGAGGCGATGCCTCCAGCAGCCCCAGCCTGCGCTTCACCAGCTGGAAGGCCTCATAGTCACGAATGGCGTGGATGCCTAGTGAAACAGCGTTGGCTGCGGCCGTGACGTCAGCGGCCGCCGTGAGCAGCGAAGCAGCCCGATCAGCTGGTCCTGGGCTGTCAGCAGGCATGGGCTGTTGGCTAGCCTGGCGCTGTCCTCGCTGGTCGATGCGTAGCTCGGTCGCCGCCTGCGCGGCTGAGGATGGCTCGGCACCAAGGGGCGGCGACGCGGCAAGTTGCTGCCGAAGCTTTCGGAACATAGACAACTCTGTTGCGGTCCCCAGTTTGAACGGCTGCAGTTGCTGCCCCGTTGGTTGCTGCAGCGCGGTTGGTACTCCTGCACGCTCATGTTTGGATGGGACCGGGCTGCTAACACGGCGACATGCACCTGCGGCTGCTGCATGCGGCGTCTCTGGGGGGGTTTCTTGGTGGTGATGTTGCCGTTGTTGCTGTTGAGCATGGTTGCGTACTGGACTGGGTCGTCGCTGTGCTAGCTGGGACGGCGATGGCAGACCTTCGCATTGTTTCTGCAGCGCCTTCCTCCCCTTCGAGGGACTGACCCGGCCCTGATCGCGAGGTGGCGGGTCGCCAGACCACCCCGACGAGTCGCACGGCTCGCACCGCTGCTGCAGGTAGCTGTTGATGGCCGCGGCCACAGCTGCTGCTTCGCTGTGCCCGCTATCGACGACGGCCTCAGGCTGCGCAGAAGCCTCCCGAGCGCTCGAGCATGACGCTGCATAAGACGCCGCTGCGGCCACGGCTGCAGCAGCAGCAGCAGCATGGCCTTCATCCACCCAAGGCTGCCCAGCATGAGGGGAACCTGCCAGCGAGGCATGCTGCGACGTATGCTCGGCTTCATGCGGTGTTAAGAAGGCCCCTGCAGGCGCCGCTGCCTCTGCCTCCGTGCCTCCTGTTCGCGTTGGCGACAGCTCCCACACGACAGCACGGTAGGTGGGACCCGCCTCCGGCAACCGGCACTGTTGCTGTAGCTGCTGCGGCTGCTGCTCAGGAGCTGTCGTTACCTGGGGTGTCAAAGCGCTTCCCACGGAGGAACATGCAGTCGGCCGATGGGGCTGCAGCACGTCTCCCGGCATATGCGTTCTGGGCGCCTTAACCGACGTCGTGTTAGCCGAAGCAGCATCAGAGGCGGCGGACGCTGCCTGCATGGCCGCCTCCACCGCCTGGCGAGCAGCCACGGCAGCTTTCCGGGCGCTCTGTGCCTCCTGTACAAGCCGAAGCGCAGCTGTCCCGGCATGCCAGTTGTCCTGTCCGGGACGCCCCGGACCGCCGCTCACGGCCCTGGTATCCTGGGCCCTGCTGCCGCCAACAACAAGCATGGGCGACACATGCGGTTGAGCCTCGTCCGAAACGGCCATGCCTTGATTCGAGGAAGGCTCCACCCCTTGGAAGTGCGGCGGGGCAAGGGTTGGGTCCGAGGTGGCCAGATGGGAGCCCTCTTGCTGAGGCGCCGTGCTGTGTGATATCCCCACCGGCGGGGGCCCCGGCTGGCAGCCGAGCGGGGTTGGAGATTCGCAGCTGAGCGGCTGCGGTGGAAGCATGGCATGCAGGGTCTGGGCGCGCGGCTTGGAAGACGCCACAGATTGGCGCTCGTCCACAGCCGGCTCCGACAACAACCAGGGCGGGACGATCAGGGTGCCACCGGTAGGTCCTGAAGGCCTGGGGTGCGGCAAGCTTGCAGGCGGAGACGGCGCAGCAGCAGGTGAGGATTGCTGCGGTAACGTAACTGAGTGAGCAAGTTGATCTTGACGCGGGATCGGCGAGGAAAGCTCGGAGTTACGGTCTACAGGAGCCGGCGCTAGCGGCATGGGCGGGGATGTGAAGAGCGCTGCTAGGAGGCCGCCGAGTCCTCGAGTGTCCTCACTGCTGCCACTGGGACTCTGGAACGCCTCGGCTTGATCACCAGCACCAGCACCATCGGCAGCGGCCGCCGGCGCAGCGTTGCAGATTGGCGTGGCGCTGCTAGCCCTGAGGAGGGCAGCATGTGGAGCGCCGGGAGACCTGCTACTGCGGCCACCGCCACCGCCGTCTGCGCTGCCTTGCCACGGCTGCTGCTCAAGCTGCAGCAAGCTGCTTATGTCATCAACGACGTTGCTGATTCCCGACTGCTGCGGTTGCTGGCTCTCATGGGCGCCAAAGTCAAGGCGCCCCGAGGGTGTGGGCATGTCACCTAGCCAGCTGAAAGGACCCTCTCGCCGCAAACTGTCTGCAGCTACTCCACCCCTTGAATGCGCAACAGGGGTCGTACATGGGCTCTGCACCCCTACCGCTGCTGCGCCAGGCGCCGCTTCCACTGCCGGGCTTCGAACGGTTGCAACCGCAGCCTCTACTGCCGGTTGCCTAGCACCCATGTCCTTGCTGCCGCTGGACAGGGTTTCGGCGCCGCCTCCGTTTAACGTCTGCGATATCTTCCTGTGCAGCCCCGCAGCTTTCTTGCTGACCGCCGACAGGCGCTCGCTCAGGCGACTGCCCGCCGCGTCCAGGTGGGCGCACAAGGTTGCGTTGAGCTCCTCGACTGCTTGGGCGGACAGGCCGACGGGCGCGGAGGCTAGTGCGACGACACGAAGTCCCAACTGGTGGGCAGATTCCTGAGGGGACGGCAATGGAAATGTACATACGGCCATGTTTAGGCAGCGCACACCCGGCGATGCAAGGTTGCGCACAATTGCATTCAGCTGCATGTCCGACACAACACAAGCGCGCACATCGGGTCTAGGACAGGCAACCCGTGCTACCTGCAGCATCAATTCCCTCCACCCCGGCTTCCACCACAGTCCTAAGCCATGCCTCCCATGCCCCGTACCTGAAGCATCCGCAGCATCTCCTCCACGAGTCCACGGCGAAGTTCCAGTTCTTGGCACGCCGCCGTCGCGTCCGACCCCGATGTCGCCCCCGAGCCCGTGTGCCGCTGCTGCCCCCCCTGCGTGCTGCTCCCGCAAGAGCCATCCCTGGAGGAACGCCTGCTGGCACCGGCAGCCTGCCTGCCCGGCTGCAGCACCGCCTTCACCCGCGACAGCAACAAGGCGACATCCTCCCGGTAGGTCGCCACGGCATCCAACGCTGCCCTGTAGAAGCGCTCCGCCACACCAACTTTCAGGTGTGGGTTGCTGCTAACGTCGCAGCCGCCGGCAGCGCCCTCCCTGAGATCTACATCCACTGACGCCGCCCGCAGGGAGCCTCCGGGTCGCCAGGCTTGTGGGTGCGAGACGCTGGATGTCAGGCTCTCGCGGCTGCTACGTTGTGTGGAGGAACTCAGGCGGCGACTGCGGCAGGGAGCGCCGCCCTGGTCGGTCCCGAAGAGCAGCTCTGCCACAGCTGGATCCGAGGAATGCAGTGCGAGGCGGCGCTTCAGGCGGTCCACGGCGCGCCGGAAGTCGCCGAGGGCTGAGTACAGGGCGAAGCGGTCTGCGAGGCTTGAGGCAGCGGGCTGGCTTGTGGCTGCTCGCCGAGCTTCTTTGGTTTCGTGCATGGCGGCTTGGGCAACTCGCAGCTGCTCTAGATGGTCCTGCGTGCCGCATGGACGGAATGGGAAGAGGAATAAGGACGTTTTTAGGCGGGATTGGTAACTTTAAAGGGTTCACTGCAGCATGCATGCTGCAGCGTTGGGCAGCGGGGCTGCACCCAATGACCAAATGGATTTGTCCTGGGGGCGGGCCAAAGCAGGCGCGTCTAAAGGTACATGCCTGCGTGGCACGTCTCACCTATATGGACCAGACAGACGCCTGTCACACCAACGAACTGCCATCAGCTTGCGCGCATCTCAGCGGCAGTGATGACAGATACATGCAGCTTAACATAACAGCCAACGCCTAGTCTGATGCACTACCTCACCAACACCTACGCATGCCACGACATCCTCCTGCGCCCCAACTACTAAATGCCATACTGCGGGAACCTCAACACACCTGCAGCCAACGCTCAAAATCCGATATCACGCCCTCCACATCCAACTCCTCCAGCTCGCCTGCTGCTGCCGCGGCCGACAGCCCCGCAAGAAGACCCCCATCAGCCGCCGTCGCAGCTCCTGACGCGGCGGGCGCTGGATCACCGGCATCGTTGGCGCCATCCACCTGCTGTGCGAGGCTGCCGGGCCTAGACACCCGCGGCCGCGGCGCAGGGCAGACAGGGCCATGAAGCTCACGACGACAACCGGCGGACAAGGCCCGCCGCAAGCCGTCCTCCGCAGCCGGCCGACGGAGCAACCTGGGCGTCTCCTGCGCTGTGGACAGATTGCGGGCATGCCCGGTGGCAACGGGTGATAAGTCCACAGTGTAATCGGATGGCGCAGGAGCTCCGATGGCGGTCCCTGCGCCGGTCTTTCTGCCGTGACCAGCAGTCCCGCCGTCCTGGCCAGTCCAAGAATGGCGGAGGCCGGCGCCCTTTTTGTCCGCCGGCCCGGTGCTGCGCGCCTCGTTGCCTGCCGAAAAGCTGCCTGGGAGGCCGGGCAGACAGGCTGCCAAGCTGCGCCGAGCCATCTCAGTCAGGCGGGTGCTGCTGGGGACAGGTGCGGACGCATTGGCACGAGGGGGGGATAGCAACCGTGTGTAGGAACTGGCGCGGCCGCCAGCAGCCGCTGTCGAGGCCCTCCCATGCAGCGCCTGGGCGGCTCCGGAACATTTATCCAGAGGCAGGGAGGGGACCTGTCGGTCTGGCTTGGGACGCGGCGGCGGTGAAGTGCTTGCCATTCGCCGTGACTGGCCGCTGCTTGGAAAGGACGACGAGGTCGGCAAAGCATGCTCAGCAGAGCGGCGGCCAGCCTCCCCAGCGGCGGCGGCTGCCTGCGCCGCGACACTACGTGAGGTAGCGAAGGGGCTGGTAGAGAGGGACCTCTCGTGCTGCAGGACGGCGCTGACGTTGCTGGAAGAGCGGTTGGGACTTGCGCTGGCATTGGCAGCGCCGCTGCAGCCAACACCTGCACCCTGAACGTCTCTGAAGGACAACTGGGGGCTGCGTGTCCCTCTGCGGCTGCTGCAACCGCTGCTGCAACCAGGGACCTCCAAGCCGACACCGACGTTACCATTCCGCGTGCCTTCCTCTGAAGCTGCGTCAGCATCATTGCAGCTGCCTCCCGTCGGCGCTTCTCCCTTAGTCGCTGTTGACAGCAGAGGCTCGATGAGGCTGCTGAACTCGAACTTTGCTGGAGCAGTACGCCGACGAGAGGGTTCTTCAACCGGCAGACGAGGCAGTAGCAGCCCCTCACTGCCATCACCTCCCGCAGCGCTACCGCCACCCAGGGAAGGCGGAGCTGCATGGGCCCCCTGCGAAGCAGCTACAGCTGCGGCCGCCTGCAGCGCGCGTGGTGACGAGCGCAGCTGGCGTGTCACGTTGTGTAGGACGGTGGGGTCAGCGGAGGGCAGCCGCCGGGGTGACGACACAGCCGGACTACAGCTGCGGCTCCGAGGTAGCGGGAAAGAGCTCTTGTGTGGGCTGCAGCTGCTTGCGCGCCCTTGCAGCGGACTGCCCACGCGCGGCGGAGATGCGAACATGCAGTGACTCGCTGATATGATCCTTGGGGCCGGTGGCGATGCCGACTGCTGCCGGCGGTCCACCGGTGGCGGGGATGGAACTTTCTGGGGGGACGTCAGGCGCAGGGTCGGCTCGCTCCTCCGGTGAAGTTGGTTATTATTGTTGTGCCGTTGGGCTGCTGGGCTGTTGTTGCAACTCATGCCGTTCAGCGCAGCCTCCCATTGGGCCGATATGACATGCTCTGCCCCCGGCCCCCCACACTCAGTCCACTCGCGCGGCTGAAGCAGCAGCTTGAGGGTGCCAGGGGAGGTTGGCGAGGGCGAACGTGCGCCGCTTGCGGCCGCCGACACCGTGGTCCTGCCGGTGGTGTGGGGGCCGGGGGCGAGGCGGACGGTGAGCTCAAGCGGCACTCACTGAGCCCCTCGTTGGCTGCGCAGCCTGCTCTAACGAAGCGATGAGGCGCTGGGGAAGGACTAGATGACATAGAGGGCTGGACGAACCCCCCGAGGGACAAGTATTAAGCGGGGTGCGGTTGCTATGCGAGCATGAGTTGGCAACGACAGCCGCCGTGCTTTACCGTGTTAACTTAAGCGCTGCTGTTTGGATGTTCGCCTGCCTGGTCCCCCGTGTGGGCTCATGGGCTTCGTGTTCTCTACCTGATAGCCACTGGAACAGTCATCCAATCTGTCCTCGGCCGCATACGCGCGGCATGGTACCGACTTCCGGCTTCTAGGACACCTCTATGCCCCATCCTTGCAAGCCAAGACATTAGCCGCCGTCTCACACAGTACCCCTTTCACACTTCTCTTTACCCAACTTATGCTAACAAACATAGCGCACTGAAGCATAAACCCACCAGTTTGCGGCGCCAGCGTCGGTCCGCGGCTCCGCTGAGCGGCCGCCCAAGGCCGTCTTCGGTGAGCCCGCGCCGCGAGGCGACGCCCACTGCTGCCGCGCCTCGCTGTAGCGTGTTATCACGGCGTCCAGGTGCGCCTTGGCGGCTGCGCTGCGCTGCCGTTGCTGCTGTTTGGCTGCCTCCTCGGCCTGAAGCCGCTGCTCCAGCTCCTGTCGGCGCTTTGCAGCCACACGCGCCGCGATTTCGGCTTCTTTCGCCTCTAGGAGCGCCGCGGCGACCTTATCCTGATATGGATGAGGGGGAAATGGGGCAACAGGGTGCTGGTCTCAACACGGTTTTGGAATGGCCAGCACTATCACCGCACTGTCCTACTTGCCCCATGCTAGTGTGAGAACTTTGGCTACAGTCCATGTGAGCAGGTCGGTCTGCCCCCCCCACCTGATCATTGTAGGACTCATCTCCGGCTGCAGTCTCGCCCCACGCAAGGCAAGGCTCGTGCTCCTGGTCCCGTTGGCCGCCATCGCCCCATGCGCCCGACTTGCCTGCCCCTCCTGGAACACCGCTACCGCTGCTGACGCTGCGGCCCAGGGAACGCCCTCTGCTGCAAGGGCGTCCGAGGCTGACACCGCCAGCGCTGCTGCCACGCGTTCCCAATGCACCGCCGCCGGCCGCCCTGCCGCCAACAGACACCAGCGCACCCGCTGTTTTCGGAGGCACAGCGCCGCTGCACGGCAATAGCGGGAGGCATCGGGGTGGCTTGCTGGCGCAGTATACCCTAGCGACATGCCCCTATGCGCAATCCACGCTACTGGATGAATGTACGAGCGGAAACTAGCAAAGCACATGTCCCACTACACGTACCTGGCTGCTTTAGAAGATGCCAGGGGGCGCGACAGATCAAATCCTCTCGCCTGCATGTTGCTGCAGGAGAACGAGGGATGTCGTCACGCTCCGTCTTACATTGCTTGCCAGCTTCCCTTTGGCTCAGATCGGCACGGACAGGGATTACCACGTCAGCCCACCTTTGGAAAGTGTTGACCAGACCCTTGAGCTGACATGCCGCCAACTGGTGCCCCTGGGGCTGCTGCGCTTGTCCGCAGGGGCTTCCGGATCGCGGCGCGCTGCCGCCGGGCGAAGAGGACCTGCTGCGGGGATTGCCTGCTGCCCGGGATGGCGATAAGCCCCTGCGAATGTGTTGTTGAAGCGAAGGCCCAGGGTGAAAAGCTTAGCAAAGAACAACCCTGGCTTGAGACCAAGCAGCCGAAGTATAGGGCAGTGACAGCTGGTGCGAAAGAGGGTAACAGGAAGACGAGCTCTGGTGTTTACCTGTAGGCCAGGTGATTCGGCAAATTAGGTAGCGCCCCATCGGGGGGTGTTGCAGTGAACGGCAACTCAAGGCGACCCTGTTGCAGCTGCGCCAACATGAGTGCGCAGTACAAGTTCCTGTTGCGCTTCCACACGGTGTTGCTGGTCTGCGGCAGGACGCAGTGCTTAAGAGTTGGGTCATACGTAGAGCCGCTGGCGTACGTCCCAAACAGCACAAAATCTCACCGGTTCCCGGAGTTTTGTAATCCATGCTTGTACCCGGAGCTTCACTGCCCGTGGTTGCGACAGTGCTAGGACGCTGAGCTGCCCGACGAGCTAGAGTCCAGGACATAGCATGGCGTTGGTAATTAAGACGATGTTACCATAGCCAAAGATGACGCAACCTATTCCTCCATAGAAGTGTTCTATTTGTCATGATTTGGCTCTGCACAGCAATTGGTTCTCACCTTTTCGAACTGGCCGTCCAGGCCACCCTCAGGGCGTTGCATCCCGTTAACCCAAAGCAGCCTTCCAACCAAGCGTTATATATCACAGCATAATATCATTTTTAGATACACGATAGCTCGTGCCTGGAGCTTCCTGTCTTATCGTGGACAGCTAGGTTTGACCCGGTCAAAGCTTTGCGCACATTCCTGTTAGACGTAAACAAGTCATCATGCAACAACAGGTGATATACAGTAATAACTACTACCTATCCACTTTACATGCGAGGTAGGTCTCGGCACGAAGTTCATGCCGTACTCAGTGGTCGTTACGAGCCTCCAGCTTGTAATCATCTTCATCATCAACATCAGCTCAAGGATTGCTAACTTTTTGCGAGGCTTTGATGTGAGTTTTGTCAGAATGTTAGAATGTCTTCGTGTGCAGCCTCTTATTGCCTCCAACCGTCCTTCGCTCGTCAAATGACCATACAGCTGCAAGAGGCGTGCTTCAAGCAACGGACATAGTCCGATATTTGCTTCGTTTCGAGCCAATGTTGAAAGTGGGTAGCCAGCCAGCAGGCGCAGGGTCGCAAGGAGAACCCCAGCAGGCAGAAGCCATGGCTGGCTTCCTTCAACAGGGACCTCGCCGCACACTGGAGAGAAGGCTGCACACTCTTGCTGCAGTAACCTCACCCGCACCTCTTCGACTCGCAGCCCTGGCATATCAAGAGTAGCCACACCCAAATCCTTCCCCATCCTGTGGGATCATGCCTTACCCAGTCCAGTTTATCTTGAATCACCTTCTCTGCATTATGGCCTGATACAACAGTTCACATCGGCCCTGTATCCCACACGCACCTACGACCGTGAGCAGTACGGCAGCATATATGCACCACACCCTCGCAGCGTCCACCGCTTGCCACCGCCCCTTGCCTCCGGGCCGCCTACTCAAGGGCCCTGCTGGGGTGGCTGCAGGCCCAGGTGGCTGCATCCGCACCCACAGCCGCCTCGCCAGAGGGTCATCCGCACCAAAATCCTCGCTGCGTGCCCTCCAGCGCCACCTGCGCCGTCATTGGACAGCCCGCCGCCAACCGCCAGCTCAACACCTCACAATTGCAGCGGCAAAGGAGGCAGTCCTTGAGGAGGCGCCCAAGCGGGCCCCAGGATCAGCCCAGCCGCTTCTGGCAGACCAGGTCGCTGTTGCGCGCAGCTTCCAGGCCGAAAACGAGCACAGAGGATACCTATCTGGACAGCCAGTTACTATTACCGTACATGTCTCGTGTATCGTCAGTGGCTAACCGCCCTGGAAGCGGGCCACAAACTTGTCCATGGCACCCTTCCGCGGCCCTCAGATGCCTTCGCCACATGGCATCACGTACAAGACATGCCCTCTCCTCCGCAAGGCGAAAACGCTGTCATCGCTCGTCAACAGCCTGTAGGGTCTCGCGTCTGTCAAGTAAGTCCCGCTTCTTCGAAGGGACCCACCTGAACATAAAGATTCATTATTTGCCAACATAATGAAACCATATGAAGACATATGAAGCCGCGAGGACAACAGGGATAAGATGAACCCAGCCAGGACTGGTCTTGCTGCATTGGTCACGAAAGGAAATGGGGCCTTGCTAGGTTACCAATAACCCTGCAGGCGCCCGCTGATGGCCGCACAGTGTACCGCAATCGCCACATGAGAGGTACAACTGTAGCCCGAGCAACAGCCCCATTAAACCATATGCACTCGCGCAAATGTCACACGCCTGGGGTACACTCTTCTGGCTTCACATGCAGACGAGCTAAACCCCAGGATGGCGTTATTAACCAATGCTGACACTGAACATCCGACGCCACATCCTCCACGCCAGGAACTCCATAATACCCCCACCTGACGGCACACGTAGGCATCAAGCATGGCAGTTAAAGAAAGGTCAAATGCCCTGCCATGCAGCAGTCCGAGACAAGAGCCGAGCCCTTCCTGTCGGCCACATGGCACTGCCTATTTACATTGGATTCCGCAACTCCTAATTCGCAACAATGAAAAGGCTCTCAGCATTACAAACACTCACATCACGTACCACCGATGAAAGCCATACCTCCTCCGCAATCAACCACCCTATAGAGTCATTACCGGTACTCAGCAACGCTCTCCTCAACCTTCGCAACAGGAGCGCGCTTGCAGCAGTCTTAAATGCAGGCGGCAGTCCAATTGGCCCACGTGGCAAGGTTACCTGCGCCACACCCTGAGAGCCTGTCGACAGAACATGCATGCAGACAGGTGGAAGACAGCTAGGTCACGCACGGTACCACCAACCCCGCCGCCCGTCTCCCATGCAGCCTGCCTTCCACATACCTCGAATGTACTACCTACCAACTGCAGCCCATCCTCAGCCATGATGCAGGATGACCTCCCAGAAAATTGCAGTGATTTTCCAGGTAATGTAGATAATTTGGACAAAATCAATGAACAAAACCGCGGCGACATCCCTCTCGTTCTCGGCCGCGCTGTTTCTCCCGCTCGCTTCCGGTCCCACGTGGGCGGCGGCGCTGTCACATTATAAACCCACCGCCCATAGCACACGCTGCCATACCAGCTTCACACACCGTACGGCATACAAGGCCCCACATGCCCCCCCCTCCATTAACATCCTTGATTCTCGCTAGGGACGCACATTCCTAGGCATCTAGGCATCTTCACATTTACTTTTAAGCATTGTAACAGAGTTGGATTGAAAGTTGCTTCCATGGGCTTTCCTACCAGTATGTGTCTACACCGCCTGTCGCATGCTACGCCGCGCACGAGACAGCAGATACGTGCCTGACCGTTCGCCCTCTTGAGGCGGCATGCGGTAGTCCGCAAGTAAACCCCACGCTTGCATAACAAGACGTGTTCTTCAAAGCTCCAAATTAGCAGTTCTGCCCGAGCGAGCACTCCTCAACCGCCACCTCGTACGACATCCCCTCCAGCCACCGGTGCCCTAACAGCCATTCGACTCCCACCCGCATCAGCACCCCCGTCTCGCAGTCACCCTGCTCCGCCTAGCACGCCTCAGCCCTGTCCCCAGCCGCCTCTCCAACAGCACCATGTCCCTCACCGTCCGTGTCCGAAGTAACACTGCCGCGCCTGCTTGTAACCTGGCTGTCACCCCCGCGACTGCCACGTCGGCTGCCGGGCTGACTGTCGGGCCGGCTGCCCGAGAACTGGCTGCCCAGCCGGCTGCCAGAAGGCCGCTCCAGTTGCTCCCAGGTGCTGGCACTGCCGCCGCCCAAGCCCCCACCCGACAAACGGCTCATGGCCCGCAACGTCGCCAGGGCCGACGCCATCTTCCCGACCGTGCTGGGGAGTGTGTTGCTGTTGCGTCGGCTGGGTGTCAAGACAGAGCCGGGAGAGGTCTGACTCAGGCCGTCAGCGGTGTTGGAACGGTGCCGTGTGGGGCGTTGCTGCTGCAGAGATGGTGGCTGCAGCAGCAGCTGCTGCTGCTGCCGGGGTGATGTGGCCTTGCGTCGGGCACCGGGGCGCTCGGACGGGGCCAAGCCATGCAACGCATGGCGGCCGGCGCTGTTGGCTGTGGCGGGTGCGCCGTCGGGCACTATACTGTCGTCCAGTACGGCGACGTACGGTTTCAGGCGTTGCCGTACTCCGGAGATGTGTGCGGATAGGGGTGTCGCGATTGGCGACGTTGGGCCGGCTTGGCCGCCCCCGGCAGCAGTTGCCTCGGATAATAGCATGCCTGCGCACATCATGACGGCAGGAGTGCATGGATGGAGGCAACTGGCTAGGGAACTAGCATGCGGGCCAACATGCCCGCTCGCAAGCATGCCCACATTGCCACGCCCTTCCTAATAGTTCCTTGCGACGCCCACCTTGCATTGTCTCTTGCTACCTAAACCTTACCAAGTCCACCGACACGGCCACCAACTACCACACCACCATGCATCCATGCACCGCCAATCCGTCACATCGGACGCCCCGCATGCTTCAAGTCACGCCGCCCCCCACTCCCGCAAAATAGACGTCAGCACGTCCCACCTCACCTGCTTGCAACATCATGAGGGAGGCTCTGCGCGACCGGGGCCCATGTACGCTCTGGTTTTGCTGCCCAGCAAGCCCAGGAATGGGGTTGGCGTCCAACTGCTGACCCTGGTAACCGGAGGCTCCGGCCGCTGCGGGCGCCCCGTCCACGCCACTTCCTCCCTCAGCGGCAGCACTGGTGTTCTTTGAGCGCCTTCGTTCACGTGCAGGCTGCGTCCCACAGGGTGACCCTGCCCCCGCTGTCGCCGCCGCGGCGTCCGCATCCCCTCCGGTCGCGAGGCAAGCAGCCGCTGCGACTGCGGCGCCACCTCCGCCGCTGCTCAAAGAGGCGCCGGCGGAGCAGCTGTGGCTCAACGAGTGCTGCGGCGTGCTCTGCCACTCCTGCTGCAGCCGACTGAACAACGCGGCGTCTAAGGACTTGCGACGTGCGGAGTAGCTGCCGTGCGGCGGCGCACCAACGCCAGAAGCCCCGGCGGCGCCATCAGGAGCAGTAACCCCGGTGTTGCTGCCGCCACGGCCAAGAACGCTTCCTTCGCCACCGCCGCCCAAGGCATTCCGGCCATGCATACTGCCTTCTGCACCGCTCCACGCTTGGTCCACACTCGCGCCCGACGCGTGCGCATGCAGACTGCCGCTGCCCTTGCATGTGAGCACGGCCTCGGTGCCGTCCGGATTCCGGTGCAAACTGCCACTGGCATTAGCACCGGAGCTGAACGCCGGGGCCGTGCAACGCCTTAAGGCACTCCGGGAGGCAGCAGCAGAGCCCTTGGAGGCACGAGGTGCCGGCGCGCCGCCGCCGCTGCCGCCGCCGCCATCTGCTGCTCCGCCGCTGTTAGATTGCTGGCCCTCTGCCTCTACATCCCGCAGACTAGAGGTGCTGAAGCTGCTCGCTGCTGCGGTACCATCGAACCCGCTGTGGGAGGTAAGCAGGAAGGCGCCACTGGCTTTACGTGAGGCGGCGGTGCCATGGCTTGGCGGCCGAATGAGCAGCATGGTACCGGTTAGCGGGTCAACCTCTCCGCAGCCGCCGCTGAAGCTCGCGCCGCCAAAGCCGCTGGACTGCAGCCTCTCCTCTAGGGTGCACTCGCCATCAACTCCCACGTCCTCATCATCCTCTTCGCCGCAGAAGGCCGCCCCGCCAAAGGCCTCCCGCGACAGCCGGCCCAGCAGACCGCCCGCCAGCACGCCGTCTCCATGCGCCTCGAGCACGTCGCGCTCGATGGCTGCGAGGCGGCGGTTGGCGCTGTGCAGGGACTCGTCCAGCGAGGCCACCTGCGCGTGCGGGGCGGCGGAAGGAAAGGGTAGATACACGCTAGCAGGAGTGGTGGTGGTGGTATGGTGGTGGTGGTAAGGCTGTTTCGGCTGTGGGAAGAAGCCAGATGGGTCCTGGGCCTTCACAGGAGCTCATGCATGCGCCTTGCTAACAGAAACACCATGAGAAAGCTGGGCGTGCGAAGTGCACGAGGAGGGGCGCGGTAATGCCAGTTGGGTTTAGTCCTCACCGTTTGTTCAATGGCCTCCACGCTATTCGCCACGCCGCCCAGCACCCGCCCCAGCCGCGTCTCAGCGCCCTCCATCACCTCCTTCCCATGCTGCTGTAGCATCTCTTGTACGGCAGGCACCCCGCGGCCCTCTCGCCGTACAACCGCATCAGCCAGCGCAAGCAGCACCTGCCGGCTGCCGGGTTGTGATAGCAGCGCCTCCATCGCAGACCCTGTTGCTGTTGCTGCTGCTGCTGCACAGGGTGCGGCCGGGGCCGTGGTCGCAGCAGGAGCCGATGCACCGCTAGGAGCATGGAGCATGGCAGGCTCATCGCCTCGATCACAGCGGCGGCTGCCGCCGGCGCAGCGAAACAGCGAGCGTGCCACAGCAGCGGAAGCTCCGTTTGAAGCTTGAAACGGGGACGGTTCAATCCCAACTGCGCGCGCCAGCACCGCAAGCGCAGCCTGAAACTGCATGCGGGGATCAGCCTGGCGCGCGGACGCCGGCCGAGACCCCGACACGGGCCGCGACGACGGGTGTCCGCCCGCATGTCGAGGAACGCCGTCCACACTGCCTACTCCAGAAAGCTCCGCGACTAACTCCCCACCAACATGCGCTGACGGCGGCTGCTGCGGTGACAGTGCAGCCACAGACCCGGCCAGAGCATCACTGGCGTCTCGCACGACACGGCTGGCGAGGCGGTGCGGCATAGCCCCATTGCTGCTGAGCCAGCGACCGCTGCTGTCAATCGTGCTGTTCCGCGACCGGCGCCGCAGCACCAGCGAGCGAATGCCGCCCCTGCCGTCGCCACTGTTGGCGTCTACAGCGGGAAGCAACGCGGAAAACGGCGTGCCAGCGTTGCCCAAGTCACTGCTGCGGCCCGCAGCGCCGCCGCCACTGCTGCTGTTGGTGTTGCTGGTTTCGTCCTCTGAGGCGTTATGCCCCAACATGGACCAACCCAGAGCCAGGCGGGAAGCCGACCGGCGTGCTTGCCGTCGGGAAGCAGACCGCACGGGTTCAGAGGGGCCCGCGGCGGTGGAAGCAGAAGGCGGGCTAGACGCGGTGGGGCTTGCAGTCAGCGGGCTGCCTCCTTCGACCGCACGGCGGCTCCGCTGTCCCGAGCACTCGCTCGCGGTCCGAACCAGCTGCAGCGCAGCAGCCTGCCTGGCCCCAGGCAGGGGGCTGCACCCGTCGTCCACAGCGGCGAGAGCGGCAGCGCTGCCACCGCCAAGATCCCAAGCGCTAGTTAGGCCGCCCTCGACATCGACCGCCGCATCTTCGCCACCAGCCGCGGCGGCGCCACCGCCATCTCGATTGCTGACGGGACGCAAGCCGGCATTGTTTGCGTTGTCATGCGACGACAACCGCCACCGGCCAGGCAACCGCATCAGCGCCGCCCCTGCTGCCATGTACGGCAGCTGGCCGGCACTCAGGCTCGGTCCGCCGCGCCGGTGGTGGTCAGCATCTTGTTGCTCAGGAGGACGTCCGGCGGTGTTGCCACCCTCATCCGTCAGCCGCAGCACCTGTGCCGCGGAGGTATTTGGACTGGCACCGGCGCGGCCACGGCTGAGGGTGCGCATGCGCTGTAAGGCATGCGGACCGGGGAAATGGTCCAGCAAACTGCTAAGCAACTCACTCAGGTTGCGTAACAGCCTGCGGCTGCCGCTGATGCTGTCGTGTGCGTCAAGAGCTCGCCGTGAAGGTAGAGCCTGCAGCGGCGCAGGCGGCATTGGCGGCAGCAGCAGCTGCTGTGGTTGCTGCAGCTGCTGACACGCTTGAGCCTGGGATTGTTGTCCGTCTGCATGACGCAGCCGCTGGCGCTGGCTCTGCTGCTGCGCTGCTGGTTGCCGTGGCTGCTGCTGCTGTTGGTCCTCTGCGGCTTCGTTGGGGCTGAGGATCTCTGCATGCCCCTCGCCGCGCGATTGTCCGCTGGCGTCAGGGCCCTGCGGTGGGCCGGAGGTATCCACGTCAAGGGAACGCCGCTGATCAGCTGAGGCAAGCGTGGTTGCGGTCTCAAGACGCAGCAGCTCCGCCGAACTGGGCCCGTCGCTGCCTGACCCTTGGGCACTCGGGGAGTGCGGGCTGACTGAGAAGCCAGGGCGGCCCAGCCGGCTGGGACAGCGGCTGGGACGGGTGGGGGTCCTGGGGCTGGGGAAGGAGCCGGTGAAGGAGCCGCTACCCGAGCTCCGCACGTCCGGTGAGCGGCTGCCTGCCGGAGAAGCAGCAGCAGCAGCTGGCGCTGCTGCATGCGAGGGCGCCGTGGGCAGCAGCCCCGCATCTAGTCCTAGCGGCGCTCCTGGGTCTTCCTCACGCGCTGGTGAGAAGGTGAGCGCAGGTTCGAGCGGCTCGTGTGCCTGCTCGAATGCAGGCGAAGGTAACGAAGCAGGTGGGGCGGCGGGTAGTGGTATAAGATCCTGGCTTATAAGCAGCCCCCACAGGGGAACAGATGTCGTTACCGGTAATGTTGTCAAGGACGCTACAGCCGCTGCCATGACATTGCTGCCGTTGGCCTCGGCTGCTGGTGGTCCTGGCCCCTCCGGCGTGGCACAAGGAGGAACCGGACGCGGGGACGAAGACACGGTTGGCGGGACAGAGGCACCGGCAGAAGCCATACCGTCAGCCGTATGGCCGCTGCTACTGGCGCCATTACTGGCAGCAGGCCCGGCCGTCGGTGTTTCTGTTGGCGGCTCCGCTGCCGGCCTTGCACCTGCAGACGGCGCTGATCCTCCGCCGCTACTTTCCCGGCCCAATTCTCGGCCTGGCCCAAAACTCGAAGCTTCTTGACCGCCAGCCGTAGCAGCAGCGGAGTCGCCTGCTGCGCTGTAAGTCCCTTGCCCGCTTAGCCCTCCTAGCCCTCCCTGTTGATCCAGAACCGACATGGAAGCGCTGAAGCTGAGCTCCTGGCCCTCCTGACAGGTGCAGGTGCTGCTGAAGCTCACACCAGGGCAGCTGCTGGTGTTACCGCCGCAGCCGCCGCCGCGGTCGCCGCTGCCGGCGATATCAGGCTCGTCCGCATCACCGTGCAGTTGGTACGGCAGCAGCACTTTGTTGATGAACCAAGTCCACTGGGTGCCTTGCAGCCGGTCTTCCAGCTGCTGCATCAGCCGCTCCTGGAGTGGCACGGAATGATGAAGGTGGGTGGACAGGAGCAGACAGGCGCAGAGAGCGCGGGCGGGCAGGCACACGGCGCACACATAGGATGTGGCAGCATTCCAGCACAGCACGCCAATCCCGCACACCCCTCGCCATCCCCACCTGCACCAGAGCTGCCGATTGCGGGTGGTCCTTGCATGCCGCCGCCAAATCTCGTCCCGCCAGCGCCACTAGGTCCGCGGAGCGCCCCGCTACTGCCGTACACGTCCGCCGCCTGGCCACCAGATCCGGCAGCACGGCCAGCTCGCCGAACGCCTCCCCGGGCCGCAGCAGGCCGCACATGTCACCCGCGGTGGAGCGAAGAAGTACGACACCCTGCAGGTGGAGTTCATGGCATTCAAGATTCCGGGGTGACACAAGGGGCTGTGTAACAGGGTGTGGTTCGGAGGGTAACAGGGTATGCGTTAACGTGCTTAGGGTGCGGATAGGACAAGGGCATGCGCGCCTGCCGTCCTGCGGCCACCTGCCTTGCGCACGACGTACAAGTGCTGCCCCACATCGCCCTCCTGGAAGATCACCTCCCCGGGCGTGAAGGCCACCAGCGTCAGCCGCGCCTGCAGCGGCAACAACAACAACGGGGGCACGTAGGGGAGGTAACAGGTAAGAGGAAAGAACCGGTCCCAAGAAGTACCGGTATAAGGCCATTAGTTGACCCGGTGCTGGCCCATCACCTGCGCATCAGCTGACTCCGGGCGTGTAGCCCCTACTTCAGCTGCCCCACGGCACCACATGGTGAGGCGCTTTTGAAACCACCCTGCAGGTACCGGTACCTTCTCCCCCCCTCTCCCCCCCCCTCTCTCCTCCTCACCTGCAACGCTGCCAGGAAGGGCTCGTCGCAGCCGGCGAACAGCGGCATGCAGTGGAAGGGCGCCGAGTAGAGCGACCACTTGATGTCCTCCACCAGCCCCCGAGGCAGCTCGGACAGGAAGGCGTCCGCCTCGGGACCTGGGCGGGCAGGAGAGGGGGCAGGTGAGGCGGCAGGCAAGCGGGCGTTGGTTTCGGAACTGCGCGACCAGCGGCGTAACCTGCAGCCGTGCAGCCTCGCCTCACTCAAGGTTACTACCACTCAAAGTAAAAGGGAACAAAGTCCGTGTTTCTTAGCTTAATCACACGTAAGTTTTCGCCGGAGTGTGGTCCCGCACCCGGATGTTCGTGCATCGCCAGGAATGCAAAGTAGTCGGCCACCCGGTTCCTGAAGCGCTGCGGGGCGCCCATGTACCGCAGCGCGTCCGCCACCATGCCGGCCTTCAGGCGGTAGCGGCTGGACAGGGAGTTGAGGTTGGCGGCCAGGACTGCCATGTTGCTGACCTGGGGGGCCGGGTTGCAGGGTTGACAGGGCAGGGGAGGGGAGCGGGCTGAGGGGCGAGGGGTCGTGCAATGGGTGTGGGCTAGCTAGTATGTACCAGAGGCGTGGCGGGTGCTCGTCATTATGGAGTAGGCGGGGACGGCGTTGCTGTCATATCTGGAATGTTTAGTTTCCATCGGCATGCAGAACAGACATGCGTAATGCGCTAATGCCCTGTGCACTACAACAGGCTGGTGGGAGGAGGGCCAGCCAGGTGGGCGGGCTGGTGTGTAGGCCTGGGTGTGAGCGGGTCAGCCAGGACCGCGCATCAATGCGCCTTTCAACCTAGAGGGCGGCGAAAGGAGTGAAGAGGGAAGTGGGAAGGAAAGGTAGCGACAGCGGAGGAGCCCGTGCCCCAATGAGCCACATACACTCACGATGAGCGCGTACAGCACGGCCCCCACGATGAGCATCACGATGCAGAAGACCCGCTCCAGGTTGTTGGCGGTGGGCAGGTTGTCGGAGCCCACCACCAGCACAAATGACACGTACAGGGAGAAGCTGCGGCAGCGGCAGGCGGGCAGGCAGGCGGAGGCAGGCAAGGAAAGGAGGAGTAAAGGAGTGGGGAGCCGATGGGTTGTTGCGCGGGACCAGAAAGGAACCCCTCGGTTCTCGCCTACTGTCATCTCCTTTCCGCCGGGGAGCCAAGTGGGGCTCACTCATGTGGAGGGGGGCAACCATACAGCGACCCCACGGGCCCCTCAATACAATGGCGTCTTCCATCGGCAGCTCGGAGGCTTGCAAGCACGGGCAGTGCGGCATACGGCATACGGCAAGGAGCAGCCGCATGCGTCGGCCTGCCGCAGCCCAGTACCGGTGTTGCAGCCGTGCTCCCACCTGTAATGCGCCAAGAAGCCGTGCTCCCCGCGACGATGCAGCTCGTCAAATATCCACGGCCAGCCTGGCAGGGCATGAAGAGGTACACAGCTGTATAAAGCAAGCAAGACAAGATGGCAGGGAGTGACGGGATATGCGGCAAACGGCCCAGCAGACTAGGCCGGCCACGCCTAGGCGGCCCCCAGCACCGCTCTAGCCTTCCTCCAACAAGGGAAGTTGCGCGGCACGAAGGCGCAATTTCACCTCTCCCAAGTTCCAGTCCTCGCAAAGCACAAACAAACGCGGCCTCCAGGACGGCGCCGTACGGTAACCGCCTTTTCACCAAGCCCTGGCGTCACCCTGCCGCGTGTGTATAGAAAACTGGCCGCGAGTCGGAACGTACTGTGAGCGTGTGTTCCCACCGCTCCGTTCCTGGCTTCTTACCCTCCAGCCACTCGCTCATGCCGTGCCAGATGCACGCTGTCCAGTGCGCCACCAGCAGCATCAGCGTGAACAGCCGCCCCAGCCGAATCAGGTTGGCGTAGCGCAGCCGGTCAAACATGCGAAGCAGCCTGCAGACACAGCAGGCGAGAAACTGTCTAATGGGATGAATCGCAATGAGAGCTACTAATATTTGAGATATGCGCCGATGCAAAGGCGCCGACCTAAACCAAAGCAAACCGACGACCCATGGGTCGGCGGCGGAGTCCACACTAGAACCGCGGCTTCCATTGGGCTCTGGGCAGCCCAGCGTGCATACTTGCACACACATGCGGGCCGCGGATCGTATGCTGTAAAGAGCCGAGAGGTCCCTCCAGCAACCCAAGGGCGTGCGCACCTGGCGAGCTTCAGCAGCCGGAGCACCCGCAGCAACGTGACCAGCCCCCCCGCGTCGTGGTTGCGGCGGAGGCTGCTTTTCAGGACGGCCCGGATGATCTCCGCCCACGGCAGCGAGGATACCAGGTCCAGGGGAAGCCAGGTGCTCGCGTAGTGGGCGGCGATGTGGTGTGTGTTGCGAACCAGCTCGCCCGTCTCGTCAATGTAAACCGTCCTGGGGGGTTGTTGCAACCAAGGAATGACCGTCGACTGGTTTTTCCTATGCGTGTTTCTTCCGATTTGAAATGTTATGTGAAATGTTACAGATATAGGACGGGAAGACAAAAACCAGCGGGAAGGAAACCTCCTGCTTGTTATGTTATCAAGCCGTTCGCAACGGGTTTTCTTAGGTACACGCACGCATGGTTGCCCTGGTAAACGCTCCATGCGTAACCGCACCCAAGCCCGCGCCTCCGTCGCCGGTTGCGCTGTTTGGCTGACCACCGCAGCACACACAACACCCACACACGGCACCAGCCTGACATCAGCAACTCCTACCAACAACACCGCACTGCGCACCTGGCGCCTCTCCCCTCCTCAAGTCCACCCAAACGTCCCCCGCCCGCCCGCCCGCAGCTTAGTTAGGCCTAATCCCCCACCTGAGCTGCACCAGTATGTCGACCCAGAACACGGCCAGCACCGCCAGGTCCAGTCCGTCCAGCAGCGGGTGGCGCACGCTGCGGAAGCCCGCCTGCAGCGGCACCACCGCGGAGGTGTACAGCAGCAGCACCAGCATCAGCAGGTCCCAGCTGCAGCAGCAGGGAAAGGGCGGCAGCAGGGGAAGGGCGGCAGCATGAGAAGCAGCAAGAGGCAAGTAACAACAGGGGCATGGAGCAGGCATCCGAGCCAAGAAGGGACGGGGGGCAGCAAGGAGTTGGTTGGGCTGGTGTCTTTCGGTTGCATACGGCAGTGGGGGTGGTAGCAAGGTCGGATGTGGCCGAACTGCTTTCATTGAGGGGCGCGTACGGACACGCCACGCAACCGCCAACACCGTTCCACAGTCCAACAGCTATACAATCTCTCAGATTTGCGGTATGCCTACAGCACCCAGATCTCTTACCCCTACCTGGATCTTCCCAGGGACGGCTGGAACAGCGGGATGTACTTGTCCGCGACGCTCCACAGATCCAGCACGAGCGCATGCCAGGGCACTCGCTCCACCTGCTGCTGCTGCCTCTCCCGCCGCCGTGTCCTGCTGCGCCACTTCGCAGCCAACGAAGCTGCCCGGACCGCAGCCAAGGCGGGTAACCCCAGCCCCGCGCCACCACCACCGCCACCACCACTGCTCGCCTCATCGCTACCGCTGCCGGCGCTGCCACGCTGCCAGCCCCGCCGCCGCCGCCTCAGGCCGCCTGCGTCGCTGCTGCCCCTCGTGTCCACGCTGTCCCGCGACGCCATGAGCCACCAAGATACCTCCTTGTACGTCGCCGTCGCGGCTGCTCCTGCTCGGGGCTGCAGTAGGAAGGGCGTGTGGTCCGGCGGCGGCGCCGGAGGAGCCTCTGCAGGCGTGTCCTCCGCATCGTCGTCGACTACTTGTCCAGGCAGCTGAGGGGCTAGGCCGCCCTTGCCGCGGCCCAGCTGCAGCTCCGGACCCACTTCTAGTCTGGAGGATGCTGCGCCTGGGCTTAGCCTTGAAAACAAGTCCACACGGCTGCTTGTGGCGCGTCCGGATGCGACCTCTGCCGTTGCCGGCCAGAGGAGCTTTACCAGCGCAGCAGTTGATGTGGTGGCACCAGGCGCCTTTGCCGCTGCTGCTGCTGCTGCTGTTGAAGAGTTTGGAGGAGGTCCTTCCGCAGCGCCGTCCTTGACAGCATCACAGCTGCAGCCATTGCTGTCCCCTTCTGCCTGATGTTGTTGTTGCTGCTGCTGTTGTTGTGAGGTGGCAGCAGCGGCAGCAGCGGTCAGCTCGGGGAGTGCAGGCGGCAATGAGCCTACCGACGGAGCCACAGCACTGGTGGAGGCGCCAGCGCCGCTGCACCGCCTGCATCATCCTCGGATAGAGATACACGCCGCCGAGTCGACATGAGCCCCGTCCCAACACGCCTGTATGCAATTTCACGGGACCGCCGCCGCCGCGCAGTCGCCGGGTCCTCACTGCCGTCGCCCCCGTCGCCCCTGCCTCCGCCTTCGCCGCCATCACCGTCAACCGTGATGTCACCGCCGCCAAAAGCGCTAAGGATGACCGACGCATCGCTGCGCTGGAGACCTGTGCTGTCCTCCTCGCCGGTCACTCTCTGAGGTGACCACGTCTGCGGCGACGGCGGCGCGACGGCGCCCGCCGCTCCTTCGCTGATCGCTGGCCGAGCGCGGTAGGTCCCACGCACGCTTTGGACTGGACCCCACGCACCCCGCACGCTGCGAACAGTGACAAGCGCTGCCGATGATGCTGGCAAGTGGGTGCTGACTCCGACAGCGTCACTACGGTCCGGGCCGCCATGTAGAGACGCCGCTAGCAGGTGCTGCGAGAGGTCGCGTTGCGACGCCAGCGCCTGTAGCCCCCGGCCGTTTGAGAGGGCCCGAAGCGGCGTTCGCGGCAGCCCGAGGCCAGGGGAGCTGCTTTCGTGCGTGATGAGAGGTGCCTCGACCCAGGAGGCTCGCCGCATGATGGGGCTTGAGCTGTCCACGGCCTGTATAGGGGAGCGAGGGGCGCGTGAGGTAGGAAGGGGAGCCTCATGTCAGGCAGTTGGGGTGCTAGGCTGATAGGAGAGAAGTCAAAGCACCCTCGTGTGCGGTAATGCGTTTGAACGGGTTCCTTCTACCCTGCGCTGGAAGGGTACCTCGTTGGTGAAGGGCATGACACGACGACTGCTGCTCCTTGAGAAGCGGCCGGTGGCACCGTCGTCGAGGTGGAAGGAGTGTGTACGTGCCAGTCGTTCTGGCTGGAGCGCGTGTGAGCGGCGTCCACCGTTATCAGCCTGACCATCCCTTTGCTGACGCTCTCCATCTTCGTCAGCTGCCTGCTGCCTCAAAGTTTCTTCAACCTGTCAAAGCATGACAGATCCGCATACAATACAGGCCAATTGAAACATAGTAAGGACAGCTCTGAGAAGTTTTGCCGTAGAGCATGGCCTCCTAAGCATGTATTAAGCGCCTACCAAGGCATCAGCGCTGTTAAGATAGTGTGATAGTAGAAAAGCCTGAACTGCCTCCGCCATCGATGGCCCTGTATGTCAAGTCGTTGCCCTATCCTGCAAGGCAAAGGCCTGCTTGTCTCCCTCCGCCAGCTGTGCAGCGCATTTCTCTTGTTTTACGCTTTTTATGACACTCCATTTTGCCTGGTAATGTCCTGTGCGTGTGCCAGGAAAATAATTAAGCTCATGGAACGCGCCGTCCGGTATACTGTTCCGACGAGAGAATCGAAATCTTAACCCCCTGCACCCGAACCATAGATAAGTTTGATAACCTGAAGACCCATAACACCCAGTGCTGCCGTACTCTCAGATATTACACATGCTGTACGCAACACAGTGACAGCTGCAACGTCTGTCACAAGCTAGGGCAAGTTCGTTCAGTAGTCTACCTTTTCTTCCTTCAATCGTCAGCTGGACTGTAGACCATGGTCTTGACTTTGCCTGAACCAAGACCGGACCGGCGGTCCAGGGCAAACCGAAAGCCCAATTACCAAGTTTCTGCCAGGGGTCTAATCCTGGGGAACATACGTATTCCAGCACTAAGCACTAAGGTTGACAGCCTACGCCGTGATACTAACCGCTACCCAGCAGGGCTCGGCCCTTCTTCAATGCAGGCGGCGCCGTTCATGCAGCACCGTTAGAACTTCCTAGTTAAGCTCTTACCAGCGTATTTTGCTATAGAGCTTATACTAAAGCGTCTAACCATGCCGTTGCATAGCTCTGAACGGGCATGCGCCTACTCCCAGCCGAATTTAGCCAAGTGGGTTACACAGGGGTTACGTCAACTGAGATGCACAATTAACTTTGACCGTGGTTGATGGTGACGCCTGCGTCTGCGCTCGTCATGTAAAGAAGGCACCCGACGCAAACCAAAGGTTTGTCTTGTACACAATATGCCTATGCTTGCATGCACGATATGGTGCGAGGCTTGGGTTCAATTATCCTCTTTTTCCTCAGGCTACGTGCAAGAAGCCAGGGGTGCGCAACTTGGCCCGTATCTCACTCTACGTCGGGAATTCCAGGATGAGGGGAAGCCATCGATCTAACTCCGACAACATACATCCACGTCACCAAGATTACCCTGCTTCTCTTGAGTCCTGGCAAGCGGCTGCGCTGCAATGGCCCTGCAAATTGATCAGCCGGCCAAGTGGTTACCTTTCCAATGCATATGCTGCTTTGCTACCCGTCCTACCCTGAAACGCTAGCTATGCTGCTCCTGCCAACGCGTTAGCCGACCCAACTAATCCTTTCTCGATCAAGCTCCCTGCTCTCAGCTACAACACTGCAACCAAACCCTGCCACAACCGACACATGCTACTGTGAGCCCAGGGCTACATAGCGTCGGCGAGGCGACGAAAACAGCGCAACCGCCGAGTGCTGGCGCCAAATAACCACTCCCGCTCGTAATGTCTCCCAACGTCTTAAGCCCAGGCTGGGCGAGGGGCTTGCGGTTAGGGACACGTATGGCTGTGCACCCATGCGGCATACGGAGCCTTAAACCTCGGCCGCAGCATCCTTCTTCTCCTCCTGCACGGTAAGGGGGCGGGGCAAAAACGGAAGATCTTCTTGATAATCCCGACATGCAAAGCAGGATGAGACATCAAACAGCACAGCTCAAAACCGCCAACGCAGTTAAAGGCCGCTATTGCCGTGGTTGGCCTTGTCACGATAATTTCCTTCCTCTTCAATCCCAACCCCTGTTCGTCTCTTCGTCTTTACCCCCAAGCCACCTGCGGGTTGTTGCTGTGGTTCTGCTTGGCCTTCTCCAGTGCTGCCAGCAGCGCCAACACCTTCTCCTCGCCCTTGGTGCGGAACGCCCAAGTGCGCACCAGCCCGCCCGCAGCCTTGCCCGCGGCGCCCTCCTTATCCTCCGCCTCGCCCTCCTTGGCCTCCGCGGCTGACTGCTGCGGCTGCTGGTTGGCGTCAGCCGGGGCCGCGGTGTTGACGCAGCCAAAGGTGACGCCGCTGGCGCCTTGCATGCGCTGCACAGGAGGGAATGTGTGTGTATTGGAAGATGGGGTGGGTGGGATGTGGGTGGGCGTGTGAATTGGTCTGAGCAGGACGGATGCTGACACCTTGAGAGGAGCGGAGCGCACACGGCAAGGGCACGTGCAAGGCAAGGCAAGGAATGCAAATGGAGCGAACCTCCACGCAGAAGCGCAGAAGGCCACCCTGTCGTTAGTTTCTTGTGGTCCCCGGACCCCAATCTCCCCCCCCCCCGCCCCGCACCTGCACCGCCATGTTGCTCATGACGCGCGCATTCAGCAGCAGACGAAGGTTCGCAGCCTGCAGGGACAAGCAGGATGGGAGGGGAACAACAGTTTAATAAGCAAATGTTTGATCGATTAAATGGAACGCTCATGCATGCAAAGGCATGCCGAAAACAGCGTTTGCGGGTTGTGCCTCTCCTTGGCCCCCAACCGCTCGGTCCTCCTGTTACATCACTCCCAGCTAGGTACTGATCCTGAGACAACGCCCTTACGCGCTACGAATTCTCTGTTTGGCTGTTTACCCCGGGCGCCCTAATGCCCACCTGCGTCGGGACCTCGCAGGCCGAGCTGCCGGGGCGCTCTTGCCCGGGCCCACGTGATGTGGGCTCATGTGTGCCCTAACCCTGTGCTCGTCCCAGCTCCATCCTGCTCTGTGCGCCCCGATGGTAATCCCCTCCCCAACCTTTGGCGGGGGTTTGCACTTTGATTGCTGCTACTAACTTAACAAGTATGACTATACGCAATCCTGAAATCCAGCCAAATGCGGAATATGTAGCCTATGACCCCCCCCCCCACCTGGCGCATGAGCAGGCGGCTGGTGGCGCCATCCGCGGACACGTTGACCCGCAGCTCCCCGCTGCCGCGCTCCCGCCACTTGGACGCAGCACTGTCGTACTCGTACAACTTGCCGTTCTCTGCGGCTCGCACGGCATGGGGTAAGTTCAGTACGACATGGGGAATTGGGGATGGTACGATGCGCAATGAGGGGGACAGGGCTGCCTTTACCTAATATACCGAAAAGCCGTTGCACGTTATGGACTAAAGGGAGAAAGAGAGGCGCATTATGCTGTCCAGGGTGGGCGAGACACGAAGCGGCGCTGCGGTCCGCAACTACCACAGCGCACCCAAGCTCTGTTATACCATGCACGCAAAACAAACCAACCCAATGCAACCAGCTATCGGGTGGGCTCCGTATCCCTACCGTCCTCGGGGGACCTGCATGACCGCTTGCATGCGTGCAACCTCACATCCAGCCCCGCTCCTACAATTACATCCCCCGGCGCCATGCATCATGCCTGCAACACACCCCACCCCTCACCAATGCACCCTCACCCACCAGCATAGATGGTTTGCTCGTTCTCCTCGCCCGTCACCTTCTCCACCACCGCCAGCTGCACCACGGGCTTGATGGAAGGGTCCTCCGAGGGCTGGAACGCCTCGGGCTTCTCCTCGGCGCCGCCCTCGCCGCCCTCCTCCGCACCACCAGAGGAGGCCCCAAACAGCGGCTTGCCCAGCCCGCCTGCGCCCGGCTCGAGCTTAGGGAAGGTAAAGCCTCCGCCAAACGCGCCCGCGCCACTCGTGCCGGTGCCAAACAGGCCGCCGCCAGTACTGCTGCCGGCGCCGAAGATGTTGCCGCCGCCGGTGGCGCCAAAGATGCCTCCAGCGGCGCCGCCGGTGCTGCTGCCGCCGAAGCCGCCAAAGTTGAAGCCACCGGGGGTGGAGCCGCCCGCTGCCAAGGAGGCAAAGCCGGAGGTGGTGCCGGCGCTGCCGCCGAAGATGCTGGTGGCGGGCGTGGTGGCGGTGCCGCCCGGGGATGTCGACGCTCCCTCCCTTGACTCCTGCACACGCATAATAGGCACAAACAAAACAGGGTGCAGCAATGAAAAGGCAATGCTGAAGACAGGATTGACGGGGTTGCAGTGCAAAGACCATCCATACTTGCCGCAACGTTTCCAACTGGGCGCCAGCTAATGCCCCTGGGCGCACATCTTTGGGCCCACCATCACAGCCCCCCACGGCACGGCACGACTGCACCACCCCTTCTGAACCCCTGTCCAGCCGGCCTGGCGGGCGCTTACCGGCTCCTTCATTTCATCTGCTGCTGCAGGTGCAGCCGCCTGTGGCTGCGCAGCCGTTTCTTTCTCAGCAGCTGCTTCCTTGGCCTCCGGAATAGCCGCCTTCTCGCCCTCAGGCGCAGCGGCCTTCTCACCCTGGACAGCCTCAGGTGCAGCCTTGGCCCCCTCGACTTCCTTTTCGCCCTGTGCAGCAGCGCAGCAAGCATTCAGAGACCCATGCATGGGGCTCATGCAGGCATGCTGTTTCGATGCTGCTTGGGCTTGGTGCGGGCAACCCATGGCCCACTGCGGAGAGACCCAGCATTCGTTTGGTGGATGCTTCGGCAGCCCGAGCTTGAAGCGCATGAACGTCCACCGAACAGGCAAGCCACACCTCCAACACGGAAGGGTCAGAGAGGGCTTCCAAACCACTCGACCAGGGCTGCTCGACTGTGCCAGTTTGCACAGCTTGCACTGGTCCCCCACCCCACCAGCGATGTCCCAATTGCAGGCGTCACCCTAAGACACCCCTCATGAGCAAGCTGCCCTTCAGCAACGTCCAGGACAAGACGCTACCCTACCTCGCCCTGTGGCTTGGCCTCAGCGTCCTTTGCGGCCGCCGGTGCTGCTGCCGTGGCTGGTGGCGCGGCAAAGGAAAGCGCTATCCCAGCGAAGGGGTTCGCGGCGCCTGAAGGCTGCGCCCCGGCAGGGGCAGCCCCAGCTCCGCCTCCACCTGCACCACGACGCACGTGCACCTTCCGCCGCTCTCGTGTAGCCGTGGTATCGGCCGTCCATGTACCAGGGTCAACGCTCTGGCGTACATATCCAGAAGCCCAGGGCCAAGTACAAAAACGTCATAGCGATTACATATAGCAGCAACGATACAGTGGAAGGTGGCATTTCCACACAGACTATGGCTTGTAGCGCTAAATCGAGCGTCAGCCGGCTGGAGCTTTAACAGCTGTACAGGTATCGACAACCCCGTACTTTACTATCTTCGGCTATATTGCACAAGCGGGCAGGCGCTGTGATGCTGTGCGCGCGTGAGTTTGAGTGCAGATCTCCCGACTGAGGGTCTGTGAAAGGCAGGAGAATGAACATACCGGCTGATCATCGTCGTCGGGATCGTCCCTGTCCCTTCCGCCTTGTCCAGGCCGCTTTTTCGCCGCCGGTTGGAGCGCATCCGAGGGGCGTTCGTCTCCCATTGCTAGCGTTTGAAATCTCCACAGTCAAATCAAAAGCGCAACAAGTATATATTTATAATATTGACGTCCGTAAAACATATTGTGTAGGCTTCGTAACTTGGTGCTCCGTACGGCCCTGGTCTACCTCACCATCCAAAGCGCCGCACGTCGCGTTTCCTACGGGCTGAGTCGGCTGACATCTATCATAGCGGCCATTTGATACTTCGTTTCAATAAAACCAGTTAGATAAGTCAGAGGCCTAGAGCTCCTGCTCACTGCCCGTTTCCCCTGAGCTGCCTTCCAACGTTACAATTGTACCATTTACGGTATGGTAATTACTAGGCACAGTAGCACATGACGTATCTCAGCCATTCGGTACCAGCACCGCTTACTGACCGTCCGAGGCCAAAGCCTGGCGCATGATTCTGCAACCCCACACGCGTTAAGGGGCTCGTTCGCGTTGGGAAAGCCATCGTAACTGCGATGCTCATGGTGAGGGAGCGTAAGCTTTGTTAGCACTTCCTCGCTTGTGCACGTTTTCGGCTTCCCCGGTAGCTAATTGCTACCTGATCGGTATTATACAGAAATGCGGTTATATGTTTGTTTTACTGCTGCGGTATGGGTAACTTGCGTTGCCTTGCAAGTTGGTTTTCCAACGTATCAAAACCCTGCAGCGCCGGGTCTACGCCTGGCTGTATATCACACTTCATGGTATTTGCATTCTGAAGCGATTGTCCTGATGGCGACATGTTTCACGATATGTGCGCGCATGAGCCTATCAATTTTGCCGTTGGGTATGCCTTCTTTGAAAGCACACACAATTGACCACTAGTTACTGGTAATGGTCGGTTATAGGTATGTGGAATTTTTGGATGCCTGGGCCACGCCTTCTCGAGGTCACCGTCCTCGGCATCCTTAAGCACGGCTGAGCAGCAGCACCACCACGGCGCGCATAACATAGATCGCCGCCAGCCCGGCGATCGACATCACGGACGTAATGCCCGGGCATCCAGCCAAAACGGGCTCATTACTGCCGGACCTGGGGCTCATGGTGGAGGTGCAAGCAGTTCATCTACCGGGGCAACAAGCGAGCTTGACTCCCGACCCGCACCCGGACTAGGGTTGCATTCTCTTTCGCCGACGCTGGAACAGGTGAACAAGTATGGATGTTTCACAATATAAGGACTGTACCATATCTACGGTTCGGGTGGGTTCGGTTGGTTAGGTCGTATCTAGGGTTAACTCGGAAAAGCTCTGTGGACGGCATTGCAAAATAGCAGTAAGGGTTGCGCAGGTACTGACACCTAATCCTAGCGCCTCGAGAGCCACAACACGCACCCCTTGGCAGCACACAACACTGCAAACACCCTTTCAGCCAGCAACAAAAGCAGCCCCTGCGTGAAACACAACCAAAGTGTCTACCTCCCTTCTGCCTTGCCGTACACAGACACCCCAGGTGCTGTCGTACGATAGCGACCTCCCAGTCGGCGGTGGCGGTGTTGCCGCCGCCGTCGCCGCCGCTGCTGCCGCCACCTCGCAGCCCGCCATGCTGGTCAAAATGGAGCGAATGGGCAACCCCCGCCGCACGCCCCTTCACGTGGCCGCGGAGCGAGGGCAGCTGCACGTCCTCTCCGCCATCATTGAGAGCCTGTGCTGCTCCGCCACAGCTGCGCAGCTGACGGAGGGCACGCCTAGCGGCACCGGCAGCGGCGATGGCGACGGCGGTGGGGGCGGAGGCGGACATGGCCGGAGCTCCGCTACCGGCAGCGTGGGTGGAGGGGCGCCGGCGGAAGCGCCTGGCCTGCTACACCCCGCGGATTTCCCGCACGTCAATCACCAGCAGCAGCAGCAGCGCTACCCGCAGCATCCCGCCCCCCATGCGCCACCACGTAACCACCCCCAACAGCAACAGCAGCGTCACACGCACCAGCAGGGGCAACACCATCCCCAGCAGCACCACCACCAGCAGCCACAACCGCAGCTCTCGCGGGACAGGGGCCAGGTCGGCTCCTCTCCGGCGCACGGAGGCGGTGGTGGCGGCGGTGGCACCAACCCCACTAGCAGCGGCAGCCCGGCGCCCCCCATGGAGGAGTTCCCGCCGTTGCGGCCGGGTGCGGGGGGCGCGCCGCTGGCCCCCGAGCAGTTCATCCAGTTCCACCTGAACATGCAGGTGCGGAGACCGGGTGGGGGGGAGGTAATGTTACGGCGGGGAGTACCTTTCAACCTGGGGCGAAGGAGGGGGAAACAGGGCGCCCTCCCCCCCAGGAGGGGGGTAGGTCTGGGCGCCCTGTATGTGCATACGGAATGGAACCGCATGTTCGCCAAAAAACGGGTCAGGCTGAGACGCGTCAGGCATCATCTCTCTCTCTCATTCCCCCTTCCCGTGTCCCGCCTGGTGCCCCGCCCCCACCCAACACCCTAACACCGGTTCAGGATGTGGAGGGCACTACCGCGCTGTCCCTGGCTTGCCGCTTCGGCCACGTGGACTGCTGCCGGCTGCTGCTCGCCAACGGCTCAGCTCGCACGCTGTCTGATGCGCGCGGCAACACACCGCTGCACTACGCAGCTCTCAGAGGTGAGGGGAGCTGTGGGGTGGGGTGAGGGCGGCGAGGCATTGAAAGGACGCGAGGCCTGCGCGAGGAAACACAACGACAGCCCTGGTAGGGCCCCCACCATGTAACATCACATCACTAAGATGTCACGGGGTACCGGTATACCTTGAGCAGTGGGGTCTACTTTGCGCCACCCGTCTATAGGGATGTTGACGAGCTGCTTTCGTTCCTCCGCGCTCTCCCTTGGCAACCCCGCCCCGCCCCGTGCCCTCCCGCCCTCCCGCTCAGGCCACCTGGGAGTGCTGTTCATGCTGCTAGACGAGTTTGTGGAGCCGGGGCGAGAGGAGGAGCTCGCGGGGTAAGAGCGCGACATGTCACTGCGTGTGCGCATGTCACAACCCCTTTCTGTCAGCCGTTGATGCAACCCGCTGTGTTGCAACCCACTTAACAGAGCAAAGAACCTGGAAAGCTCTCAGGCATACCTTGGCACAACTGTTTCTTTTGGCGGAGCCGCGAGGGTAATGCTGATGTACGTCCTACGCTCCTGCCGTGCCTGTGCCGCTTCTCCGGCGCACACAACCCCCTGTGCGCAAGCCCTGCATGAACTCGCGGTGCAGGGTTCCTCCTGTGGCCTCCTTTGTCCCCGGGCTCTTCTCCTCTAACGTGAACTCCTTTGTCTCTCCTTTGTCCGCGCCCCCCCTGATATGGTCTTTGACCCCGCAGCTACGTTGACGCGCGCAACCACGCGGGCTGCACTCCGCTGCACTACGCGGTGTGGGGCCGCCAGTCGGGCAGCGTGCAGGTGCTGCTGCAGCACGGGGCCGACGTGCTGCCGCGCAACAGCCGGCCGGCGCAGGAGCTGACGCCGGCGGTGAATGTGGTGGGGTCCACGCCGCTGCACTTGGCGGCGGCGAGGGGGCATGTCGAGATCTGCCGCATCATCTTGAAGACCTTTGTAAGCGGGGCTGAAGTGGGGCTTTAGGGTCGCCAGGCCTAAAAGGGCTTAAAGGAACATGCCTTGGATGAAAAGGATGGACTGTTATGGAAGCGTAAAGTGCAGCTTGTTAGGTTGCTAACCGTACTACGTGTACGAAGGACAGTGTAAGGGCCGCCGTGCGTGTTTCCTAAGACTGCAAAGCGCCATACCGGCAATCCCCACGGTTCGTTAACACGAGTCGAGTACTTTCCTTTCCACCAAACTGTATTGTCCTTTGCTCACCTGTCCAAACTGCACAGCTGCTGTAATCCACACACCGGATGTGGCCGGCTGTGTGGTGTTTTCGTGATTGTAATCCGCGGCATTGGATGACCACCCGAGGTAGCTCAAACTTTATAGCTTTGCCGCCGGTGCTGCTGCGCCTGTCCTGTGCCTGTCCTTCTCCCTTGTCTGTCCTCAATCGTGGTTTGGAACTTCTCTCTCCCCCGCCTATCCCCAGGCCGAGCGCGTCTTGGAGCCGCTGCAGCTGACAGAGGACGATCCACAGCCGCCCACGCTCGCCTCGCTCGACCCACGGGTCCAAGTCAACGCCAACGGTCACATGCCGTACCAAGTCGCCCAGCGCCTTGGCTTCTATCCGCTAGCCATGTTGTTGCGCCCCTCCATACCAATTCTGCGTCTCTTCAGTGATGAGGAACGGGCGATTCGCTTCTACGGCCCCGCGCCCCTGCGCGCGATCGCCGCTGAGGCGCTAAACAAGAAGCTCTTGTCAGAGTTGGATGCCCTGGCGGCGACGGCACCGCCGCCGCCGCCGGCATGTACGACGCCCGCTACTGGAAAGCAGGCTACAATGGCGTCAGCAGCAGCAATGTTGGGTTCCAACATCCCGGCGCGAGTGACGGCGCCGCCGCAGGTGCTTTCGCTTTCCGCGGCGTCAACGGCCGCCTCCGCCGCCACCGCAGTGCCGCCGCCGGCGGCTGGCGGCTCCGAGGCCGTTGGCGACACGGTGGCGGTGCGGCGGCCGGTGTCGGCGCCGGCGACGTTGGACCAGCTGGCTGCTGCTGCTGCCATGGATGATGACGAGGACGGCGGCGGCTCCGGTGTTGGCAGCAGCGGCGCCGCCGCAACAGCCCCAGCAAACGTTGTACACGTGGGACCTCCAGCGGCTGGCGACGGCGGCGCTGGTTGGGGCACGACAGGTGACGCTGCGAGGAGCTCTGGGAGGAGCCGCCGCGCGGGAGCAGTACCTTCCAGGGAGGCCTCCGGTGGACCTCCGGCGTCCAGCTTGCAGGTGCAGGAGGAGCGGTTGGCCGCGTCCGGCTCCTCCTCACGTCGGACCGCAGCGCCGCGGCAGCTTACCGTGACAGTGCCCTCTGCCGGCGGCGGCGGCGGCAGCAGCGCTGCAGGAGCCGAGGGACTGGAAGTGCTTCCCTACCAGCAGGGCCGTGCGGGCGCATCGTCAACGCCCTCGCCTGCCTCACCTGGGCCGAACAGCAGCAACACCAGCGGCGGCAGCGTCGCAGGCTCAAGCCCCCAACCCGTCCCGCCCAGGACACCCCTCTCCGTCAACACCGGCGGCGTGGCGCCCGTTTCCCCGGGCCGTACTACGACCCCACGCTCACTCATCCCTCCGACTCCCTCTCCTGGTGGAGCATCCGCCTCACCCTCCTCACCCTTCTCCTCCTCCTCACCCTATCACCACCACCACCAGCAACAGCAGCAGTTGGAGGTAACGGCTCGCAGCCCTCGCCGCTGCACCCCGACGCTGATGGGCAGTCGCTCCACCACCGCATTAGTGCCCGCAGCGCCCCTGGTCTCCTCGCTGTCCCGGCCTCCCAGTGCGGCCAGAGCCAACGGCGGATCCATTCAGTGCGGACCCCAGCGTGGCTCATCCGTTGTGCTGCGGCTGCCTGGCCAACCGGACGTGCCTGAGCTGCAGCAACAGCTACCGCTGGCGGGAAATGGAAACTCGAGGGAGCAGGCATGCGATGAAAGGGCTGCTGCTGTTGTTGCTGTGACAGGTAGCGGGCCTGGTAGCAGTGCAGGCAGCAATGCAGCCGACAGCAGCGGTAGTGGTAACAATAACATGGCTAACAGCAGCAACAACAACGGCAGCAGCAGCAGCAACATCATCCTACATGCCGGAACAGTATCCATGGGTGGGCTGGCAACAGGTGAGGCTCACGTCAGGGTCAGCAGTCTCACCAGCAATTCCTCCGCCTCATCCCGTGATGAGGATCAAATCCATGAGTCCAGCCCTAACGCCAACAGCAGCAGCAATGCTCCTTTTGGGCCGACCACACCCGTTGGTCGCGCGTCTTCAGGGGCATTGCATGTACGGCGCATCTCCCTGGCATCGCCATTACGACAACCCAACAACTCTCCAAACCTTACCAACCCCCGTCCAGCAACCACCTCCAGCGCCGCAGCTACCACCGGCGTTGGCATCCTGCTGCCCACATCTGTTTCCATGGAGAGCGTTTCATCATCACCCTCCATGCGACGTGGTATGGAAGACAGCCGGCCTCCCGGCCTCATCCGACTGCGAAGCAACCCGCTGTTCGAGAGCGCGCTGGAGGTCGCGGGCTCAAGCAGTCCGAATGCAGCACGTCGAGCATCTGCCGCCACCGCCACCGCCGCCGCGAGTAGCAGCATGCCGCCGCTTGCCGAGGATTCCGGAGAGGGCGATGTCGCCGAGAGCGCATCCTCCTCTGTCACCGCTGCCACAGTCGCATCATCAAGCGCAGCCGTGACGCCTTTCAGCCATATACCCGGCAGCACAAACAGCTCCCAGACCGGCGCTGCTGCTGCTACTGCTGCTGCTGCTTCTACCGCTGTGGGAAGCGCTAGTAGCAGCAACCATAATGCTGTTGCTGCCGCCAACAAGCCAAGTGATTGTAGAGGCCCGTCCTTCACAGCCGCAGCCTCCGCCGTACTATCATACGATGTGGGAGACGAAGACGAGGAACTAGAATGCGGCGTGTGCATGGAGGTGCTGCCCATGGTGGCTGTCTCGCCTTGCAGACACCAGATCTGCGGTCCCTGCGCGCGCCGCATCTGCTGCTTGAACATCCAGAAACCCTCGCACTGTCCGTTTTGCCGGGCCACTATCTCGGCTTTCATTGCGCCAGCGCCGCCGCCGTCGCTTGAGCAACGGAGAGCCTGAGACACGCAATGTGTCTTTGTGTCATGTCTCTTCATGTTTTTTTGGATGACGTGTGTTGGGCGGTTCGATTGCGGTTGCTGCGGCGTACATGACAGCTTGGACAGCAGTGGCTGTGGGCTACGCATTCTGCGGGCTTTTGAGAGCTAACATTGGCGGCGCGGGTGTGGAAGAAGGGCGAGAATGCACGTGGATGAGGCAGCAGCAGCAGCTGGCATGACTTTTCCCGCGGGCCCATGACTAGAGCACGGTGGAGTCGACAACAGGGGGTCGGGTATTTGGAACAGCTGAGGGCGGAACCCCTAGCGAGGACGCTGCGAATTCATTGTGGACCTCCTGTTGATCCGCCCGAGGCGTCTGCTGATATGGGTTTTGTTTCTATGAAGTCTCCTGGCTCTGTCGCTAGCCGGCGTCTGGAGTGGTGGCTGGATGTATGGGAGTATGACGGCGGGGCTTGCGGTGCGAGGCTGCTGCCACTTGGGCTGAAGCCCGCACCCTTCGGTGGTAGCTTGGCACCAGGATTACTTCCCCAGGCCCGCAGCGCCTCCTTGCACCGACCTGGGTGAGTGGACGTGCTAGTGTGCGTAGTAGCCTCAGCAGGAGATGTCCGAGAGCATGGCTGGCCGGAGTTGCGTAGCGAGGTATGTATGGTTTGCGCCGGCAGCTGTGCAGTTGCGGCGTTTGCGGTTCGTGTTGGCATCAGATTGGGATGATGGTCTCGTTCACCTGGTCGAATGCTGCAAGTGGTACAGCTCCTCGGTCACGGCCTCCTCATGTGGTTCCTTTCGTTAGGATAGAGGTTTGTTGGCGGTTCGATGTGTGGTAGTGCGAATGGCAATGGCGATACTTCCATATGCCATTTCCGGGGATAGAAAGGCCGCGGCAATGAGAGAACGAGCGTGGTTGTTTAAGTGTCGAATCGAGCGCCATACTCGTTGCTAAGCGAAGGGGCGAATTCGGCATCAGCGTGGATTCCTTCCCTGGTTTCCATTGCATCGTTGTCCATACATGAAAATAAACAACCCAAATGTCGAGGTTTTGCAGGGTGTTGCACAAAACGTTGGCGTAGCTGTGTAATAAGTGTTAAACGGGCGTAATGGACGCAAAGGTCGAGACGTAGAACCATGCATCCCGGGGTTGCGGGTTCCGCCGTACACTAATGCATTGTCGTACAGGCATTTTGTGTATTCGTACTACCCCAATCAGCAGCGCGTGTCATTTGTCATGGCCAACGGCTTCCTGGGAGCTACGAACTTTGCAGGGTGTGTCTTGGGGCCACGGGTGTTGCGGGTTTGTCAGGCGCGCGGGTTTAGTTAAAGGAGTAAAGGAGCCTTGCTTGCAGCCGGTTCTAACCAACTGCTATGCGACATCGCTGCTTGTGTGACACCTTATGCTAGCTGTACCGCCATTAATACTGCTGTTATCAGCGCTTTGGCAATAATGGATACGCCTGGTGCCGCCGTTATCACTCACCCCGCAACGGCACTCACCAGGCAGGCCGTTGTGTTGCATGGAATTGGGTGGCCTGTGAAGTCAACTGGGCAAGGAGGCGGTTCGGAGTGACGCAGGGGAGACAGGGAGAGGAAGGGGCTAGACAGGATTTGAGGAAGGTGACGACTGACGGGTGAGGTGAATGGCTCTCTGATGCCGCCGCCGCCGCTTTCTGTACTGTGATGTGCACGTGCGCTATGTATGCGCGGGGACGCTTGCATGTATAACGGGGTGGGCAGGAGGAGCAAAGGTATTCATTATTGTCATGACGCTAGCTTCTTTGACGTGCTGCATGATTTGACCCCCAGGAGGCTACATGGGTATAGCGGTGCCTCCCAACTAGTGCAGGAGGGACATGCGAATGAAGTATACTAGTGTAGGGTCATGCATGGTTAAGGGAGGCAAGATGCTTAAGGGAGTCGATTCCTGGCGCTGTTGTTTCGTTTTGATGCCCTATGTGTACGATGCTGGGGTGGAGGTGATCTATTCAGTGTTTGCATGCGCGTGGGTAGTCGGACGCTACGCACGATAACACCGGTAGAGTTCTCCAGCCATGGGGACGGGGCTATTGCTCGGGCTGTATATTCTAGACGCACATTGAATGTTCAAAATACTTTTGCGTTGAACGCATAAACAATGGCGTGTTAGGTACATGATACATGCCCCGTAATGCGAGAAGGGGATGACGGTTGTCAATCCTGCACAGGGCTGAGTAAGCCCTTGCCTCTTAAAGCCTCTCCTAGCGATGCTTGGGAATCCTATCCCAGCGTAAGGGCGCATCCTGAAGACATTTGCTTAGTTACGCATCCGATTAAGGAAGCAAGGGGAAGTTAACTTCCCTCCAAGCAGTGAGCGAGAGCACGGGACGCGCACATGCCTAGGCCTCAGCAACAACACATCGCGCAATAGACCTAGCCTGCAGTTGAGCAATGTATTCCTCACGTCTTGTCGCATCTCGAGTACATCAACTGCGCTAAAAGACCGACAATGGCCAACATGGGTGAGCGTCCCTGGCAAGGCATGCTTGCACGGACACCAGCCCGCCAAAAGAATGCTGCAACTGTTGTAAACCAGCCGCAACGCGCTGCATGAAACCCCGGGAAACGCCAGCCGGCAAGACTTCCCAGGCAGAGCGTCATGGCATGACACACAAAGTAACGCCCCTACCTAACCAATGTCAAGTAACTGAATGTACATATCTTACACGGCTTCGCCACAGCGTACACCCCAACTCATTCCCTGACTGACAAATATCGCATCGGCCCTCGGCCAAACGCGGCCCTCGGCCAAAGCAGATGGAACATGTTAAGCAATTCAAGCCTGATAAGGGTTCTACTGTAAGTATAAAAGGTTCAAGTCTAGGACTAAAACGAAGGTTGACATAGGATCAACATGGCGTTAGCGTGGCAAAACGGTGACCCATGGGTCACAAGGAACGCCTGCCACTTCAATGTCCCAACAACCACCAAAACTTGGCACGAACATCTGCCCGTTGCCCGATTTCCGTCCGCTCATCCATCACCCAACGGAAGTTACACAGCTCGCCGAGACCACGTATCGGCAGCTTTTCCCCCTCCATCTCTCAACGCAAAAACAACCTGACAGCCGCCTCGCAGTCCTCCATCCAGGCCCTTCAAACCTCTTACGTCCCACTCGCCATAACTTCTAACAAAGCCCCTCCTGGCCATGCGTGCTGCTGGTATCCGAGCTCGAGGTCTCGCTGCTGGCCTTGTACCCGCAGCGCCTTTCCGTGCAGGCGTTGTCGCAAGCCGCCGTGCTTGACTGCTTGCGCGCCTTCACCACTCGAAAGGCTCGGCCTATCCGTTGGAAGGACTCGTCAGCCTCATGCGGCTCGGTGACAAACCTGCAAGTAAGCGCAGGAAAGGAGATGAGTAGCCGGTAATGAACATCCCACAGTCATTCCGCTGTCATACATCCTGCATACCGTCCCCGGCCAGTCCCCTCGCCCGCCCTTCCTACCTTTGTGTGCCGCTGTCATAGTGTTCCTGTGTGACTTCGGCCCAGACCAGAATGTCCGCAAGGATTTGCCGCTTACAAGCCGGCGAGGGCTCCCGCCCGCCCGATGCCCGTGTTTGTGCAGCCACCTGCGTGGGACATAGCGCAAACAGTACAGTTTACACAGGTACCGTTTGATGCGCGCTTTGCCGCTGGTGTGTCAGATTTCTGACACGGTTCGGGCGCATGACAGTACAGGGCATTCAGGGTATGAGGCTTTGGGACGGCTGTACCGATGTACCTGCTCATGTACCAGCAGCCGACCCAGGCACCCACACGGCCACCCACCTCGCTGGCGAACACTTCGGCGAACATTTCCCACCAGAGCGCTTCCTGGTCCTGACAGCAAACCATTATGTTGGGCCCGCTCAGGACGTCTCGCAAAACGTCGATGACATGGTCAAGCTTGCGGGTTTGCTCCGGGTCCTTGGTGCTGAGCTTCAGGCTGACTAGCGCCTCCTCTATGCTCCCTACTGGCGCAGGGTCTGTGTCTCCTCGTGAGGCTTTATTTAACATGGTTCTTAGCTGACAGTAGATGAGGCCAAGATGCCGGGAGCGGACTTCAGTTGCCTGACAGTCAATGCTAGTGATTGCACTAGGGTTACTGTAGACGTACGCACTAGATGATATGTGGAAAGTAGAGCGCCTGCCGTGCGCTGCAATGGGTCGCTCCAAATGTACGCCGCGTTGCAAAGCGGTTTAAGGTGGGCTCCAACATGTAAGCGCTATAAGCTGTGCAATTCAACTAATGCCAAAGCTACAGAACCAACTTACAGAGGAATTTTAGACTTTAGTGCACAGAGGACAGACGAGGGTTTCCTGTGCCAGACGACAAGAGAATCGAGTGTGTGAACTTTGAGGAACACTTTGCCGCCGAGCGATTTCCGTTGTAATGAACGTGTGGAGCTTGTCGGGCGTCCCATAGGACGTGCCTCTTTGGAGTTGTTGGGGCGCTCCGTCGTACGAACTACTGCACCCGCACCCCTGGCAAAAGGCGGATGTACAGGAGTGCTGCGTCAGTAATACGTAAGCCTATCATCAACGACTGGAAAAGGGATAAAATGATATTGAGTTGTTCAGGTTACAGAACGCAGCCTACAGAGGTTTGTTGTTCTCGTAGAGGCTTGGATAAGAGCAGATGTCACTGCCTATGTAAATGAGTCTCTCAATCATCATCCTTATCCATGAAGGCAACCCCAAGGCTGCACGTGCGTAACGGTTATAACCGCCATCCTTCACCTAAAAAGCTTCCTAAAAGCGACGCAATGGCTTACCATTATCAAACCTAGGTTCGCAGGTCCGCAGATCCATCGTGTCGCTAGAGCATTCTGCGTGTGGCTATGAACACAGTAGTCGCCTCGAGTACGCCTCGTGTATGTATGTCGCTGGTGTACCCCCGGCCTTCTCCTTAGCTTGTAATACCGCAATGCTACTGATACTGCCTCATAATGTTCTGCCGTGTCATGCATCCAAGGTCCATAGGATGGAATGCCCCATGTGTAGTTGGGCTGAAAATGGAGAGTATACCGAGCCAGGTCGACACAAAACCCTTAGGTGCTTGTTCGTTATCGTCCCAAAGGGAATCCCTGCGATTCAGCACCGGACTGGGACTGCCGATAACCGGTTTTATGACCGCGAGCCAGAATTTCAGCAAGCATTCATTCCCGTCTAACATACATACCACGGTATCTACCATCTTACCAGCCCCTACCCTGCTGCAATGGCAAATTCATCAGATCCTCACGCCTATGCTTGCGTTGCCAGGTGAAGCATCTCTACGTATCCAAGCCCCATGCCCCTGGATCGTTCATGTTGCAGCAGGCATGGGAGTACGTCCGGCGCACCAGTAGGGAAAAAAGAAATTCCAAAGTGTGGTATGATAATGATACAAGTTGCTGACAATCCCCGGTGGAATCAACCGTGAGTCGCACCAGTAGGGAGTGGAAGGCACGCGGGTTCACGCGGCGGCCCACAGGTGGTGGTCACCACACCGGTCAAAGTACCCTGAACCCTCCGCTGCAACTGTTCCCCTTCCCCGAATTTGGGCCCTCGTGAGCGCTCGGGTTACCCAAGAAGCCAATGCCTTGGCCGACTGACCTTAGCCTCACTTCCAGGGGTGTTTGTAACGGTGAACAAGGACTATCAAAGAATCAGAATGGCACAATGTCCCTTTGCTGCCAGTTGTCGAGGGACTAATGCCACGCCTACCCTGCAGCAGCATGCCAAGCGATACCCTCAACTGCACGCTGCTCCAGCGTCCACCACGCCCACTTCTGATCAGCAGTATGGTTGGAAGTGGGGACCGCCTCTGAGCCAGAGCGCGTCCCAGCCGCTTGTGTTTGTCACCACTTTGCCGCCAGTATTTGTGTTGCGTACGGATGTTCTTAAGCTAGGCCATGTGCCCGATAACGTGTAGAACCTAGGGACTTTGCTTTAAGCCCGGGGACCACACGTCCGATGGTGGTGATGCGATGGCCAACACCCAATGGCCAGTTCAACATGGTGCATGGGGCTTACTTGCCTGCCACCTTAAGGGTTTCGCACGTTGGCGCAACGCGCCCTTGCCAGGCATTTAGTGTGTACCAAATTGGTACTTAAGTATTCCACAAAAAAGTAAGAGGCATGAGGCAACCTATGGAGAGAGCCACCACGGAATAGCCTAACCGGTGCCAATGTGCAGCATGATACCACAACACGCCTCTTTACAAGGTACTGACTTGCGACGTTGATCTAACACCAGGATGAAATCACGTGAAAAGTGACTCGCGATCGTTAGCCCTAGGACAAAAGTCCAAAGCGACGCAAGGGGCAACACTGTAGCAAGCAAAGCATGTTTTGGTCTACAGCAACCATAAACAGTGGTCCTACCGTAAACCAGCTTACTGCCGTACAGGTGCTTCCGTTTCTCCGTCAGCATGGGCGGCGCGAACATACCTGCACCGTCGTCCACTTTCGGTCCCCATTCTTGCTCTTTCTGCCAAAAGCTGCCAGGCCGCTGCCTTGGTCAGGAGTGCGCATACTTGTCTTGGTTGATTGCAAGTTACGACTGTAAGAAGCAGGCGGTAAGCTCTATGCCAGGTTACATGTCGTAAGAAGTTCCGGCTTTGGTATCAATTCAATTGATAAGGCTTGGCGGTTTCATGGCAGGGTCCGTTCCGTTGCGGCTCTTGCATCTTCACGGCGCGTCGACCAGACAGCATCTTGGCAGCAGGCTTTTGAGCCGTTTTAAAGTTCGAGCTACCCTTTCTACTTAACAGGTATGGGCCCGTGTTGGCTTGGGCTTTCGGTTCGGCGGCGTTTCCGAGAGCACGTAGAGGGACTTCCCCTGATACCTGCTTGCAAGGGTTTGCACGGGTTTTCATCATTTCTCCAGCGTTGTGCCATGCCACGGAACGTTTCCTGAACTGTGCTGCTCTGGGGCTTCAGCTGCTGTAAAAGCTATGCCTGCGACATGGATTGTAGCCCCTCGGCTTCCTTGATATTTAGTTACTCGCGTTACTTTTTGCTATTTACCTACCACCTAAGCAGCTCCTTTTTTGCTTTCCTGGATTTCCTGCCCACCTGCCAGGTTGCGAAAATGGCCGCCGCTGCCGAGCAGAAGTCTAGCCCTCTGTCGAAGTCCGTGTTCACGGAGCTTTACACGAGTGGAATCAGTGTTGCTTGCGCCAACACTGCGACGAACCCTCTCGGTGCGTCTGATTGGTGCAAGCTGCGGCGCTGCCTCCTCATAGGGATAGTAGCACGAACTGTGCATGACGCGTTGCAGTTACTCATACAAGCACGCCCTTGGTGTTCAATTCACCAGACGACGAAAGGTTTAGAGGGCGTGATTGCGTTAGGTATCACTCGTGAGCGCATACTTGTATGCCTATGTACACCTTTTATAATGCTCTAGCGATCCCTCACTTGTTGAAATGGAGCTAGGCGATAGCTGTTGGAGCTTTCAGGAAATGTCTCCTCATGTTCCGGACATTGCATTGAAAGGTTTCTGCCCGGTCAATGCTCTCACTTGAACCCAGATGTGGTCAAGGTCCGTCTGCAGCTCGCCCGCAACCAGCTGGCTACTGGGCAAAAGCCTCCCGGCATGGTAAGAATACATCCTGCGCTGCTTTGTGACGCCGCGACCACCGTGGTCGAATCAATGCGGGTCGCTGCCATCTCTCGGCTTTTCTAGGGCGTCTATGATTTTGAGCTGACCGGCGGAGCTACAAGGAGAGATCCATATCGACTAGGCTTCTTTCCGGGCTTGAGGCCTATTATATTCATACGTTGTCCCCTGCAGGTAGCAACTGGCTTGGGCGTGATCAAGAACGAGGGTGTCCTGGCCCTGTGGAGTGGCCTTGGACCATCTCTGGCTCGTGGCATCTTCTTTGGCGGTACGTGGCTCATTCGATTGCCCTCCCGTCTGTCGTACTTTTCCTGATGTTCCCCCCATCGTGTAAGCTCCTCAGGCCCATTACTAAGGGTAATGCACTGACATTCTCGTTCTTGCTATCCAGGTGCTCGCCTGGGCTTGTACACACCCATTAAGTTCCTCATTTGCGGCGACAACGCCAAGCCTTCCTTCGAGATGAAGGTGCTGTCGGGCTCGCTGAGCGGTGGCCTGGCTGCGGCCGTGACCTCACCCATTGAGCTGATCAAGGTATGTGAAGGGCATAGCTAAGCATGTACCTGCAAGCACCATAAGCGATCTCCCTTGTTTTACATGGCCGAACTGGTTGACGTCCTGGTTACTAAGCGACTACCCTGTGGCGTACTTCCGGACCGCAGACTCGTCTGCAGGCGGCGGGCAAGGACCCCAACGCCCAGAAGTCGAGCATGGGCGTCATCCGCGCTGTCGTTGCTGCTGATGGCGTTGCCGGCCTGTGGAAGGGCGCCATGCCCGGCCTGGTAAGTAGTGCATTGTGAAATAGCTGCCCTACACATTGCTTGGCTGGCGACTGCTGCATGTATTGTCGGTAGCATCATTACTGAGTTGCAGAACTCCTGTAGCCACATGCATCTTGCTCCATTACTACAGATCCGCTCGGCCATCCTGACGGCGGCTCAGTGCGCCACCTACGATGAGGTCAAGCGCGTTGTCCGGCAGACGACCGGGTGGGGTGACGGTGTGTCGCTGCACCTGTCGAGCTCTATGATTGCCGGTCTGGTCACCACGACCATCACGAACCCCATTGATGTGATCAAGACCCGCATGTTCGTTGGTAAGTTGCGGGGTATGCGAATACACGCCTCGCTTGCTTTGCCATGTAACCTAAGCTTATAGACGTCAGTACCTCGGGAGTGCTACATAAGTGGCCACTGGTTTTGTTTTGGTTGTGCCAACCTGTATGTAGCGCCATTGTGACAGTAGATTTAGAAATGCTAAGGTTTCGGCATATTTTGCTCCCTGCAGGTGGCAAGACCTACAGCGGCCCGATTGCTTGCGCCGCCCACGTGATGAAGTCTGACGGTCTGATTGGGTTCATGAAGGGTTGGTCTGCTAGCTATGCTCGCCTGGGCCCCCACACCGTCATTATGTTCCTGACTGCCGAGCGCCTGCGCAAGTACGCCGGTCTGCAGAGCCTGTAAGCAAGCACCGCTGCCTGCTGGCATGATGGTTGGCGCAGCGTTACTGTGACACTCGGACCGGCTTGGTTAGAATGCGGGGAGTCGCTGCGGGGCTTACCAACATGGGAGCTTAGATGTGCTTGACTAGGAATGTGCGGCGGTATATGGGGTGTTGATACCGCCATTTCCACCTTTTTAAGCGGTGGGATGTTGACGGAAATGAACTGTAGTACTCTTCGGGTGCTTTTCGCTGTGGCCGTGGTGCTGCGGTGATGACGTCTTGCATAGTGTGGTGCTAGCGTTGGGCGCGGCGCCTGCGCCTGTGTCTTGTACCGTTTACTTTGGCAGGTTTTGCAACGGATAGAACGCGGAAGTGTGACATGTCTTGTGGTCAGCTGCACGGTGGATGTGTTCAGCTGGCCTGTATTATTTGGCTTGGGAGCGTGATCCCTCCGTGCCAGAAATTGCACTGCGCGTTTGAATGTCCTGCTTGCCCTGTTCTGTTGCTTGTGCACGATATTTAAATCCGCGCACGCCGTTCATAGCTTTCAACCGGATTTGTGGGAACATGTCCCATGCAGACGGCGGTTGCGTGAATGCTTTCCATGTGTGTCTGATCACCGCTTTTGGGCTTGGTTATTGCTCCCTGGGCGCGTGAGGTGCGCCATAGGAAGCTAAATGTTTCGCTGGTTGGCGGTAATAATCTGAACATTAGGGTAGCCAGTCCCCTGCGGTCTGTCAGGGTAATTATTGCGCCCAGTGGTTCAGGCTGGTGGAAGAGAAGATTAGGTTTTTTTTATCAAGGACTGTCGCAGGGAGCAGTATAGGGCGGTTAACACCCTAAGGACATTTGCCTAGGGTGAGCTTAAACCTCCATGCAATAATACTGTCCCATACCTTCATCCCAGTAGCCGCAAGTCAAACACTTTGCATAGGAAACCGGGGCAATAACAATAACCACATTCTCAGTTGCAACTGTATTGGCTTGCAAGGATGTTCGTCGTAATACCCGGCGCCCTCAGCGTGCCGAGTACGGCAGAAGGACTACAACGCCTAAGCGTTCGCAGAGACCTAATTATGCTTACATTAGTTAACACAGAGGACGGGGCATTAGCTAGAGATCGAGAACAACGAGGAGGGGAATACGCCCTTAGCAGCTTGGAGTTGACGGCTGATTATATAATATATATTAGGGTAGTGCGATGGTGTGCGCAGTTGCCTAGGGGGAAATCCTCCGCCTGGATCCCATATTGGCGTATAGACTGTAAGACGATGGCCTAGCAAAAAGAGGCCAGGTGGAGGTGCGTCGGCGATGTGGTACTAAGGACTCGTTATACTTCTCTCTGTCCAAGAAGATACCGGAGGGTGCATGCCCTTGTATCCGGCTACTTAATATGTGGTCACGCTTGCTTGCGCGTGCTGCAAGTTGTATCTGAAGGAGTTGCTGTACGGTAAATGTCTGCCAGCCAGCAGTCCGTTGCATCGGTGCCCTACCCCTTCAATCCGAAGGGTTTCTTTAGTACAAACCTGGCACTTATAAACCAGTAACACAAACTGGAAAACAGAACGGTGACAACTCTACCGTGGCGAAGACCATGGCGGGGCACGGAGGAGTGTCGCCCTTTGTGAAGATTTTTTACATAGCTCTTAATGTATTCTCCGCGTGTGCGATTGTGTTCGCCAACAAAATAGTCTTCAAGACGTTTCGGTATGTCAGTCACCAGTTTGGTCATAGCTGGTCTCGCCTGAAGGACTTCTATGAATGGATGGAACCGTATGCGCAGGTTTCATTTCGTGACGACGTTAACGCTGGTCCACACGTTGTTTACATGGGTTGGGATGCTGCTGTTGGCGCGCATAAATTTCTTCACAGTAAAGCAGCTTAGCCCGCTGGCGGTTGCTCCACTTGCCATCGGCTATGTGGGATACATTATATTAAACAACTTGTCGCTGAACCTAAACACGGTCGGCTTCTATCAAATCCTCAAGGTAAGGGCTATTGCGAAACGCTGGCAACTTATGCCTGCAGCTCGCTGTGGTGGGGGCTACATTTGGAGGGGAAGTGAACCCCTTGCATAGAAGAGCGCTGCTGAGGGAAGGCTTGCTACCGTCCAGATGGCGTCAAGTCTCGCCATGTGCACGGGTGCAACGTATGCACGCTATGTGGCTGTTTGGGTGCTGCCTCCTGCTTGGCTATGCCAGTTTGTGATACATCTTTCCCATGCATCGTTCCGGCGAGATACCGAAACCCGTGGCTTCTCTGCTCATGCCCTCACTGTGCCGCCCCACCCACCCTGGGAACCGCTGGCGTACAGATTGCCATCGCGCCAACCGTCATGTTGCTGGACTTCATTCTGTTTAAAAAGGTCCAGACGGTCCGCGTCATGATGTCCGTCTTCGTGGTGTGCCTGGGCGTCACAGCGGCCACTGTCACGGATAAAGTAGCCGTGTCCAACCTGACGGGCATGTTTGTGGGCCTTGCGTCCGTGGTCGTCACCGCGATGTACCAAATCTGGGCCGGTTCAAAGCAGAAGGAGCTGCAGGCGAACAGCTCCCAGCTGCTGCTCGCTTACACACCACAGGTGCGCGCGGGTGTGCATTGGGCGGCGAGCTTAGTGGGTTACGGCGTGACAGTTGTACGTCTTGCTTGACACGTAACCAATCTTGGAGCAAGCGAAGAAACGTTAGCGATTTAAATGACGACTGAACCCTTTTTTCTCTACCATCCGGGTCTTACACCCATGGCCATGAGCCCGCTTTCCCTTGCCGAGCAACTGCCGAGCAACAGTCCACCACTTCGCATTGATAGCCCTTCTCCTCCTTCGTCGGTACAGCTACAGCTTTCAACGATCCGTACCCCGCCAACTATCGCCCTGCACCCCTTGCACGCACACCCCGGATGCCTCCTTCCTACAGGCTATCCTGATGCTCCTGTTTATGTCGCCCTTGCTTGACGACTATGGCTTCTCCCACCGCACCCCGGCAACGGTATTGGGCTATGAGTACACGCGGCAAGCAATCCTGGCTATCGTGATATCATCGCTGCTGGGCATCCTGGTCAGTTTGTCAACTTTCCTTGTCATTGGCGCGACGTCGAGTCTCACCTATAATGTCGTGGGGCACTTGAAAACGGTGAGGAGACCAGGCCTGGGAATTGCGGGTGGGGTTTGAAGGCGTGGAATCGTTCGGCTCTGCCGCTATTGCGGTTGGGATGCGGGCTCCATGAGCGCTAATGGGTGCCTTTTGAACCAAAGGTCGTGGACCGGGCAGGGTAGCGAGCAGCAGCTTTTCCCATTTCCTGCCGTACCGGTGCCTTCTTGCCTGTCGCCCACGCCCAGCGACTACCAAGTTGTGCCCTTCTTTTCCTTCCTAGCTTCGTTTCCGAAGCCTGCACATCGCTTTGTCCCTTTCTCCATGCCCCTGCTCCCGCTACTCTTTCCTGTCGCACCCGGCAAACCCAGATTTTGATTCTTGCTGGCGGCTGCCTCATCTTCGGGGAGGACATGCCCTGGAAGCGGCTTGCGGGCATCGGGCTGACAATGCTGGGCATTGCCTGGTACACCTACCTGAGCGTGCAGTCCAGCAACGCAGCGGAGCGGGGCCGCGTCAAGGGCCATGAAGCCCCGTCCGCGAGCCATGGGATCCATGGGAGCCATGAGCGGGAGCACGAGCCGCTGCTGCCCTCCAAGGAAGGAGACGGCTCGGTGGCTTAAGAGGTCAGGGGCGGGATGTATGGGCTGCACAATGAGCGGTCTCGTACAAGAATGGGAGCGTGGGGGCTGGGTTGTCTTGCAGTGGGGTGTTGGGTGGTTGGAGCAAGGGTAGGTGGCGGCAGTACCGCCTGATCGAATTGTGTGAATGTTTTCGGGAGGTAGTTGCGAATGCCCTAGTGCTCTGCTGTAGCTGGGTTTTGCCACATGCCGAGCGTTGGCTGACAGCTTTGCCTGGCATTTGTGAGCCGGTGTGGAAAAGGCGCAGGTTGGCTGCCTTGCGCGCTCCATTCATGGACTAGCGCCCTGCATGTGAGTTGCATGGGGTGCAAGAAGGGAAAAGAAGTAGCTTGAGTCCAGCAGGGGAAACAGGGGCTGCGAAAAGGACTGCGGCAAGACACTGGCAATCTAACAAAACTCGACTTCTTAACGAAGTTGCATTGATGCATTGATGCATGTACATAGCTATGAATTGTGCCTTCTCTAGGCTATGTTTGTGTGTGGCTGCATTGCTGTCTGCTTGTCTCGTTTTATCGCCTGGGAGTTGTGGCAAGGTCGGTGTTTTGTCTACTCGGCCTCTCAGTATTGCGCTTGCCAGTGCAGCGCTGCCCTCTCACATGCGGAGGCTGTGGAAAGAAACCTTTGGCAGGTGTGGTTTGCTGCTGTCGTGTGCAGAAACGTGAGCATGCTAGATGGTGTTTGATGCGCCCTAACATGGACGTGACATGGCAACAAGGGTACGCTTGACCAGCTAAGACAACCTATGTTGGACATCTTGTATGCCAGCTATATGATGGAATCCTGACGGCGTGCGGTAGATAATGGTCCAGCGGGCATTTTACGAGCCATGGGGGGAATATTTGTGCTTTGGTTTACATGGTTTGTGCGAGACTGTTTTTAGCGGTGGTGGCCTGTGACTTGGGACCCCACGGATGCTAAAACGACTGAGCCGCAAGTGGATAGCTTGTACCAATGGCTTGATCATTCGCTTGCGGCTTTGCTAGCAAGGCTTTTCAGCTTGGCCTTGGCGACATTTAGAGAGCTGGATGTGGGCGTTGTGGAGGCTGTGGCGTCCTGGGCGCTAGGAATACAATCGACATGGGAGCGAACGTTGTTATAGGAGGACATCCTGCTACTAGAAATGAAAGCATGCCTCAAGACTCAAGTCGTAATGTTAAGCCCTATGGCTTCCCTCCATGCATGCACCAAGGTAGGGAAACCCAGCGCCAAGCAGCCAGGTCTCGAAGCCTGCAACTGCGAGTCAACCTGTTCACCCGGGAGAAGACATCACATTATACGATACATGTTTGCATTGCGTACTTATCGCAAAGGTGGTCCTCCATAAGGATTACGCCGATCAAGGGCATAATAAACTATCATGGGTAAACAGTGAATGCAAGAAGGCACGGCTACGTTACCGACGTATGATGCACGGGACAGCCCCTCGTCGACTCGCGCTTCTTACTCAAGCCGCGGAAACGGAATGCGCATGCATACGCAATCCCGATTGCGCACATGTAGTAATGCATTGAAACCACAAAGTACAATACGACCTTTATTACTCAGCCCGCAGCGACTAAATATGTACAAAGTTAAAAAACATTCGGTAACCCTTATATTCACATGCAACTGATGCGCCTCTGATAAATGCACCTAGTCTCCGGTGCTCATGACAAGTTTAAACCGACCCATGGGTCTAGGGTCCCACTTCCAAAACCGCCCCTGCAGCAGCATTAGTCCCCAACCGGCTCAGGTTATTCCTATTACGGGCAAGCAGCGCCTGAGCGCGAGCCGCCCGGCTGCCGGGCGGAGGCGCAGCTGACGTCGCCCCTTCCACGCCGCCGCCCGTAATCGCTGCTGCTGCTGGCCCTGCTTCCAGGTCCGTACCCTGCGTCGCAACCATCCCACTCCACGTAGCTGGCGGCGCACGAGCCATGTGAGTCCCGTCACCCTGGCCTGGCGCCCGTGCCGCCGCTGCAGCCGTCACCTCCGTCCCGAAAGACAGGCCTCGTTGCCTCTGAGCCTGCGGCGGCGAGCTCGTGTTTCGTGTGTATGAATACCGGCCACCCAACTGGACCTCGCCTGCAGGTGAGGCGGCTTCGGCGCTGCCCGGCAACGATATGGGCTCATGCGGCGCGCCAGCAGTGTCAGCCAAACTCTCAGCAGACGCATGGCTCGGAAGCCCCATGCGCAAGTGCATGGCTGGGAACAGACCCAGTCCTGGGCTGACCGAGACCGGAGCGCTAGCGCCTGCTGCGCTGAGGTTGTTGTTGTTACTGTTGTTGTTGTTGGCGGACCAACGGGCGGCGTTGGCGTGTGCGCTCCCCAGCAGCATGTTCCCAGAGCGGGTTCCCATCAGGGGCCCTCGGCGCACGCTGGGACCCGCATGCGAGGCCATCCCGCGCATCAACGCCTCTCTGCTGCTGACCGCGCGGCAAACAGCGCCCTCGTCGTCCACCGGTTCCACGCCCGAGCTGCGCTCCTGCAGCGTGGCCAGCGCCCGCCCTTCCGTCCTGCCCGCGCCCATGCCGCCACCCACGCTCCTCCCCACCGGGCCGCCGCCGCCCTCCCCAGGACCCGCAACCGACCAGTCCACGCCCCTCACTAGCTTCTCCACCACATCTGAAGCGGGCCGCAGCTGCACGCCGCCCAGAATCCGAGCGGGCGGGACATCACCCGTAGCGGGCGGGGCGGTGGCGGCGCTCTTGAAACTTGGCGCCCCCTCAGCTGCCCCGACGTGACTGGGGGGCATCACCCGGCGGCTCAGGCTTGCCATGGCCGAATTGGAAAAGAAGGGACTGGGGCCGCCACCGCCATAGCCTCCGCCGATGGAGACGCCGCCACCACCCCGGCCGCCACCCTCCACTCCTGTTGCTGCTCCTGCTCCTGCTCCGCCGCCGCCACTGCCTCCATCGTCCATGCTTCCAAGCTCCTCAATCTCCTTCGAGATAACAGGGACCTCACCCCCATTTGCCCAGGCGGCGGCAGACACCACAGGTGGCATGCGTTGTGACCGCTGCGGCTGCGGTTGCATGTGGTGCGGGTGGCTCTCAGTCGGTGGCGACGCGGGGAGTGCGGGGGCAAAGTCGGCGGCTGGGGCGCCGCTTGTGGGTCGCAGCGGCGGACCTCGCACGGAGCCCGGGGGCGAGGAGGGCTTGCCCCCGTGGTACGTGTTGTGGTCATTGCTGCCGTTGTATACCAAGCGATTGGCAAGGTCCGCGTCCACACCAGCGGCTTCGCCGCCGCTTGCGGTGCTGATGTGGATGCTGCCGTGATTGACGGGGCTCCTGTTGGATTGGGTGAGGGTGTTCAGGGGGGCGCAGCAAAGCACGGTAAGCTGCGGGACTCACCACGACTACGGACACAGTTGGGAAGGAACCGGCATTCGTACAAGTCGCACAACAGCAAGGGCCGGACGGCGAGTCAGGGAGGCATGTAGGGAGGGCATGTTTCCACCAGGCTCTTTTCTTCCCTATCCCTCTCAACATTCCTCGGACCAGCCCTCCACGTGCAACCCCATGCAACCTGGCCGGCGTCCCACACACACGCACGTTCCGACTCGCGGCCAGTTGTCTTAACACACACGCACGCACGTTAGTCGGCTGCTCGGAGGGGTGGCCTTCGTCGGCGGGTGGTAGACGCGCTCGGGCGGGTTCAGGGGCGGTGTGAAGCTGTGGGGCGTACGGAGGCTGTTGTCGTCCTGCTTCATCTGCGGGAGCGACACGTGGGGGCGGGTGATGCCAAGCACACGCACCGGACAACGCAGCCCCACACCCACACCCACATCCGCAGTCTTTCACCCACTACCGGCCTGAGCCACACAACACTGTTCTTGAGAGCGAAGGTAACCAGCCCCCTTTCCACAGGCCACCGTAACTAGCGGCACTGATTCCGTTAGACATGCAACCGTAAGCAGTACGCCAACTGACCTGGGCAGAAAGGGGGGTGCCTAGTGGGCCGCCACCGTCGGGAGGGGCCCTATTTCTGAACGTCTGCGCATGCTGAGTGTCGTCGCATAAGGAGAGACAGGGGGGCAGAGGAAAGGGAGATTGAGGATTTACACATCCTACAGACAGGGGCCTCGCAGGTAAAGCAATCCGCCATGCCTCTGAACGACACGAAAGGGATTAGCCCCCATGCACGATGGATTCCTTGCAGCAGAGAAATGCCGGAAAGCTGGGTAGGCTAAGCACACGTGGAGCGGCATGGACGGTTTGTAAATGGGCTACAGTTGTGTTCGGTGTCGATTGGTACGGCACATCTCAGCATCGGCGTACCTGGACAGGCACAGGACCATTTCCTGAATTAATACGTTGTGCAGGGGGGCCGTTAGGTTGCGTCCCTGCGCCCTGAAGTCCATAAATCGAGATGGAAAACACAGGGGGGGCAAGGAGGCTGGAATCAGGTTTTGTTGGCTCTACACTCTATGCCTTTCAATCCGGCAGTCAGCAGCAGGATCCGAGACAAACATTCGTGTGCACTAGATGTATCCAATTTTAGCGTCCTTTTCACGTAAAAAATAACACGGAACGGGGTCAAGCAAGCGATCTGGCAACGCAACCGTTGTCCGTTTACGAACCCAACACCAACTTACCCTGCCGAGCTGCTTTGTTAGATGAGATGGCAACGCATACTTGTCGGCCATAGTTGATGGCTGCCTAAGGACGAGTTGAACATGATCGTCCCCTCCAGCGGTTCCATTGGCTTTTGCAGTCCTCCCAGCTTTCACTACTAGCTGTTGCTTCTGCAGCGCCTCTTGCTGGGCGTGCTTAGCTGCCCAGTCCGGTTGTAGGATCGGGTCAATTTCCGCTTTTCCCTTGGGTGCTCCTCTCCGGTGCGCCATTGATGGCCCAACTGGGGTACCAGTATCATCCTGGGTCTGGGGGCGAGGCACGAAACTATTTTACAGGCATGCTATGAAAAGCAGGTCGATAAAGCATGTGTAATGAACTCTTGGTATCTTGTAAAGTCGCTGGCCCGCGCTCGCCACTGCCTTGCGCCATTAAGCCGCCTGGTGCCTGCTCGGGCCAAGGCAACAAAGAAAACATACAGATGTAAGGAAAATATGTTGTATTAGCAGAAGTTTGCCCTGTGGAGGCGCAGCAGGTTCTCCAATGCTTCGCCCGGCCTCGTTGGGATGGTATACAAGCCGAACGTTTCAAGAGCAACAAAAAGGATCGATACAAATTGTAAGGGCAATGAATTCGTATATGCTTATATCTGGAAATGAATACTCGCCAATGAAAGCATTGGGGTGATAGGGACGTGGGGGTTGTCGAAGCGAGAGTAACGCCGACGGCAGTCGCTTGCACATACCTCTTCCCTTGTGCCACATAGAAGAAGGACCGCGGAGATAGTAACAGCGGCCACGACCAATCCAACGACAAGACCAGCTATGTGCTCCATGGCGTTAGTAGAAGCGCGCCAGACTAGACGCGACAACTGCAGCAGTGAACTCCACTGAGATGCTGGACTCTGTAGCGTATAAGGTTAACAGGTTCTGGAAATTGTGGATATGAAACTGCTGACGTATCGAACTGCGGCTCTCTTACAGCGCAGCGATGCTTTCGTCGTTTTTAATGCAGAACCCCTGAGTTGGGTACAACATCTACTGCATATAAATGATTAAGTGGGTACGCTTGTTCTCTTAGCATAGTTTTCCGGAAACCTGTACCGAGCGTACGACACAGGTCTAGCTTCGTGTGGAAACACTCGGAGATTTGATATATGCTACCAGAAGGGTAGCGTATATCAGAGACCCACGTATTGTGCTTAGTTATAGCCCTAAGGCGTTGTGGACACTATGGTGAGTACGGTACGTCGCATGTTACGGGACGTATTGAAGAAGCCCAGGCTGTTTGGAGGAAGCACAGACGGCTTGAACAAATATTAAATTTCATAGCTCAATCCTGGCTCAATGACTCGATAAACCTTGCACGGCGGGCGATATTACTTTCGAACGAACCTATCAGCTGGACGGCTGGAGGTAGGTCGCATGGCAGCGACTATCTTCTCATGCCGCCTTTACCCTATGCTTGTTAAATCGGTCACGCAAGCTGCGTCTGGTGCAGAAATTATTACCTGGAGGCAGGTGTCCTCAGGGATTATTAGGGACCCTGCAACCGAAATAGTAATGACAGCGAATCCAAGATTGGAGTACATGCACAAATGGAGGCAGGAGGCCGGCAGCGGGTAACGCTGTGTGCAGGGATACTGTTGCAGCAGTTGATGCAGGCATACCTGATGACACAACTGTCCCCATCATGCCCCGCCTTCATCACACACGCTGCTCACCCCTATCCATTCGTCAACTTGCCTCCGAGATGTCACTGTCCTGAACCTATAGGGATTCTCTAGCGGCTAGGGTTTGTGTAGACAGTGACTGGAGTATGTTTCGTGGAATGCTACATGCCTTGTACGAACGCCCTTTGGCCACAGGGCACACGCCTCAGGGCGTGCCCACGCACGACCTTCCTTCTTTTTGTCGCGTTCCAGTAATCAACACTTTGCTGTCAACGTGCTGCCCCCACCTCAAGGACAAGCTGCAGCGACTCGAGACCCGTGAGATTGCCATGCGTCGAACCGACAGGGCTCCCTTGTCATGCATGCACGTGTAACAGCGTGCGTTATTGGGCGCGCCATCTGCTCACCGGCACTGGGGTGCAAGCGTGCAACGGATATCACATCCACCTAGGGCCAGGCTTGCAAACTCACTTGCTCCTCCGCTCGACGCAAAGTCCTTACTATTGCAGCTTACACCCGCACCTGAGAGTGAGCCGCATGGGCTCATGCTAGGCGTGAGGACCATTAACTGCCGTCTGTCGTACCAACGAATCAACTGCAAGACGCGGTGTCTAAAGATGTGTGAAGGTTCTAGCTTAACCGATATCGTCAGTAGTGCACCAGCATGTTTTGTGTGGCGCAGCGGTGAGCAAAATCATTGAGAATGCCCGTTGCGTGCTGTCTCTTATTGCATTCGCATTATTCACTTACGAGCGCCGAGTAGCACCCTCACCATTTAATATTGTACAAATATATGAAGCAGATTCCTTCTGCTTCCTTGCGGTGTAAATTCGCAGGACTATTTGCATTGGTCGGCCAGGAAGGCGGTTGAAAGCGCTCGCTCGGGCAGCCATGCGCCACCAGCAAACGAATGGCAATGGCAACATACAGGTCAGCAAGGGTAGCGCATCCACCGCCCAACGCGTCTTGTGGCGCTGGGCCTGTCGTCGTTCTGCTCGGAAGCCATCCACGCACGCCAGTTTGCACGGATCCTACTATGCAGCTCATGCCTATCCTTCAGGCCCCAATTAGCCCCCCATCCACTCACTTCTGCACCCTCATTTCCACATGCTTGCTTACGGCGCGTAAGTGTCCCACTCTCAACTTCTCCTGGCCCCCTTCACCGTCCCCAACCCGAGCAGGCCCCCCATCAGCCTCGCAACGTACTAGGCGGTCCGCTGCAATGCTGCTGCACCTCTCCTCGGACGGGTTACTACCGGGACGGCTTCTGTCGTACGGACGCTAGTGATGTGGGTCGGCATGTCATCTGCGCCAAGGTGTGTTGGTGGGCGGGCCGGGGCCTTTGAGCTGCACCCAGGGGGCCCAAGGATGTGTCACGTGGTCTGCCTTTCCTGCTGTGCGCCATTGCTGTACTGGGGACTGCCGTAGAAACGCTTCATTACAAGGCAGCAGAGGAGGCACGCTTCTCTGTTATGGACCCGACTGCAATCGCAAACCGTCTATTAATACCTGTCGCGGTAGGAACCTTGCTTGTCAGTCAAACCCGCACACCTGGGTTCGCAGGTAACTCGCGAGTTCCTGGAGTTTACGGCTTCCCGCGGCAACGACCTGAGCACCCCAGCTCCGCGGTACGACTTCCCCGGCCTCCAACCCGGCGACAAGTGGTGCCTGTGCGCCGTACGGTGAGTGGCTGCGAGTGACAGTGGGTGGCTGCGATTGGCCGGCATGCGTGGAGGGTTCTGGGTGCGCATGCGGTGTTGCGGGTGCCTCATCCTGGACGGGGCACCGGTAGGAAGGCGGGAGTCTCAAGCATCCCCTGTGGGTGTTGTTGTCCACTTGCCCCGCTGTCCCGCCCTTACTGTGCAACCTCATCGCCACCATCCCCATTGCTTCCAATTTGGTGCCCCACCATACCCTACCTGGCTGCCGTCCCGAATCTTTAATCCCCGTGTCCTCTCTTTCCGTCCGCACCCCAGTTGGCGAGAGGCGCTGCAGGAGGGCAAGGCGCCGCCCGTGTTCCTGCACTGCACGCACGCCAAGGTACGGCAGCAGCGAGTCTAACAGCACTTGTTGTCGTACATCGCTTTCTGCTGCTGGTTGCACAGCCACTACTGTGAAGGTGGCCACTGCTTTGTTGCTTCTAAGGTATTTTGTTGCTGCTGTTGCTTCTGCAAATGGCAGGAAGTGCTGCTGGCAGAGCGCTACTATACCTCGCCTTGACAGCATCCAGCTGGACCTCAACAAGGGGTGGTTGTGATCTTACTGGCATCTGCCTTGCTCTGTAAATGGACTGTCTCTTTTGCTCCGCTCCACAGGCACTGGAGTACGTGACCCTGGAGGAGCTGAAGCGCCATGCGTTGGACTGGTCAGCCGACCAGCAGGGTGGCAACAACGGTCACAACTGAAGAACCAGAGGTTAAGAAACGGGCAACTGACAACGGAAACGGACACCAGTTAACAGAACGACAGCCCGAAACTCAAACATGAACCCCAAAGCTGAGCTGCTGCATGGCAGATGGGGGAGAGGGAACTCGAAGGAGAGCTGCTGCAAGGTTAATACCGGTTGATTATGATTTATTGTAAAGGTGTGGCAGGCAAGGATGCGCAGGTGGCTGGCCCCTCTGCTGCTGCGGCGGCGGTACTTGTGTAGTGGGTTGCAATTTGATGGTACCGTATACAGCCTGAAAAGGCTCCATTCCTGTTATGTGAGCGTGTTTAGGCGGACGTCCATGGGGGCCATTTTACGTACATATGGTATTACTGGTGGGCATTCAGAGATAGCTGACGTCATGGCATTGCTAAGCGTCCTGCGCGCTACAGGAAACCTGGGAAATTCATTTCAGTGCAATCCATTAGCACACATGCTGTGCGTATTGCAAGCATACGTTGTACCCTGCAGAGCTTTGGCACGAACCCCTTGTGCAATCAACCATTACCTTCAGGGTGGACTCGGGACATGGGAACATCATTGGACATTACATGCGACCCACGGGTCACCTCGTGAGGAAACCTGACGCTCGAGCCATCAGCATGCAGCCCAATCAGCAGGCTAGCAGGACTGAGCCCCTGGCGGAGCCCCCATGGCGCTCTCGAAAGGGACCCTCTGGCGAACCATGCAGAGGGAACCAACCCAGCTGCACCACGACACGTCAGTTGGCGCCTCCCAGCCCGTGACACGGCCGGAATAACATACAGTACCTCCAGTCGTCGCCATTACTGCCAGGAGGCGCCAGAGTTGTCGACTGCCGCTTCTCGTGCTCCTTCTGCTGGCCGCCTAGCGCCTGCCGCTGCTGCCGTTCGGTAAGGCCTTTGACCCCCCCCCCACCGCTCGCTCGCATCCCCTGGCCTGCTCCACCACTGCTGCCACCACCACCCGTGCCGCTGACGCTGCTGCTTTCAAACCGCCCCTCCTGCTGCGTCTCGTCCCGCGGGAGGCCCGCCTTCACCGCCCCCACAGCTAGTTTACGAGCTGCTGTTCTCCTTTATCCCCTCCTCCCCTCCCGTCTCCCCCTCCTGCCCCTCGCCTTCCGCCCTCGCGCGCGCCGCCTGCGTGTCCGCCTCCACCTCCTCCTCCGACAGCCCACCCAGCATCTCCAGGAAGGGCGCGTAGTAGTCTCGGTGCTCGATGGCGCACTGAAGGAAGGTCTTGAACTGCGGAGCAGGGGGGAAGGGGTGAGGGTGAGAGGAAGGTAGGAGAGAGGAGTGTGGTGAAGGTAGGGGAGAGTTGGTTGAGGGGAAGGCAGGGAAGAGGGAAGAAGGGTGGGCAGCAGGTTGACAGACAGCAGGGGGGAAAAGGGGGGGATCAGGCGGAGCGGGGAGGGGTGGGCGGGCAGCGAAGCACGAGGGACGGGAGAGCAGCGGAGAGCAGCGAAGGGGAGAGGGAGTGCCACCACGACAACACGTCCCAGTGCCCAGCAGCTGCTCCCAGCCCCCAGCCGCCCCTTACATGGTCCTGGCACTCGTCGATGTAGTCCAACCCGGCTGCCTTGGCTTGGCTGCGGCAAGCCACCCACTCCTGCATTCAAGCAACCGGGCGTGTGGGGAGTTCCGGGGATTTGGTACGCTCAACAGAGGCAGGCAGTAGAGGATGACCACAGGGTGATTACAGAGGATTCTGCTTGCAGTTCGGGGTATGGCGGCTAGCTATGTATCCGACAGCCTGCCCTGGCAAGGCGCAACCTCTTAAAAGCAACCTAAAACCAAGCGGCAAAGACCAGCTCGGCCCGCGGAGGGCACCCTCCACCCTCTGTCTCCCTCCTGCTCCGATCTGTTCTAGCTGCCCACCTGATGCTGTGACTTGCACTCCCCTGCCTCTATAAATTGACAGATGGGACACCGAGACAAATCGTCCCCAGCTCCCTCTTCGCTGTCCGTAACATTTGAGTCCTTGGGTGCCGAGCTCGCTGCAGGCTCTGATTCAACGCTAGTCGCACTCTTCAAGCGCTCGTCTTCGGCATCCGCACGTCTGGCTGATGATGTCGGCGCTTCTCCGGACGACATAGCAAAATATTTTCTTCAAGATGAGTTGAAAGTAAAATAATATATAGGTCTAGCGTCAATACGCGACGGTCAAGGAGCGCCGGAGAAAGCGACAGGCAAAAAGCTCAAGCCTATAAATTGAACAACCTCGTGATAATAAACGCTATTGCCTTAACAATGGCGACGGTCGGCTCAAACTGCTGCGTGATAGGATTACGACCCTCGACGGTTGCAAGTTACATCCGCGATCAGTGTTTGGGAAACTCACCCCTTTGCATTTTAGAGTCAATACATGTTAAGCTTTGCTTTGTAGTCTGTAGGCATTGACTTGTGCCAGGCAGCTGTGAGCTCAGCTGTGTACCACAGCCGCTTGGCCTCAGTGCTCATTGGCGTTTTCTGCCCAGGCAGATATTAGATTGTGATTAACGATGTTTCTGTGACGCTTTGGCATAACCTAATAGGTTCTGGTCCGCGGACCTGGCTCGGACCTTTGCCGGAAGCTGTGCGTCAGGAGCTCAGGACCTCTCGTTGCCATGTTAGCAAGCCATGACGAGGATCGCAGTCGTATGGAGGCGCTTCAGGTAAAGTTGCGAAGTCCTTGGTGAGCAGAACCGTCATCCCCTGCCGCTGGGAATATCAGCGGACGTTCCATGGGCCGCTGACGATGTTGCCAAGCCCTCAGGCCACATGTTCCACGATTCATCGCCTCTCCTAACGAATGCCCTTTAGGGACTTTAGCGTGGCGTATTCGCGGCAACACATTAACAGATTGTTTTCCTTGCGTAACCATCCTCATTTAAGAGAAAACACATGAAACCTCCCCTCCTTCCTGCTCCTTCCCTCGCTGGTTAACAGGCTGAGCTCCAAGCCCTCAAGGCTCATTTGGGTCGGGCCGTTCGTCTGCAGCGCTCCTCCCCCGCCGAAGCCCCCGCTACCGCGCCCTTCCCCATCACGATGACCGTGCAAATTGACCCGCCACCCACCGCCGCGGCCCATTACGACGTCTCTGCCATCCAAGTTCGCATCACCCTTCAGCGCGAGGCCTTACAGCTACCTTTCACTCAGCCCTCAGCTGCAGTCTCAGCATCTGGGGCTTCTGACGAGGCCAAATGTGGCGGAAGGTTAGGTGTGGAAGCGACCCGCGGGTCCCCAACGCAGCTACTTGGAGCAAGCCTCGAGGTACTCTCCAATGAACTTCCGGAACTGCTCCGAAACCGCATGGCGCAAGCCCTAGCCCAGGCCTGGCAGACAGATCTCTACAAGGCATCGCGCGCAGCATCTCCTGCCTCCGCCACCACTAGCACGAAACACGGAGAAGGGCCCTCCAGGGGAGGCGGTAAACTGCCCTCAGGGCCGTACAAGCTATCTGCAGCTGCCGTACATTTGCAAGAGCAGTTCGTACAACTGATCTGCCTGGTTCCGGAGCTCCTGGAGCCGTACCAGGCAGAGGACCAGTACGGCGCGACTGTACGGCGTTACGCAATCATCAACGACGGCCCTACAGCCGCTGTGTCTGCCGCGGGGCCAGCACCGGCGGGACGGGCGGCAGCAGAATCCCCATCACCATTGTCAACAACCTCAACGCCGCCGGTGCCGCCTTCAGCCGCATCCCAGCTGCACGGAAAGCCGCTGCATGGTGAATCACCCAAGCCTGGCAGCATCCCTACTGGCGGGCCAGTCCCATCACCCTCGGCAGTGACGATGACTCCAGGTGACAGGGCTGACGTCGCCGTGGCGCCTGCAGCAGCCGCACCGCAGCCGAGGCGTGACGGGCCTCCCATGCCTCAGGACACCCCAGGTGATATAGCTCGCACGCAGGCGGCGTCTCATGAAGCCCGTGCACCCGCATCCGCACCTGTAACTCCAGCACCAACGCCTCCGTCCTCCTCTGCAGCCCAACCAGCTGCACCCTCAGACCTGCAACAGAAGACGACAGCCACGTCAGCAGCGCCACCGCCATCGCCGTCGCCGCCAGCAGCTCCTCCCCCTCCGCCGCCGCCGCAACCCGGGCTCCTGTCGTACAACACAGCCCTCAAAGAACTGCAGTACATTCAGAAGCGCTACAGCCAAGTCTGTTCCGTACGAGTCCACCGCCAAGACGCTGGCGGCGGCGGCGGTGGTGCCGCTGGTGGCGGGGTGTCGCAGCTGCTACAGCCGGGATGTCTCACCACATTCGACTTGGAGCTGCTGCCGACGGATCCGGATTGGGACATGCCCGCCGTACGAGTGGTGGGTCAGCTGCTGCCTGTGAGCGAGGGCGGCGGCGCCGAGTGCCTGTTCCTGCCCTCCCTGGGTGTGCACATGGGCTGCCGGCTGGCTGGCTGGTTGCGGGGCGCCCTGGAGCGCTACATGGAGCAGCAGCTGACGGCGGAGGCGGCGGCGGTGGTAGCAGCGGAGGCGGCGGCGGCAGTTGCCAATGCTACAGCGGCAGCAGCAGCAGCGACAGAGGCGGCGGCAGCGGTTGCGGAGCATGTGGGAGGCGACGTCGCTGGTAGCGTTGGTGGCCACGGAAGGGGCAGAGGAGGTATGCCGGTGCGAGGGCGAGGGGCTGCGGGTGGGCGGACGGCAGTGGGACGTGGCGGAGGCGGTGGGGGCCGCGGCGCCGAGGCAGCGGCGGCGGCGGAGGCTCCCGAGGGCACTGTGCTGCTGCCGCTGGGGTGCCTGCGGAACCTGTTGCGGAACCTGGAGAACTATGCCGGTGAGGGTGGGGGATGGGGGAAGGGTGGGTGAGGTCGGATGGAGGTGGAAAGGGCAGCGTTGGATGTGGGCAGGCAAGGAGGGGGGCCAGTCGGATGCCGGCGCGGATGTAATGACAGGGCTGAAGAGGCTGCTTGTTGGTTAGGTTGGCGCGGCGAGCCCTGGCGCCCAAGCACCCGGACTAGCCGTCCCTCAGCACCTACGGCCCGTACCTGGTCTTGAACACGTCACCTGTTTTTTGTCACCTGTTTTACCTGTTCCTAGTCGGCCGTTGTTTCCGCAAAGCATGTGGGTAACACCCTGGCTGCTGTCCGCTTGCCTTCACATGTTGGCCACTCTGCCTGCCATGCGCTATGCGGTGCAGGCAGCATCGCACGGGCAGCGGACGAGGAGCGGCGGCAGAGGGAGCTGCAGCAGCAACAACAACAGCAGAAACACAGGCGGCAGCAGCAGCAGCAGCGCAGGCAGCGTGCGGTTGTTCGTCGTGACGACGGCGGCGCCATTAGCAGCAGCAGTGGCGGCAGTGGCGGCGCTAACATCAGTGGCGATGATGGTGCCGACGCCGACGCCGGCGCCGGTGGTGGTGGCGGCGGACAGCTGTACGACGATGACGGGTACGGCGACGGCAGCCGCCGTCGGGAGTACGGCACTGCGGCTGCTCCGGCGGGCACTGAGGTGAGAAGCACATTGTCTGCATGATGATGGTATCTGGCTTTATGTCCCACCCCCCGGTCCGCTCACGGCTGTGCCCGCTTTGCCCAACTTGTGCACAAAGAGTGGGTATGGTAGCCACTGCACTGCAACCGGGAACAGCCACACCCCCGTTGAACCGGGCAACCCATGTGACGCAGGCGGGTGCATCATCAGCAGCGGGTAGACATCTGGACGAGGGCAGCAGCGGGGCGGACTACAGCGACAGCGGCAGTTATGACGACGACTACGACGGAGGAGCGAGCGATGACGGGGGCGACGGTGAAGGGGATGAGGATGAGGTGGAGGAGGAGGAGGGACGCGCGGCGGACGAGGTGCGCTTCAGCGGCGCGGCAACGGCCGGAGGGGGCGGCGGAGAGCTACCGGCGGCCTTTGCAGTGGTGCTGGAGGTGAGGGGCGGGGGAAGGGGGTGTGGGGGGTTCTGAGCTCGGAGGAGGTGTGTTAAGAAAACTGGCCGCGAGTAGGAGGTGTGTGTGCATGATACACACATCAGTGTACTGCCTTTCGTCTTCCTTTCGCTCACCCTGCGCTTGGTTCTTGCCTCCTCTTGGTTTTTTCTTGAAGCTGCAGGGAAGCTGCCTTTCTTTTCCCCTTTCTCACGTGTGGTGTTTCCCTGCACCCCTCCCTTTCCGATCGCCTCCTCGCCCCGCCTTCCCCTCCCCCCGCCCCCCCAGGGCCTGCAGCTGGACAACCTTGCGGTGGTGGAGGCGCTGAGAAGCAGCTTCGAGGTGGGGGCGGGGAGAGCCGACAAAGGCAGGGAGGGAGGGATGGGGAGTTACGAACGCGGCGGAAGAGGGCAGGTGGTGCGGTGTATGGGGGTATATGTAGTGGGGGGGAAACCCCTGCTGCTGCACCATCCACCAACCCAATCGGCCCTGTCCGGTACTCCCGCCTTGCTCAGCGGCAACGTATCTTGCCTGCTAGCCTCCCAAGGTCCTATTCTTCTTCCACCCCTGTGCCGCCCCCTGCCAGGTCTCCTGCGCGCGCTGCGACTGCAGGGGCACCCTGGTGGTCTCCTCCGAAGCCGTGGCGGGCAGCAGCAGCAGCAGTGGTGCTGGCGGCTCGCGGCCCAACAGCGCCGCCGGGGTGTGTCCCCGCTGCTCGACGGGCTGGTCGCTGCTGATGCGGCCGCACTACGTGCATGCGGGCGCCAACTGCCTGTGCGTGGTGAAGCCGCAGGTGGGGACGGGAAGGGGGGAAAGCGTGGTCGGGTGGGGCTGGGGGAGGCAGGCTGAGGGTTCGAGCTGAGGGCGTGCATGGTAGCCCGGGCTGCGGGCTGCTTCAACACGTGTAAGCGTCCTTTCTGCTAGATCCCCTCACTCGCAACCCTTTGCCGGCCCTTACCTTGCCAAACCCTTACCCCTCGCTGTCAGCGTTCCCAGCCTGCCCGCCCTCCCGCCCCTTCCGGTAACCCCCTCTCCCCTGCCCCTCTCCCCTCGCTTCCCGCACTCATCCCACACGTACACACTGCCACACGCTTCCGACATTCTGTGCGTTCCCCCTCGCGGCCAGTTTTCTTAGCACCCGCCTCCCCGCTGCCCCCCCGCTGCCCCCCCTCCCGCCTGCAGGGCTGTCGGCCTCTGGACCTGCTCCCCTCGCTGCTAGCCGGGCAGTGTGCCGAGTGCAGCGCGGTGATGAGCCTGCGGGAGGTGCAGGTGGGGGGCGGCAGGGGCGGGCAGTAGGCAAAGGAAGAAGGGAGCATGAAGAGGAGGGTAGGGGCTGCACCCCTTCCCATGGTCTTCCTACGCCCACGTCTAGTGTGTTTTCTCGCCGCTCGATCGTCCATCTTTCCTTTCCTTCCCTGTCGGCAGGTTGGCGTGCCCTTCACGCGCGCCTGCAGCAGCTGCCACAAGGAGCTCCTGCTGCGGGTGGGCGCGGTCTCCTTCGTACCGCGGGGGCCCCCGGCGGCGGCACAGCGGCAGCCCGGGGGGCGCATGCGACAGGGGCAGCAGCGGGGGGCAGCAGGCGGAGGCGGAGGTGGCGGGGGGGTCCTGGTGCAGCCGGGGCAGCCGCTGCCGGCGCTGGGCACGTGTCGGCACTACCGGCACTCCTACCGCTGGCTGCGGTTCCCGTGCTGCGGTGGGGGTCGGGGGCGGGCGGGTGGGGTGGGGGTCAGTGTTTCTCGCGGCTCAGTTTATCTAATCCCATCACACAACGCATAGCCCAGCACCACCGCCACCACCAACCCCACCACACCGGGCTGCAGTGTCTTCCTCGCGGATTCCTACAGCAACACACCACACCACAACACCCCTGCCTGCCTGTCCGGCCTCCCCGCACAGGAATGCGCTTCCCCTGCGACCTGTGCCACGAGGAGGCGGTGGCGGACGGCCACCCCGCCCGCTGGGCCACCCGCATGGTGTGCGGCTTCTGCGCCGCCGAGCAGCCGCTGGCGCTGGCGTGCAGGGGCTGCGGACGGCAGCTGGCGGGGTCCGCAGCCAACCCTAGCGGTGGGTGCGTTGAGCTGGGGGAAGGGGGGGCGACATGTCCCGCTGTCGTGCAAACCTCATGTTGTCGGCTCTGCCGCCGCCGCCATCCAGTCCCGAAGGTCTCCCTTCTTAGCCGTCTTACCGCGCCTACCGCGGGGCCCCTCTGCCCACGCCGCCATGATGCAACCCAGATGACCGCGTGGAGCCCACGGTTGTTTAATTTCTTCCTGTTCACCCGCCGCCCCTGCGCCGCCACCCGGACCGCAGGCCGCCGCACTCGCTTCTGGGAGGGCGGCACCGGCTGCCGCGACCCTCGCCGGCTGAACAAGAACGACCCGCACAAGTGGCGCGGACGCAACAAGACGCAGTCCGCCAAGGCCTCACGCGTGGGGCCTAAGCCCTGGAGTGGCAGGGGCGGCGGAGGAAGTGGCGGGGCTGGGGTAGGAGGAGGATGACGGGATTGCGGTGCGTGAGGAACGAAAGGCGGACAGGTTCCGTTGTAGAGCAGGCAATTATGTATGCTAGGAAGTGATGTGCATGTCAGTTGCCACAATCACCCTGAGTACTCTCGTTCGATGTTGGGCGACAGTTGAACCTGTTGAGGTAAAAATGCGAAGAAACCCATGAGACTGCCCGGGCCTGCTGAGGCCCAACCAACCGCAAGGGTTGGAGCTATGGATGTCGAGGGTCATTCTGCAATTTTGTAGTTTATTGCAACTATGCTGTGGTGTCATGGATCGCTCTGGAAGAGAGGCTGTAGCTCGTCCATGTTGTGACAATGAGCATCAACGGGCGTCGAGCTAACCAGGAGTGCAGCATTGCCAGCTGGGCAGGAAGTGGAATTACGAGCATGGTTTTAATACCGGTGAAGCAAGGAGGGCAGCAGCTGACATCGTGGATCACGTCGATGGCTTGTTGTACGGTCGATGCGGAAGCTACGCGGACGGACACAAGGTGGAAGCATACACATCGCAGCGCATTCCGCATTTCGCATAGGGATTACATAGTCCTTGCAAAAGCTGGGCAGCTGTTACCTTGAATAGCCCCGGGTTGACCACCCTTTCTGTCATAGGGATTACATCCGTTGCAACCTGCGTTTGCTTTGTACATGTACATGCTTGTTGAAAAGAGTGGCTAGTAACTGATCAAGGCAACAGGCTCTGGCGCGATGGCGGGGCGTCGGGGCGACTACGACGCCCTGATAAAGTTGCTTCTTGTAGGCGATAGCGGTATGTTCATATCGCTTGATCTAAATTTAGTATATCCTGTGTTTTTTGCGAAGCGGTCCTGTGCAACACGCAACTCTCTTGCCGTTTGCAGGCGTCGGCAAGTCCTGCTTGCTTTTGCGATTTACAGATGATATGTTTACATCGTCATTCATCACGACAATAGGGTAAGCAGCGCTGCGCAGTTCGTGTCGTGGTCCGTGGTTTGCCCACAACCCTCCTATTTGCCGGAACGCCACAGCATCGACTTCAAGATTAAGAAGGTCGACGTAGAAGGGAAGCTCGTCAAGCTACAGATATGGGACACGGCGGGGCAGGAGCGATTTAGGACTATTACGAGCGGTGAGGGTTTTAGGGTCGGGCGAGACGTTTGCCGGGTTTGGCAGTCAGGAGCCTGGCGCGGTCGGTGTGGTCCGAGCTTGACACCTTGAGGGTGACCTCCCTTCCACTGCGCCAATCCTCGCGCCCGGGCTGCAGCAGACTTGCTACCGTCTTGCTGTAGTCTTGCTCCACGGCACGCCGAGTGGGTACGACAGCCCACCCAGCCATCCACCGCCCCATCCACAGTCCACTCCCACTAACGAGTTCCTACTACCTGCTGCTTCCGGGCAATGCACAGCCCCTCTTCAGTTGTCTCGAACTCAGCCACATGCCTGAAATGGCGTCAACCTGCCAGCACCTCCATTCATGGCTCGCCGCCCTCCTCACCGTCTGCCTCGCTAACTCGTTGCCCTGTGTCCCTCCGCCGCCTCCCCTCCGGCCCCCTCTGCCTCCTCCCTCCCGGCCTCCCCCTTCTGCCCTCTGCTCCTCCTGCTGCCCTCTGGTCCCCCTCCTGCCCCCCCCCCAGCCTACTACCGCGGCGCGCAGGGCATCATCCTGGTGTACGACATCACGGACGAGTCCTCCTTCAACAACGTGCGCAACTGGATGCGCAACATCGAGCAGCACGCCTCCGACAATGTCAACAAGGTGCGGCAGCGGGACAGGAGGGCGGGACAGGAGGGTGTGCGGCATGCGGGCGTGGGTGAGGGTGTGCGGCATGTGAGGGGGGCTTCCATGCTGATGTCTTGGCTGCGAGGCGAGTTACATGCGGGGGCGGCGCTGGTCCGACCCCCAGCAGCCCTGTCCTGATCCTCCCGACACACACAAAGCCAATGCCCACGCGGTAACCGTGTTGTCGTTTCCTTGCGCCACGCACCTGCTCATACCGCTCGTACCTTCCCTCATGCAATTGAGCAAGTGCGGTACCTGCTGCGTGCCGTGTACTCCCTGGTGGCAGATCCTGGTGGGCAACAAGCTGGACTTGGCGGAGGAGAAGCGGGTGGTGTCCACCGCGCGGGGTCAGGAGCTGGCAGACGAGTTTGGCTTCCGGTTCTTCGAAACCAGCGCCAAAGACAACGTACATGTAGAGGAGGTGCGTGTAGGCTGCAAGGTTTGTTACCGTTATGAGCGATAGCTCGCTTTTTATGCGAGAAATCATTGGTCTAGGCTCCCAGGAAAAGCGATATGGTCTCATCCATACCGGTCTCAAGAAGTAGATGCGTCCTACTGACTCATTGCCTCTCCCCTCCCCTCACCACTCCCCCATCCATTTCATCAGGCTTTCTTCGCCATCGCGAAGGATGTGTTGCAGCGGCTGCAGGGCGAGCATGCCAGCCAGCAGCTGCTGCAGCAGCAGCACTCGGCGGCGCAGCAGCCGGTGCGCCTCACGTCCGTCAGCAGCGCGGCGGCGGCGCAAAACGCCAAGTCAGGATGCTGCAGATAGCACTGCAGGTGGCTGCAGATGGTGTACCGGTAATAAGGGATGCAGGGCGCGTGCGCTGTCGGGGAGAGGGACGTAGTGGAGTTGGGGGGCACGAGGGTTGGAGGATGGGTTATGGTAAATAGGATAGGCAAGGAACTGGGATGACCGGCTGGTGTAGCGGCAACGGCTGATACTGGCAGGAGGGCAGGAAAGAGACATGACGGAGGCGTGTGACTCGCAGGGGGCTCGGTCGGGGCCCTGGCTGAGACCAAGGGCAACCAAGGGATGTGAGCATGTGACCAGAGGCTCGTTGGCTCATACCCTGTAGTGGTTCAGGTGGAGGGAGGCTCTGGTCGGAGGGAACGCAATTAGAGCTGGGAATGGCAAAGGAGCAGCACTGCATTGGGCATTAAAATCCGTCCTGGGGTTTACCCCCGCCCCTCTGGAAAGCCCTTTTTTGTCTGATCGGTGACCGTACCATCAAACTAGGAGGGTGTGTGTAGCAAGCACAGTAGCTTGGAAGGAAGGGTGCTGAGGCAGGCGTGCATGCCTGCTCTGGTGTGCGGTCCATGAGCCCCCAGGCTCGTCTGGGCCTCACGAGCCATAGAGCTTGTAACAACTTACTGACTCACAGATAACTCTTTTAATATAAATCCAAATAGTCTTTAGGTACTGAGCTTTGCGGCTAAGTTGTACCGGCCAATGAAGTTGTGCACCTGTAACTACTTAGTCCTTGACCTAGACTTCTATGCGAAAGAGATAGGCTGGGTTGTCCCTCTTAATTAACGACTGGCACCTAAGGCTTTTTCGTCTATTCAAGCAAGCTACAAAGAACGGTCGCACCTGGTCGTGTACGGGATGCATAATCCCGCTGTCAAACTCAAAGCCCTCGCGACTTTGCGGAATCGCCTCTTTCAGCAATTATTGATACGGTGCAGCTCCTTTCCCAACGCTGCACGTTGGTTAGCCAGTACTTGGGTGGAAGCTTCCTACGCTACACTTCACCTGTATTTCCCGAGGTGCTCTGTCAAGCAGATAGTTAGGTCGTTAATAGGAAGGCCATGGCCGACACGGCCATGGCTTCATTGCAGACTGGCGGGGCACCATCGCCATTCTCTGCTGCATTACCGATAGGCGGCCTTGAAGCCCTTAAATATGCAGCCCAAGCGGATGCCTTTCAGGACGACCCTAACTTTTATTCCTGGCTAGAGGACTTTATTGGTGAGTCGTGTTCCTTTGGCAGCGGCTTACACGTCTCTTCACTTGCGGTTGGGCTCCAAGTCCGACTCCAAGCTCGGCTCCTAATCAGTGCGCTCTTTGCCACTGCTTTCACAGGGAAGCAGGACGAAGAGACGGTTATGGTTGATGCGTTTAGTACGCTGAACGACTTCAACATGCAGTTCGACGAGTTTCAGGTTAGGGCCTTGCTGCCGTTTCCTCTCTATTGCTGGCCATGCCTTGGTGATGGAATTCACGGTTACTTAGCCGGACCTGGCGTTTCATGCGTTGCCTTCTCCCGTTCCACGTCGGTTGGCGTGAACGTTAATCTGCCAACAACCAATGCCCTACGTTTTTTGTTTTTACTGTAGCAACAAAAGCTGCAACACCAGCAGCAGCTTCACGGAGAACAACGGCAGGTGGCCAATTCCGCGCATGTGGCTCCTTCGGGTGCTCCGGTGTCGGATATCGCCAGTATTGTAGGAACCCAAGCCGCGTCTGGATCAAATGGTATACATCCAACCGCGGAGGGCTTCAGCTTTAGCGCCCTGGCCGCAAGCTTGCAGCGCCACCCACAGCAGCTCCAGGACTTCTTCCCACACAGAATTTCCTCCTCATGCGCCTCCATGGCGTCACACCCTTCCAGTCATCCCAGCGACAGTAACAGCAACAGCAATAGTCAGAACGTCATTGGCTCGCCGTCATCGGAGTCCGCCGACCTAAGCAGCACGCATCAAGGCGCCAAGATGGCTGCCGACACTCCGGTGCTGTCCTCTCAGCCCCAGGGCCCACAAGCAGCGGCACCGATAGCCAAACAAGCTCGAATGGCAGCTGCTGGTGACGTCAGCGCGGGCGAGCAAATGTCCCTTGGGGCGTCATTAGCCCCTGGCGACAGTGGGCTGTTGGCCGACCTCCACAATTATCTCCGCGGCGGTGCAGCCGACCCGAAGCTGTCCCTGAACGCACCGGCAGCGGCCCCAATGCACAGCCACGGCACGGTATCTTCTTTTGTGGGTCTGCCATTTCCGGGCGCCTCGCGACCTGGCCCGGCTGCCTCCGGTGCTGGCGCGCAAGCTGGCCCCGGCAGCTGCGGCGGTAACGCTCTCAGCAGCGGAGTACCCTCCTTGGATGCTCTCATTGCCCGTGCTGTTTGCGGCAATAGGAGCGGCAGGGACAGCAACATCGACCGGCGTTTAACCGGCTTGGCTAGCATTGGGCTCAGCGGCTGTGGAGGTGGAGGTGGGCGAGCAGCAACCGCAGCCGCTGGTGGCATCGCTGCACATCTGCCCCGCAACACCAACACCAACAACAGCACCTCGCCTATTGGCAGCAGTGGCGACATCAGCGGGTCGTGCGCGGAGGTGAGGGCCTTGAGCAGCGGTGAGCTGGCATCTGGCGGCTCCGGCTGCGTGGAGGGGCTACAGCAGCAGCATGCGCTGTCCAGTGGCGGCGGCGCACTGGCCAAGTTGTCCCACCTCCACCGCCACCACCCGCAGCACCCGCAACACCACGGACGCGGCAACTCCTCCGCCCATGTGGGTCATCAGCACCCCCACCCCTCCCTCCACAACCACCACAACACCATTCCGGTCGCGCACCAAGCACACGTCGGCAAGCTCCCCTCATCCCACTGGGGCGGCGGCCGCGGCGCCGGCGTCAGCGCCGGCAGCGGGCGGCCCACCCGCAGCGCGCGTGCCAAGGCAGTGTTTGCGGCTCTGGAGGCGGAGGTGGCGGGCAAGATGGACGAGCTGGAGGCGCTGCAGCGGGAGCATGCCACCCTGGCCAACCGCGTGGAGATATTGGAGGTGGCGTTGGAGCGGCAGGGTGTGGTGCTGGCGCTTATGGAAGGGAAGAAAAGCAGTGGGGCGGCTGGCGGTGGTGGTGGTGGTGAAGAGGGATGTGATGGGGACGCGCAGGGAGCGGCAGCGGCAGCAGGGAACGGCAACAAGAGGAGCGCTGCGCAGGCGTTTTACACGCCAAAGTTGCTGGCAGCGGCCTACGCGGGTGGGTCAGCAGCAGCGGCAGGGGCGGCTGGGGCGGGGCAGCCCGGGGGTCCGGGTCTGGGTCCGCTGGCGCTGATGGAGGCGATGTCGGCTGCCCCGGGCGCGGTGGACAATGCGGAGCTGGTGGAGTGGGCGCGGGGCTGCACGGTGGAGGCGTACAAGAGCTGGTACAAGGGGTCGCTGCAGGTGGGGGTGGGGTGGGTGGGGGAGGGGCTGAGTCGTGCGGTGTATGGGACCTGCGAGATGGTTTTTGGAGTCGGGTGTGTGCGGGAGTGGAGGGGTAGTTAGTGGGTGGGTGAGAAGCCGCCGGTTGTTGCGGAAAGCCCGAGACAAAACTTCAACCATTGCACGTTTGCACCGTTTGGTGCTATGCACCGTCCGAGCACTTGTGTGCCGCTCGTGTGTCGCCCCCCCCGCCCCGTCAGGCGCTGTCGCTGGCGCTGTTGGCCCTGGAGGATGAACCCAACAACCCCGCTGCGGAAGCCAGGATAGTGCAGGTGCGTGGCTGCATGGCTACGTGCATACAGCGTGGGGCGGCTGTGTCCGGGCGAACCGCTCTGTGCTGTGCTGTGCGTTCTGTGCTGTGTTCCTGGGCTGGCCGGTCGGCGCTCCCACGCAGACCGATCCGCAGTTCCGCACGCGCTGTTCGGCCACATCCTCGCGTACTTCTTCAGCTTCGAGACCAACCAAGCTGGCGAGCTTCCTCCTCGAGTATCCCTTTATACACATTACCCCTCCTCCTCCCCTGCCCCTCCCCTCCAGCTGGTCGCGGAGGGCCACGCGCGCACCAGCCTGGTGTGCCTCTTCCAGCCGCTGGTGCAGCTGCGGCTCAAGGGACTCAACCTGGAGACGGACAGCTACGACGAGCCGTCGGAGCAGCACTGGATCGAGGTCATCAAGTGGGTGATGGGGGGGGTGCGGGTGGGGCGGATAAGGAGAGACGGTCATGCGAAGTGTTCAAACGCTTTATGGTTCTTTCTTGGTCCGGCAGCCTTTTACACCGCTTGCACCGCTTACACTGTGCACGCTGCCCGGCAGTGACCTCACCCCCCCCTCACCCCTCACACCACACTTTGGAATTTCTTTTTTCCCCCTCACCCCTCACCCCCGTCCCCGCCGCTGTGCTCTGTGCCCGCGCCGCTCAGGTTCATGTCGGTTCCCTGGGAGGGCGTTGTGGAGATGGAGACGCTGTTCCACTCGTACAACCTGCTGCACGAGTCCTTCCGGTCGGAGCTGCAGGACACGCAGCGCGACCTGCAGCAGCTGCTGGAGTCGCAGCAGGGCGACCGGCTGGGCAGGCACCGGCACTGCTCGGGGGAGGCGATACACAACGTCATGCAGCAGGTGGGCAGGAGAAGGAGGGTCTGGGAGGGGAGGGGAGACTACCGTGTACCGGTTGCGCCGTGTTGGGGTTGACAGCGGGGGAGAGGTGGTTGGAGGAGGAGGCGGGGTGGGGGCGGGGATGCGAGGACTGGGGCAGCGGGTTGATGAAGCCGTATGTAACAGCAGGGCTGCTAAGGGCGCGTGTTCTGCGTTTGTTGTCCTTGCTCGCTTGGAAGCACACCCGCAGAACGCCGTCTTCAGCTGCTGCACACCTTCCGCCTCCTTTACCCCGCTCATTCCGTTACCCCGCTCCTGCCCCCTGTCCCCCGCTTCCCCGCCCTCCGCGCCCCAGGTATCTCTGCTGAAGCGCGTGCGGCGCATCCTGCAGAAGATCCACCTGCTGTACAGCTGCACCATCGGGGTGGCAGCCATGCGCATTCTCAAGCCCAAGGAGTGAGCGGGGGAGGGGCGGGGGCTGGGGTTGAGTTCAGGGTTTAGGAGGAGAGGGAGGAACGGCGATTGCACGGAAGGGGGCGGAAAGGGTGACTGGGAGCGGGCATGGTGCGCTTGAAGCCAGAAGATCAAGAATGGTACTTCCATTCTAAATGGCCCGAAGCATGGCCCAAGAACCGGTCCGAAAAGCCCCGAGTAAACTGGCACCTGGCTCCATCCCCATCGTTCACCCTTGGGGCCCTCTCTGTTCTCTGGTCAGCCCCTCCTCACACACCTCCTTACTCTCCCTCCCTCGCCCTCGCCCTCCCCATGCCCCCCCCCTGCCGCCAGGTTCGCCAAGTGCTGCATCCAGTCCTACCCCTACTACCCCTGCGGCCCCTCCCTCATGAAGGCATGCGCGCAGTTCCGGGTCATGAAGGCCCTGTACGGCCTGCCGGGCTGCGGCTGCTGACACTAGGGAGGGGCAGGGGGGCGGGGGCCGCAGTCCTTGCGAGGTGCTGCTGCTGCTGCTGATACTGCTGCTGGGACTGAGCTTGCGCATGCCCTGGGAGCCCCCCCAGGAGGCAGGGTGTCTCTGTGCGTCTTACCAACTTTAACTGCGTCTTACCAACTTGAACCGCTTGTTCTGTGAGAGCAGAACCGAACAAGTTTGAATGCATTAACTTCAATATTTCCACGCGTGCAAGGGAATAGCAACAGTGTGCAATGTGTTGTGATGGGTCCGCCGTGGGGATGTGCCCTGCTTGGCAGGCTAGGCGGAGTGCCGGTAATACGGCTCTGTGGGGCAATGTGTTGAGGCACCTCCTCCTCCTGTGATGCATAGTCACGCACAGGGTGACCAGTGAGGTTGGGGCCGGTTGTGGGTGTTGGTGAATGTCGGGTGTGTGTTGTAGCACCTGAGCGGCTTAACGCTCCTGACCGTGGCTATTCAGATGTGTGGCAGGTCAGGACGTCCTAGCTTGCTGATTGGACGCTGCTGGTCCGTGGTGGTGGTGCTTCTCCTGCTGTCGCATGCAGCCTGGGCGCCTGATTGATGCTACTTACTTGGGGTTTTGCTGCTGAGGCTGCGTTGGGTGTGGGGGAGATGGCGGAAGGTGATGGGGCACGAGTTCTGTGTGATACAAGGGCGTCGGCCCTTTGCCTTTGTGTCAACGTGCCTGTCAGGCTTCCCGGCGGTTCCCAACCGGCATGTCATAGGACCGAATTCAACCCAATTCGTGTTGCTTGGTAGGAGAAATACCTGTCTGCATACATCTGTTCGAATCCCGGGCAGTTTCGATCCGGATGGAAGTCGTAGCAGTTCCCATGTGTGGCCGGCTGTGGGGGGTGCAACATACCGGTACATAACACAGCGGAAGGCCCGCTTTCGCATTCGTCCGCCGTTCGGTTGTCACGGTTGATGCACCTTGGTTGATGCACGGTTGAAGTTATCTCGATACATATACTAATCATCACTGTCATTGTTGCAGCTCGTCCGCAAGTCTTGAAGCGGCTTCGCATGGCGGGTCGGCGGCTGCTTTGCGGCTTGGTTTCTAATGTCGTATTCCAGCAACGTCTGAGCATGGTTGGGGGTGACGGCTTTGCATTGTAGTATGTGGTGTGGCATGTTGTCGTACAGTACTTTACTTGCTGGTGCGTTTCCCTGCGCGGTATCTCTGCGAAGCGGTGCTGGGGGTATCCCGGGCTGTCCGCCGGTGTTGTAGCCGACCCTCGTACTTGCCCTAATACTCGTTTTCACGTTCTCCGCTCGGAGGTGTGTTGTTATCGTTCTCATGGTGTAGGGTCCCCGCTGCCCGAATGGCGGCAGATGTGTGGGAGCATTGGGGATTTGACGAACTTCCTAAGGAACATAGGAACATAGCGTCCTGGTGTGTTCTTCAGCCGGCTGCATGCGGGTCATGTCGCCTTCTGTGGTCGGGCCGTCCGTCGTGTACTAAGTAAGGGTACTGGTAGTAATATTATGAAGTGATTACCGGTACTAAAGCATTGCGGCGTTTTGTCCCTTTTCCTTTGTGGGAGAAGAGAAATGCAGGACCCACGTGTTATCCCGTTTGTCACGCGACATGCATGTTGGGGCAATCTGGACCCGTAGCTCTGCAGTGTCGTCACAACTGGGCCGTGTGGTTTTGTAATGATGGCAGCAGATGAGGGAATGCAGGGGGTCATCGTCCTCTCGATGCCGTGTCGCGGCTGGGGCTCCACCCAAAAACCGTTCTGCCGTACATTTCCCGTAATGTTTGCGTGAGAGGGCTTCACTTTGTTGGGCCAGAACTCGATGATGCGAGGGAGGATTGTGTTCGCGAATTCAATTTTACTTGTATTTTAAAACTAGGAACTCCCAGAGCCTCACCACCCCTGATATTCGCAGATTCGTGCCTAGATACCGTACAAACGGCGAACGACATGTGTTACGAATTCCTTGTCCACGTCATGTCAAGGACGCGCGCAACAACAGGCATGCTGCCGGTGCTCCAACGATAGAGGGACTACTAGCCCCCATCACCCGCCATTCCCCCGGCACCTCAACACCCGCACATCGGCATTACACCCTGCTCCACCGCTGCCGCCGGCACCCACCGCTCTCCTGGTGCCCTGGTGCCTCCGCTCGACACACACGCACGCACCGTTGCACGCAGCAGTCAGTCCGACGCCGAAGATAACCTCTCCAGCAGAAGGTACCTCCGCCATCACACGTATCCCCAACAATATCGCAGCAAAGAGGGAGCCCCCTTGCATGCACACCTACATTGCACCCGGCACACACCGTACACTGCTCATCCGTCCTTCCCAGCCCCCTACCGCTCTCTGGCCCCTCCTCCCTCTCCCCTCTCCCCCGCCTCACACTCGCCTCAGCACTCACTGTATCCGTCGGGATATGGGAATCGGACTCCAGTTGCTGCACTTCTCATCTATCATTCACCCCACGCAACCATGCCTCTCACGCGCCCCCATCACTGAAGAACGCCACCCGGCCATCCAGCCCTGCCAGCGCCATCTGCGGGTGCAGCGGGCTCCACGCCACCCCCGTCACCGCGTCCGCCACCACCCCCCGCCCCACCTTGTGCGCCACCACCCCCTGCCGTACGTCGTAGAGGTAGGCCTGCTTGTCCTCGGAGCCCACCCCCAGGTAGCGCAGGCAGGGCGAGAAGGACACGGAGATGGGCAGCTGCGAGTTCTTGTGGCCTACCGGGGGTCGGGGGTTAAAAACACATATAATGAGACACTGACGATGCAACTGGCGAGCTGTATGGGGGTTGGGGGGGCGGTCGGAAGGGGAGGGTGCGGGGCAGGGTTGTGTGACTGCCTCCCTTGGACTGCTGCAGGGGCCCAGATAGGCAGCTACAGGCCGTAGACTCAGCAGCATGCAGTATACGGTATCGTACCAGTACCGGTATCTACCAGCACCTGGACCCCTAACGCTCCCTCGTCAGTGTTCCCGCGGCTCAGTTTATCTAATCCCCCCTCCCTCCCTCCCTCCCTCCTCCAGCCGTCTGCTCCTGCCCGCCTGCCTGCCCGCTCTCACCAGCGAAGGCCCGCACGCAGCGCTGCGGCGCGCGCACGTCCCACAGCTTTACTGTGTTGTCCGGGGCGGCGGTGGCGAACAGCTCGTACGCCTCCCGGGGGTGGCTCACGAACAGAGAGGCCGTGCCGGCCTGGAGGGGGCAAGGGCAGGGGGCAGGAGGGGGCGGAGGAAGGGGGCGGAGGCGGAGGTAGTGAGTTCTTGGTCAAAACCAGAAGCAGGTTGCGGACTAGGACTGCTCCCCAGTAACCATGAGCCGCGGCTACGTGCGCAGCAGGGCAGCGAGGGCTGCCAGCTCCCGTGTTCTCCCCAACCCTGGGGGTAACAATGAACACTCCTGCAGCAGTGTCCAGGACTTCCTCGATTGCCGAGCTGCGTCCCACCCCCCCTCCCCCACCTGCGCCACACACCCCACGGGTCGCGCGTGCGCCTCCGCCACCGCCGCCAGCGGCCGCATCACCGCCAGGTCCACCAGCTCCAGCCCCCGGTTGGAGGCGGAGGCGATGGCGAGCGGGGAGAGGAAGGAGTTGACGACGGAGAAGTCCAGCAGCGACTGGGGTTGGGGGAGGGGAGGGGGGGGAGCGGGGGGGAGCGGGGGGGAGAGGAGAGGAGAGGAGGAGGGAGAGGGGAATGAGGGAGCGGGGCGTGGAAGAACGGTCTTATACACATGAGAATGGGGTGTATGTTTTGCATGGAGGATGGGACGAGGAGGGGCCGAGGATGGGATGTTGCCGGGCAGGCCAGTGCTCGGGTGCCGCGTGCCGCCCCAGCCAGCCAGCCCGTGTGTCTTGCCCCCGCTGCCCCCCGCTGCCCCCCGCCCCCGCCCTCACCTGCGCTGGGGAGGTGTGGCAGGCGAGCAGGCGGTAGGAGTGGCGGGCGCGCAGGCGCTCAATGTCGCTGTCCGGGTCGTCAGCCAGCTTGTACCTGGGGGGTCAGGTGGGGTGAGAGTGGAGTGGAGGATTGAGAAGTGGAGTGAAGGATTGAGACGTGGAGTACTGGAGGGGCACCGAGGTACACGAAGAGGCAGCCGTGCGGTGCATGTGAGTTGTGGTGGGGGTTGAGGGGACCAGAGGGGACAACAAGGGCTTTCTCATCAGCCTGGTAGCCGCCTCGTCAACACGAACAATGTCCTAGCTAGTAAGCTTACTATCACCCCTAAGCCATGTCGTACCCCCGAACAGCAGCCCATACCTGTACAGCAGCAGCTTGTTACCGCACGCCAGCGCTATGAACTGGTCCATGTACACGAACCGAGCCGCGCGGACTTCATGGGGCAGCGGCGGGTTGGCGGAGCGGCCGGCGGAGGCGGGCGAGGGAGGCGCAGGCGGCGGCATGGCGGAGCCAGCGGACGGACCCGTGGGTCGCCAGGGCGGCTGCGTGTTAAGGTGGCTGAACTCTAGCAGTGGCTGCGCACATGCGGCGTCCCATAACCGGGCGGTCCTGGGGTGAGGTGGGAGGTGGGGGGTGGGAGATGGATGAGGAAAGAATGAAGGAGGAGGATGAAGCGTTTGAGCGAAGCGTGTGACGCCCCTGTGTCGCTGTTGCATTGCAACAATCCCCCTTCCGCACCTGTCCGCTGACGCCGTGAGCACCAGCGTGCCCTCCCTGCTCCAGTCCGCCCCGTGCAGCGGCCCGTTGTGCCCCACCAGGTCCGTGCCCTCGCCCGCCCAGCGGGACAGCGGCAGCTTCAGCACACGGGCGGAGCGACCCACGGAGGCGGTCAGCAGCCGGGAGGCGTCGCCTGGGGGCGGGTGGGAGGTGGAGTGGGAAGCGGGGTGGAACGGAGTGGAGAGGAGGTGGGGGAGGGGCCATGAAGGGGAGTGGAGGAGCAGCAGTACGGTCCGACAGGGCAGGTGAGTCAGGCCCCTCAGTTTGGCGTGTTCATCGGTATGCGGTCTGATGGGTCCGACGGTCTGTTGAGTCCAAAGACCACATAACACAACACCACCCACCCATCCAGCAGTGCGCTGCATGCGTGCACCCGCCCTTTACCCCCCACCCCCCGTAATCCTCTCCCCACGCCCTCCCATGCTGCCCCACCCACATCCACACCAGCCCTTGCCCGCGGCATGATACCCACTCGAGAACGCGATCCGCACGATGGCTCCCCCCGGGTGCACCGCCTCCCCGCCGGGCAGCGAGTTGCGCGACTGGTGGGTGGTCAGCGGCCCGCAATCCGCGGGGTACTGCCGCGACTCCAGCAGCTGCCGCCCCACGCTGCTGGCGGCAGCGGAGCGACCCACCTTCACCGGGGGTGGCGGCGCGCGCCCCAGCTGCGTGGTGGGGTGCACGAAACCGTAGCCGCTGGACTTGACCTTGGCATGGAAGGTGACCGGCTGGTTGCGCACCCCGCTGCCGCCGCCACCGGGCCCCTTGGAACTGGGTTTGGAAGGGGAGGAGGCGGGAGGAGCGGGCGGGCGGGAGGAGCGGCCGGAGCCGGGGCTTGTGAAGCGAGCGGCGCCGCCGGGGGTTGCCGTACCGGTACCTCCGCTGCCGCTGCGGCCTGGGGCGGATTTGCTGCTGCCGGCGGAGCTGGATCTGCGGCCGCTGGAGGCGGAGGCGGCGGAGGAGCTGGGAGCCGGGCCAGCTGGGTTGGGAGCTCTGAGCGGGGAGTCAGCGGGGAGGGGTGCAGTCTGGAAGACGGAGAGGGTAATGTCCTCGGCAGGCGCAGCCTCCGCAGCGTTGGAAGAATCGCCGCCGCCTCCGCTGCCGCTCCCAGAATAGCGGTAGGGTGTCCCCGCCGCCGCTGCTGCTGCGGCGGCGGCGGCATCCGAAGCGCCGCTTGAAGGGAGCCGCTGCATGCGGGGCTGTGGCCCCATGCCGCTCCCCGCCCCTGCTGCAGCGGCCCCTAGTTTCGCAGCTTCCGATGCCGGCTCGTACCGCATCACAGCCACCGTCGGCTCCCGAGACGCTGCCGTACAGCAAAGCACGCCCCTAACTCGGCCACTGCCGTACTCTCCCTCCCCCCCTCCCTCCGCGTCCTCCTCCGCCGGCCCAGTCCCCCTCGTCGGGGCGAACGCAACGCAACCGCAAGGCTCCGCGCGCGGCACCCCACGCAGCGCCAGCCGCGGCCGCAGCGTCGGCGGAGGCGGCGGAGGCGCCGCCAGAGCGCCGCCCCCCAGTGCTACAACACCGCTTCCGTCGGGCCTCTGCCTGCCTGACACAACCCCCGCCCCCGCCGCCGCCGCTGCAGCGCCCGCAGGCTCCGGCCGGCCCAGCAGGAACGCCTCAACGACATCGTAGGAGCGGGTATCCAGTACGGACAGCGCTCCCGGCATGGCCACCAGGAGTGAGGGGCAGGCGGGCAGCAGCAGCGGCGGCGGCTGGCCGGGAGGGCCCAGGATGTCGGGCAGAAGCATGTGGGCAGCATGGGCGCCCGGCGGGGGCGAGGGCGGCGGAGGCGGCGCTGCGTAGGCCAGCTGCAGGATGTAGGTGTTGCTGAGTCCCTCGGAGCGGTCGCCGTCCTCGTCGACTTCGTCGCCGTCGCCGCCGCCCAGGTCACTGTAGGAGCCTGAGGGCTGCGGAGGGGTCAGGAGGCGGGTCTAGGGATGGGGAAGCGGGTCTGGGGTAATGGATGGTGTTACCAATACGGGGCAATGTGACGCATGTTTGCCGACACGTGATGGGTGCTTGCCGGCACGCAGCGCTGCTCCTGCCTTCCCTTCGCTGCACCCGGCTCCAAGACCCCACCTGGCGCTGCAGCCCCATCGCCGCCTTCCAAGCGGGCCGGCTGCTGATGACCTTGGGACCCGCGGCCGCCGCTGCCGCCTCCGCCGCCGCAGCAGCAGCAGCCGCGCTCATGGCCCGGTTGACCTGCCGCCCCACATCCACTGTCTGCAGCAGCCTGCAGCGGCAGCGGCGGGGACAGGGGCGAGGGAGGAGGTCAGCAAGGGGGTGACCCGGAAAACACCACAGCACGAGGGCCTTGCCTTGCCTCTAGGAAGAGGAGTGTCGAGGGGATTGCTTGCCGGCCGCATGGCACCTCCACCGCTACCACCCTCCCGGACCGCCACCAGGCAGCGCCAGCGCCGGGCGGGTCCCTACCTTGCCGCGGGCAGGGAGGAGAGGTCGAAGAAGCGCAGGGTGCCGTCCGCCGCCCCCAGCACCAGTCGGGGCGGCTGCGAGGGCTCCAGCGCCAGGCAGGTCAGCGGCGCCGGCCCCAGCACCGCGGACTGCACCACCAGGCTGCCGGCCTGGGGCGGGGGGGCGGCGGGGGGGGGGAGAACACCCAATGTGTGGTGTGATAATACACACCACACATTGGGGCGGGGGGGGGAGAATACCCAATGTCTTGCATGGGAAGGGCAAACAAGACAGCGGTGGGGCGATGGAGGAGGGAGGGAGGAAGGAGGAGGGAAGACAGCGAGGTCTGGTTTAGGGGCCCGTAGGCTGCTGCCGTGTGTTTGGGTCTTCGCAAGGCGGTGCGGCACGGTTCCAAAAAGGGGCTGCTGCAGGAGGGAAAAATTATAGATAAATGCATCAACGGAGTCCCAATCCCGAATCCCGACTCATGCAGTGAGCGCATTCGGAGAGGGAGAGGGTGAATGAGCTGCAGGGCATGCGTGGGGGTGCCTTGAGGGCGATGGGAGGGTTCCATCTGCATGCGGTGTTGGCTGGCTTGCGGAGGCCGCTCCGAGTGGGCCTACCTGCAGATCCCATATCTTGAAGGTTCGGTCCGCCCCGGCGGTGACCAGCAGGTGGGGGCTGGCGGGCGGGGGGCAGAAGGACGCGGCCAACACGTCCGCGGTGTGCCCGTCCAGCCTGGGCAGGGGAGGTGGAGGTAGGGCAGGGGAGGAGAGGCCTGTTTTGAAGCTGTACCAGCCTGGCACTGCGACACCTGCAGAGGCCCCGCTGGGGCCTGGCACTCCTGCCTCCACAGCCCCCCCCCCTCTGCTACCTGTCAGTTGCTTCGTCAGTGTATCATTATCTATTTTTTACCCCCCCCCCCTCTGCTACCTGTACACGTGTCGGAAGGTGTGCACATCGAACACGTGCACGTCCTGCCCCGCGCACACCACCAGCAGCGACAGCCGGCTGCTGTGCCCCAGCGCGAACACGGGGCCCTGCCCCGACATGACCTGGGAGGGGTGGGGGGGGGCGGTAAGGGGCACGGATGCACGCGGCACGGCAGGCATGTTGAGAGGCTAGCAGCTTAGGGTGCATAGCCCGGCGCCAAGGTGTATGGAGATGATGTGTGACTTCGACTCGGCAACGTAACAAGAGAGGCAGCAAAGCGCAGCCGCCGGGGTTGCTGCACGCGGCCCAGTGGTGGCACGAGGTCCTAGGTCCTGCTGGGAGAAGGCAAGCATGCTTTCACCAGCCGGCTCCCCCCAGCTGGCTCTCCCACCGCTTCCCCAGGAGTGCGCTCTCCCACCGCTTCCACCACCCGGCGGTGTACCGCTTTGTACGGCTCCCACGCCGCTGCCTCCTCCCTGCTGCCCTGCCCCAACCCGTGGTTTCCAGCAGACCGGGCTGGTTCCTCTCTTTGACTCGCACCTGGATGGCTGGCGGCGGCGGGTGGCCCCGAGCCACTGCGTCGTACACGCCCGTCAGGTTCCAAGCCACCACCGAGTCGGAGCTGCCGCAGAACAGCAGCGTGGGCGCGGAGGCGGCGGCAGCAGCGGGGCCGCGGCTGGACCCAGGGAAGGGAGAGGGGGAGGGGTCGCTGGTGCCTGCGGCCAGGGTGAGCCAGGGGGAACAGGGTGAGGGTCGAGTACGGCGCGTGCCAGGGTTACACAGGTTAGGAGGTATTTGGAGTGGGCCAGTTGGGAGGTGGCATGGGGCCATGCGCCATCCAGGACTCCATTTGGATCGGCTCTGTACTTGTTCTTAAGCTTCCTTAGCAGCTCGTAGCAAGGCTGGACAGGCTCTCACCCATGTGCCCTGAGCCGATGCAGAGGCTGAGGACGGGGAGCTCCTGCAGCCCCGACTGCAGCCGCACGGGCGCGGTGGACATGGGTCGGAGGCAGCGCACCTCCACTGTGGGGCCGCCGGGCAGTGCGTAGGCAAGGAAGGTACCTGCGGTGGGCGGAGAAGGGACAGGTGGGGGCCTTTGCAGCAGAGAGCGGGTAAGCGGCTGGAGGAGGTACCGGTATGGACAAGTTATGGTTCCGGAGTCTGCGTCGATAATGGATGCGTATACTGAGGGGGTTGGCAAAGCTCTGTTCAGAGCGCCGGGTTTAGAGTCTCGGTATAACGCTGCACCTGCCGGCAGGGCTTACCATCGGTGGCCATGGCATGTGTTGGTCCTCCATCGCCTTGCACGCCATACTCGTTAACAAAACTAAGGTTGCCCATATGTTATATATACAAGTAATTACTGATTTTTTGCGCTCCCCGACGAAGAAGGCTGTAATTTTTTGTGAGTAATGTAGGAATACTCGTCGTCTTGCCTAGGGCCTCTTGCACCATCCAAATGTACTAACATTTATTGAAACATGTGATCTATGGAACAAAGGCGCCTTGTCTGAGGTAAGTCAGGAAGCTGTCGCATAATCCGTACGTGAAGTACTAACTTACCTGCTTGTGGGCTACACCGAGCAAACTGCTTGTTCGGCAACGTGTCAGGTTGCGATTACAAGTAAACAAGCATGGATGCTGCAGTTCGACATCTACGCGACGGTGCATTACCGGACGCGGCGTCATGCGCGACTTGCTGTGTCCTAGACCATCTAGGTGTCCTTGGTGGCGCAATGATGCTTAAGCATGTAAGCAAAAGACGTAACCAACCTCCTTTTCCGCGCGTCGCCTACTTGGATTCCTTCCATCTCAACGCAAATCCTACCTCTTCAGGCCCTACAATCCTTCATCAGTGCCATGCGGCAAGGCCGCAGCCAAGCTATGTGTGTACGGATTGTGGATTTGAACGGCTCCTTGGCGGACGTGGCACAGCTGACGGCGGCTCCCGCGCCCGCCGGCAAGCCAGCAGCCGATGTGGAGGTGGTCGACATGTACTCGGATCCCTGGGGATGGCGTCAGGACATGGAGCAGAGTAGCGCAGAAACAACGTGAGCATGTCTTCTTTGCCTGGCAGTGGTTCGACGGGCTTGTAACCCATCATACACGTCTGCCAAGCATGGGTATTGAATGCTAAAGGTTCGGACGCGTACGGACGCTAAAGCATGCCCCCGTAACGCAATACCATCATGGTCACGCGTCAGGCGAAGGTTTGCTCCTCGCTGGCCCCTGCCCCTCGCTCCCTCCCCGCAGGTCTGCATCCCCCTTAGCTGCATCTCCCACCACCTCCAGCCCTCAACCCGGCCTGGAAGCTCTCAAAGCAGCGCTGCTAAAGCCTCCGCCGGCGTCACTGCTGTCGCAAACACGACAGAATACTGCTCCAGATGCCACCAGCAGCGGCTATAGGGACGCGGACGGCGAGGACGATGTCGGGTGTCGCGGCGCTTCGGCTTCCTCCCTTCCAGGGGGTGTTGGGTCGGCTGCCCCGGGCTGTCGGTCGGTGTGTGTGGTGGTGGGCTGCCTGAGCTCGCTAATGGAGCGGTATGGGGAGTGGCAGGTGCGTGATGGGGTGGGGTGATGCATGGTGTGCCGGGGTGGGGTGGGGTAGGACCGCTAGGATACCGGTATGGTAGGGTGCACGCTAAGATTGCCAACGCATGTAGGGTGGTGGCATGGGGGCCGGCAAGGTGACTTCCACTCCGACATCCTCGCGTCACCCGGACACCGCACCCTGATGCTGTGTGCGGCTGGACCCATGGGTCGCGCGGTAGGGTTACCGCGGCGGTGCAGCTCCTACTTGTGTACTCGCGGCTTGGGGAAGCAGCTCCATGTGTCCCCCTCCCGCTTACCTGCCCTGCCACATGCACCAACCGCCCCTCCTTTCCTCCTCCCCTTCCTTCCCAGTGCCTATCGCTGTTGGAGGCGGTTCAGCGCTCCCCGCTGGTGTCCTGCGTGCTGACGTCACTGCACACGGTACGACAAGCGGTAGCAGCGCATGCACATCAGCACACCTGAGGGAAGAACATCAAGGGGGTTACACGCACACCTGTAGCAGCATGAGGCCACGTGTGCTAGCCAGCCATGGCCACACCGGCTGCCTCAACTCCCGTTCCCGGCTCCCTCGCTCCCCTCCCTGCTGCCCCTCTTCCCCTGCACACTGCCCTCCTCCGCCCCCCCCCCCCAACACAGGACATGCACCCCGAGCGGGTTGTGGCCGGGTTGCGGCGGCAGTGCAGCTGCTGGCTGGAGCCGTCGCCGCTGTCGCCGCTGCAGACGGAGGTGGCGCAGCGCGCCCTGGCGGCCGGCAGCAGCGGAGGAGGGGAGGGCGCATGCGGGGCGCTGGCGGGCCGGTTGGACTGCCGTGTGAAGCGGAGAACAGGTGAGTGGTGCTGCGCAGCTGTCCCCCAGCACGGCACCTCTTTTCAGCGCTACGGAGCCTGCTGTTTGTGCCGCACCCCTCCCGCCCTCATGCCTTCGTCCGTTGTAAGCCTATCTCCTTCCTCCCTCGTGCCTCCCTCCCTCCCTGCCTGCCTCCGCTCCTCCCCAGGTCGCGTCAAGGTGGACTCGGAGCTCTACTCCCTGCTGCTGCCCGTAGGACCCTGGGCACACCCGCAGCCCCCCGCTTGCCGCCCTCCGCCGCCCTGCCGGCTGGCCTTCTCCCCCGCGCCGCCCTTCCTGCTGGACCTGCCGGACCCCAAGGCACTCGTACAGCTGCAGCAGCGCCCGCCGCATCACACCGCTGCGGCTGCTGCAGCGCCCGCAGCAGCAGCAGCAGCGCCGGCGGCAGCGGCCCCAGCGGGAGGGGCGCAGCAGGCGCCGGTGCCCGCTGTTGGGGCTGTTGGGGCGGCAGGGAGAGCGGCGGGCGGCAGTAACGGGGGTGGTGGAGGTGGAGGTCAGGCGGTTGGGTTGCTGGGCGGAGTGGCGAGCGCCGGGGAGCTGGCGCGTGCGGTGGGGAGCGGCATGCGGCTGACGCTGACGGAGGAGGTGGGAGAGGAGGGGGCGGGCGAGGCCGCGGAATGCTGGGAGGGGGTGTGGGGTGTTGCTGTTAGGACGTGCGAACAGGGCTTTCAACGGTTTGGCAAGGTCGATCCATCACCTTCAATGCAGCGCTGTTGAGCCTTGTGGCCGATATCAACGACGCACATGGCGAGCTTAACAGATACCATCTTCCACTGCTGCTGGGCACAAGCTTACACAACGCATTGCACTCCGTACCGCTCGAACTTCCCGTCAGCTCCACCTCCCTCCCTCCCTCCCTACCTACCTACCTCCCCCTCACCCGCCCTCCCTCACCCTGCACAGGAGCGGCGCGCCAAGGAACAGGTGGTGCTGCCCTACCAGCACCAGGGCCGCCAGCGCGGCCCGGCGGCGGAGGCCTACGCGGCGGGCGACCACCGTGCCTACCTACCCCCCGCGGCGGGCGGGGTGGGGCCCGCGGCGGGGGGGCCGGGGCAGCGCGCGCTGGGCCACATCCTGTACGTGCGCGACTCGGGCAGCGAGGCGGACTCGGACCAGGAGCTGGATGAGGACCTGGACATATGAGCGGGAGGGGGGGGGGAAGTGCCATGCGAGGAAGGAGGGGAGGGAGGAGGGTGCGGAGGGAGAGACGAAGCGAGAAAAAGTGACAAGCAGGAGGAGGGGGGGGGAGGCTTGGATAGGGCGGCATGTTGATGGTTGGTTGAAGGGCTTTTGTGTGGTGAGGACTGACGGCAAGGAAGGCCGCGAGGAAGAGGGGAGGAAAGCCGGTCTTATGCTGCAGCTTGTGGCGTCCGAAGGGTCATGCTGCGAGATCGTGGGCAGGTGAGTTACCTTCCCTGCACCTTCTTGGCCAGTATTTCATGGCAGGGGGCCCCAGCGTGTTGCATTGGCAAAAGAGGCTGGCTGCCGTACCTCCGTACAAGTGTTGTACGGCTAAGGAACAGCTCCGGGCTTGTAACACTTGATTGGAAAAATTACAATGGGGCAGCATTTTGCGCCCTACGAGCTGTGGAAAGAGTTAAGCGTGGCACACACCATAGCCACTTTCGACCATAAGGTGCAATCCAAGGGGAAAAAAGAATGTAGACAAACTGGCCGGGCTTGCAATGACCCCTACACGTCTCAACATAACATCTACAACTGCACGTGGGGCGACTATGCCGTACATCACCATGATAAGGTACGGCAGTAGACACGCCTCTTCTCTCCTCTCTCTCTCTGTATATGTCCTGCTAGGTATGTACAACCGCCGCAAATCGTCCTGTTTGCTGGCACCGTTTATGCGTTGGGGTGTTTCAGGCCTCGTAAGCACGTAAGCCGGATACGAATAAGCTCTTGCGCACACAAACGCAAAAAAACACATCCCCAACAGCGCGGTCGTTAGACAATGCGGTACGGCTTCTAACCATGTCAACAACAGCAACAACCCCTACGCCGCCAACCGCCCAGAAAGGACGAACCCGAATGCCGAGCTGCAACTTGTAAACAAACGCAATTAGATTCCCGCGGCCGGCTCTGTCCACACATCTGCTGCATGCTCCCAAGGAGCCACGAAATCCTGCAGGCGTCACCTGCACAAACAAGAGCCAAGCCAAGTCCAAACAAGTTCCCAACGCATGGCGAGGCGTCCCTCCTGTCTGTCTACGGGTAGCATTGTCCCCTGCGCGTCCGACTGCCCTAGGAGGCGTCAACCATCTCTACAGTCGCGGATTTTGCCCCTTTCAACAACTTGGGGCCCCTTTCAACAACCGTCGCAACTGCCTGGAGCGATCGGACAGCATTGAAGTGGCCTTGTCTCATGTGCGGATGCCTGCTGTACTAGAGGGCTGCTCAGTAGTAGAAGGCTGTCTGGGGCGGAGGTCGGATCATCTTACACCTGCGGGTCAGGGAAAGCGCGTCCAACCGGCTATTACAAGACACGCAACAGCGATGCATGCCTTTCTCCTTAGCAGGTAGGCCACATCAAAGAGCTCGTGAGGCAACACAAGCTCCCCACGCACATGCAGCTCACCATTTCGCATGGCACTTCATGGACGCCTCCTCCAGCTCCTCACTCTCACTGCCAGCTGGGGCAAACCTGGGTCGGCGGCCGCCTCCAGACACACGCCGACGCGGCCCCGCGGCTGCAGGCTGCCCCACCACGCCCCTGTGCAGCCAGGCCAAGCCGCGCCGCACCTGCGTGTCCCGCAGCAGCAGCGCCACACAGGCCAGCGAGGGCACCACCTGCAGCAGCAGCCCGGCGAGGCCGCGCCGCCGGTTGCCCGCCGCACCCGTCGCAGCAGGCCGGACGGAGCTCCCGCGGCCAGGCAAAGGTGCGGCCGGCGGGTCCTTTTTTACCAAGTTCGCCGCCGCGGCAGCAGCAGCCGCCGCAGCAGCTGGGGCGCTGGACCGCGGCGACAGCAGCAGCTCTCGAGGGCGGGCGCTGTTGCTGCTGGGGACGCCGGCTTTGCTAGGGGAAAAGCTAGCAGCCGGGGCAGAAGCCGTCGAACCGATATGGCCCGAGGCAGCGGGCGCCCCAAGGACGGCGCCGTCCTGGCTAGCCCCCTGGTGTCCTGCCGCAGGGTCCTGTGACTCGGATGCAGCCTGTTGCTGCGGCTCCGGCTCTGTGGACATGCAGGGCGGCGGCGGCAGCGACACATCCAGCGGGGAACCACCGTCCGCTGCGGCGCTGTCCCCCCGCCCGGGGGCCACCGGAGTCGAGCCAACGCTGGTGGGGCGCACTGGCAGTGCGCCCGAGGTCCTCCCCGGGCTGGGCGAGGAGGCCTTGGTCGCATGGGAGACGCTGGACAGCCCCAGGGCCGTGAATAGGGCCTTGGCAGACGCAACCGTCGGCGCCCAGTCAGCTGCGGCATCCGACGGCGCGGGTGATGGGCTGGACGTAGCCGGATGACCTTCCACCAGGCTGCCTGCGCTGGCAGCGGCGCTTGGCGCATGGACGGAAGGCGCGGTGCTGCTGTGAGGGCGACTGGGAGTGTTAGGACCTGCGCTGGGTAGGCCGCTTCCAGCAGCCCCGTGTCCAGCAAGCCGCTGCGGGCCCAAGCCATCATGCTGTTGTTGCAGTTGTTGATGATGGTGCAGTTGTTGCTGCAGGTGCTGTTGGTGGTGTTGTACGGCCTGGAAGGCCTGCAGCCGCGACAGCACCCCTGCGAGCCGTTGCGTCAACACGGCGAGCTCCTTGTCCTTCTGCAGCACCGCCGTCTGCGCCTGGTCCAACTGCGCGTTCTTCGTAGACAGCTGTGTCACCTGCAGCATGCAACGGCGCGGGACCACACCGCGTCACATGCACTTACCCAACAATGTAACCCCTCTCACCCGCTTAACCCATACTGTCGTACAACACGCATCATAGCATGAATGAAGCTTGTACAACCTGCATGCAACCAGCCCGCCCTCCACCCGAGCTCGCCCACCATGGCCGCCAGCTCGCCCTCCTGAGCCCGCACGCGCGCCCGCAGAGTCCACAACTCCCGCAACGTCTCCGGGTGTACCTCCAGGTACGCGGCCGCGGCGGCGGCGTTGGCACTCGCAGCCAGCAGCCCGGACTCCCCGCTAGAGCTGCCGGGCAGCTCGCCTGCGTCCGGTTCAAGCGCACCAGCTACAGCTGCCGCACGAGAGACCCCGCCAAAGGAGGCCGAGCGGTCGCCTGCCGCGGAGGCGCTCCATTCGGTCGCGTCATCGCCTGGGAGCCCCCAGCGGGAGCCGCCAGGCGTCCCCTCACAGCCTGCGGTTTCGCCGGTGGGGCTCGCTAGGGCTGATCCGTTGCTGGGTCGGAGACGGTAGCTGCCACTAGCGGTCCTAAACATTGGGAAGCGGGCGTCAAGCCCGCTAGCACTGCTGCTACTGCTGCCGCCAGCGTTGCCGTACGAGGCTTCTGCTGCTGTGACGGGTGCCGTGCTGGGGGTGCCCGGAGAGCCGCCTGCGGAGGGGCTGCTGCTGAGCTCCAGCGTGGGGGAACCGGCAGCCACGGCGGCGGCAGCCAACGCGTCGGCAAACGGACCCCTATAGGGTGCCGTGTGGGTGTCACGCTGCGGCCCTTCCGGGCTCGCAGCCTCCATGTCACAACTGGTCCGGCTTGGCAAGCTCTCCACTGATGCGCGCTCCGCAGGAGCCCCTCCGGATGAGAGCGCTGGGAGGAGCTCCGCCACAGAGCCTGGGGACCGGCTCTGACGCTCTACCGCCGCTACCAGCGCTTTAACGGACATGGAAGGAACGAAACGGCGTGCTTGCTGGCTGTTGCCTGCGTTAGCCCAGGATCTTGAGGGTTCTGATGCGGCGGTGTTGCAGCTGCATAGGTCAAGGTCGTCCGTACTGCTGCGGGCGCTGGAAGAGCGGGGCGCCTGCCTGCCTGTCACATCCAGTGGGCAGCTGATTGCCGCAAGCTGGCTGGTGGCCGCGACGTTGGAGGATATATTTCGAAGGGCGCCTTCACGGCGACTTTGAAGCTGGTCTCGTACATTTGCGATTAGGGTGTGAGGTTCGTCAAGGCTCTGCAGCGACGATTGGGGGAGGGGATGGGGCAGCGAGGAGGGGAAGAGGCATGTTTGCAGTGTACATTTGTAAGACGACCGGACACCAACAACAAGATAGCTTTAGCTGGCGAGCGCCATAAAACGTGAACAATAAACTGCGTTCAAATGCCAATCAAGGGTCTCACCTGGGCAACCTCCCGAACACCCTGGACAACGCTCTGCAGGCGCGCGCGTAGTCGCTGCAGTTGCTCGTTGAATGCAGCCGACTCTGCGTTAAAGCCACTACCAGGCTTGCAAGCCGCAGCGCCTGCCAAAGCTCGTGCGGATAACGGTGTTGGGACCGATTCACCACCAGCCGCGTCACCCTACAAACGAAGCCGACATAAGTGCTTCCAAGAAAGAAGAACTTCATTCGAGGCAAGTCTACATGATGACGACATGGGCTACACTTTTTTATCCGACGCCAGCTCTCATGCTTGGGCTCACCTCCTTAATACCCCCTAATTGCTCGGGCCCACTTAGGTCCTTTACAGCTGGAGAGCCACTCGTCAGTGCATCCATTCGTGGTCGTATGTCCGTTTCTTAACCTCATACAATAACCTAACAGTGTATTGAGAGTTTCATCTGGAGTAGTACCGAGTCAGTAATGAATTCATCCTAGTTAGGTAAAGGGTAGCAATGCGTCAGCACGCGATTTAAAAGTTTATCTAGGGAAAATCGACGCACCTTCAGCCGATCTTTGCTTCGCTCTATAGCATAACAGCAAATGTGCAGCGCCTAACATACAGAGTGCGCCCCAAGATGTTCCTGTTTTGGTTCCGGAGAGCTGTACGACGTCAGAATCCAAGGGAGCCGATTGTAAGCTTGGCGATACACAGCCGTTACCAAAGGCAGCTTTGCCTGCTAACAATGCATATTGATCATCGTTAAGCACGACCTCCATAGGCCAACTGCTTGCATTTTGGAGGATGGAACAACAGGGACGCCAACAAGGCAGGTCGAAAGCTCTAGGTTAGCGGCAATGCCTCGTTGAGCGCAACCATAATCTGGAAGCTTGCGAACAGAGACGCGTGGGACAACAATACAGCAGGCCGCGTTCCATTTTGCATCCTGTCGTGCAAAGTGTGCATCACTCCTATAATGCGCGTCAGCGCCCGATCGGGGGCCAACGGAGTATTGTACACGCTATCCAAGTTTTAGGGCCTTACATAACGGTAACTGCCGAGCAGTGACAGCCACCCCTTCTTCAGCGGGAGGTAGGCGCGCAATACCGTACCGAGCACCTCGACAACGTAATACGTGCTTGATTGCCGCCATAATCACTAGGCTCATCTACGCTATTGCGCAGACGAGGTAACCACATGCTACGCCCAGCAAGTTCATACACAAGCCAGCAGTCCTCTCCTTGCCTTGAAAGGGCCACACCCACAACTTCGCTTCGCTCGCATAAAAAAGGGTCAAAGCTTAGCGCAGCATATCCCCTCTGCTCCTACAATCAGGCAGCCAGCCGACGGCTCCACAAAACATGCCGGCTTCAGGCGCGCCCAAGTACATAATAGCGAACTCCCTACAAGCCCCAGCAATATGAATACACCGTGTGAGGCTCTACGACAGTGCGTAATCACGCTTCCATCGCAAAGTGCACAGAGCGAACAAACCCGCCGATAGGACAGCCGTCGTTCTGGCACGGCATACGCATCTTCCACCGGAAACAAACACCGAAGCAACAACACACATCCGGGCAGCACGCCACCTGGCCACTCTCCTCTTCAATCAATCCAGCAGCAGCAGCTCCTCACCCAGCAATGTGAGTGGGGTCGGGGCTGCTCACCCACCCACAAGCCATCGCCACAGCAAAAAGCACAGATCCCCTGCCAAAGGCATCCATCCTCCACATGGATAGCCCGCACTTCCCCAAAGGGGCCGATCCAGGCAGTGCGTGTGCCCTTAGCAGTTGCGCACCGAGTCCACGATGGCGTCCGCCAGGTACTCCACCTTGGCGCTGTTGAGGCCGGCCAGCGAGATGCGGCCGTCGCGGGTCATGTACACGGCGTGCTTGTTGGTCATGTTGTCAACCTGCAGAAGCAGTTCAGTCGTCAGAGCTCAGAAGCGAACGACGGGCAATGGTTAGTGGTCGAAGCGCTTCCCATGTTAGACATTTCCCGTTTCGTTCTCTTTCTCTCTCCTTCTTTTGGGCCCCCGCCGCTCCCGCTCCCCACCTGCGCGGGCGAGAGGCCGGTGAAGGAGAACATGCCGATCTGGCGGGTGATGAAGGACCAGTCCTTCTGCGGGCACTTGGCCTCCAGAGCCGCCTGCAGCTCGCCGCGCACGCGCTCGATGCGGCCAGCCATGCCGCGCATCTCAACCTTCCACTCCTGCGGTGCAGAGGGGTGAGGTGAGGTGTGAGGTGGGGAAGGCAACACCAGGAGGAGAAAGGTAAGCACGCGACTTTCGTTCTACGACACCTCGCTGCACAAGCAAGCCCTGCTGCTCCCATCCCGCATGCTCCCGTCCTTATGCGGGGAGAGTTTGGCTAGACGGCTACACACAAGCACAGGGTGGTACAGGATGGCTCCACATCCTGAGCCCCCAGCCCCCCTTGCGGCCTCACTCACGTCGAACAGCTCCTTGTTGTTGACCACCTCGGCGGCAATCTTGGCGCCGTGGGTGGGCGGGTTGGAGTACAGCGCGCGAGCCAGGCGCTTCAGCTGGCTCAGGCAGCGGGTGGCAGACTGGGGACGGGAGGGGGAGGAGGGCGGGAAAGAAACGGCGGACGGGAGGGCAAGGAGGCAAGGACGAGAAGGTCAATCAGCAAGCCGGGCAGGGGGTCAGCCAAACAAGAAGGCGAGACTTATTGATGTGCACAATAGTCTTGTCTCCTTCAAGTTCATGTACGCGCACGACACTTAAGTGCGCCCCTGCATGCACCGGCCTCCCTCCCCTTCCTTCCCCTCCCTCCCCGCACCTCCTTGTCCTGCACCACCATCACCAGCGCGCCCACACGCTCGCCGTACAGCCCCAGGTTCTTCGAGTAGCTCTGCGACACCAGGATCTCCAGACCGCGCTCCACGAACAGGCGGGGGGCGAACGCGTCCTTGTCCAGGTCGCCGGTGGCGAAGCCCTGATCGGGGCCAGCGCAGAGGGGAGGAGGGAATGGTTCTGCAATGTATGGAGGCGTTCATTGTTACTTTAAAAGGGCAGGCAGCGCGCAAGGACCTTTCGGTAGCCGAAAGGTGCGAGTCGCGGCATGGCAGGCATGCGAGGTGGTCGTTTGTGGCAGGCGAGGCGCCTCCCTACCTGGTAGGCCACATCGAAGAAGGGCAGCAGGTTGCGCTCCTTGCACAGGTCGGCGATGGCGGCCCACTGCTCGGGGGTGGGGTCCACGCCGGTGGGGTTGTGCGCGCAGCCTGGGGGGAGAGTGAGGGCAGGGAGGCAGCAGCGCACATCAGGTATCCCGTTGATCCAGCAGGTGCTTCAGCCAGCACAACACGTCACCAGCTAGCCTGGTGCGAGCCATACCAACCACCAACCACCGTACACGCTTACCGTACCGCAGCCACCGCTGCCATCCACTCCCCTAGGAAGCTAGGTTTCTTCTTCTTCTTCCTTACCAACCCCCCTCGGCCCCCCCTCCCCCCTCCCCCATGCACCCCACCCCCCCTACCGTGCAGCAGCACCACGGAGCCGGGCGGGGCGGCGGTGAGGTCCTCCGTCAGCCCCTTGAAGTCCAGACCCACGGTGGCGGCGTCGAAGTAGCTGCGGGGGGGAGGGGACGGGGGGGGGGAGGGGAGGAGCAGGGGCGGCAGCGGCGAGGGTACAACTGTCAGAAAAGGAAAGCAACACTGCACTGCAACAGCAGGCGACAGCAGCACGTACATTGGGAAAAGCAGGTATAACTCCTCTGCCGCAGAAACGCTTTATGCATTACTCCTCAACCCATCGCATGCAAGGTGTCTGCGCACAGCAGCTGCTTCCTCCCTCCCTCCCTCCCTCCTCCTCCTCTACTGACCGGTAGTGCTTCCACTCCACGCCCTCATCGCCAAAGATGTTGCGGTGGTTGCCCCAGGTGGGGTTGGAGATGTAGACGGTGGCGCCCTTGAGGAAGCGCGCGATGAAGGCGGCGCCCACACGCAGCGAGCCGGTGCCCGACAGAGACTGGATGGCGGCAACACGGCCCTGCAGGGGGGGAGAGGGATGGGTCGGTTGAGGAGGGTGCGGGAGGTTGGTTGAGGAGGGGGATGCGGGGGCGATGTGTAAGGTCGTGAGGCGAGGAGGAGGTTGCATTACGCAGAAGCAGGAACATGCAGTCGTCCCAAGCTCTTGCTCAGCCGAACTTCTCTCTGTCTCCTCTCCATCCCACCCGCATCTCCCCCCCCGCCCCCTCACCTCCTGGATGGCGGGGTGTCCCTGGCCCAGCAGCAGGTCCACAGTGGCGCGGCGGAAGCCCTCCAGGCCCTCGATGGACAGGTACTCCTTGTTCTCGTTGCGGGAGAAGATGTTGCCCTCGGCCTGGCAGCGGCATCACCAGTGGACAGGCGGCAGCAGGAGGAGGGGAGGACGCGCGGAAGCAGGGTGGGTTGCGGGGCGGGGGTGGCAGCAGCAGGAGAGGAAGGTAAGAGGGTGGTAATATAGGAGAGGGGCTAGGAAGAGGGTAGCTGGAGGCAGCGGAACAGCGGGTTGCATGCTGGATGTTTAACCGGCTTGCGAACATGGACAGCCGTTATAAAATTTAAATGCGTGTTAGATGGGACCGAGTGCACCTTGGAGTTTAGGAGCGGGCGACAGGGCTGACACCGTAGCGGAAGCGTTACAGAAGCTTCAAGAGCTAAACTTAAAAACCCTACGTAATTCATGAGAACAATGGATGCTCTATACATTAGGCTTCGTTTCCGATAGCATGAGGCCATACGAATGCTAATACCGCAAGAGCTTTCCGAAACAGCAAACCCCTGGCGCTCGCACCTTCTTGACCACATTCAGCACGACCGGCTTCAGGTCCTCATCACGGTAAGCACCGACGCCCAGGTTCAGCTTGTTGGGGTTCGTGCTAGCACGGAAAGCCTCGGAAACGCCCAGAATCGGGTCAGGGGGTGCCTGAGCGACATCAGCGAAGCGGCTGGCCGCGCGCACGGCCTGGAAGTTCACGCGGCTGCAAACAGGCCGGGCCGAGAACACCTGCGGTAAAAGGCAAAGCCATCATAAAAGACAATCATGCCCCTTACTGCAAGCACGTGCTACCGCGCAAGAATTGCAGATTGATATCGGAAGTCCACCACCTAATCAGACCATCCCGATCCACATCAAACAACATTGAATTACGGTGATGGCCAGGCTTTGGCAGGACCTACATGTCGGGCACCGGCGGCGCGGCTGGAAACGTTTTGCAGCATCTTCGCAATCTGAAGCATACTTTTTGCCGGTGCCTGGGATCACGGTGTCGGGCAATGAAGGAATGTTTGGGCAAATTTAAAATAGGGCCATCAATCATTATGCTTGCATAAGGTCGTACACAGCAGCGGCATGGGGGCGGGTAAACTTGTCGGTTGACGCGTTAGGCCCAATTGATTGCTCACCTCCCTACGTTCTAGGATGGAATTATTGGACATCCTTATGCTTGAACGTCATGAATTTACCAGCTTGGGACGATGTTCTGGCATTTTGTTCTGGAATCACTACCGAGCCAATTGTTGATGAAGCAGTTAACCTCAGAAGAGATGGGCCAGGGACGCTGTATCCTCGCACAAAGAATTCCAAATCAGCTGTCATATTTCCTTCAAACTCCGCAAAACAGTTGTTATATCAACTTTTGAGGGCATCACCAGATACTCTTCAATACAGAAATCCACCCATACTTTGCGCGCCGCGTGGCGCTGTGTTGCCGGATGAACAGCATCATGCGTCTACATCCACCCCTCGCCGCAAACGCGGCGCTGCGCACGACACGGGTCCTTCGGAGTTGCTTTTGCAAGAGCGCATATCAGATCTGCCGGAGATGACAGTCGCCTCTCAGGAAGCAGCCCAAACAGGTGAAGTGGGAGCCAACACGGCTGGGGTGCCTTCCTCAGCACCAACTGCCCAGATCACAGCACCACTTCCTGCAGCAATTCCAGCATCCAGAGGTCCGGATAGGGCCCCAGCGCAGCCTGACACGCAACAGCCGGCGGTGAAGGCGCCAGCGGCAAAGGCTCGGCCCAAGGATGAGTTGCGGCACATGCAGAAGCTGCACCAGCGCGCACGGAAGCGGCAAGGGCAGAAGGAGCAGAGCCAGCAGGCGGCATCCAAGAGACGCAAAGTCGTGGAGGGACAGAAGATTGCCAACGCTGCTGCGGCCTTTGGCGAGGAGGAGGAGGAAAACGAAGAAAAAGCTGTTGCTGGGGAGGCCGCAAATGGAGTAGCCACTGCGATTGGGGCGGAGGCGGCCCTCGGCCAAGGGGATGGGGTGCTGGAGAAGGACAGTGGGATGGACGGGCACGGTATGCATGAAGCTTTCCCTGCCGCTCAGGGCGCAGTGGCAGCAGCGATGGACGCAGCAGCAGCCGACCCCAGCGACCAGGTCGAGGCCCTTTTCGAGGACTCCGACGCTGATGTGGGTCACACCGGCGCCACTGGCGCTGACGGCGGCAAAGAGGCCATCCCCGCTGCAGGGGTGGGCGGCTCCGCAGCCCCAGGTGAAGCCCCTGCTGCTGCGTTCGTCCCACCAGCAGCAGCACCGCGGCCGCATGCGCCCGCTGGAGGTGATGCGGGGGGCGAGGCGGACCGGCCGCTGCAATCGCTCATCAGCGTGCGGCCGCACAGGAGCTTGTCCGCGCTGGCGTCGGTGGGCGTTACGTCACTGGTGCAGCTCGCGGTAAAGCGGCCGGCCGCCACCACCAAGGCTGCTGCTACTGCGGCGGCGGCAGCCGCAGCAACAGCGAAAGCAGCTGAAGAGGAGGCCGAAGCGCTGACATCGCTCAGGATACTGGGTGGTGGTGGTGGTGCTGGTGCTGGGGTGGGGGGTGGCGCTGATGTGGTGGGTGGCCAGCCCGTTGCTCGGGAGGTTGCCGCCAAGTGGGCAGAAGACGTGGCAGCTGCTTGGGACGATGAAAGCGGCGCAGCAGGTGTGGTGGAGCTGGGGGGCAAGGCGGCTGGGGGGGTGACATCAGCGCCTGCTGAGCCTGTACCCGCTGCGGCACGGCGACGCCTAACGATTGCGGAAATCAGGGCTGCGGCGACGGCAGTAGCTGCAGCGCCGAGTGCTGTGCCGGCAGGCGGCACCGCGGAAGCCAGCGCCGCGGGTGCTGGTGCTGGTAGTCGTGCGGGCGCCGCGGAGGACTGGCTGTCATGGGCTGAGGCGGCGGAGGATCAGCAGCAGGTGTCGCCGGCTGAGCAGCACCCGCGAGGAGGTGCACCCGCGCCGGTGGCATCTGCTGCCCAGGACACCAGGACTGCTTCCAACACCCCTGGGACGACTGCACTACCTGCGGCACCCGCACCCGCACCGGACCTCACAACCACTGACGGCGGCCGCATCTATCCGGCTGGGGACACCGCTGGAGAACCGGCACCCGGCAGCGCAATGGAGCAGCAGCATGCGGTCCTTGTGCCTCTTTGCATGGGCTCTGGAGTGGGGCAGCGGGTGCAGGCAGGGGGTGTGCAACCCCGGGGCCAGGACCAGGACCTACCTCCTCCCCAGGCAGCACCCGTGTCGCCCCTCACGGCACTGCCCGGCCTCAACCCTGAGCAGGCCGTGCATGCGCTGACACAGGTGCTGCGCCTCCAGCAGCAGCCCCAGCCCGGGTCGCTGTTGGAGGTACCCGGGGGGAGAGCAGCAGGAGTGGCCGCAGCGGGCGTGTCGGAGGCCCCGCCTGCACCTCAGGGCATGCCGCCGCAGCCCAGGTCGCCGCCGCAGCTTCTGCAGGGGTTGGTGTTGCCTCAGGAGCGAGAGGAGGGACTGCAGCCCCAGGCTGTGCAGCCGGCTCTACCTGCCAACGCGCTGGCTATGCCGGCTGGAAACGTAGTGGCCGCAACTGAAGGCCAGGCTTGGGCAGGTCTGCGAGCAGAGGGAGTCGGGGGTGATGTGGAAGGAGGCGAGGACGCTGGGGACAGCGGGACGGAGGAGGGGCAGGAGGGCGAGCAAAGTGACGATGATGCATGGCTTCATGATTATGGCGGCATGGCTGCTGCGTTCGGTGGTGGCGGTTGGGGTGGGAGAGGAGGAGGCAGTGGCGGAGGAGGGCGTGAGGGTGATGGTGTGCCACCTCAGGCGCGGAGGGGAGGAAGAGCCGCTCGGGGCCAGCGCACGCAGGGGAGACAGCAGCAACCGCAGCAGCAACGGCAGCAACGACTATCGGGCCGTAAGGTAAGCAGTGAAGTTGCCAGGGAACCCACCGTTACCAAGGGGCCGCATGTTTGTTCCCTCGTAAGAGACGCAACCTCCCCTGTCAAACACCCAATCCTGCCTGCAGCGGGCTGCCGCCTCGGATGCTGCCGCACGTGCCTCTCAGCCTGCCGCTGCTGCCGCGGCTGGGGGCGAGGTCGAGGTGGGGTTGTACGCGGACGTGAGGGCATTCCAGCGGCAGCAGCGCAAGGCTCGCGCGCTCAACGGCGGCGCCGGACCCGAGTCCACACGGCCCGTGCCGGAAGTGCGGGAGCCGCCGGCATGCAAGTGAGGCCAGCCTGCTGGGGATCCAGATCTGTATCTTGCGGGGCAGATCAGGGCGGGTGTTGAATATTTAGGGGTTAAGTGTGTCTGCCTTGCTGGGTTGCTTGGGACTTTGAACGCAGGGCCACCTTATCTCCTCTTCCCAGTGCCGCTCCTATCAACGACGCAGCGTGTAGCCTAACCTCGCTGGCGCCTTGGCATTGTGTAGGTTTTGGCGGCTGGGTCGCTGCAACAAGGGCGCCGAGTGTGCCTTCCCTCATGTGGGGCAGCCCGTGACGCGCCTGCTGCCGTGCCGCTTCTGGCGGCTGGGGCGCTGCCAGCGAGGGGACGCCTGCACCTTCAGCCACGACCCGGCGCTGCAGGAGCCCTGCCGCGCAGCAGTTGAAACGGGTAGGGGTTGCACGGCGCGTTGGGCTTGGCAGTCATGCCTGCATTGCCGTTGTAGGGTACCAAGGTTGGGAGCTGAGGCTTAGGCTGGCTTCGTCGATGCAGACATCTTTGCGGTCCTTTGTGGTATGGGCACATAGGGAGCCCACCGCGCCGCCCTGCAGGTGCTACTGCGTCCTCCAGGCCCCCCTGCAACGCCCAGCCTTCCAACCAGCCCCAGCTTACTTCCCGCCTGTTTCCCCCCGTTCTACGCGACCCTCACGCCGCAGGTATCTGTCCCAACGGGCCGCAATGCCCCTTCGCCCACTACCCACCGGCGGACTCGGAGGCGCTGCGGGAGTACTACCAAGACGTCGCCACACGAGCTGCCGGCGCCGGGGCCGCCCGCCCGCTGCCAGCCCCGCAGGTTGCAGAGGCGGAGATGCCCTTCGCCGCCTCCCTGGCGTTCGGAGGCAGCGGCGCGGCCGCAGGTGCCGGAGCGGGAGCTGCATGGACCACTGCGCCGGCTGCGGGCTGGGGGGCAGGGGCTGCGGCTGACACGGGCTTCCTGCGGCCCATGCAGCCCGTGCTGCAGCGCGCCATGAATGATGGGGACGAGGACTTTTGAATGCAGGATGTCTGTGAGATGGGTATGCTACGAGGGGGTGATGTTTGGTACTTTAGCGGCGGCCTGAGCGGCCGCGTGCCTGCGTTCATGTTTGCGATCACGACCACGGTGTCAGGACGGGTGGTCGGTTGCCTTGCTACGGCATCGTCGGCTCTTCTGGTAATCACTTGCCGTGATCAAAGGTGCGGAGGGCCCCGGGAAGGGTGAAACTGACAGTTGGCCCAGGGGAGGGCGAGGCTGCTTGCTCAGGGGCTGCCTCTCAGAGCAATGCCAGGGCAGCGTTACGGCTGCGGCGATCGAGCGACCTGGGTACCAAGGCGCCGCTCCTGCCCGCTGTGCCCACGATAGACTATACAGTGCAATTGTACAACGGGCTCTTTGATACTATAGTACGGCCTGGAAGACGCTCGACGCTGTTGCCGTCGGTATTGCAGCTGCCTCAATAGTCGCCAACTGCCTCTCTCTCCGTCCCGCCCTGCCTCGCGCCCGCTCTGTTCGCAGTTCTGATGATTTCTGCGGCGACGAGGCGATGGTGGTCACTGGGGAGGCGTCGGCACCGTTAGGTCGATGAAGCTAGCGAAGCTGGTGTTTCAAGCTGTTCCGCTCTGAGCTGTTTTGGTTTGACTGAATGGGCCATAACTGCTGCCTATGGCCCATTATCGGCACGTCAAGGCATGGGCGATGTAGCCGTAACTTTAGAATGTCCCTCTCTCCATGTATCGGTAGCTGTTAACCACCCACGCAGCCCCGCTGTCTCGCCCCAAGCGGAATCACACACCCCGACCCAACCCTTTTGCACCCCAAACCCTCCGACGAGGCACCTCTGCGACTGCCAGCGGTCCCAGCTGCCGTACACGGTACATACTCAGCTGCAAACAAACCGCGGCCACTTCATCAAGCCCTGCGGCGAGCCACACTCCCAAACCATGCTCCCTCCCGCTTCCCAACCACCCACGTGAAAACCCACACGCATCCACCCACGCCATGCACCTTTCTTAAACACAAACACAAGAAGCAGCGGTGCGTCGCCACTCGCCACGTCAAGGAAGCGAATGTACGGCTAGGCTTTCCCTCCCGGCCACCACTTGCGTGACTGCTACCGTCAACTACCGTTCTTCCTACGGAAGACACACGATGACAGTGCTGCTGCATCCATGCGGCACTGCTGCCGAGCTGCACCTGCCCCTCTTGCGATACCTACACCTGCAAGACACCAGGCTGGAGCAGCCGCAGCCACACCCAACACTGTTCGCAGGTAGCGCATCCTGATACCAGGGGCACTCCTAAGTCCGGACTCTCCTCCCCAAGTTCCCCAAACCCTCCCCCTCCGCCACCACACCGCCTTACCCGGTGCAGTTCCCCTCAAGCACGCACTTCCTACCCCAAAGCATCCGCCTCCTTCTCCCACATCGCTACCCTCCGGCCCCACTTTCCCCATCCCTGCCCGTCAAGTAGAACAACAGCAGCACGCACTCCCAAAGCTGGAATCCTTCATCACCACCATTACCGGTAGTTATTTCCCTCTCCCTATATCACAACTGCGGAATATGTATCCCTATCAACCCCCTATATCACCCTTTCCTCTCCCTTAACCTTTCCTCCTCTCTACCCCTTCTGCCAGTCTACACTACACCGCCCCTCCCCGCCGGCGCTCCCCGTCGTCCACCGCCGCCGCCAGCTCCTGCGGCAGCAACGCCGCCTGCGCCGCCTGCCTGGCGCGCTTGTTGCGGCGGCACAGGTCCGCGAACTCCTGGCACGCGCCCTCCCAGGCCTCACTCGAGTAGCCGCCACTGCCACCAGCACCTGCAGCAGAGATAGTGAAGGTGGGGGGGGGGAGGGAGGGAGGTATGACGGGGTTGAGGCACACGAGCCGGGGACACTAAGGACGAATGCATGCATGCCGGCCTAAACAGGGTTGCCAGCGCAGAGGGACTAAGGGCTAGTCGTCACTAGGGGCTGCTGCATTGCAACCAGGGAAGGAGAGTCCGCAGGTAGCGTCACTAGCCGCGTCAGGTAGCGTCACTGGAGTGTGCACGCCACCCCAGCCCCATCTCACCCCACCCACCTCCGTCGCCATTACCCATCATGTCCCCGTCTCCGCCGCCGCCGGCGCTGCTGCTGCTGCCCAGGCCCGCTTGCAGCGCCGCCGCAGCTGCCGCCAGGAACATCTGCGCGCGTGCGGGTGGGCATGGTGGGAGTGGAGTCAACAGGGGAGGTAAGGAACCTAAGGATGTGTCGTGGAAGGAGCGTTTCAATGCAAGGCCGATGGAACCAGGACTTGACCAGGACAATACGGATGACAATGCGCATGGGGGTACTGGATACGGCTATATGCATTCACGCGCATGCTTGCCTCCCGGATAAGAGAGCACGAGTGATCCGAGCACGATGCAGCAGCAGCAGCAGCTGCTGCTGCAACCGTATCCGCCAGGCGGCACATTTAGGGCTTAACCTCACTCCTTTCCCGCCCCCTTGCCCACCTGCTTATCACTCGATGTCGCCGTCACCTCCGGCACCGCCTGCAGTGCCGCCGTCAGCCAACCCAGCCCCAGCCCCGAGCCATCCACCACCCCCGGCTGCTGCCCCCCCGCCCCCGCCCCCGCTGCGCCGCTGCCCTGCTGTTGCCCGTACGACACCAGCCCTATCAGCGCCCCCGCCACCGCCGTCACCCGCCCCAGCGGCAACGTGCCCGCAATGCCCGACAGCAGCAGCCGCACGAAGATGGGAGCGCGCGGCAGCAGGTGCGCGCGCAACGCCTCCGCCGCCGCCTGCTGCTGCGGGCATCGGCTGAGGGTGGCGGGCTGCGTGAGGCGGCACAGGAAGCACAGCACGGAGCCGTTGGCCTCGCGGTGCTGCATGACGCAGCCGACCTGAGGGGGGGTGGAGGGAGGTGGAGAGGTGGAGGAGGAGATGGGCGGAAGGTGGGGAGTAATGAAGTCTTGGGGCGTGGCGGCGAGGCGAGGGGGCGCATCTACAGGGATAACGAGCGGCGGCGAGGGCGTGCAGAACAGAACAGCGACATTATCCAATCTCCCCGATCCCCCTCTCTCCCGGCTGCTGCCCCCGCCCCTCAAACCCCTACCATGGCCACATCCAGCAGTGTGCCCAGCGCGCGCGCCTCCCCTGCCGCCCCCGCCCCGGGTGCCGCCCCGGTGGGTGTGAGCAGCAGTCGCGGTGCGTACCCCAGCGCGCGGAGCCCCAGCAGGAAGAGGTCGTCTACCAGGTCGGGGGAGGAGCTGAGGGCGGCCAGGCTGGTCAGGGGCCTGGGGGGGGGGGGGGGGAGGGGGGTTGTTAGGGCATTCAAACCAACAACGTTGAAGGCATGATGACCCCCGCACTGCTCCCCGCAGGTCCCATAGGGTTCCCTCCATCTTTTTCCTGACTCCCTCCTGAAATCACAATTGGTTTTCCCGCCCCGTCTCCTGCCTGCGGCTCTCCCCCGCCTCCCTCCCCCCCCGGCTCCCTCCCTCCCTCCCTCGCCCCCACCTTCCCGCCTCCGTGACCAGGCCGCTGAGTATGAGGCCCAGGGCGGAGTCGTGCGCCGGCTGGTCGCCGAAGAACTTGACCAGCTCCGACACGATGAAGCTGGGGGGGGGAGGGGCAGGGAGGGGTGGAGGGGGAGAGGGGAGGGGGAGGGTCAGAGGAGAGGAGGTTTTGGAGGTAGGAAGTTACATCATGCGGTGGGACGGGAGGGACACAGCACCAGGTGTGTGTTGTCTCCCACCATCACCATCACCATCACCTAGCAACCCCTGAACCGGTGGAGCGCACAACACCCCTCCCGCACCCACCGTCTACCTTCCTCCTTGCCCTCCCCACACCTCCCCTCTCCCCCCTCCCTCGCCCCCTCCCTTCGGTATGAATTCTGATCCCCTCCCCCCCCCCCAGCTCGCTCACAGGAACGCCGAGTGCCGGGTGGTGGTGAAGCGCGCCGGCAGCACCTCCAGCAGGGTGGGCAGCAGCTGCGCCGCCGCCCGCCCCGCGCCCTTGATGCCGTACCGCAGCGTGCGCAGCGTGTGCTCCACTGTCTTGGGGCAGCCGGAGCAGCTGGAAAGCAGCGCATCCAGCACGGGCCAGCTGGACACTGCGGGGGGGGGTGAGTGGGTGGGTGGGGTGGGGAAAGGGGATAGGGAGGAGGTGCAGGGGTGGTAAGAGCGTGGAGGGGCGGTGAGGGAATGAAGGTGCGAAGGCAGCGATCTCCCACAGTACGACAGCGCCTAACGCGCTCTATCTCTCCCTTCGGCTTTGCGCCGTACACAACCTAACCCATTACTCACCAAAGCCCCACCCCCCTCCTTCCCCTCCTCCCCCCTCTACCCTCCTCGCCACCTACTCAGCATGTGTGCCACCACATCCGCATCCGCGGTGCGCCCAAACACCTCCGCCAGCCGGTCCACCAGCGAGTTCAACTGCGGGGCTGCTGCACCCCCCGGCCCCCCCTGCAGTGCCCCCTGCAGCTGCTGCAGCACCGGCAGCAGCAGCGCCTGCCCCGCCTGCTGCCGCTGCTCGGGCGGGGCGGCCTGCGAGACGGCCTGACACACGGCGGCGATGATGGACTCCACGTCCTCCTCCTGGGGGAGGGGGCGGGGGTGGGGGAGGGGGAGGGGGAGGGAGGGGGTTCGTAGGGATGAAGAAGATTCCACATGAAGCTGGATAGCAGTGTAAGCACAGGGGAGGGGGCGGGAGAGTGGGAGGGAGGGAGAGTAGGTAACCTGAGCCACGATGGAGCCTGATCGTGACCCTAGCATACCATAGAATGATGACGTCGCACTTAAGGGAGGAATAAAAGATATGAGAGGTCCCAGCAAAGTCCCCCAGGTACCCGGTTCGTGTACATCTGCAGAAAGGACGTTGCATGTGCGTACATGCCCCCGAAACGACATGCATGCCACACGCATGCAGCGGCGTGCAGCGGCGTGTCAGCAGTGGGGCTTCCTTGGGGGTCCGTCCATGACCGCTGAGCGTGCAGGTGTGTATACCAGTCGTACGGGGCATTCGGAACCCCAGCCACGCATGTCCCCCCCCCCGCGTTGTTTCCTCTTCACCCCCCACCCCGCACGGATATCCGGGGCTGCTTACCAGCAGCAGCGACTGCGGGTTGCTGGCGGCGGGGGCTCCGTTGGCGGCGGGCGGGGCGCGTGCGGCCGCCCCCATGCCCAGCACCTTCTGGTACAGCCCTAGCAGGTCCTGTTGGTGGGGGTGGGGGGGAGAGGAGAGGAGAGGAGAGGAGGGAGGGGGAGGGGGTAGGCAGGGAGAAAGGTTAGGGAGGCGAATGATGGGGCACAGGATGTGGCACAGCGGAGAGGGGAAGGAGGCACAAGCTCCCACGCACACGGCCATATCCCATACGCCCCATCCCAGCACGACGTCGTCCCTGCCCTGCGTCTTCCCCAGCGCTCTCATCCCCCCCTCCTTACCACCACCACCCAGCCTCCCTCCCTCCCTCCCTTCCCCCCGGCCCCCACCTGCAGGCAACCCCCCATGTAGCTCCCGCACTCCTCACACAGGTGCCGTACCGCCGCTGCCGCCGCCGCCTGGCAGTACCCCCCACCCGGCACCTCCAGGCAGCTCACCGCCAGCCCCAGCAGCGCCTGCAGCAGCGGCCGGCAGTAGCCCGCCTGCATGGAGCGCTCCAGCCAGCGCGCGTATCGGGCCACTGTGCTGCACACGGTGGCCTGCAGCTGCGGGGAGGAGCGCGGCAGGGAGGGCAGCGCCTCCAGGAGCTGCTGCAGGGAGGGGTCGCCCAGGGGGGAGGCGTGGCGGGAGATGGACCTGGGCGGGGGGAAAGAGGGGGAGAGGAGGGGAGGGGAAGGGGAGGAGGGGAGGGGGAGTGTGACCGGACCGGGTCGACGGTGGGAGTGGGAGTTGCAGAGGAAGGGGAGTTGCGTGGGAGGCGGACGGGGAGGTAGTGGTGCTAGATAGGGATTGCAGGCCGATGCAGCAGCCAGGCAGCGCTACCGTATTACGCCCTCTGGGTGCATAGCGGCGTTGAAGAGTCCCCTTCGCACTCCTCTAAGCTACTCCTAGACAGCTCCAGTGCCCCCACCTCGTGCGGGTCGTCACCTCGCCGCTCCTTCCCTCGGCTCCTGCCCTCCCTCCCTCCCTCCTGATCCCTCTCCCTCCCTCTTACTTGATACAGAACAACGCCGCCTCCGCCGTCCGCCAGTCATACCCACTGCTGCCGCCCGCCGCTCCGCCTCCTGCTGCCGCCCCTCCCGCCGCCTCCCCTCCCGCCTGCTGATGCTGCTGCTGCAGGTTGCGGCTGAGCGCCGCCAGCGGCTCCACCAGCAGCGCCAGACAGCGCCCGAAGCCCAGTACGGCAGCCGAGTCGTCCAGCGTGTCACCCACCTGGGGGGCCCGGGGGGGAGGGGGAGGGGAAAAATTTATATAAGTGAAACAACGAGTCCCGATCCCATATAGCTGGGTAAACATGAAGGAACAAAATTGCTTGAAGGCGGGGGCTGCATGGCGCTGCAGGATGTGTTCATGTGCACCAGCAACGCAGCTTGGGGCAGCGGTGGTGGCGCGCATTCAGACCCATGGGCCACCATGTGAGGGTGGGACTCCGAGCGGCCGCGGCTGCGGCGTTGGGTATGACTGCAGCAGGCGAGGCAGCCGCGGCAGCGGCAGGCAGGGCAGCAGCAGCCGCGGGTTGTCCCCCGCCGTCCCGCCCTGCCCTGCCACGCTACCCCCTCCGACCCACAAGACGGGCCAACCCGCACCTCGTCCCTAGCCGCGCGGAACTCGTGCTTCTCGTCCTTGGACCAAGTGGGGTAGGACTCGGGCTCCCTTGGGGATGGAGGTGAGAGGAGGGGAGGGGGGCAGAGGGGGAGAGGCGGGCGAAGGGCTCAATACCTTGGGTCAGGTGGGTCAGGTGCCTCAGGTGGGGCACTTGTGGCCCGCAGGTCAGGCTGGCAGAACCCCACCACCACCTGCAGGCGGGCCACCCGGGCCGGGACCCACCCTTGGCCGTACAGCACTGACGCACCACCTCCACCACCACCACCAGCCCACCACCCTTTCACAACATGCAAGCAAGCGGCCCTTGCCCCACCTTCCCCGCCCTCCACCTCCACCTCCACCTCCACCCCCTGCAGCGCCCACCTGACCCTGCCGCGTATCAGCTGCACCAGCCGCTCGAACGCGGGCAGGAAGAACTGCCGCCGCCGCTCCCGCTCCGCCGCCTCCTCCGGCCCCGCTGCGGCTGCAGACCCCGAGGAGAAGCCGCTGCTCAGCAGCTGCCTGGACAACCTGCAGGAGGGGGGAGAAGGATACCCAATGGGTTTAATGACACTGGCAAACAAGATGACAAGCTGAAGGGGGGGGGTTTAAGAGAGGAGAGCGACGGAGGGAGGGGGGAGGGAGGTGGAGAGAACCCCAAGTATGAGGGAATCGGAGAGGGACCTGGATGGGGCCACATGGACATGGACCAGCCCTGCCTCGTGAGGGGCTCCAGCAGGCAACGAAGTGTGTGGGGAGGTGGGAAAGGGCCGTAGCAGCAGTAGCCCCCAGCTCGCAAGCCGCCTGCTCACCCCTGCGCCACCCCCATCCCCCCTACTACGCCCACCTGTGCCAGAAGTTGAAGCTCATGGAGCAGATTCCGAAGTCCGGGTAGGCAGCCACCTCCAGCAGGGCCTCCACGGGGGCGCGGACCTGGCGGGGGAGGGGTGGGGAAGGAGCAAGACAGACCAGAGCACAGGAAACCACAAATGAGGGTTTTGTAAAGCAATGGGGAAGATGGGTCGTGTCCACTGGTCGTTGTGGCCCCATGTCCGCCTCTGGCCCCCCCACCCCGGCCCCCGCCCTCCTCAACCATACCCGGCTTACCTCCGCCACCGCCGTTACGATCAGCGCCAGGTAGGCCTCCCCGACCTGCGCATGTGCATGGAGGGGCAGGGGGCAGGCGGGTGACATGGACAGCATGTACGACACTTGGTTGCATGCCGCCAGCATGTTTGGCTCGGTGTGTTTTGGTTGTCAGCACAGAGGGTTCTCAAAAGCCCACGGTGGGACACCCGCAGGTTGCGGCGGGGGCGCATGACACACCCATGCCCCGCAGCAGCCCCATTCTCCCCACACAGGAGGTGGAGCCCACACACATCTCACACGGCTCGCCTGTCCCCTCCTCCACCCCCACCCCCACCCCCACCCCCACCCCCGCACCTCACAGAACAGTCGCGCCATGCCCTTGGCGCTGTCCTCGTCGTCATCGAACTCGCCCTCGCCGCCGCCACTGTTGCCACCGCGACCTGCGGCCCAACAGGGGGGTCAGGAGTGCAGACTGCTGGACGGCTGCTGAGTCCCGCCCGCCCGCCTGTCTCGAGCGGCCCCCCAGACCCAGATCGGCATGCGTCCCGCAACAACCCCCACCCCCACCCCCTCACCCGTCTCCGCCTCCCGCCTCCTGGCCGCCACCGCGAACCTCCCGCGCAGCCCCATGATGGCGGGCACGATGGCCTGCACCAGCGGCAGCGCGGCGGACGACAGCGCGGGCGGACCCGCGGGTCCGTTGCCACCGCCACCGCCGCCGGTGGGGCTGCCGGCGCTGCTGGGCTCCGCCTGCGCGGGCGAGCTGAAGTCCACCGTGGTCCAGATGACCTCGCAGATCTGCAGGCGGGGGGCGGGGAGGGTGCAGTGGGGGAGGACGCGAGGAGGGTAGAGGGAGCGGGTGATGAAAGGGGGTGTGGGGCAGAGCGCTCTTGAGCAGGGAAGGAGTGTGGAAGAATGGCATGCCGCCATGCATGGCATCCCCCTCCACCACACCACCACACATCTACCTGGTCTAATCGAGCTCTACCTGGTCTAATCGAGCTGCTCTCCCTCGAGCGCCCCTCTCTCTCCCCAACCTCCACACCCGCCCAATACCAACCCCCCTCCACCGCTCCATTCCACGCCCCATGCCGCACCCACCACCCGCCCCTCACCCCCCCCCTACCGCGTCCACGGCTGCATGGAAGGTCTCCCCACTGCCCTGCAGCCCCTCCAGTGCAGAAGCCACCAGCGGGTGCCGAGCCAGCACCGCCGCCGCGTCCTCGCCGCTCACTGCAACCGCGGCGCCGCCCGCTGCCGCCGCCGCCGCGGCAGCGATGGCGGGGAGCGGTGCGCCCTCGTTGAGTTTGAGCCAGGAGCCGAAGGCCTCCAGCACCTGGGTGCGGGTGCGCTCGCCGGGCTGGGAGAGACAGCTGGAGGCAGGGGAGGAGGAGGAGGAGGGGTGAGGGGTGAGGAAGAGGGGGGGGGGCAGGAAAGGGGTGATGGGGCAGCGGGGAAAGGAGGCGGGAGGGCTATGGCTGGCAAGGAGGGAGAGTGTGACAGGTAATGCCAACCGGCGATATGTGTCGACGCCCACAAGCAACGACAGTAGTAGTGGTGGTGGTGGTAGGGCATGTATACAGAACTCCATCGACCCACAAAGCAGGGCTCGCACCCGGCACCTCGCGGCCTCTCTGCCTGCTCGCCACCGCCTTCTCCACCCTGCCCCCCCGCCCCCTGCCTCCCCCCCCACCTGGTCAGGATCTCAAACGCCGCGCTGGTGTTGGCCCTCAGCTCGTTGGTGAAGGCGCGCCGCCGCTCCGGCCGCACCGCTATCTTGTAGCTGTGCACCTCCTGCAGGTGAGAGGTCAGCAGGTCAGCGGGTCAGCAGGTGCGGGTCAGCAGGTGCGGGCCAGCGGGTCAGCAGGGCGGGCAAGAGGCGAGACAGTGACGAGCCTGGATCCTGGTGCCCATGCAAAGATGCATGAGCAAGGATGATGAACTCATTGATGTGGGTTTTGTCGGAAGCTGTGTGGTTGCGTGCGAGGATGCGTTGACAGCTTCCTCCCGCCCTGCGTCAACCCACATCACCAGGGTAGTGGCATGATGGCGGAGACCGACTGCACTCACCGCCCCCGCCCCGCCCCACAACCCACCACCCGCCCATCCTCCACCCTCCTCAGCCCCCTCATGCGGCCACCTGCTCCTTCTCCGTGGGGCACGGAGCTCCAAGGGCCGTGTGGCCTTGCCCCAGCGCTTCTCAAGCTCCCCACCCCGCCCCCACCCCACCTGCGGCAGCACCGTGAGCAGCTCCAGCATGCACGGCAGCGCCAGGTCGGCGGGCAGCTGCGAGAACTTGAGCGCGAACCAGCGCACCACGCCAGCCTCGCCCCACCGCGCAGCAGGCACGTGCACCGCCAGCGCCGCTAGGCCCAGACACAGCTGCGTGCGGACCGGCGGTGCACCCCTGGGGGTGGAGAGGAGGAGGAGGAGGAGGAAAGGGGGAGGAGAGGAGGAGGAAAGGGGCAGGAGCGGGCAGGTGGATGCAGTGAAGCCGGGAGGTCGAGGGAATGGTGCGCTGATGTCTAGAGGCCACCCCCCTAAGGGGCCGTTGCAAGCTGTAGGTTGTTGTAGACCTTGTCGTACACACACTCACTTGCTGAAGCGGATGAGCAGCTGCAGCAGGCTCTCCCGCAGGCTGTCCACCGCGTCCGGGGGCAGCTCCTCGAAATCACGTTGCACCTGGCGGCGTGAGGGTGGGGTGGGGGTGGCGTGGGGGTGGCGTAAGGGGGAGAAGCACAACCATGCAGGGTGGCGTAAGGGTGGAAAAGGGTGGGAAGAGCGGGGCAGGACAGGAGGCGGCGTCCCGGTGGAGAGGCAGGGGCGATGTATGGTAGGTGGATGGAAGAGGGGCTTACGCATGTTTTCATAACGGCAACAACGGGAGTGGTGTTGGGTGGAGAGGGTGCCTTGTTGATGTGGACAAGCGGCCTAGGAGAGCCTTGACACGCTTCACTATCACTAGGGGTGTGCTGACGCTGGTGACAGCTAGACGGGGCTGCCTGGGAAGGTCCGGAAGCAAGGGTACCTTTCAGGTACAGCTGTGATCACCAACTAGACTAGACAGCCAAAGGACTAACGGTGGGGGAAAGAGGCTGCTTTAAAGCCAAAGCAACACCGGTATGGTACCCAGAAATGTAATGACCCACGGCGATCGCAAATGGCTCCGGAAACTAAGGCACACAACTGGAATGATGCATACCTTCGTGCGAAGCGTCTGAGCGCAGAAGTATTGCGCCTCCATGCTGCTGCTGGGGTCGTGAAGAACTCCGTCGGCCACAGACCAGGCTTCTACGCTCTGCTGCCATTGCTCTAGCCACCGATCAGCCTCATCTTTAACCTTAGGGTCTTCGTGGTGGTAAAGCGCGTTCAGCGCAGCTAACAGCTGGCTTGCCGCCATACCGCCAAATCCGCTTCAAGAGGTGGCCCGAAAGAGGGCGACTACAAGCTTTTAACCTAAAGATCAATCAACTGCATTACAGGGCTGCCCAAGGGGTAAGGTGAGAGGGGTTGCAGGGGGCGATCGCTACGCGGCGGCCTCGAACTTCTTGGTTACGTGCACGGCAGCCGTTAAGAATGTAGGTAAGTATGTACTTTATAAGTATATAGCGTGCTCCGGGTCTAAACCACATCAATAGTCACGAGGCCATTAACAGTCGCTTGCAGCCATCGTTCGCATGTTCCCATCGACAAAGCTTATGTCGTTTTATTAGGCTACATTGATTTACACACATATGTTCACAGACATATTACTATCTTGGCAACACACCTGTTTGTTTGCTGCACCATGTCCAACACCACTTGGTTGACACCCTCGAAATGGCAATAATTGTCAAAGACACATACCTTGAACGCCTTTTATAAGGCTACCTTGGCTTACGCCTTACCTTACCGCGGCTCCAACATCTGCCTTACTTGCTGTTTTTCGCTGCCGTTGTCCTAGAGTGTAGTCAGGACCCATATTTTCGTAAAGGGTTAGCAACCTTTCGCCGCCTTGGTGATGGCAGCTGGTGGGGGGGTCCAGTTTCTGCAGTCGAATGTCGAGGATGGCCCCAAGGCGCTCGGCGCCTACAAGGCGCAGAATACGGAGCTTATCCGGAAAATGCTTCGAGAGCAGCAGCGGGAGTGCCAGGCGCTCCACGCAAACCCGCTGTTTAAGGAATTTCGCACACCGGGCAGCGTCCGCCAGAAGAAGTTCGGCAAAGGCTACACAGTAATCGAGGACACGAACGCGCCCCAGCCGTTTGCCGACCCAAAGTCAATCGAATACGAGGGGCAGGCGCGCATGTTTGATCTTATCAAAAACACAGCTATTAAGGAGGAGAAGGTCCGGCAGGGCGTTTGGGCCTCCTTTGGGGCTCCCTATGTGCCACTGGGCGAGCCTAAAGAGGTAAGCTCCCTGCCCCCATCTCGCCCCTTCCGCAGCATTGCAGGTGAATTGGACCGGTGCCTGACTCCTGCCATGCTGTCAGGCCTCCCATGCTCCCCATCCTTTCTGTCTCTGCTCCTCCCAAACCCTCCCGCCAGCCCCGCCCTGTACCGCTGTGCTCAACCCACTCCACCCCCCCACCCCTCACGCAGCTGGAAAAGACCCTGCCGGAGCTCAACCGTGATAAGATGGGCAGCAGAGACGGACAGCGCCAGTAAGCAGGGCAGGAAGCAGCGTTGCGGGAACCGGAGAGGGGGTGTCAGGGGTATCCTCCTTGTTGGTGGGGCACGCACGCAGTGGCATGCGGTGCCTGGGTCCGCCTTGTTGGCTTCCTCCCTCACCCACATCCCCTACCTCCTCCACACACCCGCCCGCCCCACACTCCTCCTCCCTCCCAACCCCTTGCAACATGCCCCTCGCCCTCTTTCCCCCCTCCCGCGGCCCATGCACGCAGCCCCCCTCGCCGTAAGAACTCCAAGCAGTCTGCGCACCACCAGCAGGCCCAGCAGCAGCTGCAGCAACTCCAGCAGCAACAGCAGCAGGCCCACGCATCGCAGCCCTCCTCGCCGCCGCAACGCCGCCGCGGCCTGGGCAGCCGCGGCGACAGCGGCGGCCGGCCCACATCGCCGCCTGGCGGCTCCCAGGGCTACCGCTCGGATTCCGATAGCGCCGCCGGAGCAGCACAAGCGTACGGCGGAAGTGACGCGGACGCCGACGCCAACTGCACCCCGGCGGAGGCCGCTATCCGAGCCGCTACGCGGGAGGCTGAGGACACGGTTAACAAACAGAAGTCGGTTATGCGGTTCACCATCAGCGACCGTACGGAGGCGGCATTCCCCTCCTCCGTGCTTAAGAACGTCAACATGCGGGCAGCCAAGGCGAAGGCCTCGGTGGGGTCGTTCGTGAACCGGCGTGAGGCGGAGGAGGAGGCGGGGGACCCGCAGCGGGCGTATGGGCAGCCGCCGCTGCCGCGCAAGCAGCTGGCGCCCATTCCGGGGCCGGCGGGGAGCAGGCGGGGTGCAGGGGAGGAGGGCGGCGACGCGTCGACGTTTTTCCTGACGCAGGGCTCACAGGCGGCGCAGGATGAGGAACGCAGGTGGGGCAGAGCGGGAGGGGCCACCGCCCGGGCGGGCGGTGCGGCTGGGTGTGTGGGCAAGGGCGGAGTGGGATAGGGGCCTAGGGGGTATGGGCTTGGAAGGTGGTTGACGTGCTGGCTTTGAGTGCAACGCGCCTGGGGGGCGCTGGGGGCTGGCTGCTTGGGTGGACAACCGGCCAACCCATTACGTGATGCCATGGATTCTTTGGGATTACCACGAGCTACTTGGAGATGGAACGAGGTTGCGCGAATGGGTCGGGATATCGACTGCTAGTGGCTAGTGGAGATGCAGCCGAGCGGACCACCCGCCCCGCCCTGCCCCCGCCCCCCCCCCCCCCCCCCCCCCCCAAGAGAGCGGTCTTGCCTTTACATGCCGTTGCCCTGCGTCCCGCGGTCTCCCCTTCTCTTGACTGCCACCCCCCTGGCATGCGCTTCATCCCGGCCCTCAGGCGCATGTCGCTGGACAACACCGGCATCGCCTCCTCCTCGGTGCCGTACGACACCAGCGGGGGCTCCTTCAACACCGGCAGCGCGTTGCTCAGCAACGGCACGGGCGCAGGTGGGGGGGGACGTGGGGAGCCCTGGGACCGTGCTGCTGACGTGTGAATGGGAACGCCGGGGGCGGGGACGGAACGGTACATGCGATTGCCACACGGTTGAGCGAAGCAGAGATATGTGGAGCGTGCCCGAACGTACCCTTTCCCCTCACCATCCCATCCCATCCCATCCCTGTCCCCTTTTATGTTCTTAATCTTCTGAATCTTCTTAATCCCCTCCTTTGCTTTACTTTGCATTTACCTCCCCCCCCCCAGTTGGCGGCGACGGCTCCTTCATGCCGCTGGTGGAGCCCGTGGTGGCTCTTCGCGGCGACGAGAGCAACCCGGTGTACAAGTGGCACAACGACTTCATGTCGGTGCGGCAGGCGGGCCGCGCGCAGCTGCAGGCGGCGCTGTACTCGCGGGCGCAGGGGCGCGCCAACGTGCGCACCGACTCCAGCGCGGCGGCGGGGCTGTCCACCACGTTGTTCGGGGTGCTGAACCTCACGCAGGGACGCATGCCCACGTACGCCTCGGGTGCGTGAGGGTTGGGGGGATGAGAGGTGGGGGTAAGGGGCGGGGGGTGTAAGGGGGGTTAGGAGAGGGGTGGTGGCACGGCGGCGGCTAGGCATGGATGATGGCTTGCAAGCTGTACCACAAGTGAATGCTACGGAAGGAAGGTGTTGCTTCTAGGCTGCCTGCTGGCGAGCTGGCTTGCTGACTTGGCATAAGCACCATGATGACGTCCGTTGTTGCTGTTCTTACCCACCTTCCACGCACGCCCGCACCCCTTCCCTGCCTGCAGGCGGCAAGGTGGTGAGCCCCTACGCGCGGCTGGAGGCCTACCAGGCGGCTCAGGAGGCGGCGCGGCGCAACACCAAGCAGAAGGCGGTGCAGGCGCTGGACCCCGCGGAGATCCGCATCCTGCAGCGCTTCTACGACCAGCTGTGTGCGCTGGTGGAGGTGCAGCGCATGAGCGACCCGCTGTGCCTCATGGTGGTGTCCAAGGTGGGCGGCGCGGGGGTAGGAAGGGGAGGAAACTACCGGTACCCGCAACCGTATGACAGGGTTTTGCTGGTTGAGTCGCGGCGATTACTGTGGATGTCATGCCGACCGCCGTGCGCATGGACACTGTCCGTTTAAGGTCCTCCCTGCCCCCGCGCCCCTGCTCCCCCCTCAGGTCAAGTCGCTGCTGGAGGCGGGGGTGTACCTGCACCGGCCCATGCTGGTGGCGGTGGTGGAGCATGTGGCGGCGTTTGCCAGGGGGGCGGGCATGGTGGGTGCATGGTGGGGGGTGGCGCAGGGTGGTTGCTTGGGCGGGTGGGGATGGGCATTCGCGCATGCTGCATGCGTAGGCGCGTGAAGTCAGGCGGCGTGACGGGTACCTTGTTTCCAAACGCTTACTCATCACTGCACACACAGACACCGGCCCAAAATGCCCGGTCCTCCTCCTACTTCCCCACATGCATGCTGCCTTCACCCTATTGCTTTACCCCCACTCATGGTTTTCACTGAAACTGCTTGGTTTGGCTCTTCGACCCCTGCATGACCCCCTCCCTGCATGACCCCCTGCCTGCACGCAGATGCGCTACAACAAGTACCTGCTGGCAGTGCTCACCTTCGTGGCCAAGTGCGTGGGGCTGGACGTGGGGGACCTGGAGGAGGTGGTGGAGCAGCACGGCGTGTCCATGGTGGTGTACGGCACACCTGCCGTACCCTCCAAGGTCACCTCGGAGATGGTGGCGGCGCTGGGGGATGAGGAGGGGGCGGCAGCGGGCGCGGGGGGCAAAGCAGGGGCGCAGTTGGCGGTGGGGAGGGCGCGCAGCGGACGTGTGGGTACTTCGGTTGCGAGAGCGGCGGTGGCGGCTGGGCAGGCAGCTAGCGGAAGCGCTGGCGGGGTGGAGGGGAAGGCGGAAGAACCGGCGCAGGAGGCGCCGGAGGGGCTCACAGCAGCGGAGAAGGTGGACATGCTTGCGGATGTTGTGGCCAAGTTAAATAGTAGTGAGAGCTGATGCAGGTGGTGTGGAGTGGGGGTGGTTGCAGGGTGCGCTGGGGAGCAGTAGGGCTTGGATTTCGTGGGCGGTGGTGGGACATTTATCATAACGATTTATCATCAACAATTGAGCCGCGTAACTGCATATGTGGACGCGTTATGGGCGCTTGGTCTGCTGAGGGACGCAGTTACAAGGTGTTGAATGAGGAGGTATAGGGGTGGGGGGTGAAGAAGGTTGTAGTAGGCCTTGTATGTACGTATAGTGGCAGAGGTGCACAACACAGGGTTTCATGTGTCCAAACTCGCTTGTACACTAGCTGCCTCGCTCTCTTGGGCCTTGCCTTCCTTCAGCAAGGTCGCAACGGCCATGTTGCCGGGATGTCCTCCGTTTGGACGCTCGAGTACTCACGCCACAGGGTTACCAACTTATCTAGCCGCATATTGCTGGCATGCTAAGTGTAGATGCCAGAAGTATAGAAATATAGAGGAATGCATGTGGGTGTACTATTTGTCTCTCCCCTGACATGTTGTGGCATGTCAACCAGCTGTGTTCCGCCTAAGCACAATGTGGGTGTAGTTCAAAAGCCCGGTGCACTAGCCGTAATTCGTGAACACCTTCCGGTGGAATTGGAACCATGTGCGTATGGTGCATGAAGACCTGGTACGGACACGAGATAGTCAAAGTCAACCATGTTAGCCTTGCAGCCTCAACCTGACACAACTTATATAGATATCCGTTTTCATGTATCTACCGGAGGGCTGGTATTCGGGATTTGACGACAAAACTATTCTTGCCGACATCAGACCGGCGCGCAGCAGTAACGCGGGCTTGCGGTCCTCCTTTGCCATGACATCCTTTGGGAACGTGGGAATGGCTTCAACACTACCAACAGAGGTGTGTCGTTATCTACTCGAAACTTCCGTGTGCCATTGGTCCCAGCTGGCTGCATCACCTACATAAAACCATTCCTGCCGACTTCAATGGGCCACAGGTCGCCAACATATTACCTGCGGACCCATTCGCTCAGTTAGAGCTCGCTTCAAAAATAGCTCAGCATGCCCTTGCATCTAAGGCAGCCCAGCTTGAGGCGGACGGGCAGCAGCTTCGGGAAGCACTTGTGCAGAAGCAGAGCCAGGTTAAGATGCTGGAGCGAAGGGTCTCGACCCTGGAGCTGGAACTGCAGGATATGACGTCGAAGGTGAGGGAGGGTAGGGTTCTGCTGGGTGCCCCCCATAGGTGCCGTTGTTTTGCACGCGACGGCGTCTGCATGGGATGACAACTAGTCCCATTCCCTTCTCTTCATGCTTAGAGCAAGCAAGCCATGGAGGAAGCTCACCGGCTGCAAAGCGAAAAGAACCTCTTGGCGGATACCGTAAAGCGGCTGCACAAGGAGGTTGCGCGGTTGGAGGCGTTCAAGAAGAACCTGCTCGAACACCTGCACAACGACGACGAGGTAACCTGGGAGATGAGGGGAACGTTTGGGAGGGAGTAACAGTGGTGGCAGCATGTGGGTCGAAGGCGGTATGACCCAAGGGCCGCGGGTTAAGAGGGGCTCCCAATCCTGGCTGTAGCTGCACTCAAATTGGATACTGCTATACGTACACCGAGCATGGTTGGATGGCCGTAATTGAAGGGACAGTCGGTGTCAGCCACCTAACACCACATATGCACTTGTGTGTGTCCCTCGTGCTGCAGCCGGGGCTGGAGCCCAGCGTCGCGGCTGCGGATGTGGCCGGCGAGCGGCTGGTTTCGGAGGTGCTCAGCAGCATCAGCAAGCCCCCAACGGCGCCAACTGCCACGTCGTACAATGCTCGTAAGTACCCATATACAAGATTGCTAGCCTCTGCCCTCCTGTGAAGTGGCTAGCCGATGCCAGGATGCAGACGACTAGTGCAAAACCTCTTAACATTGCTAGCCAGGAAACCCGAAGAAGTAAGCTACTCGCCTTTGTTCGTCCTTGTTACTTTGCAGGCATGCAGCAGGCGGCAACACCGGCATTCGCCAGCACTTCCGGCCGGCCACTCTACACGGCTTCAACGCCCCAGGCTGCGCCCGTTCCAAACCCCCAGCCGTTCGTCACGGCCGCCCCCACGCCGCAGCCGCAGTACCCGTCCAACGGTGGTGGTTCGCCGCCACGGGTTGACGGAAGGGAATTCTTCCGGCAAGCCAGGTGAGGCTCTATCCCCCGTCAAGCTACACTTCAAAAAATACCAATATAGCACAAGCCCTAACGTCCGCCCCTCTGTGCCGTCACACTTGCAGGGCCCAGCTGTCGTACGAGCAGTTCAGCCAGGTAAGCGCACAACTAGCTAAAGCGCTTGCCCTTGCAATTAGAGCTGGCGGCTTGACCGCGCCCATCGGCCACACACACCAAGCGTTTGCCCAGGCGTGAGGCCCCAAAATTCGCTGTGCCTTTCCATCACGCAGTCTCTTATCACTCTTTACCAACCCATTACGCACGATGCAGTTCCTCCACAACATCAAAGAGCTAAACGCCGGACGCCAGAGCCGCGAGGAGACCCTCCGGCGCTCCAGAGACATCTTTGGGCCAATGCACCAGGACATGTACGGTGAGTCAGGACAGTAAGGCCCCAACATGCCCACTCGCTAATGCTCTTCAACCTACTGAGGCTTCATTGCCCCCGTTGCCGTGCGCAGCCATGTTTGAGGCGCTCCTGAGCAGGCACAGCGGGACTATGCTTTGAAGGGAGTAGGCCCAGCGGCAGAGCGGTCGTCCAAGCCGTTCCTCCGCCGGCCCCCGCGCTGGAGTATGATGGTTAGTCGGTGGCGCTGCGGAAAGCGTCGTGGTGTGCCTACTTGTACTTGTTCGCTCGTTGGTAGTCAACAATGCGGCGAATCAACTCGTCCTTGGTGCCGGAAACAGCCAATCCACGGGCTTTGAGTAGCTCCTTGAGCTGTGGGACGGTCTTGGCCTTAAGCTCGTCCGCGGTAAATGTCGATGGACCCGAGGGCTTGGGTGCCGAGGCGCCTGGTGCAGCAGTCGCAGTCGCGCCCTTCTGTTGCTTTTTAAGTGGTCGTTCGTCTGTGACCTCTGCTGAGGAGACGTCGAGAGGGCGCTTAGCGTGGGATGGCTCCTTCGCCTCCCCGCCTTTTTTCAACACTGCGCTTGTGGCATCGCGCTTTTTGACAATTCGTAGCAGTGCCGTCGTGCTCTGATCGGTACAAATAATCTGCCCTTGTGGTGGCTCTGTATCATGGGTGCAAACATAGTGAAGCGCATGCGCTTGTATAGTAACAGACTGAAGGTCTTTACGCGTGGGTAGGTCCTTAAGGTCTGCCAGCATGGTACCAAGTGCTAAGTGAAGCAACGTGTAACAGGGGTGCTTGACTAAAGATACTACCGGTATGATAAAGCGTGTTTCCTAGTTCTAAGTTCTTGTCCAGGTACAGCAATTTGCTAACTGATGAATCGTACGTGTATCTCTGCTAGCTTATGAATGCTTCGTACGTACAGGTATATGGAGAAACTGACGGACCTGAGTCCATAGACAACTGCAAAAGTTACAGCAAGGTTTGCAGCTGCGTTGGCACCGTTTGATAGAAAATTTCCGGGCGTGCGCGGTAGGTCAACGGTGCATACTCCATGCACGCCAGTGGTATCGCGTTACCGTTTACCACGAACAGCTTAGCTGTCACGTCATGTCAGCCGCGCCAGCATCGACAGCTGTTGCGGACGGGCAAACCGCAGCAGTCCTGCGGAGTCCCCTAGTCCTGAAGGTCACCTACTCATCCACCTGTCATCCGGCCCCAAACCCAAATATGCATAGTCTAGCCCATCCGTGGAACACCCACAGACCCCAGCACAGTGAGCGGCGCTGCGCCACAACCGCCACCACGCTTCAGCTGCTACACATTTTCCGCCTGCCCAAAGACTTGCAACATCTCTGCTTGCCGGTCGTGCAACTGTGCAACACCACGGCGATGAAAGCTCCAGTGAAGCCTCCATTTAAGCGGCCTTGTCGTTGATGACCTGCACACACAAGGGCGTTCTTGTAAGCATGACAGTAGGACAAGCACTGGAGGGTTTTATGCGGCCCCGGGTGCACGTGTGTGTGGTTCATATGGTTATGGGAACTACGTACAAGTATGCCGATTATATGTCGTACTTTCCCTTTTAGATCCCAAACCTTATAAACAGCCCAACTTCAGTCCCGAGTGCTTTCGATCCAGCTACCAAACCACGGCTACCAAACCGCAACCCTTACCTTGACGGAGTTGATCATCTCGTCACCCATGGCCTGGAGGAAAAAGACAGGGGAGGAGGCGGATGCAGGTCATCACAATATGCTCACTAAGGCGTCCATGCAGACGGCATATGGGCCATAAACCAACAGAATGCGGCGGGGCAACGACGCACTGTAGCAAAACACACGGTGGGTGGGTATGGGGCAACCACCCGCGCCCAACAGAAGCTACCGCGCCCCCCAGCTGAATTGCGGGCTTCCAAATACAAACCCATAAAACCCCCCTCACCTTCACGACGGTCACGGCCATCTCCTTCTGGTCAGACCAGTGCTGCTGGATGAGCTCAGCCAGCTTGTCAGCCTCATCCGTGCCCTTGGGCAGGAACAGGTCGTCGCGGGTGTTGCCGCCCTCATCCATGAGCGAGACCTACGAGTTTTGAAGGGGTAATTAGTCGTCTTAGCACAAGCCAAAAATAATAAGCTCGATATAATAAGCTCGAACAGTTATAGGTATGGGCCCAGAGGAAGCGCTCCGGAAGCCAAATGCATGCAATTAGTAGCATAGAGAACCCGGCAATCCAGACTTTATACCAACTTTTAACTTACAATGCCCTCATCGGTGATGTCAATGACAGTGTACTCCTTCCTGGAGATGTTGGGCACCTGCAGGATTTCACACATTTCTTAGAGTGAAGTACAGAACAAGCAGACAGGGGCAGCGCACAAGAGTTCGGACAAGAACAACCCAGGATCTGCGCCGCCTGCCCGCTTACATCGACGTTGTGCGACGAGGGAGTCATCTCCTCATACTTCTTGCCAGTGAAGATATCAATAGCGACGAAGTTGCACTTAGCGTGGCCGTGCTTGCCAGTCTTGGAGGTCGACACGTCCACAACCTGCCAGCGCGCGCAACTTTCAGCTACCAGGATGCTTTCTGCTGTAGCCAGCGCATACTGCCTCTAAGCTGCTTATAATACCTTGCATGGGCGGCCAGAGATGACCAGGTAGCCGTTCTTGCGGACAGTGCCGGCCTGCTGAGGGTAGGTGAGCGAGGCGCCGGCGTCGGCGCTCTCGAAGGTCTCAACCTCGTGGTCAGACATTTTGACACGTAAAAACGACTACAAAGGAAGGGGCAGGGGTTGGCGCAGCTGAAAGGGGCTGAAACGGGGTTGCCTGCGCCAGAATAGAGAAGGACAACGTCGTACACGGGGGCCTTGCGGTTCCTTCGTGCAACGCTCTTTCGCTAAGACCGTTACAGATATACGCTTGAAACTGTTAGGGGTTCCTGTTCTGTGCTCCTAGCGTAATTTTTGTGTGACCAACAAGAGTAGCCTCGGCTAACCGTTGTGCGGTTCCCCAATTTTCTAGCAGTTTTCGCAATGACTACGCAAATGGTATCCGCTGCCGCGAGGATACGACCGCACCTGTCTTTGGCCCGGATAGCCTTCTCTTCCCCTGGGTCATTACCACTTTATGTCAGAGAATTGGGCACACCAAGCACTGCTGTTTACAGTTGTAATTGTCCATCATTGCGCTTTTACCAAAATAATTCGTCAGCTGTTCCCGGTGGAGACTGGATTCACTTGAATGGGATGCGTTTCCATGGTCGACATGGTGTGCTCACAGAGGTGCGTTGTCGTAAGCCACTGCGCAGCGGTGCCAGCTTCGGTGCTCTGCCTGCGCAAAGTTTTGAAGCCCGCGTCCAATCCACAGAGTTGCTCCCTTGCTCCTTTGGCCCCGTGTTGGCCCCGGATTCGCCCCACGGGTCAGCATAAGCAACCTTTGGCACGCCAACCTTCACAACGCCAGACGGTCGGCGTTTGGGTGAAAGCATACCGACCTGGTGCCCCCTGATACGCAGGAGACGCGGTTGGGCCAAACATTTGTTGTGGACGTACGGCTGCAAGTGGACACCGAAAGGGCTGGTGTCAGCGATGAGCTAGAAGACACCGTCAACTATGCGGCCGTATACGGGTATGATGCCTGTATATGTTGACTGGTTCGTGCTGTTGTGTGCTAGGGCCTGTCAGGTTGCGTGCTGGCATGCATCCTGACCGCGAAGGTCACTTTCATTAGGACGCGCAATCTCGTTAGGACTTGGAACGCGCGGGTTGGCAAGCCAGGGTGGGTACTGTACGAAGCTGTAGGGAGCACTTGACCGGCAGGCTGCCCAGTAGAACTTTGGATGCGGCAGCACGTCATAGGAACCCTCTTAGGAACCTTAACCGTGTTGGTGTCATCTCTTTGGGAAGCGCCGCACCATTGAGCTGAGGAGGCATGCATTGACAGTACACGGAGTTCGCGCACTGCCCAGTGATGCTACCCCATTGCCCGCGGTAACCGTGATGTCGCACCTGCTCTTCGCACTGCGCACTGACCCGACCCGCCTGTCCCCTGCCAGTTTGCCCTCTTCATTCCCCTATCCTTGCACCCCGGCACCACCCTCCCCTCACACCATGCACGCAACTCAGTGCCATCCTGAATATACCTTTTGAGAGCCCGTGCTGCGTATGTGTGGCACCTCCTCGCCCCCCTCCCTCCGCACCCACAGCAGCATTAGGGGCGTGGTGGAGGGCCCTCCCTGCAAGCTGCTGGAGGCGGTGGCGCACCGGGCGTGCAACCTGGTGCTGGCGGACCATGCGGCGGTGCGCGAGATGGTGCTGAGCATCCGCAAGCTGAGCATACCGGGCGTACCGAGCCTGGTGGACAGCGTGGGTAGGTGGATGGGTGGGTAAGGAGGAAGGAGACCAACTAAAATCGTCTAACATGCAAGCTCCGCCCTGGGGTGTATAGGTGGGTTGTGCGTGGGTGGGTGGGGCTGCTTCCTTTTAGAGGAGAAGAGGGCATCCGGTTGCATGTGGTATGGCTGCCTCCCCTTGTTCCTGAAGGGCAGTTCTCTTCATCCTGTCGTCCTTGCCAGCTCTTGCTGTAAGCTCTACTGGAGGCCTCGTGACAAGCTGGTGGTAGGGTGAGCATGGGATGTTGCTTGCGCCTGCGCCTGCGCCTGATGGGCCAAGCTCTGGTTGCGGGGCTCAGGCTGGTGTGATGTCGTGTGTTGCAGGAGTGGAGGTACGGCGCCGCCGGGCGTAGTGACATGCGCCGACTCAATTGAGGCTGCCGCTGCTGCTGTCGACGTCCCGAGGAGCACCACTAGATCCCGAGGTCAGCGAAACAGCTGCGGTCGGGGAATGGGCTGCTGCTCGACTACTTGCCTGGTTTGGGAGCAAATGGCAGTGTGTACGGGGTGCTTTGAGGGGCGAAGAGAATGACATGGGTTTGAGGGTAGCGTGCCGGGATACAGCAGGTCCGGCGTGCTTTCCAAGGCATCCGCTTGTCGAGTCGCCTGCGGTGAGACTTGTACAGGTACAGGAGGTCAAGCCGTGATGTGATAGACTAATTTGGGTTGCGGGCCTGGGCAGCGCCCAGTGCAACTTTATGTGGGAGCAATAGCCGCGACAGGCCAGAGGTGCGCGGGAGTTGATGTAACCGCCACACGGACGCGCACGTGTCCCTTGCTAGCTGTGGTGGTTACCGGTACGTACGCGGGTGGGGTACACCCCATTGCATTGGGGGCGTGGAGCTTTGTGGTACTCCAGCGCAAAGGCTGCTATTGGGGCTCCCGGGGCTGCGGCGGCATACAACGGGGTTCAAGATGGGCACTTGCCGTCTACACTTGCCGTATGCGTATGTTGGTTCACGTGCTTGGTAGGGTCATATGTACCCGGAATGCGCGGACACCGAGCGCCTCGCAGGAGGTACGAATAGGCACAGCATGTATTGTGCTAGAGTCTGGGAAGGTAGTTGCGAAAGGTCTCCGGCAACTCGACAGGTTACCGATGGAAACGTAACTCGCATGGTAACCAGGGAATCGCTGTGTAGTTTACTTCAAGAATTGGACACATCTTGCCAGGTCTACAGAACAAGCAGGATAAAGCATGAGATCATTCCCAGGTAAGGGATAAACGCCATGTGTCCTCCATCTGCTATTGGAGTACTGTATGCCTTCAGGAATTTCATAGAGCAGTACTGCACACGGCTTTTTGCCTTTTTCACATGGGATGATGGGAACTACCGTATTGTACAGCGCACGTGCTACCATTGGGACAGCGACCACGTAAGCATCTAGGATACGCTCCCTCTTAGCACATGTTTTCCTAGCTAGCATTGATTGACCTATGACGGATAGCAGAGCACTACCTTTCAGCAGACTGTTGGCAAATGTATCTCTTTGATGAAAGGTGACCAAAGGAATTCATCAATGAACCCTTTCTAGGCTACGCAGATGGGACGATATTGGGCACCCCGTGGGCTATGCCGAAAACTGCCTCGGCTCATAGGGCTGACGGTCCTTCTGTCGCTTGCTTTTGCACTTTTAGCCCAGCCTCTTTTAGCATCGGACGTAGAATTTTGGCAGAAGTTGCAATCACAGGAAACCGTATCCTTGGGAGGCTCGGTTTGGAAGTGGAGCAGTGATGTGCAGCCACCTCTGTCCAGTAATGTCACTATCGCTGGACCAGGTTCTATTTTTATCACTGCGCAAGGCGTAATCGTATCTGGCCTAGGCAGCAATGTGGCGCTGACTCTCCGTGATGTTACGCTCCAGCTGGCTGCCGTCAACTCAACCTTTTCAGGCCCCATTCCCGCCATCAACGGAAGTGGTTTATTCTTAAGCCTCATAAATGTTACGCTGATAGCACCCTTCCAGTCGTTGGCAACGGTGTCGGGTTTCTGGAACGCATCTGAGCTTCGCAGCAGCCTGGTGAACATGACCACAGCTACAAATGGACTTTCGCTGGTGGGTTGTGGGCCGGAAGGCTATTAGTCGGCGGAGGCCATATGGCACGCGTGGCATGGGCGTCATTGCGGCTGTGGGTGGTCACCGAGCTTACATTGTGCTAACAGCCACAACATGGCCCTTAAACGCCGGGAACACTTTCAAACCTCGCCCAAGGAGGACTGTACATAGACAGTTACCCGCAATTCGACTGTGCTGCCAGGTCCTGGCAGCATGTACGGAGGCTCCACGGAGTGTTCACGACAGCAGAGAGCCCCCTCCATCCCACCCAGACCATGTATCTGACACGGCGCTAGGGTTCCCATGACCGCATGCCAATTCTCAGTTGCTTGTACTTCCAGTCACGCTCACGGCGTCACAAGGCCTGGCGCTCACATGCCCTTTGCCCGGCCCCCATACACACGCCCTTGCCCCTCCCCCCTCCCCGCCTCACGACCCCACAGGGTACGGGTCCACAGCGCCTGCTGTCGTACAGTACGGCAGGTGTCCGCATCAGCGACCTGCTGCTGCTGCCCAGCGACACCCGGCCCCAGGCGGTGGCTTGCTACGCCGGCGGCGTCCCCGTGTACGACTCCGCCTCCATGAGGGCGGCCCTGGGCGACACAAGTGTCACCTCCGTCTTCGTTTACCAGGTACGACATGATGAGCGGTACGGTACGGTACGGAATGACTGGAGGGATGCCAGTTGTGGGTAAAAGGTGACGCCCCTGCACCGCTGCACCCCCCCTCCCAGGACATCCTGCTCAGCCCCACCGACTTCACCTACCGCAAACCCGTCACCATCACCGGCGGCCGTACCGTGTCCGTGTACGGCTGCCCCGGCACCGCCATCGACACCAACTACAACCACACCCGCGCCGGTATCACCGTGGGGGGCGTCGTACACACCGCCAACAGCAGCACCCCCAGCCTCGGCTCGCTGAGCTTCAGCAACCTCACCTTCACCAACGCCCCCGCCCTCAACCAGCTGCTCTGGCCGCACCGCCTGGCCGCCATCCTGGGCCTGGTGGACGTGACGCTGTACGGCGCCTGCTCCCTCGCCGCCGTCACCATCTCCACCCCGGACGAGCAGGACCTGGCCACCTACCTCCCCCTCATCACCGGCTCCTCCGGCACTGCTGCCACCGGCACCAGCAGCAACACCAGCACCAGCAGCAACACCAGCACCAGCAGTGAGCCGCTGTTCTCCACCCTCAACTCCACACACACCCGCATCACGCGGCTGCGGCTCACCGGCGACGCCGTGTGGCCGCCCTCGCCCGGCATCCCCGCGCCCGCCGCTGCTGCTGCCTCCTGGACCTTCTCTGAGGTGCTGCTGGTGAGCTCGGCGGAGAGCAGCTGCGCGCCGCGGGGGGCGGCGGTGGGCATCAAGGTGTCGTCAGGTGAGGGGGAGGGGATCAAAGACCATACCATACCATAGGAAGCCACAGATGTGGGCAAAGCAGTGGGAGGAGGAGGCGGCAGGGTGCCACAATATGGAGTGTTGGATGAGGGGGGAGGGAGAGGGAGGGTGCGAGAGGGGCTAGCAGGGGGAGACGCGGTGGTTGGGGGCTCCCCGTGCATGCATGCACCCGCTCGCCTGCTGGGGGTTCATGGTGCGTTTCCACTCCCTGCTGCGTCGTCAGCTGCTTCCTTACACCCCGCCCCCTCTCACCCCCTTCCCTCCGGCCCCCACCCCCCACCCCCACGCTCCTTCCCTTCCCGCCCCCTGCTCCCAGGCTCGCAGCTGCGGCAGCTGATGGGCGACGCGCTGATGCCGTACCTGGAGATTGTGAACGACATCAGCTTGGTGGCGGCGGAGTGGCCGCCCGAGGCGAGCGGGCCAGAGGGCGGGCAGGTGTTTGTGAACGGCAGCAAGGAGGTGTACGCCTGCCACCCCACACCCGGCAGGCGCTACTCGGTGGACTTCGGGGACCTGGGGCAGGTGGGGCGGGGGATGAGAGGTCGCGGTGGGGGCGGCGGCATACAGGCGGGGGCGGAGGGTGGGGTGGTGGGTGGTTGTGCACCGCCTCCTGACCTGCTGCTGCCCCTGCTGCTAACTCCTGTTGCTAAGACCTGCTGCTAAGAACCCAAGCCAACCCACCAGCTGCTGCCACTGCTGCTGCCACTGCCACCACTGCCCCGGCTGCCCCTGCCAGGTGGTGTTTGTGTTCGGCACACTGCGATGGCGCGGCAGCCTGCTGCTGACCCACCCGCGCGCCTCCGCCCGCCGCGCCTGGCTGTACCTGCTGGTGGGGGCGCTGAGCGTGGAGACGGACGGCGTCATCTCCTTCGAGGGGGTGGAGATACAGTCCTCCGTGCCCTCGCCCTTCACCAACGCAGCAGACCCCTACTGGAGCACGGCATGCGGCTCGCTGTGCCCCTCCTTCATACCCAACACAGCGGACTACCGCAACGTGTCGTACTATGACGCGTTTATTTACGACTACAAGTTCAGGAAGACGGATTGGGTGGCGGTGTCGCAGGGGAGGAACATCACGGGTACCGGGTTTTGGGGCTACACGGATGTGGCGCTGACGTGGCGTCCGCCGCCGCCTCCACCACCCCCACCGCCACCGCCCTCGCCTGCACCTTGGCCCCCGCCGAACTCCAGTATCTTGAGCGCGGTTGGCGAGGGGAGGGAGAGGAGGACGCCGGTGGCCGCCATTGCGGTTCCCGTTGCGGTTGGCGGTTCGTTGGTGGTTGCAGGTGAGGGCAGTTGGGGGGCGGGAGGCGGAGAGGAGGGGAGAGGGAGCAAAGGGAGGCGGGATGGATTGTGTGTGGGGGGGGTTGGGGCGGGAAGAGAAGGGGTGCTGGAGCCGCCTCGCCGGCCCCCGCGGCAGGTGGCGTCATGCACATGGGAGGAGAAGGACAACGCCAAACACGAACCGCACCCCACGTCCCCCACACCTACCAGCCCTGCATGTTGCCGCCTTACCGCGACTCCTCAACACGGTTTCCTCCCATCCTCACGACACTGCAAACAGCCTACACTCCCCATCACGCACTCCCCCTCCCCCTCCATCTTCACCTCCCTCCCCCTCCCCCCGCAACCCCGCAGGCCTACTCGCCCTCCTGCTGTGGACCAAGCAGCAGCGACGTGCTGCCACCTCCAAAGTCCCGCACGGCGCTGCCGGCGACAGCGGCAGCGACCCCGCTGGCAAGGAGGCAGCAGCAGCAGCAGCCGGCGGCGGCGGCGGCGCGGGCAAGGTGTTCGCCACGCACTCCGGCGCCAGCCAGGTGTCAGCCACCGGCGGCGGCGGCGGCGGCGGGGCTGCTGCGGGCGGCAGCGGCGGCATCTCGGGGGGCCCGGGGGGCAGCTCCTCGGGCGGGGTCAGGGAGGAGGAGCCGGGCAGGCAGGCGGAGGGCGCATGCGGCACCGTGGGTACGGCATCCACCTCCGCCGCCAACCCCACCTTCACCTTTGCCAGCATGCGGACCAGCGTGCAGTCCGGCAGTGCGCCCACGGAGGGTGCGGCGGGGGCCGGGGGTGGCGGGAGGCGGGGTGTTGGGTGCGGGGGTGGTGGGAGGCGTGGGTGGTGGGGCCGCTTCCTAATGTCCCCTTGCGCATACTCATGGGATGAAGGTGTTGACGGTTGTCCCCCCAGTTGTGGTTTTCAATCCTACGGAGTTGCATGCCTGCATCGTCCCGGGTCCCCTCTCTCATTCCCCCCTCTCTCTCCCCTTCTCCTCCCTCTCCCCCCCCCAGCCCGCATTGAGAACATGCGTCGCGCCATCACCTTCCAGTCGGTGTTGGCGGGCTCGCAGCGCAACGAGCAGATCGCCCTCATAGACCTGCTGGGGGAGGGCACCTTCGGCAAGGTGTACCGAGGTGAGCTGCGGGCTGCGGCAGCGGCAGCGGGCGGCAGGGCGGGGTCTGGAGGCAGGGGTTGGAGGGGCAACGGCAGCGGGCGGGGGGCGGGCGGAAGGGCGGGTGGGGGTTGGAGGGGCAGCGCCGAGCGGTTGCCGTCTTGGACGAACGAGACGAGGCGCAAGAGGACTGTACGACAGAGGCTGCTGACGCAGATACCGCCCTCCCCACCCGCACGGGTCCTACCTGCCCTACCTACCCACCATGAGCGCATGGGCTGCTCACGGTCCCGCGACACACACTCACACGCACGCACCCCGGCTGCCCTTCTTGCGCCCATCACACCCGGCATCCCACCCGGCCCCCACCCCCCACCTCACCCATGCCACGCCACCTCCCCGCCCCTCACCCACAGGCTTGTGGCGCGGCACCACGGTTGCGGTGAAGACCATGGTGCTGCCCAACAATATGAGCGGCAAGGAGAAGCGCGAGAAGATGGCGGTCATGGTGCGTGTGTGCGGCACTGCACACCTGCAGGGGGTTGCTGCAGGGGGTGTGGGATGTGACCGGATGCTGTCTTGTGCGGTGGTGCTGCTGCTGCTGCTGCTGTCCGTGTGCCAGAGGAGCAGCAGCCGGCGAACGGGCGCCCCGTGTGTGATGTGACGCACGCTTGCCGCACCGCCTCCGCGGGTCCACCTGTGGGCCCCCTGGCGCCCCCCCTGCTGCTGCTGCTGCCCCACACGGGGACCACATACACGGGGAGCACTCCCCTGATCCCCAACCTACCCCCCTCCTCCTCCTGCGCACCCGGGGCCCCCTGCAGGAGACCGCCATCTCCTCCTCGCTGTCGCACCCAAACATCGTGCAGGTGGGTGGGTGGGTGCAGGTGCAGGTGCCCCGGGGGCCGCGGTGCGGGGTGCGGGGTGCGGGTCGCTATGGGGGATGGGGCACGGAGGAGGGGTGGGGTGGTCGCTGCCTACCTCTGCGCTCCGCGCCTCTCGGTCTCAGCCCCTCTCACACACGTCTTACCTCCGCCTCCCTCCCACCCCGCCTCCCTCCTCCCGCCCCCAGACCTACACCTACGCTGTGCTGCCGGTCAAGGGCGAGACGGGCGCACTGGACACGCCGCTGGGGCCGGGGTGGGTGTGACCGGGGGTTCGGGGGGGGGCCTAAGGGGCGGGCGTGGATGGAAACAGAGTAGGAGTGCAAGTTGGTGATAGTGGCAGTCAGTGACCGGGGCCGGGGGGTGGGTTATGGCTGGGCTGGGCTGGGCTAGTCATGTTGGGGATTAGATAAACTGAGCCGCGGAAACACTGACCATGTTGATCATGTTGGGGAGGTGCGGAGAGCTGCAGCGGTGCACACGCCGCCGCCGCTGTGCAGCAGGGGCAGTAAACCAGCAGTAGTTGCGGGGGTTGCAAACGAGCAAGCTCAGCTGGCCGCTCCCTGCCCTGAATGGCCCACACGATCAAGGCCCACACGAAACCAGCAGCTTCAGCCCCCACACCGCAGCCCTCCTCGGCCTGCTCCTCCCGCCCGCGCCCTCCTCCCCCCCCCCCACCCCTTTGCGGCATTTCCCTCCCTCCTCCGTTGCTTCACTTTCCATTTATTTCCCCCCCTTCCCCCCTTCCTCCCCCCTTTTTCCCCGCAGTGCGAGTGTGACGCTGGACAGCACCAGCGCCTTCACCGCCCACCCCCCCGCTTACCCGGGAGGGGCGGAGCAGGCGGGCAACGTGCACAGCTGGGAGGTGGGTGGGGGCGCTGGGGGGCACTGAGGCATGTGGGGCGAGGAGAGGGCGACAGGGGCTTGAAGAAGGGGTAAACAGGAAGCACTATACCGGTATCGTAACCGTGGGACGCAGCGTGGGCCGTATGACACATCCTTCCCCGCTTTCCCTCCCCCACTCCCACCCTCTCCCGTCCTCTTCCCCCCTCCCCCTGTCCTGTGGCACGCCTGCCACCTCCTTCCCTTATGCCTTTGCCCGCACTCCTGCACACTTTCCTATGGTCCGGTCTGCTGGTTTGAAACCCCCTTCCTCCCTCCCCCCCAGGTGCGGCTGGTGCTGGAGTACTGCGACCGGGGCTCCCTGCGCGACGTGCTCAGCAGCACCCTGGCAGCGGCAGCGGCGGCAGCAGGGGGAGGGGCAGGGGCAGGGGGGCCAGCTGCCCCGGGCCCCGCCGCTGCCGCGCTGCTGCCGGCTGTTGGGCAGGCGGAGGCGGAGGAGGAGGAGGAGGCGGAAGGGGGGCAAGAGGGCGAGGAGGAGCAGGAGCGGCAGCGGCGGCAGCCAGGCCCGTCGGCTTCGGCAGGCAGTGCAGTTGGAGGAGGAGGGGGCCCCGGAGCAGCAGCAGCAGGAGGAGGAGGAGGAGGGGGGCAGCAGGCGGGTGGCGGCAGCTGTCCGCTGGGTTACGCGGATGTGCTGGGGGTGACACTGGACGTGGCGAGGGCCATGCTGCACATGCACAGCGAGAACATCGTGCATGGAGGTGCGTGGGGTGGGGTGGGGAGGGAGGTGGAGGTGGAGGTGGAGGTGGAGGTGGAGGTGGAGGTGGAGGTGGAGGTGGAGGTGGAGGCGGGGAACAGGGGAGGTGGAGACAACACCAGTGGTGCGGGGGGGTGTAGGATGCATGGGGGTAATATGGATGAAGATTCCGCATTAAGCTGGATTTTAGGATTGCGCATAGTCAAATTCGTTGGGTTAGTAGCAGCACACAAAGTACAAACCGTGATAAAGCTCCATAAGCTGGCGGCCGTGCTGAGATCATATCATTGGACGAATTACTGACGAGCTATAAACTGCCGTCTGAGCTCCACTGCATTGCTGAGCGCCAGTGCGCTGTAAGCTGTGGCTGGTATGCGGCTGTGTGCACCTAAACATCCCACCCGCCCGCCCGCGCAAGTGACCCCTGGGTCGAACTTTAGCCCAGCCCACCCACGACCGAACCCGACTAACCTGCGTAGCAAGGGAAAATTGTGCAACGAAGACGTACCAAATTTCGTTAATAGTGAGCGAAAAGCGTCCAGAGACACAAGAAGGCGGCGCGACGAGCGAACAGAAGACAGGCATGCATCCCTGTGCTGGTGCTGCGAGCTGCGCTGTATATCGACGCAGGCTGTATGACGATGAAGATGGCTGGCTTATCAGGATGAAAGAGACGGGACTATGCCGAGAGTTAGTATTTATGCGAAAGGCGGCGGTGCGAAGTACGGCATGGGACGAGCATGCTTAATTTAGCGCAAGCGCAGTATGGCTATGATGATCTAGATATGCAGGGGGTGCAAAACATGCGGCGTCAGTGAAATGACAGCTAAAAACAATGACAGGGCGGGGCCTCGCAAGGCTCCCCAAACAACCCTGTCACCCAAGCGAGCCATTGCATGCAGGCTCACCGGGGCTGCAGGTGTGGGAGACCTAGGTGCATGGTGGCGTGCAGACTTACCAGTTGACCATGAACGTAGGCTAGTGTATGGCAGGGTGAGGGGGTTAGCAACAAGGCATTGCCTAATGCGATCCTATAGGTAGCGACATGCGTGTTATGACAGTTAGCGTGCATGCAGTACGTATCCGCGGTAATACCCGAAAGGCTGTGTTACCGCCTTGTAGAGGTTGCCGACGTTCCTGCTGAAGGCGCTGGAGCCGGCTGTGGAATACTTGCGCTGAGCTTATCCGTTGGCTGTCGTTGATGTAGATGATGCCGAAAGTATCGACTGGCTGTTTTAGTAGCCACGTTTCGAAGAAGCTTATCGGGCGATGTTGGGAGACCTTGATAGCCGGCCAGCCTCGTTGTTGACGGTACGCTGAAGTGAATGTGCTTGTTCGTCGATCTTGGTGGCGATGCCGCGCGCGATCCGTAGTCCGTCGTTGTAAGCTCCAAACCCTCCCCTCCCGCCCTCTTAAACCCCCATACTTATCCTGATGCGTGTGCAGCTGTGAATCTTGTAAGTGTAGAAGCATTTATAGAATTACGTGGCAGATAAAACTTGTTGAAGAATAAATCAAAAAAATTTGGGATAGGCTGTTGGAATAAGGCGCGATTGGTAATTGTCTCATAGTCTCCGCTCTCCGCAAGGGGGATACTGCTGCTGAAGAGTAGAGCTGGGCGACTTCCCAGACCGCGGTTCCCCGGTAAACCGGACCGAAGCGGGAAGTCTTTTGGGTGGGAGGTGTGGGGTGGGTGCAGTCGTGCGCGTGCGGAGCTGCCCGCAGCGGCCTGTCGGGTGCTGTCCCTGCTGCTGTCGCTGCCGCCCCTCGGACGCCCAGCCTGCCCTACTTCCTCGCAGCCTCCTCACCCACCTGCCCTGACTGGCAGCTTGATTTCCCCTATTCACGCTTCTTGATCCTTCCCTCCCTGCCCCTCCCTGCCCCTCCTTCCCTCCCTCTCCCTTCCCCCCCGCCAGACCTCAAGGCCCGCAACATCCTGCTCAAGAGCGGGGGCTGCGGGGACGGCCGCCCCTACGTGGCCAAGGTGGGCAGAGGGGACACAAGGGGGGGGAGACAAGGGGGCGGGACAAGGAAGGGGGGAGGCAGGCAGAAGGAAGACCATTGAGTGCGGGAGACAGAGCAGTCACTTGCGAACGGTCGCATGTCAGCACCTCAAAAAGCACAACTGAGTTCCTCCCTTGGTTGACCTGCCGCCTTGCCGCCTTGCCTTGCTTGTTTACCCTGCTGTGGTGCGTGCGTGTGCGTGTGTGCAGGTTGCGGACTTCGGGTTGAGTATGCGCATGGACCCGCACGAGACGCACGTGTCCAATGTCTACCAGGGTGAGCAGGGGCGGAGGGGGTGGAGGGGGTGGGAGGGGGGCCGGAGGGGGTGGGGAGGGGCCGTAGCTGGGAGGGCTGAGGGAGGGGAGCGGTGCGGGCGAGCCGGAGGGGCTGCGGAGCGGGCCGAGGGGTGTGGGGCCTCCCCACGAGACCTGCCTTGGGTGTGCATCAGGTTGCTGCCTCTGCCCCCTACCCCAACCTTACCCCGCCCTCCTCTCCCCCGCCCGCCTGCCCGCCTGCCTGCAGGCACCATCACGCATATGGCGCCCGAGGTAGGGCCTGAGGGGGGGAGCATGGGAGCAGGGGGTGGGCATGGCAAGCTTCCCCCGACCACCCGGCCTTACCTTGTGCTGCCATCATGCGTCCATGTCTCCGCTGTCCCCCCCCCTGCCAGGTGTTGCTGCACGGCAAGGTGTCCAAGATGAGCGATGTGTACGCATTCGCCATCCTCATGTGGTAGGGGCGGGGGAGGGGGGGTTGACACCTGGGGGCGGGTGAAGGGGTCCAGCGGGTGAAGGGGTCCAGCGGGTGAAGGGTGGTATGCGCCACTGAGACTGAACCGCTCCCCCCCCCACCCGACCCCCCCTGCCTGCTCCCCCCCTTCACTCCCCCCAGGGAGACCTACACCGGCGGCCAGGCGTTCAAGGGCACCCCCCGCGCGCTGCTGGGCCACGAGATCACCAAGATGAACCGCCGCCCGCAGTTTCCGTACGACACACCCTTTGAGTACCAACTGCTCGCCTGCCGCTGCTGGGAGAGCGACCCCACCATCCGACCCACCTTTGAGCAGATCATAGCCGACCTCAGCCGCATGCGAGCCAAGCTGGCGGCCGGGGGGTGGCAGCGGGGAGGAGCGGGCGGAGCGGCGGCAGGGGCGGCGGGGCCAGGAGGGTCGGGGGTGGCGGGTGGTGGGGGTGGGGGTGGGGGTGCGGCGGCAGGGGCGTTGGCGGTGCCGTTGGGGGGGTTCATGGGCGGGGCTCACCCCGCCTCTGGGGTTCCCTCGGTGCAGGTGTACATGACGCCGGGGGAGGGGGAGACGGTGACGATGACGGCGAGTGTGACGGATGGGAGCTGCATGGGGCATGGGGCGGGGGCGACGGTGGTGATGGAGGATATGGGGGGCGGGTACGGAGGGGCGGCGGGGCGGGGGGGGCTGCTGCACCCGTACTGGCGGGGAGGCGGAGGAGGAGGGGGAGGAGGTGTGGGGGCAGCAGCAGGGAGAGGAGGAGCGGGGGTTGCGGGCGCCAGCGGGCTGCAGCAGTCGAGGACGCTGGAGAGCCAGACGGGTGAGGGAGGGGGAGGGGCGGCGTGAGGGAGCGGGAAGGGGGGGGTTCGGGTGCTGTCGTTGTGAGCCCCTTACTGCATCCGCCATCACTCACTCACGCTCTCCTTCCTGGGTTTCAGCAACAACCGCAATTCCCAACCAGCCTTTCTTCTCTGCGCCTTCTCCTCTCTTACCCTCCTCCCGGTTTACCTAATCCCCTGCTCCCTTCCTCCCCGCCCCCCTCCCCCCCTCCACTAGACGACATGCTGCCAGCGGGCGTGCAGCAGCTGTTCTACCTGCAAGCGGTGGACGGCAGCAGCATGGGGGGCTCGGTGAGGCTGGGGGGGGGGGAGGGGGTAAAGAGGAAACAACTAACTGACTGAGGGATAAGGCGTCAACATGGGTTGCAACATGAGGGGGAGGGGGCAGCAGGGGGGCCGAGAGCGCAGCAGCATGGGCGGCTGGGTGAGCTACGTCGCCCTAGCCACCCTGGTTCTCTGCATGCCTTCCCGCCATCCACCGACTCCTCACCCTCACTTCTTTCCCTCCCCTCCCCCTTCCCGTCCCGCACCCCAGGACTCCTACGGCGGCCCCCCACCGCCCGGCCTCCCACCGCTGCTGCTGCCGGGCCGCTCAGCCGCCCCCGCCATGCCGCCCATCCTGGAGGCGCCACCCGGACAGCAGCAGCCGCAGCAGCAGGCGGGGCAGCAGGCGGGAGGGGCGCAGTGAGGTGTCGGAGGAGGGAGGGGGGTCCCACAGCAGTGGGGAGGAGGGAAGAGAGCGGTGTGCAGGATGTGATACGATACCCGCTGTTGGGGCGTGCGAAGGTACAGCACAGGGAGGTGGAGAAGCATATGACCGTGCGAAGAGAGAGAAGAAGGGAATGTTTGGCATTTCCCTGCTCCAATGTTGACTTTGGAACAGGGACAAAGGGAAGCTATGAACAGAAAATATGGCGATCCGAGTTGAGTTGAGTTGGGATTGCGAGGGGGACAAAGTAAGCATGGTTACTGCTTTCAACACTAGTACATGGCTTTTCCGGTTGAAATCGTGTTGTGTGAATGGAAAGGGCGGGAGTATGGCATGGAGGAAGGTCCGCGCGGTTATTAGACTTGCACTGCGCTTTTGTAGTGCGGTGGGCGCAAATCTTGAAATGTGGAAATGCTTCAAATTGTGTGTGCGAGATGAAAGGGGCTTGCTTGGGATTAAGGACAGTTGGGAATGTCGGGTGCCGGTCTGCCTTTTGCCGTTTGCGTGTAATCGGCAAAAGGACCGTATGCCCTTTACCTTACGTATAAGAGTAAAAGGCATAAGGCTATTGTGTTCGTGAATACCGATGTGGCGCCTGGGGGCCTCGGGGCTTGACGGAGGGGTAGCAGGTGGTTGGAGACTGCTGCTGGCAAGGTACACGCGTGCATGCATGCACTGCTGGGGGTTCCGGTGGTGGTGGGGTGGGGTGGGGTGGTGGGGAGGGGAGGGGGGTGCTCCAGCGCTCTCACCGGGCAGCCAGCACGATACAGTTGTGGAAGGAGGGGGAAAGCTTGGGAAGGCGGATGTGTAGTTGCCGGCACAACATTTATTTATTGGGTACAATTATGGGTTACGTGATGTGTGCGGCGGGGGTATGATGCATGGGGCGTGTGAAGAAGGGGGGACACCTCTGGCGCTCCGAGGCTTTCACCTGCTGGTGATAACCATAATGTTTGCAATGTGAGTGCATGCGTCCGTCTCCGTGGATCTCCGATGTTTAACACTGACCATTGCGACGACCCGGCGGCTTTGCAAGGCAGGCGACTTGCTCTGACCGTTTGGTAAACTATGGGTAACGCTCCTGCACCTGCTGCTGCTGAATTCCGGGCGTTTAAAGAAGCCGGAGGGATAGAAAAGGCGTGGATGGTGAGGGGGTCTGCTGCCATTGCAGTGGTGGAGTGAGGGACGGTGGCGGTGATGAGGCGAGGCGAGGAGGAGAGGTTAGGGTGATGGTGGTGGTGATGGTGGTGGTGGTGATGGTGGTGGGGTAGGTGTCTTCCTGAGTACAGAACAACCTAGCGACGTCTTGCAGAGCTCGGAGTCATACAGCCTGGAAGACTAGGGTATTGGGCTAGTGGGAGGGCATTGTTACAATGCATAGCGTCAGGTGTGAAGTGCAGGCCTCAACACACCTGAACACACTGTGTGATGTAAATCGGTTTGCGTTGCACGCGTAGCGCTGCTTTTGCGTGCGCTGCGGTTGCAGTGGTTTCCACCGGCGAGGTGCTGCTGCTTTCCGCTGGGAGCCGGGTTTCCTGCTTGCCGGGCTTGCTAACTCTTTCAGGCGAAGAGGTGTGGCCCCGCGTACGGATGTGGGGAGGGCGTGCAGCCAGTGGCGGGGGGTGTATTGTTGAGTAGGACAAGAGCAAGCAATTGGGAGAGGTTCGCATGTGAACCGCGAGTACAGGCAAAACAGAGGTGACAAAACCTGAACCGTAATTCAAAAACGGCTTAAATAGCTGTTGCTGGATATAAGAAGGATGGCGGGTGACGAGTGACGACGCATGTCGGTGATGCTGATGGTGTCGGAAAACTAAAATACTACTGAGAGCTAAAGCCCGCTGACCAACTCGACGCCGGGAGCCCCCGCTCTGGTCACGCAGACGAGACACCACAATGCTGTGCATGCGTGCGTGCAAACGCGCATTGCGTACCTGCGAGCAAAGACGCCGTAGTCAGCATCAGGACCAGCATTCCGATTCATGGCGGCGGTACGTGGAAACAGTGGATCAGTGCACCGTCAGCTGCCGGGAATACTGTTCGGTGCGACAGCAGAGCTCCTCGGACCCTCGTGTCTGGGACATTTGGGTCATGAGGAGGGAAGAACGCGCGTGTGAGCAAGGGGCGCCCGATTCCTGCGTGGTGGAACGTGCTTTGGAGGCTGCAAGGGGCGGGGAAGGGAGTGGAGAGCATCACTGCTGGGGCGACCTGCGGGCGACGGGTTTGCGTTGGCAAACGAGACGCAGGACCCGAACGAGGTGGGGTTTGGGTACTTGGGTTGGCAGCGGAGTGCAGGCTAGGGCCAGGACGCCAGGTGCTGGGGCGGATGGCGGTGGGCGGTGGGCGGATGCATGCCTGGGGAGGGATGGTGGACAGTGGCGAAGAGCGGTTGGCAGGAGGCAGGGGAAGCGAGCGTGCGTCTGAGGACCTCGTTGGGCGGCTGGAGCTCCTGCTGCTGCTGCTCTCGAGTTGGGTGGCTGCAATGATTCTACTTATTGGTAGGTTGTTCAGGGCGCCGCATGGCGGGTGGCGCCCCTCACATGTCTGGTGGGTACCGGCATCCGGCGTCGGTTGCAATCCGGTTGTCGGAATACTTTGGTAGAGGCTGTCGTGTCCTATAGTCATGCTAGCTGGTAAGCCTATCTGGTAATGGCAGCACCTAAATTCAGGTGTTGCCGGTTTTCAGCAACAACAACCTTTTTCCGGTTTCGGCCGTAGCTCACCGTTTCGTCGAACCGTTTGCGTTGATGTTGATGGTGGGGGTGATAGCAATGATGCATGGTGATCTTGGTTACGCCGCGGGTCGTAGGAATGTGGGTTTGTTTTACGAGTGGGCATGATGGGGTACTGCGCGCTGGCGGGTGATGTTCTCATTGTTCCGGACAGCAACATGTGCAACGCGTGTACAACAAGTGTGTATCTAGGTCGACACAACAAGCAGTTTATGACGTTATCTACTCTCTGATGGTACCGATACCCGAGTACGACTGGTACTGCTTATTATGTTGTGTTTTGGTTGAGGCGGCCCTGGTCCCCTGTGACCCCCGTGGCGACTGTGTTGATGCATGATGCATGCATGTGTGCATCTGCATGAGATGACAAGGTGCGAGTCTCGGTCCCTGCGGCCGATGTGTTGTGGCGGGAAGCACGGGGCATTGGTACAGGTGTGTGCGCTTGGGCCGCTCGGGCGCCTTTGCTTTTGTACTTGCTTGTTGCTTCGGTCCGCCACGCGCATTGCAACATGACGCAAGCAAGCAGCCAAGCGACCCAGCAGCCCACACACTGCTCACTGCCCGCAAAGCCGCTGCCGCCCCCCGTCATCCAGCGACCTAAAGCCCCACCCGAGCGACCCACGGATCATCACTTAAAAGCCACCCCCACTTGACCACCCCCTCACCGCGTGTCCCCCATCAACCCCTCCCCCCCCATCACATGAAACACTTCCCTGCTACTACACTGCTATTAGGGTGCCCTGCTACTAGGGTGCTCTGCTTCTACACCAGCAGTCCATCGCAGTTCGTGAAGACGCAGTCCACGTCATCCAGCTCCATCAACCGCTCCATCAGGGCCTCGCAGCGGCTGAACGCCTCGTCGTCCACCTGGTGGTGAGGGGCGCGGGGGAGGCAGGGCGCGGGGAGGGGAGAGCTAAATGAGAAGTGCAGGGGAGGGGGGGAGAGGGGGTGACGGAGGGGAGGGCTAGGAACGTAAGCAGCGGGCGACTACGGTATTCTGCAACCAGGCTTGCAATGTCCCGTCCCTGATTGCGGATATTGACGAGGGGCGGGAGGAGAAGAGGATGTTGGGCATTGTACTGGGCGGGAACACACACACACACACTACTCGCGGCCAGTTTTCTTAACACACTACTCGCGGCCAGTTTTCTTAACACACACCCAGTGTGTGCCCACTGGCTCCGGTAGACAGGGCAGGGCAGCCCGACAAACCTGGTAGGTAGCGGTATAGCCCCGTTGCTAGCGGACACAGGCATCGGAAAAAGAAACCTCACCCCGTTCCCCCCCCACCTCCACTGCCGCAGATGCCCGATACACCAGGTCGCTTTCCTCCGGGTTCACGGACAGCCCGGCGGCCGCCAGCTGGCTCTTGGCGGCGGCAAACGACTCCACGGGCACAAACACCTGGGGCAGCGGGGGGGAGGGGGGGAGGGGGGGGCAGCAGCGGGAGGGGCAGGGTGGGGCGCAGCGGGGGAAGACCAGGAGCGTTGGGGTCAAGGAGGGGAGCAGGAAAGGGGGAGCAGGAAAGGGGGTTGCCCGGGAAGGGTAGGAAGGAGCGTGGGAGTGCGCTAGTGCATGCAAATCGCAAATGCAGAGTGCCCAGCCCTCAGCAGCGGCAGCAGCCCCAGCCCTGCCTGCCCCGCCTTACCTTGAACCCCCCTGCCGCCGCCCCCTCCTCCTCCCCCGCTGCCGCCCCCACGGGCTCCACATCCTCCGCGCCCGCCTCCATGGCCGCCTCGAACACGGCGTCCTCGCTGCCCCCGCCCACCACCACCAGGCCGCAGCGGGAGAAGTTGAATAGCACGGAGCCGGGCTCGGCTACCTGGCGGGTGGTGGTGGTGGAGTTGGGTGGGGTCAGGGGGTGGGGTGGGGCGGGGTGGGGTCAGAGGGTGGGGTGGGGTGGGGTAAGAAGAGGAAGCTAACGAGCTGTATGACGAGGCTTCACAACAGCGACAAATGTCTTGGCTTGGGGGTGGGGTGGGGGTGTTGGCAAGGCAGGCACTGGGTTACGGTATGGCGGGCGTGCTGCGGTGCGTGTGTCGAGGTAGGTATGCGGTGTGCGGCGTGTGCTGTGCTCCGGGGATTGGGCGATGCCGGTAGCCAGCAAGGGCTGGCACGGTGGGAGCAACGCCCCGGATGAACGCGCTGCAGCTGCAGCTGCAGCTGCAGCAGCAGGAGGAAAGGGAGGGGGAGGAGGGTGGCACACACACCTTGGCTCCTGCCTTGGTGATGACGGCCTTCACGTCACTGGCGGTGCGGTTGAGGTTGTCGGTGAGGCAGAACACCACCAGGCCCGTACCGCCGGGGCCGTACGCCTCGTACGTCACTTCCTGCGTACCGTACGGCATGGGTGGTTGTTGTTGATGGTGACGACATTGGCAGTGGCACGTAGGCACATGGTACGGCAGACGTAGGGCCAGCAGCGTGGTTGAAGGTAAGTGGTTATGACGAGCAGCCAAGGTTGCATCCTGGCCGCTGCAGAATTACATTTTTTCTGCATGCTGCTGGGATGGGGAAACTGTCGAGGGCAAGGACCTTGCAGCTATCAGTACCCGTTGCCCATTGGGACGATGGTTTCATCACATGTCTGAAAACCTGCCTGATAGTCGCCTTGCTTTGAATCGGTGGCACGCTTGAGATTGCGCTCTACCACATCCTTAGGCACGCCGAGGTCCTTTGCTTGCCGCAGAAGGGTATCCAGCGCAGCATTTGTTGTTGGGTCAGCACCTCCAGCTTTGGCCCTACAAGAACGGCAAACTCAAAATGATACCGGTAGTGGTCGCGACGACTGCATGGAGACGAGCGAGCAGCGAAAGACGGGATCCAGCGACAGGGCTTCCGAGATAACACAGAACCTACAATTGAATAATTTTCTTGCCAACGCGACCGTAGATCTTGGCTTTCTTAGCATCCGACTTGCCCTGCCAACATTGGTAAACAAATTTACAGCGTCTCAGATATAGAGATGACCAAGCTCTCTTGAGTCTTACAAAACTACCTTCCGCAAAGCAATCTTTGCAGATCGTCGGCCCATTTCCACAGGTGGAACGAGCAATCGGCTGCGCGGCTTCGTCGATGGACAGGGCAACGGCAGGACCATAGGTCGCGAAGTATGTTGGGTAACGGAACATTTTGCTAGTCGATATGGGCAGTTGACTGCAAAGTTGGTGGGCAGAAGTAGTCGCTGCATTCCTCAAGGGCAACTCGCAAACTTGCTTGTATAAGTGCTTTCTTAATGCAGCTCAAGATAAAGCAATGTAAAAGCAGACCACAAGCTCAATTGCCGCAAGGTAGCGGTTTGCCCGTTGGTTAGTCAGGTTGCAAGCAGTACTTCTCGATCACACGAAAACCGGTTGACAGCTACGTACGGATCAACAGCTGAACCACCATTCCGCTCCGCACAAACAAACCAGCATGTCAACCCCACACCAAGCCAGGTCAAGAAGTGGGAATCCCCCAACAGCAACCGATTCGCCAAGCACTCTTAAGGACCGCGACCCATGGGCCCCAGCCATGCTGACTCCCTGACTCCTGGAGGCGCTGCTGATCCTGCCACCGCTTGGCCCTCCGCCCTGCCAACAGGCACCCAGAGCCCTTGGCTGCGCACACATCCCTGCCACACCGACAGGTGCAATCCAAGGTGCACTCCCCAGCCCCACCACCTTCCCCTAGTAGGCCCCCCCCTGTGTGCTACACCGCCCCTGCCGCCGCCGCTTCCCTCTCCACCCGCGCCGCCAGCTCCTCCGCCTCCTCCCGCCCCGGCGGCACCGGCAGCCGCCCCGCCTGCAGCGCCGCCAGCAGCGCCGCCTGCTCGGCCCCGCATGCGGTCGGCTGGCGGCAGCGGCAGCGGCTGCGCAGTTGCAGGGCGGGGGGCAGGTAGGAGCAGGCGCGGTTGCCCACTCCCTGATTGCGACAGGAGGAGGAAGGGGAGGGTGTGGGAAAGGAGGTGGGGTAAAAGGAGGGAACTGGAGAGAGCTGTATGGCGAGAGGGGGCTTCAGCAGGGGGGTTGCTGCATTGGACCCGGCCCATCCCCCGTCCCAATGCGGAGTGAGGGAGGGGTGTTTGGGAGAGAAGGACGTGTAATTAAATGTGCTTATTGGGGGCATGGAGGTGGCATGTTGCCGTCACATTCGAAGCTACTAATTAAGCAAAAGCGCCGCTCAGGACATGTGTTCTAAACCACCCCCACCACCTCAATCCTCCTCCCGCTGCCCCCCCCCCTCATTTCTTTTGCGTGCTTCTAGGCTCATGTCCCCGCATGCGCTCACTGCATACCGGTATGACCGCATATGGCTCCAGTGGGGACTCCAGTTGCTGCGCTTCTCATTCACTAGTCCCCCCTGCCCCCCCACCATCCCCCCCCACCCACCTGCTCCTCGCTGCGCTGCGACCACCAGGAGGCGCGCGGGTCCTGCTGCGGACCGAACAGACCCACGGGTCCGTCCAGCTGGGGTATGCTGGAGCGGTTGGCGGCGGCCCACAGGTTGGTGTTGAAGGCGAACATGACGCGGAGGCCCTGGGAGGGGGAGGGAGGTGAGGTGGGGGAAGAGGCAGTTGAGTGGGTGGGAGGCATGAGGGGGGAGGAGGTGTGACGGCCCCAGCCCCCCCTCATGGCGCCCACCTGAGGATGAGCATCCTCTGGCGGCCGGAAGCACCTGCAGCGGGAGGGAGGGAGGGAGGGAGGGAGGGGGAAAATTATATAAGTGAAACAACGAGTCCCGATCCCATATCCCGACTCATGCAGTGAGCGCATTCGGATGGGGGAGCGGGGTTGGCTTGAGGGGCAGTGCGGGAGAGAGGAGGACAGGGCAGCTGTGAAAGGGAGGAGGACGGAGGATTAGCATGCCCATGTCCCTTCCTCCTGGCACGTCGTGTGTGCACAAGCGGCCCAGCTAACGCACATCCCGGCCTGTTTCTCTCTGCCCTCCCCCCTCTCCCCTCCCCGCCCCCCTGTCTCACCCCTGCCCCCACACCGGGTTAGCCTCCAACAGCTCGGCGGGCCAGGGGCACGGCGCAGGCAGCCGCCCGCCCGATAGCGAGTGGTTTCGGAACCTCGCCACGTCAGCAATGTCGTACTGCAGGCTCCGCTCCGAAACCTCCATCAGGGGCGGGATGGGGTCGGAGAGCTGGGGGGCGTAGCCTGGGGGGGGGGGGGGGGGGGGATAACGTTAAGGGTGAGGGATGGCAGGAAGAGCGGGTGAGATTCAGGGGGAGGGATGAGAGCGTGCGTGAGGGTGCTGCAAACTCGCCAGTATGGCTGCTGAGGTGCTGCATGCGTAGCCACTGCGGCACCAGCGGCACCAGCGGCAGCAGCAGCAGCCCACCTGTGCGAAGCAGGCACCGCAGGAGCCCGGTACCTCGCCCTCCACCCACTCCTCTCCCGCCTTCCTTCCCTCCCTCACCGGCCCCAAAGCACTCCACCGACATTCGCCTGGCCCCAACGCCACCTCGCGCCCCTCCCACTTCGCCCCTCCGCTCCCACTTCTCCCCCCTCTCCCCCCCCCCGCACCGCTCTTTGCGAAGTTGTCGGGCAGGTGTGCCAGTGTGAATCCCGCCCGCAGCAGCCCCCGCAGCATGAGGGGCGGCTCGTGGGTGCGCACGGGCGGCGGGCGGCCCCCCGCCTCCTGCCCCCACACCCCCTCCAGCAGCTCCGGCATGCCTGCATGTCGGGGCAACACGGACACGAAGCTCACCGGGAAGCGTGACCCGGGGGGCGGGGGCGGGGGGGTCCGCCCCGATCCACAGGGCACACCCCCGCACCGCTCACCCCACCAGTGGTGGTGGGGGGGGGGCATGCTACTGGTTAGGCGCACGGCCCTGCAGTGCTGCTACTGCTGAGGGCAACACGGACCTTCCTCTCCTCAGTCCCCACGGGCATTGGCACTTCACTTGTCGTCCCCCTCCCCCTCCCCCTCCCCCTCCCCCTCCCCCTCCCCCTCCCCCTCCCCCTCCCCCTCCCCCTCCCCCTCCCCCTCCCCCTCCCCCTCCCCCTCCCCCTCCCCCTCCCCCTCCCCCTCCCCCTCCCCCTCCCCTCCCCCTCCCCCTCCCCCTCCCCCTCCCCTCCCCCTCCCCCTCCCCCTCCCCCTCCCCCTCCCCCTCCCCTCCCCCTCCCCCTCCCCCTCCCCCTCCCCCTCCCCCTCCCCCTCCCCCTCCCCCTCCCCCTCCCCCTCCCCCTCCCCCTCCCCCTCCCCCTCCCCCTCCCCCTCCCCCTCCCCCTCCCCCTCCCCCTCCCCCTCCCCCTCCCCCTCCCCCTCCCCCTCCCCCTCCCCCTCCCCCTCCCCCTCCCCCTCCCCCTCCCCCTCCCCCTCCCCCTCCCCCTCCCCCTCCCCCTCCCCCTCCCCCTCCCCCTCCCCCCTCCCCCGCACCTGGCGAATACTCCAGCAGCAAGTGCTCCACTCGCCCCCCGCCTCCCCCGCCTCCCCCGCCTCCTCCCCCGCCTCCCACCCCGCCGCTGCTGCCGGCCCCCCGCTGCCGCAGCCCCAGCAGCCCAGCCGCCGAGCGCAGCGCCACCGGCTCGTAGCCCTCCACATCCACCTGCATGCGGCGGCAGGAGGGGGGGGGACTGGGGGGGGCGCTGGGGGGACTGGCGCAACCGTCCTATCGCACTCCTCACCTCATGCCGCCTACCTACCTCCTACCTCTCCCCACCTCCAGTTCGTCATTCTCGTTATTCCCCCCACCTCCCACCTTCATGAGCAGTACGACCTCCCCGGGGGGCACCAGCTCGTCCAACCGTACGGCGGGAACCGTCACCCTCTCCAGCTTGGCGTCCTGGGGAGCAGGGGGGAGGAGGAGAGAGGGAGGAGGTACGAGACAGGAAGGGGGGGCGGCAAGAGGGGGGAGCGGCAAGGCAGAATGGCAAAGCGGAGAGTGGAAGGAGGTGCTGTCGGGGGGAGCTGCAGCAGTCAACGCTACGATGTCAGCAGCTGTGTGCCCACTGCCAGCCCCACCAGCCACACAGCGTGCCAGTCCTCCCAACGTCTCCCAGCACCGACCGCCCACTGACCAGGGCCCCCCTCCCCCCCCAGCCCCTCGGCCCTTATCACGCGGTAGGGTCACTTGCTTCCTCTTTACCCCCCGCCCCTCCCCGCCCCTCACCTCACCTCCTGCACCCCCGCTATCATGCCCGCCACACTCGCGGTGCCCCACACGCCTCTGAGGGTGGGGGAGGGGGAGGGGGGGTGCAGGGGTCCGGGATTCGATAAGCGGAGCCGCGGAAACACGGACCCTGAGGGGCGGAGGATTGCACTCAAGGGCGTTCGACGTCATAATCTGTGTCACGGCGGGGGTGTCCGGGTTGCGGTTGAACAGGTCGCGTCACTCTCGGACCCCCCCTCCCGCGGTAGGCTCTAGCGCACGACAACGGCAGCAGCACCACCACCCGCGGCTCCGACCGCACCACGCATGCGGGGCATGCCGCAGCCCCACGGCCTCGCGGGCCTGTTATCTTTACGCCCGCCCCACCGCCCATCCTCATTACACCATCAAGCAATTTCCGGTAAACTACGGTCAGGGTCAGAAAGGAAAAGCCGTCAGTGTTTCCGCAGCTCAGTGTATGCTCTAACCCCCACCTCCTGGGTGCCTCAATGCTGATGTTGCCACCCGCCGCATCCGACACCGCCCCCGCCACCACCGCCACAACAGCAGGCGCGGATGGGGCAGCGGAGGGCGTGGAGGCGGAGGAGGAGGAGGCGGAGGGCGTGGAGGCGGAGGAGGAGGAGGCGGAGGTTGTTGATCCGCCGCCCCCCCAGTCGGTTGTTGAGTTGGCCGCCCGCAGGCCGTTGGCTGCCAGGTTCCAGTGCAGGAAGGCCAGGAAGCGGGGCACCGGCTCCACCGCTACCACCCTGCGTGTACGGCACACCCAACAATTGCCGTTACAAGCACAGTAAAAAACAGTTACCGTTACCTATGATGTGTGCAGGGTGTGTTTTCAGCTGCCTGCAACGCCATCTGCAACCTCCTCACGCTCCAACGAAACACTATCGAGGGGTAGAGCCCCGCAGGCCCCCGCTACCCACTACTCCCCAACCCTTTCCAGCATTTCCCTTACCCCCCCCCTTCCAAGTCCATTCCCCATCACCCCCCTACCTGCACCCCATCAGCGCCGCCAGCACAGTGAAGTACCCGAAGTTGGCGCCCACGTCCACAACCAGCGGGGCGGCGGCAGCGGGGGCAGCAGCGGCAGCACCCGCCTCACCTGCCCCTCCTGCTGCCCCTGATCCGGCACCTGCCGCCCCTCCTGCACCGCCTCCGCTTCCCGCAGCCCCATCCCCCACTGCATCCCCCGCCGCCCTGCTGCTGCTGCTGCTACCGTGCGCATGGGGTGCCGGGGCGGGTGGCTTGAAGGGCGCACAGCGGGACTCCAACACGTGGTTGAACACCTGGAGGAGGCGGAGCGGGGGAGGCGGGGGTGTTAAGATAGCTGGCCGCGAGGCGAAACGTACTGTGATTGCCGAAAGATGAAGTTCGCCCACCGAAAACGCCACAGGTGAAGTGAAGTCCTTTGGCTATGGTGTATTACAGCTATCGAGTAGTATCGGAATCATTGTAAAGCAGTAAAAAGCAATGTCGTAACGCGACCGGACCTAAGGACCGGAGTAGTAAGTAGGTGGTAATGAGTAACCGTCACTGTCATGTGACAAACACCCCCCCACCTGCACAATGCCCAGCTCCAGACAGCCGCTGCGCTCCAGCTGCTCCGACACGTCCAGGTCCTCCTAGGGGGGGTAGGGGGAGAGGGAGGGGGGGAGAGACACAGCAGCCGTACGACGCCCCGTGCGACCAAGCGAACGTGTTGGTTCCGTACTACCCGGCAAGCCACACGTACCACTGATTGCTCGTACAACCCTTCCTATCCGCCTTCCCTTGCGCGTGCCAAAGTGCAGCAATACACTATGTACGGCAACAATACCGGTATCTGCTACACCCTCATACACACACACACACGTTCTTAACACACACGTTCCTACTCGCGGCCAGTTTTCTTAACACACACACGTTTCGCCTCGCGGCCAGTTATTTGAACACACACAATGTACACCTTTGGGTCCGTATAGGCCATGACGAAGTGCGGCGGGAAAGCCAACCGCCGGGCCCACACCCGCACCCCCCGGCGGTTGAGGTAGTCGATAGGGCCCTTGAAGCCGCCAGACGTGCTGGGTGGTGTGTGGGGGGGGCGGGAAGGAGAGGAGGGGTGGTGCGGGTTACGAGGAAAGCAACAGCAGCAAGGGCGGCGAGGGCAACGGGTGCGACTGAGTTGGAGCACCGACAGGCAGCAGCAGCAGCGGGCGACGGAGCCGGGACGAGCGGGCGAGGGAAGCGGGTAGGTCCAGGTCGCGATGCACCCCCCCTGGCGTCCCCCGCTCCTCCTTCACGGTACCCCACCACTGCTCCATCACTCGTACCTCGCACCCCCATGACGGGGGAGTGCATGGTGGCTCGTACCCCCATGACGCTGCTTGCCGTACTCACCCCCACTCGGGTACGACACCGCGGTACGGCCCGCAGTCCGTACAATCCGTACCCAGATCGCAAGCCACCTGGATCCCCCCTGCCGTCGTACTCCTGCTGTTGCCGCCACTGCTCTGTATCACCGGGGATCCGTCCTCGCAGACCCCGTTACGAGCCTGTCAGCAGCCAGGGAGGGCGGCCAGGGACCGGATAGTCACAGAGGCAGCTAGGGACCGCACAGCAGTAAGCGACCCATGGGTCAGGTGCATCCGCTGTCCTGCATCCTGATCAGCTCCAGACCTCCAGTGCTGCCTGCTATTGCACATGCGGAAGGCCATACCAGAGAGAGACCTTCCTACGCCGCTGGCATGCCTGCAGCTACTTGTTAGTTACCGCATTCATTCCTTCAGCAACCATCACTGGGCAACACACCGACCCACCGACCCACCGACCCACCAGCGGGCATGTATCTGTGCAAATGCCCCCGCCGCCTCCCTCGCCGCCGCCACCTCCTGCTGCTCCTCCGCTAGCCAAACCTTCCGCAGCGGCGCTACGTATTCCGCTGCTGCTGCTTGGCCCGCCGCTGCTGCCTCCGCCCTTCCCCGCCCCGGAGGACGGCAGGGCGCCGCTGCTGCCAGGCAGGAAGGAGGCGGCGGCAGGAGGCGGGTGCGGGCTTCGGAGCTGGGAGGCGGGAGTGAGGAGCAGCAGGGCTGGGAGTGGGGAGTGGGGAAGGAGGCGGGAGGGAGCGGGGCCAGTGGGGAAAAGGGAGATGTGTCGGGATGACAGACCAGCAATCAAGGGGGCAGGGGCAGGGGCCTCGTCAAGAAGAAGGGAAGATGCAAATGGAGGGCTGAAGCTGCTCAGAGAGCGGGAGCCGCTACCGTCGGTAGGTCGGGCACAGCTCCGTACTCATGTGAGATGTGACGCATTGCGCTGCTAAGCAGACGGCGAGGATGAGAGGACGGCGAGGGGAACCCCAACCGCAACCAGGGACAGTTGGGGGCCCCTGGTACTTCCTCCCCATGCAGGATGTATGACATCAGCAACTAGTGCCCCTTTGGCAGTTAGTCGGTTAGCAGCAAAGTATCCGGCGTAAGCAGGTTCCGCAGGTTGCGCTTACCCAGCAGCAAGGCCTGCGGTGGTTTCCACATGTCCATTTCGCCTCCGACGCCCTGGCGTACAGGCTCGCCGCACTTAGCACCAGCTTGACTTCATGTGCTGAATGTTGGGTCTGATGTAATCAAACAATGGCAAAGACCGGCATAGCGGTTTACGCGCATACTGCAATCATGTCGAAAGTTCAAAGCAAAACAGACTTCGCCCCACTTTAGCACGGTTTTACTAAATGCGCATTTGCAATATTTGCATTAAATGCATTCCGTGCCAGCGCGCTTGTGCATGGCACGATAGGAAAGGGTTTGTGGTTGGGTTAACCGACACTCTGGTAATGCCACTTGCCGCTGCTACAACGCCTTCGCGGTATTAGCAGTGCGCTAGAAGCGTTTGTAAAGGTTCTAAAACGTTACTACTGTTTCAGTAGATTTACTTAGACTGCCTCTGTGCTCTATACCTGTCTTGCCCGAGTACACGCTTAGATCTAGCGCGGGGTTGTTAGCCTAAGAGTACATACTGAAGATGGCAGCAGAATTGGAAAGCCGACTTAAAAGCGCCACGGAGCTTGGGACATCTGACATCGCAGGCGCCTTGGAGCAGCTTAAAGGACTCGTGCTTGAAGACAGCAGCAATGATACTGACGCAATTCGGATAAAGGAGCAGGCTATATCCCAGCTATGCGACCTCTACATTAAGCAAGGCAACGCGCAAGGACTCGCAGATCTGCTGACATCCCTGCGGTCGTTCTTCAACGCCATTCCCAAAGCTAAGACGGCGAAGCTCGTACGCAGTATTATTGACTCCATTGCAAAGGTTCCGGGGTCCACGCAACTACAGGTGCGCCTTCTAACAATGCTTTACATGGCGATCTGCGCGGGTTGACCCCCCATAAGGCTTAGTTACAAGATCCAGTTACAAATCTTACTGTCCTTACAATATTCCAAGTTTATTCAGTTAAATCGCTTGAGTTTGAAACGTTACTCGAGGTTTAACTGTTCGAGGCTTCCTAACCCCCCCTCCTCATCCTGCTCCCCCCCCCCCCGCCTGCGCACGCCAGGTGGAGGTGTGCAAGTCGCAGGTGGAGTGGGCTCGCGGCGAGAAGCGCACCTTCCTGCGCCAGCGCATCGAACTGCGGCTGGCCAGCCTCTACCTGCAGGTGGGGGGGTGAAGGGAGGACACTGACGAGGCAACTGACGAGGCAGGTGGGGGCCCGGCCTGCTGGCAGGGGTGGTATGGACCCGTGCTTGCGGCCCATGGCAGGGGGCCCGAGCGGGGACTCTACCTCCTCCCCCCCGCTTGGTGGTGCCACTGGTAGCAGCAGCGTGTGGGGCAGCAGGGGGGTGTCCGGGTGCCGGGGGGCGCCCTGACCCCCCGCACAGCTACCTCTAGCGGCACCACCCAGGGGGGGAGGTGGGCGGCCAGGGAGCGGAGCGCGAGGCAGCCGGGGGGGCCAGCCGCCAGCCGCATGTACGGCAGGGCCCCGGCAGGCGGCTTGGTGTGGTGCGAGAACAGCGTGTATGTCAGTATGTGGTGTGTGTAGTTGAGTAGGACAAGAGCAAGCAATTGGGAGAGGTTCGCATGTGAACCGCGAGTACAGGCAAAAACAGAGGTGACCAAACCTGAACCGTAATTCCAAAACTGCGTAAATAGCTGTTGCTGGATGTAAGAAGAGTGGCGGGTGACGAGTGACGACGCATGTCGGTGATGCTGATGGTTGTCGGAAAACTAAAATACTACCGAGAACTAAAGCCCAGTCAGTATGTGGTGTGTGTGTACAGTGCTGCAAGGGTCCGGGTGGGACCGCCGGAGCAGTGGGCAGCGGGAGCACCACAGCCGCAGCCCTGTGCTCGCTGGTGAGGGCCCTCCACCCGCCCTTGCCTCACATGGAATGGAACCTGTTGTGAGGGGGCTTCCGGCCTCTCCTCCCTCCTCCTCGCCCCGGAAAGGGTCTAACACCTTGAGAGGACACGCGGAGGGTGCGCAGGTCCCTACCTAAACCCTAGTGACGCAGCTCCCGTTCTCCCTGCTCCCCACTCCCTACCCAAGTACCCCACACTTCACACCGCCACCCCCCTGCCCCCCCCCCCCACCCCCCCCGCAGGTTCGGGAGTACCCAGCGGCGCTGGCGCTCATTGGCACGTGAGTGGGCCTGGGGGGGAAGGGGTTGGGGTGAGTGGGAGGAGGAGACCCACGGGTCTGCCGCCTCATGCCGGGTGCTGTCCTCCGTTTCCCACATGAACCCCAGCAGGACTGATTCCGACCACACACACACACGAGTGCAGTCCGGCGCATGTGGGATTCCCCCGCCTGTGTGCCCCGTTGGGCCCCCCTTGCTCTCCGTGGGGTGGGTTGGGGGGGGGGGCATGGGGCGACCCGGGGGCTCAGCCCCAGCCTGTCATCGCCCGCTCCCCTCCTCCTGTCACGGTCTTCCCCTCCTCCTGTCATGGTCTTCCCCTCCGACTTCCTCACACCCTTCCCCCTCTCCCGCCCCCCTCCCCCCCAGCCTGCTATCTGAGGTGAAGAAGCTGGACGACAAGCTGCTGCTGGTGGACATATACCTGCTGGAGAGCAAGGGTGGGGGTGGGGGCGGGGGGAGGGAGGGGAGGTGGGGGCCTGGGGGGCAAAGCGCACACAGGTTGTGGAGGGCTGGCACAGGGTGATGAGAGGGCAGGGTGTGGAGTGTGGTGAGAGGGCTTCGAGCCGTGTGCCTGCATGACTCCCCCCCTCCCTGCCCCTTCCCACCCCCCCCTCCCTCCCCTTCCCCCCCTGTGCAGTGCACCATGCGCTGCGCAACGTGCCCAAGAGTCGCGCCTCGCTCACCGCCGCACGCACCGCCGCCAACGCCATCTACGTGCCGCTGCAGCTGCAGGCGGAGGTGGGGGGAGGAGTGGGGAGGGAGGGGCAGGGGTTGTTTCAGGACCAGCCCCTTGTAGGTGGGTGGGCGGGGGGTGTACGACTGCCGTTTTGTGTAGGGGCCGCTGAAGAGCGCTTCCGGCCCCCTGGTCTCACCTCCCCCTTACCTCCTCCACCTTCCTCCCCCCGCCCCGCCCCCCAGATCGACTGCCAGAGCGGCATCCTGTGTGCCGAGGAGAGGGACTTCAAGACCGCCTACTCCTACTTCTTCGAGAGCTTCGAGCAGCTGGCGGGACTGGAGGACCCACGGGCGGCGCAGGTGGGGGGGGGCGGGCGGGTGGAGGGGGTGAGAATAGGACTGGCTGCGCGTGGGTACGTGTTGGTGCGCGTGTGAACAGAGCTGTTGCTTCGCGGCTCAGTGTACCTAATCCCCCCCTCCCCCCCACTTTAGTTGTTTGCATTTCATATATAATTTTCCCTCCCCCCCTCCCCCCCAGGTTCTCAAGTACATGCTGCTGGCCAAGGTGATGTTGGATCAGGCGGAGGACGTGCCGGGTGAGGGGGGGAGGGCGGAGGACGTGCCGGGTGAGGGGAAAAAAAGAAATTCCAAAGTGTGGTATGATAATCCCAAAGTGAGGGGGGGAGGGCGGGGGGGGGGTGAGGGGGGGTGAGGGGGGTAGCTTTGATTAGGGCAGCCCGGGAGCTTGAGACCACGATACTTTAGGGACACGTTTTGTGGCACAAAACACATCCGGTGCCTGTGTTTGTACCTTGGACTTGTACCTTCCTAACCACCGCCCCCCTCTCCCCCCCCTGTAGGCATCATCAGCTCCAAGGCGGGTCTCAAGTACGCGGGCCCCCCCGTGGAGGCGATGCGCGAGGTGGCGGCGGCATACCGGGACAGGTCGCTGCAGAGGTTCCAGGTGGGGGGGAGGGTGGGGGGAGGGAGGAGGGAGGGGAGGTGGGGAGGAGGGAGGGAGGAGGGAGGAGGAGGTGGAGATGGGGGGAGACTTGCATGGCGTGCACGCGCCGGCAGGGTCACGCTGGCCTCTTCACTGACCCACCCCTCCCCTCCCGCCCCGTTCGGCTCGACTAACTCTCTTCCATTCACCAGGAGCTTGTCATCACCTTGTTTGGCATCCTCGATCAACCCACTGGGTATTCTCCTCCCCCCTCCTCCCCCCACCCAGGACGTGCTGTCCGCCCACTCCGCCCAGCTGGTGGAGGACGAGGTGGTGCACACGCACCTGGCCGCACTGTACGACACGCTGATGCAGCAGAACCTGGTACGGCTGATCGAGCCGTACAGCCGGGTGGAGATCAGCCACGTGGCGGCGCTGATCGGGCTGCCGCTGGAGACGGTGGAGGCGAAGCTGAGCCAGGTGGGGCTTGGGGGTGGGGAGGAGAGGAAACGTATGGGGGTTCAGAGATTCACGGGGTGGGGAGGAGAGAAGGTAATGCGTTATGCGGGTATTGAACGGGTTGTATCTGTTGTTGAAAGGCCCAAAAGAGGAATAAAAAGCCACTGGCCCACCGCTCCTCCCACACCCCCTCCCCTCCTTCCCCCACCCCCATTCTCAGATGATCCTGGACAAGAAGTTCAGCGGCACTCTGGACCAGGGCGCCGGCTGCCTGGAGGTGTTCCCCCCCGCCCCCGCCGACACCACCTACCCTGCCGCGCTGGAGGTGCTGGATGCGCTGGGGCGCGTGGTGGACACCCTGTTCGTGCGGAGCACCCGCGTGGTGGCGTAGGAGGGGGGCGGGAGGGGGGGCGTGAGGGAGGGGGGGAGGGAGGGGGGGAGGAAGAATACCCAATGTGTCGAGTAGGGCCAACCTACTAGGGGGGGAGGGAGGAAGGGGAGTAATGAAAAAAGAAGCAACCGGAGTCCCAAGCGCATGTAATTCGACTTATGTGATGAGCGCATACGGCGAGGGAGGTAGGAGGCAGGGGGTGGAGAAGAGGAAGGGGAGCACTGGGAGCGGGGATTGGGAGGGAGAGGAGGACCGAACGGCGTGACGGGGCTGTAGAGGGGTGGAGGGGAGGGGGTAGGGGGCCATGGGTTGGGAGGTTGGGTTGGGAGGTTGGTGCATGGGGATGTCTGGAAGCGGGGGAGTGGTGTTGCATGTGGGGGAACGGGAGTTGCGGTGAGGAGATCTAGGTGGTGGGAGGTGTAGGAGGGGAGAGGGGAGGGTGTTGGCGGTGTAGAGCAGGCGGCGAAGGGGGGGGGACGCGAGGGAGGTATCGCGGGTAACAACTCCTGCAGTCCAAACATGCATGTAAGTGGTCATATGCAATGAGCCCCTGGTCGTCTGGAGCCTCTACACTCAATCCTTTGTGCTGCGGGCTAATTACCGAAAAGCTGGGCCGCCCAGTTCTGGCAATCGCATTCTATCCAAGAGCCGCTGGGGCGGAGGCGGCAGGTGATGCGCCCCTACAGTATCCAGGAGGCCATTCATCACGGTGTGTGC